GGCTGTTATATTGGAATGGTACCTCCACAGTGCCATATGACTGGCCCGTCCCATGCATTGCCATGGTCGTCCGTACGAAGACTTGAGCGGTAATGCCGTTGTGGCAGAACTCTGGCGGATAGAATGGCTACAGATCGGAGTCAAGGAGTTCCGTCCAAAGGCGTATTTCGTTCATGAGCCCACAGCAACAGCACCCAGACACAACACCGTCCGGTCAGAACTTTTTTCTTGACCGTCGCATGAGGTCGATTTACAAACGTCTCGCTTCAGAAGACTTGGCGCCGTGGAACCGGAGGAGTCCTGCGGAGATCGCCAGGTTGGCGCCCTTCGTGTCGAGCCAAAGCTTGCATACGCGAGGGAGTAATGACGGCCACGACCTTCTCGACCCCGCAAAAATGGTGCGTCCGCCGCGTTCGACGTTCGAACGGCGGTGGACGTCTTTCTGCATTGCCTGACCGTCCACACCACCTTGTCCACGGGCGAGGATCGGCATCCCCACCGGATTTCCCGACCTCAACAGCACCTGACCTGGCCTCTTTCACACCCTTCCACCCTTGGCAATGGTGCAGATCCTCCGCATCGTTGTTCAAGTCGCCTTGGTTCAAGCAAGCGCCAGCTACGTTGTCTAGAACTGTCGTATCAAGGGACCGCGACTACGCATCCGTTCAATCACACCTATTGAAACATGGCCAGCAGGTTTTGCGCGTCCACTATGCAAACGGTGGAATGCTCTATTTTGATGGGAACAGTAAAATTGAATTCCTCCTTTAGGCAAGTTTTGCCATTGCAAACGGTATTGGAAGATATAGACCACTTCCTCGTCTGTTGGAGGAAAAACCATTTCAGCGAAGGTCTGAGCCCGATGCAGCGAAGTGCTCTCTTACACCTGGGCCTGTTTTGGAAAAACCGCCCAACCGCTATGGCCACACAGACGAGAGCTGAATCTATAAGGATCGGTTCGGTCGATAATACTGGCTGCTAAGGTCCCCACTACTTGAATCAGTCTGCGATATTACAACCTCATCTCTCGCCGCTCAACGTCTCTGTTTCTGATTTATCCCGTCCGGATTGAATGCATCTTTCGGAAGAGGTATGGAAAGTGCTCTGACTGGTTTGTTCTGATTTTCGAGAGCATGCCTTTTTCGAGGACCTGCTCTTCTATATGACGGATTTGGCAGCTGGGATTCTTGATATAAGCCGTCAAATCCACTCTCGATCCAGTATCGTGCGCTTGATCACTAGTGAAATTACAATTCATTACACGAAAGGACGACGCAATCGCAGCCAGTCAAAAAACTGAATTTTCGCAAGCTAGACATACTTAAATACTAATTAATGCCGCTGATTTAGGGAGCTTTAATCAGGGAGATCGTTGTGTACTTAAAAGAACTTGGAATCTGCTTCTCAGTCTTCTAAAATGCCAACAGTCGTTCGCATATGCCTTTGCGCGAAAGCATGCTCAATGCGTGGCTGTGATGCAGGTCTGGTATTGCGAAAAAAGCACCTTCTTCCAAGCGACAATAGGCGAGCATGGGACTGTTTGGTTCTTCAGAAGACGGGATCGAATCGAATTGAGGCGCAATTTTTCTTCTGGTAACATGACCTTCTAAGTCCTTTCTAATTTGTTTCATGCCCTTATCTTCAATGGTCTGCAGGATTCAAGCTAACGAGGGTCTTCTGTTTGAGCACACGAGGTCCAATGGAAGCATGAGTGGCGGAGGCTGATGCCTCCAGCGCCTCCAGTCTGGCGCCTCCAAAAGCACGACTTCAGCACATCTATGCATCGTGATTCCGAAAAGTATTTTGCCTCGCATGACTTGAATCTCAATTCCCAGATGATTCCTAGCCTGGACTTTTTCTGATCCACTATCATCAGGCGTATTTTTCTTCTAGCACTGCCATCATGCAGCGACGTGGAACGCCTGATTCTCGATCACCGACCATTGCGCAGACACCTTCCCGTAATGTTCCAATTAGAAGCACGGAAAGTCATCCAAGACCGTCCATGGAGCATCTGCTGGACGGCCTGAGGATGAAGATGCTTGAAGATCGCGAGAAGCAAGATGAGTTATTCGATGCTGTGACGAGAATCTCGATCGAACTGGGCCGGATCAAGGAACGCCAAGATGATTATTGGGATCAAATTAAACAGGCTTTGGACTGCGATAGTCGGACCTCAGAGCAGGAGGCGAATAACAATAACAATAGCAATAGCACCAACAATGGCGTTGATGCCATCAGCGAAGCCGGAGACTCCGTGCTTGGACGTACACGGGAAAGGTCGAATATTACAATAGCCGAAGGCAGAGCGCTGGCTAGCGTCATAAGTGCTCCTAACGTGGAGAGTCATTCTAACAGAGATTCGGTTCATTACCACGTTGATAATATGATCGATGCAATGAACAGCATTGATACCGATGATGGCACTGCCCAGGAAGTGGTACGAACAAGGACGGCGACTGCATCGCACATACCCACTCCTGTTACCCCTGGTACGAATTTACTGGAACCAGGGACCAGGCGTACGAACGACAGCTCAGAAGTGCCTGGTCATGCGACGGGGCCTTCAGCTTCATCTATGCCGCCTGTAGTAGAAGCGACAAGTTCCACGCAAACGCGAGACTTTTCGATGAGGGCTCCAACCACACCAGCAAACAGAGGGAAGCGTAAGCGAGTGTGGGGGCCGACAATAAGTGCCGAACGGCCACCTCGTCGAGCAAGGGAGGCCGCCATCTTGCAAAACCATCATCTCCTCGAGTTCGCTCGTAAAAGTGCTCGAGCACAATCCCAGGCGCGTAGGGACGGAGAGGACGATCCATTTATTTGGTGTGGTGACTGCCGAAAACCGACGTGCGCTCGTTGCGAAGAAAGGAAGAGGCAGACAGCACATTCTATTCGGATGCGAGTACAGTGATATATCGTTATTGCGGTTATGTGAAAAGAAAAGAGTGCTCGTGAGAAGCTTGAATATTGTGCTTTCTGGCAGAAGAGGTCCTTCTCTGAATAAATATAATTGATGATTGTGAGCGGTTTCACTAGCGTCGAGTATTGCGACCATGAGTCATTTTACTGTCTCGCTCCAACAACATGCGCCGGATTTCTCTTGAATTGCCAGTTGTACATTGCATAACACGTCTCTTATTCTAATGGGCAATATAGAACGTTTTTTAAAAGAATTGCTGTTGCCTAACGCTTCAGTGTCCCACTGAGTAGGCATTATGTTCATTCCAAGCTCTTGCAGTTTAGTCACAATTGGAACGTAAGCATAGGAGTAGTGAACAGTATGAAGGATCAGGGATAATGATATTTGCTCTCTAGACAGAAATTCCGTCGGACAAGGATGTAGGGGGGAATACGTTGATCTAGTCTCAAGCAAAAAAGTCTGGTGTAAGTGAACAATGTCGTCCTATTCATGGAACTCATGAAGCGGACTCGTCCGAAGAAGCTGATCCTAAAAACCCTTTACTACTAGAGAAAAAAAAACACCTCAAGAAGTACACGAAACTCGCACGCACGATTTTTTACGGTCTGCATCTTGTTAAATTTTGTCATTCGGCATCTTGCTCCTCATCCTCATCGTCATTTGCAACAGAGTAGTTGCCAATGACATCCCAGCGGTCCCCCTTGGCGCTCTCGCTGACGTATTTGACAAATTTCATCACGCCAGTATCTCTGAGCACTAAGCTTAACGTGTTCCAGTTGGCAGGGTTTGTGAAAAGCACACCGTCATCTTCGTCTTCAGCACTGCTCTTGTAGATCGCCGGATCGGCTTTTGCTTTTCTTCTTTGACCAGCACCCGTTGCACTGCTGGGCACTTCGACACCGTCATTGGATGCTTCGTCATCACCCTCGTCGTCATCGTCACCTGCCATATACATTTCATAGCCACCCACGGGTTCGGGTGCCGGCCCGTCTTCCGCCAACTTCGCTTTACCGTTCGACGTGCCGTTCGATGTTGCCTTCTTTGATTCACCATCTTCTTCGTCATCATCGTCTTCGGTTGCACCCCAGCCTGGCGAAGGGGTTATTCCAAGGCAAATTTCAAGCTGTGGATTGGGGTCGTCATAAGACGTTGCAAGGGTGTAATCCTTCCCTTTCCGAAAGCGACGAGCCATGTGCTCAGCGCGTGTGAAAGTCAGACCAGTAATCAAAGACAGCCATCTTGTAAACAGCTGAGAGGGCAGTAGATGTTCGATCAGCTGATCTAGTGGTGTATCTGCTGGCGTCTCCTTCACTCCAGAAACCGGTTGTCGATAAACGTATCGGTGCTTGTGAGGTGGTCGAGCAATATTTACCTGATTCTGTGTGGGCGAAAGGAACGGTATCGAGCCTGATGGGTCCGAATCCTGACTTTCGATGTATTCCTTCAGCTTCTGGGCAAATTTGGGATGCAAAAAGTCCGCAAGCGTGGCGACAGAGTTTTCCTCGAAACTCTCTGCAATAGCTTCCACAGTGTCTGGTGTTAGATAATTTGGATTAATGAAGCGCAATAGCCACTCCATTTCTGCATCGGAGAAAGGAGCCTCGTCTTCTTCAACTTTAGCTGCTGGCTCAATCTCCTTCCATTGCGGTTTCGGCAAATCAAATTCAGCTGCCTCTTTGCTTTGCAACTGGCTCAACGAGCTTCGTTCTGCAAGCTTCTCCTCAAGCCCCTCTTCATAGCCTTCCTCGCCCTCCTGTGGGATGTGAAACCATCCGCTGATTGCCATCCGGATTCGGCCGCCATCGACCTCGCCGTTACCATCCTTCTTCACGTACACTTCTTCTACATCATGAAAGCTTTCACCAGGCTGGATCGCGAAGAAGCTTAGCTGGTTGAAGGCAGGAGGTATGCTCAGCGAAAATTCCGGACTTGGCACAATGACTTCGTTACCATCTTCGCTTGTCATCTTCTGAGTGGGATACAATCTTAATGCTCCACCCCATTCTGCTCTCCACGGAATGTCAGGGTCCGTCAAGTACAGAATGTAACTTATCCTTCTCGTTCCAATAACATCATCGTGACACAAAAGATGGCATGTCGGTGTATACACGTTGATCGCCATGTCCGTTTTACGGCCACTCACGGGTCCTGCACCAGCAATATGGGATATGTACTTGCGAAATGCGGGAGAGTATAACGCATCGCGAAGCTTGAGTAAGGACGGGAGACGCGCGAGCGACGAGTCATCGAGCCCATCAAGGTTGGCAAGGTCCCCCGATTGGTGAATCTTGTATATGTCTGTCTCTTTCGGTGTGAAATGAAGATGCTCTTGGATCTCAGATCGGACGTTGCGCAAAAGTTCGGGGTCTATTAAGCCTTGGATGACGCCATGCTTGTACCTAGAATGCTGATTAGACGAAAGATTCTCTAAGTCCTCGAAGTTTATGCTCACGGTTGGGAGTTTGCATATTGCTCCGCGAACTCGTCTCTCCTAGCAAAAATATCAGGTCCAAAACACAATTGCGCTTCCTGATCCGTTAATGCACGCTTTTTATTCGAGCCATTGATCACATGTGGCTCCTCGTTCTTTCGTTTTCCAGTCATCATGGGTCTTTGAGTTACGAATTTGCGGATGTTTGAACGAAAGTTCTGAAATTACGAGGGCGACGGGATACCCAATGCCGCAGAAAAATATTTGTGGGTCCGAACATCGTACGATGCGGACACAGGCCTAAGCAGGATGCCGCCTCGCCGCACAAGTTTAAAAAAAGAACGCTTCTTTGCATGCAATCTAGCCGCCATTGCCTCTATATCCTGCTAACACAATCTATAATGATTCCATATTGTGTCTCTTTCTTACCATTGTAGACGTTGTCAAGGCGGAGGGTTACCATCTTAAGATCAGCTTCTTCAAGCTCGATCTGCCAGTCTTGATTTATGGAGAGATTTTGGAAAATGCATGGTGGCATCAGCTACATCGACAGCACATTGTTGCAGAAACACTGAAGGAACCTAACCTAAGGCACTCTGTCTCGTGTCACGAGGGTTCAACAGTTCATGACTCTGGAGTGAGGGATGGAAGATGTACTATTGAGAGGGCAACAGTTGCTGCACTTAAGCCCAAACATTTTGAGACACTCAGATTATTCTGTACATGGACCTAAGAATGTTTGAACTCTGCCCTTCCGACCTGTGCATATAAGTCATAATGAACATCGCCATGGAAGTACCTTAGAGTCCCTGCAGATACCAAGACAGACATGTTGACGCAAAGTGGATGTCCCATGTATATCCTGGGCCTCTTTTGAATAGTTCGATGATAAGACTCCAGTCTGGCATATCATAAAACCTTCGACCTCGAGAATCCAGCTGTTGATGGCACTCTCAAGCTCCACTCGCTGTCCGTGCATTCTACATCTGGCTGTGCTCCATTTCTATGGGTCAATAATATACTTGATGCCTGCAATCTTTCTGATGCCACTGTTCACGTCGTGCCTTTGATGGTTTGAGGATACCGACGGGGAGACATCTGACGAACTATAGTTCCGTAGAGGTATGTTAAATCAGGTATACATGCGGCACTAAAGTTTGACGGTGAAACACGTAATTAGTCAGCTCATCTGCGTCCTTAATCACGTTGCTGTTGCAAGCAATATCGAGACTTCTTACCGAGAGCATGCCAAACGCTGCTCGATTCCTTGAAGTGGCTTGTTTCTCACCAGAGTCCGCCTTCATCGCAGCCGATGCAGGCGCACACCGGATCGAACTATGTGGAGGTCCTTTCTCGTCTGGAGGCCTCACTCCGTCGCTCACGGACCTGCAAGCGGTCAAAAAAGCCACTGAGATACCTGTCCATGTCATGATTCGGCCACGAGCAGGCCGCTTCGTTTACACGAGCGACGAGATTGGCACCATGATGCAATCCATAGCCGCAATGAAGGAATGGGCTGACGCTTTTGTGTTTGGCGTTCTAAGTGACGACGGTAAACTGGATGTTGAACAATGTAAACAACTCCTGTCCGCTGCTGGAGACACGCCATGCGTGTTCCACAGAGCGGTCGAATGCGTCAATGACTCTGGACAAGTATATGATCTGATCAAAGAGCTTGGCTTTAGTGGTGTTCTGACGGGAGGAAGATCGTCGGCGGCAGTTAACAGTGTAGCCGAACTAACTGAACTCACACAACGACACGAAACCAGCGGCTTACAAATTATACTAGGTGGGGGAATTAGAGCGTGTAATGTCAGGACTTTGCTGAAGCACACAAGTGCAAAGTGGTATCACACATCAGCATTGGTGAATGGACAGAGTATTGCAAGCTTCGACGAAATCTCACAGCTGCTGGGAATCATCGCGGATGGACGTAATTAACGAGGCATTTTTAAAGCCGCGATTCTTTATTACACAAAATTTGATTTTTCGCTTGCGCATGACCATCTTTGCGGCTACAGTGAAGCCCAGATCCTTCATAAACACCGATTCTCATGGCTCTCATCTCATTTAGATTGCCATACACGTACATTCAATGGTCAATATGAACTTACGGTGGATGATGTCAATTACTTGCACTCAGTCACCGCCAGGCGTCTTACTAGGTGAGATCTCTTCACTGTTATCTTCGTTGAATGTTTCGCCAACTTCGCTCCGTCGGCCCCAACTCTGTCCTGAACCTAACGCATCATGGCTGCTCTCGGGTCTTTGCAAGCTGCTTCGTCGATGTCTATTCATCACCACACCGGGAAACATTCTTGGTTCAGAGCCGTCCATGTTCACAATGCTATCCGTCCTGCCTAGTGCAGGAGAGCGCGATTGTGATTGTGGTATCGAGAACGTTTGCGGGCTCATAACAGGCGGCTGCGGCGGCACTTGTGCCGATGGTCCACTTTGTGGAGTAAAGACCATTGACTGTGACTTAGTCATGGCACCATGTGTTTGCTTCTGCTGAACAAGATTCGTCATATCATTAGTTGAAAAGGAGGGATTCAGGCGGGAATACTGAGCCGTATGTGCTGCATAACTTGGCGGGAGTTCAAAATTTGTTTGACTCGCTTCAGCCTGGTGTGATGATGGATCAGTCATCCGGGAAGCAGTAGGTGAACCAGGGTGGACTGTAGAGCTTTTTGAAACAACAGAAGCATTTTCAGGGAGGTTGTCGCTCACAAGTGCTGACTGCGCTGGTTTCGTATATCTTTCGATCCTACGATTGTGTTATCGTCGGCTCCTAGCATGTAGGAATTTCTACAACTTACATTGCTAATTCTTGTAATAAGGTCTCGTGCCTAAATGCTTCTCTAATATCAGGCACATTGACTTTGGCCATATCATTACCCGCGACCCCAGGTAGACGATAATCCTTGCCCAGCCAGTGTTGTTTGACGGAATGCTCGAACCCGCTTTGCACGACGGAATGTTTGGCGAGCTCGCACATGTCTACAGCGGTGAGCTTGTAGATTTGAGCCGCAACTGCGTATTCTTCTATGAGTGGCTCTTTCGTGAATGCGAACTGCAGCGGGTCGTCAGTCGACAATGAGACATTGAGACCACGTCTGAAATAGCTAAGGAACGGATTGCGTTCATATGCTAGGAAGAGCGCATTGTTGCTCAGCGGTGACATGGCAACGCCAATTTGCTCCAAGTAGAAGATATACTGCAGAAGTGGAACTTTGCGTAGTAGCAACCCATGACTGATGCTGTGACAGCACAGTACCGCGGCAGCAAGATGATCAGGATCGCCGGCTTCGCCACAATGCGGACGTAACAAGAAAGTGTTGAAACCTCTTTGCTTTCTCCAAACATTTAAGGACGCAATGTTGGCAAAGAGATAATAAATCCAATAACTGTAGGGCGGATTCTGCGTTGTGTTCCATTCCCTTGGAACAGGGAATTTACGGTACAATCGCCGCTCAACTTTGCTCTCATCGTCCACGCTGTCAAAACCAATGACTCTCTGGAGGAAAATATGCAGTTTTGGATCGACTGAAGGGTCTCTTGTGACCTTAAAGAGTGGTTCGAAGACGTTCCTAATGACTTGCTCGAAATTGTCCATCAGCTTTGTGGACTTGTACACATCGTAAAGTCGGGGTACTTGAATAAGCCAGCGCACGTTGGGGGAGAAGAGTTTGTTGTCAACAACCCATGCAGCGAGCTTGCGCCATTCATCTGGCTCACGTCCATAGATTGAAATTCGCCATTCCACCATTTGGTATTTGCTAGCCTCTAGATCCGCAATGACTTCCTTTGTGATCTCAGCCAGATACCGCCCATGTATGAAGTTATCCGTCTTGAGGAATATGGTTCGCAAACGTGATTCGCCGACAGGATTGTACTTAAGATTGAACTTGTCAAATCGGTGGAAACTATCGGTGTGCGCATGCATGTCGAGGGTATCAATGCTCAAATCATAAGCCGTGAGATTGATACTCTCGAATACTTCTTTCAAAGTCAAGTACTTTCCATCTCTATACAAAACCGTCTCATCCGGGGACTTCTTCATCTTGCTCTTGATGAATCGTAATAAGTGCTTCTGATTCATGCATGCGGAATGATGCACGTGAGTGTCGACTTTACGAACGTTGTAAAAGTCTCTGTGAGGCACCTTTTTGCTGTCTGCAATTTCTTGATACTCATTCAGTAGCACGTACAGGTTGAATTTCCCTTCGAGATATTGTAGCCTTCTGAAGGCGAAGCTTTTGCTAGGACCATCCGAAGAAACGTCCAGTATGACTTCCAGGTCCATGTAAAACTCACGCAGTGTGGGTATGGCCAGAATCGGAGTACCCTGAGCTGCTGCGGTTGATGTCTCGTACACCTGATACACGCCGCTGTCGTCAAGCTCGAAAGTCATCTCGCTTGCACCAGGCACTGGCATAAGGTCATCAATATTGAAGTCCTCTCCAATATCTGAACCCAGCTTTCTCGAAGTTCGCTGCTGCGCGGGACTCGACGTGCCCTCCTTGTCCAACACAGTGCTGTTCGACATGCTCGCTGAAGGCTTATCGTGATCCCATGCTGGAGTTGGATGTGGGGGATATATCACCCAACTGGGATCGTCTTTTGGATTGTCGTCCGGCCCTTGCAGCGACAAGCGTATATATTTATGTCGCAGGTCCAGAACCTTTTGTATGTTCGTGTAAATGGAACTCAGCTCTGCAGTAACGTGTGCATCTGACGCTGCGAAAACCCCAGCAGTGCTTGACCCATAAACACCTTCTGACGTTGGTTGGGGTGATTTATATTCATGCGAAGGCCCTGGATATTTTTTAGGCTCTCTTGCCAGATGCTCAGACCGGACGAAATGGTCGGGCCGGTTGTATTCTACGGCGCCTGTATCTCTCAATTGAGGAAATGATTCATTGTTCCGAGTGGAAGCTGTCACTGTCGGTTTCGATATGCCTGTCTGATTGACCTGATCTTTGCCTTGTCGCGATCGTTTGCTAGTGCTTCGGTACAGTCCGTCGTCTTGAAAATTTGACGGCACAGTTTTCGCTCGCAACAGCGGACTTTGTCCATCTTCGCTTTCAAGTTTGTGCCTCTGGAAAAATTGTTTCGCCTCTTGCAGACTCATTTGCTTCTCAGAAGTATAGTCGTAGAACGTCGTCCTCCTCTGCTTGTCCCTCGCAAGCTCACCAATAGATGCGCCATCGTCGACCGCGGACTCATCTTCTTTCGTGTTTCCATTGTCTGTGGGTGTATGTTCGCCACCTTTTCCATTCGCCTCGTCCGACGAATTGTCTAGATTGTAGTCGTGCTCGTCGTCGGAGTCATGCGTGAGCGTTCTAGTAGGGCCAATGATCGGTGAATTGGCCGGGGAGTGGACGGATCCTATTACCCGCAGTCAGTGCCTCGGATAGTAAGTCCAACAACTTGATTTGTGCTTACCGTCCATTGCTATCGTCTGCAAATTGGGTTTATCCGGTGGCGGTGAAATATTCGATGTCGATGTAACAAGGTAAGCAACCTCTTCGGACCTGATCGGTGTTGGCGCGTCTCGCGTCGAGCTGCCTCTAATGTAAGGTGACATCGAGCGCGAGGCTGGCAAGAAGGCTGAAGATACAAAAGATCTTGAACGCGAAATCTGTTCTCACTTCTTCACCACGAAATTAAATGCAATTTTCAAGTGTCTGAGGAGTAGGGGGTAATCCCGTTGTGTGCCTTTAAAGGCGGTGTGCGAACGCCCTCACTGCAGACGCGCCTAATGTCGTACACAGCTGAACAGTTTTCCAAAATTTAGGTCTCTACCAATTCTCTAGGCAATAAATAGGCCAAGCTAACTTGAACTCAGGCTGATTTTGTCATAATCAGTGACGGTTTTCTTCTTTTTTCATACTCTGAGGGGCTGAAAGAAACAGTGTCATAAAGTATGCGAACATGTATTTTGTGCGAATGATGGCAAGGGTGACCTAGATGAATCTTGTGACCATTGCGTTACTTAGATTCATGCTGCTGAAGATGTCCTAGAATCATTTTCAATCGTGCCACGGCCTGGGAGTCCATAGTCGCATTTCCAGCTTTTACCTGCTCCAGATGCTTCTTGGTCTCTTTCACAATGGGCAATATATCTCCCCAGACTTCATCGGTGTACCTATCGAGCACACTTGTCCAGCTGGAAAGCCATTGGATCTCTGACTCAGAACCTGGAGACAGATGCTCGCCGGTAAATGTCCCCGAAAGAATACCATGAATGTTTTGTTCGATCTCACGCTTCACTTCGTCCGATCTAGGAACAAGGGCCAATGGATGGTTTGAAGGTATTGCTTGGTAAACTGGCGGTGGTGGTAGATTCGACTTCAGGTCCGCGACTGCCTGCTGCGCTTCGGAAGACAGATTTTGTGCAAATAATTCGTCGACAGTCGGTTGCGACGTTTCTTCTGACGGCAGAAAGTCAAGGGCATCGTGGTCTACCGAAAGGTTGGGATCACTCAGTAGTGCTCGCACTTCAGCCCCATCATCATAGTGATTTTGGTAAGACGCGGAGCTGTGGCCATGCGGGACTCGAACGGGGTCAATCCAAGCACGGCGCCCTGACTTATCAAGGTCATCGAGATGTTGTGGGGGACATGTGTCAGCGCTGAGCGCAGATCCCTTGGAAGAAGCAAACTCTTCGAAATGTCGTAACGTATCGTCGGCCGAGCCAGGCGTCCTAAAGCTATTCTTTGGCTGTGAAGCACTTCTTGAAGCGCCGCCCGCGGACCCTTGGGACTGTGTTTTCACAGAATGATCGCTTTGAGAGCCATTCAAGTTGGTGAGCATCCCGGACGACTGAGGCTTGCCTCCCATAGCCGCGTTCGAAGACAGCGTGTGTGTAGTGTCGGAGCCTGGCTTCATCATATCTTCAAGGAGCCCTCTAGCAGACTCCACTACTCTGGATGCCAGTTTGGCCTGACCTTGCGCCTCTGTATTGTCTGCATTGCCCAGAAGCCTTGCTTTGCCTTTGCCCTTTCCGTTGTCCGGTCGCTGCTCCGCCATTGCTGCCTGGCGTGCACCGTCTATGACTAGATAGCTTCTGAAGCCTTGCGAGACTCCTGGCGCGAGCAGAAGAAAGATGAAGAGGAAGAATCATGATCAATTGGACGGCAGGTGAGATTCCGTTGCCTTGGAACTAGCGAGCATCGTCGGCCTCGTGTTTGGTGGCTTGTCCGCCTTGCAGGGTCCCACTCTCGGGCCTTTTCTAGCTGAGGGCACAGACAAAATCGTACTAGGACTACAGTGTAGCCATGATGGCTCTCAGCCACGAAGCCCTGCATTTGATTCAAAAGAAAAGAACCTGTTTGTTGCATGGCTTTCGACGCTGACGTGATGCTTTCTCGCAAAATGTTGACTGGCTTGCACTGAACCGTCGGCAGCTCAGTCAAACCGTCAGTCTTGAGAGCCGCATCATGGACGGAACAATGAGCTCAGTACGTCTTAACATGTCCATAGCCTGTGGTTCAAGACAGAATTCATATCAACATGCTCAAAGGCTAAACGCGATACGACTCCTCTGGGTAGGAGGCAATTTTGAGCTTCGAAAGCGGCTGGCCATGCTTGCAGCGACATAAGGGAAGCAAAACCTTAGCTTATAAGAAGACCAAATGTCCTCAATGCATGCAACACCGAGAGGCTACATGGCTTTTAGAGTTAAGTCAAATCAGTTTAATCATTGATGGTAGAAGCTACTGATCTCCCAAGCTGACAGCGACCGACTTGTGCCACGGTGGGCGGGTTTATCCTCAACGCCTAGAAAATCTGACTGGAGCCGCTGCTCTCCTCACCATTCTCATTATCTCCAATAGGCTCCGAGGTGCTTTGTTCTTCTTCGGGCCTTAGGTTTTGTTGGGAGGGCCGTGGAGACACTCTTGGGGTCCAGGGCTCATCTCGACTCTTGATTAACTCTAGACCGTAGCTTGTACTTGTATGTGTCTCGTTGCTGACAAAGGAATCCCGGGCATCATCATCCCCGGCGTTTGTCACGGTATCGACATTCGTAGCTACTGAAGGAGTTTCGGGATTGCTGACTGGGTTTCCGCTACTGATTGTGTCATCGACCTAAGGAGGTTAGCACGCCTAAAACATCCTTTTTGGCTCTGGGGAGGCAATCCACCGTTTCGTTGTCACTTTGTTCGAAAGTGTACATGGTTGTAAGGTCGGTTGCATCTTCTCTGCTGCTTTGGACGGAGCTGCATTCGTCCCGATTGGTACTACTTCCTGAACAATTGCTCATGTTTGTAAGAACTTGGAGGTGTTGTGGTAGGACGTCGTCATGTACATTGATTCGGATACCTCGGGAGCCAAATCGAGTCCTAGGTGACGGACGGACAGCGTCGATCAACTCTGGAAGAGTTCTCTCTGACTTTGTCCTGAGCGGTTCGAGAACTGCCTCCGCTAAATATGGATACGTTGACCTTTGGGCATCACATTTGGGGCTCAGTAGACGGAAACAACGCACCAGAAGCGCTAACCTCAAAACATCGCTAACTTAGAACTCCCAAACGTGGTGCGGCATCGCCGATGTCGTGGAAGCAAGCATGAAAGCTCTCCTTGCTTTTTGCGTACATCAACCGTCAGATCGTCTGCATCCACCCCCAACTGAGCTAGACTACGTTCACGAATGGAGTTCGAAAAGTTACTATTACATACAACCGCAACGTCATAGAGATGTGAAAGTCTCACGGCGCAGTTGTAAAACGATGAGGCTAAATATCTGTGGGGGACGATATCTCAGCGCTCACCTTTGGCCCTAACTATCACTCGTACTTCAGGAACTTACCGTGAAAATTAAAAAGTCGGAGTAGACACGGTTCTTTCGAACTCCCCACATCGATTTCAGCAACCTCGGACTTTTGCGAGCCACATCCTGGCACCTAAATGGGACTCAGCAACAAAGCGGAGAGGCTTGGCTACTTCTTTTTCATGACAGAATACTCCCTAACCACGTCTACCAGTCATGACAATCCAAGATTACGACTCCTTATTGTGACTGCAAGCAGGTACAGCATCTCCGCGCTACAGCGTGATTCAAACGGCTACACGCTTAGGACCCGCTCCCGCGGTACTGGTTCTGCCGTCAATGGCGTTACGAGGATTGGTCCACACCATTGTGCAACCAACTCGGCTTTTCTCTCCGACAGAGCGCTCGAGTGCTCACAGGATCTAAGAATTGACTTCACGCTCACAAAATATTTCATCGACTTTAGCGATCGCTGTCATATACAAAATATTCTTAGTATTCTAGAGCCTAGCTACTTTCCCATGGCCTTTATCTTCAACCATGGCTCGGCACCAAGATAATTTAGCCATGGAGATGATTTTCACTACTGTCTGAGAAGCTCTCTGCAGCTACAACACGCACGGCGTGCACCCCTTCATCTCTAAACTTTGTCCTGTGGCGGATTTCTACGCGCGAGATAAGATGTATCCTTGAACAACAACACTGCTTTTGTTGCTAAAGCAAACTAGTGTCGACCGGTCAGACAAAGACGGCGAGCCCTAGTTTGGCCCTTATCCTGAAATTGGAAGACTTTCTACGCATCATTGTGATGCGTTTGGTTAGCCAAGCGCTTCTTTCGACTCTGACAGTCTTCTTGTCATTAACGCTTGACTTAGCTACTTACCTTCCTTGCACCCTTGTAGATGGAATCTACCAAGCTAAAACCTGGACCGGAGAGCTTGATTCTGCAGTGGGGTCGAGTTCGCAATAATCGTAATCGTTGTTCAGCCCTCAATAATGCACTGACAACGGTATCACTTCGGCAAAATCCGAATTCACAGAAATGCCAAGAGAAAGGACTTAATAAGATGCAGCAGCCTTGATTATGTTGTTAGGTGATAGAAAGTGAACATGGCGCCGCTTGTCAAATGCCCTATTGCATGCGTCATAATCCAAGTGCGACCTGATGCTTTGGTGGGGCTTCTTTGCCACCCACCTACACCACAAACCGCTTTATTTTGGAAATTGCACTTTCTTCCAGTATTCAGGATTCCCCGAAGATAGTTTCTGACTGGTGAAAATGAGCGGGAAGAGCACACAAAAGAGATCCATGGTTGCTACCGTTCGCTACCTGAGTTGAAGTCGAACGAGGGCAGGAGATGCGGCTCAAAACGGCATTCTCTTACCACCTGTGGACCGGAGCACAATTTTTAAACTTACCACACGGTCGGGCTTAAAAACCATTCTACAAAAACAAAAAGAGTATAGATAAGCCTATCAGCGCAACAAACGGATTCTCTATGTTGCAAGCGATGCGGGTTAACGAGCTTTGTTGCAGCTCTTGCAGGCTCTTGCCACTTAGTGGCCAATCATTGATACAGGGAATCTTCAGCTCCCCAGTAATTCGGATCCGCCGGGACGAAGCCTATGGCTGTTGTCGCTGGATTCTTTCACCCCAATCCATCCCCATCTCGCGAAGCTCTTAGACGCAAACGTTTTGAATTTTATTTCTTACGTTTATTTTGCTACCTTAAAAAAGAATTATGATCGCCTTCTATGGGACAGGCCCTTTGGGGGGCAAGATAATCATTGGCATTTATAAGCATAGCTCGCTATTCAGAGCATGCCATTACGTCCTCGGGACAGGATGACACCATCAGCCTCACATGTAATTATCATCTGAATCGATCCCTTGACGGGACGACCGAGCATGCAAAGTTCCGGTCAGGTTAAACCCAAGTCAGTAGCGAAGTCACTTTCAGGAAATGGTGGTTCTAAAGAGAGGAATCTTAAGCTTGCCTTGACAAACGCCAGCATCATTCAACCTTGATGGCTCTGGGAACATCCGTAGCAACCAGAGGGGCACCCTGCTGGAGTCATGACTTCAATGAGGGTATAGGGCAAAGAACTTTAAGACTAAACATGTAATACAGCTATGTTTTTTACTGTAGAGTGCAAGCTTCATGATAAGTTACACTAACTTCCCCAAGCATAATCTGAAGTCGTCTAGAATAGTGTGTCTAAGTAGAGAGAACTTCTCCTTAATTATCAACAATCCTATTCCTGAGAAATGCAGTTGAAGTTTCAAACTGGAATGCCACTAGAAATCCTTAGAGTCACATGATAAAGGGCAAAATGGAGCAGAGCGCGGGGTGGATAGCAAGTCGCATCAAGCAAGCGATCCTCCTTTCTTCCATTGGCACTACTGGCTAGTAGCCCTTCTTAAAGTCTAAAATCGAGCATCCTTCACCACTGTCTAATATCAACGTATTGACTTGACTTCTGTCCTTTGTAAGAACCATAGTGGTTTTACGCCGGGTAACCCATGCTTCGATTTTAGCGGTATGACACTTAACGCAAGAATCTTCTCCAGATGCTCCGTAGAGAAGTTGAAACTGAAACATTTAATGGGCCGTGACAAATCGGAGGATTTGTCTAATGTATTCGAGCATAAAGTTTAAATACTCGACAATTTTTGGCGTGTCATGTAATAGTATGGCCGCAAAAGTAGGCTCGATTATTGAGTGAGAAACTACAAAAGAACATTTTGAGTAATGGCCTTACTAATGCAGATAAAGGAGTCTCGCGGCCTTAGGATGTAGGCGTAGCGTGCCTGTTCGTATATTTCGATCTCGTCTTGCGTGTATTGATTTGGACGAAGAGAGATACTCACAATCAGGACGACATGAAGGCAGCCGATACTCTGGGGTTCTAAAATTGAGATGAAAAGAAATTCAAGTTGTTGGTTTTAGAGTAGCGGAGCGTGAAGAGGAATTCCAGTGGCTTTTGCATCTATTGGCCCACCTGTTCGTACTTCAGAAAATGGAATTTCTGACACGGAGGGGACATGGTAGTAAGCGTGTATAACGAAACGAGTCAAAGCAGCATTTGCGTGCGCATCGCAATGTTGGCGTGTTTGACACATGATGTTGAAAGGAGCTCGAGGAAGCGGTCCAGACTGATGAGGAGAATATTCAAAACAGTAGAGCATTCCCTTTGAATGGTATTCGTCAAGCATAGCACGACAGATCTTTTGAAAAGGCCAGAGCTTGTTCAACCTTAAATAACTGTTGTAAAAAAAAAGCTCCCAATTTACATAGGCCCAACTTTGCTCGTCAATGAGGGAAGGGATGGAGTTTGATTGTATACCAACATTGTATAGTCAGTGAGGATAAAGATTTTAAGAACTTTTCATTGATCAAGGAGCTGTAACCTATGCACATACTGATATCAATCCGGTTATTAACCTAGCTAGACCGGGAATCCTGATATGCGGCCGCGATTTTAGACGTGATTGAAGAGATACTCATATATGTATGAAACTTGGTACAGCAGAATTCTGGCCCAGGATGCCTCTCACATGGTATTTTGTCCCAACCTATGCGAATGTTATGGCAGTCGTCCTTTTGATGCTGAGTAGAACCAGTGCAGTGTTGTTTTCTTTTGAAGAAGCCAGTTGCTTGAACAAATTTCCTTGATAGTGCTCAACCCCTTCGTATGATCAAGCTAACGTTCTATTTGCCGAGCTCGGGAAATCAAATCGAGGTTGAGATATCCAGAATTTGGAAGATAGGTTGCCCACTCAAATTTTAATTTTCAAGATGTCGCGCGTTACAATCGCTATGCTCAGGCCTGCTGATTCGAAATATGCCTCAGAGAATAAAGTTAAGCAAGACAAACACCTACATGAAGGACAATCCTTCATGCCAATTATGGCTCCGATTTATTCCCCCTCGATATTACGGTTCGCCGGGTATCAAAGACGAGCGAAGATGGTGTAAGCCCTCCAGCTTTTACACGCTTCCTTCAGGTTGCCGATTATGCCCCATTCTCTCAAGAGGCTGGGTATGCCATCAACATCTTGGCGATGCATCGCCAGCACAGAAAATGGATCTCGAAAATGTGCTGCGTACTCAGAAGTCTAGTCCAGTGCATCGCTGCAGTGTCATTCATGTGCGCCATCGCCGTGCACTCTGTGAAGGGCTTAGCACTAAGCGACGTCTTCAAAATCCATGTCTTCATCTTCCTCTTCTCCGTCCTCCGCCTTCACTTCTGGTGCCAATTCTTCTGTTTTCACAACTTCCGCAGGAATTTCCAGATCGTCACCGATGCCCTGATTCTCCGGGCGAAGCATGTAATAATTCGCCGCCTGTCCCGTTCTCACCAGAACAGCAATCTTACCCAGCACCTCTTTAAGCCAAGCCTCTGGCTGCGCAAACTTCTTCTTGAGCGCAGACATGGGCCAGAATTTGTACTCTTGGAAGGCGCCCTGTAGAGCATCGATGAGCTCGTACTCGGGCATACGCGTGGCCTTATTTTCCTGTGCACGTTTCTTCGCCAGAGCATTGTAGCCCGTGTTGATCCATGTCTCTTCGTTGGCCGAAGCTTGCATGCCCTGGTGTTGTAGCTGTCTCGCAACGGACTCATCATTTATGAATGCCGTGCGTGCCACCGCGTCCTTCGCTCGCTTTAGGCTTTCAATCTTCCGATATTCTGGTGTATCGCGTGGCGTGCATATCAGTTCTTTGTTAGCAGCGCCAAGGTACTCTGTGCGTTTTGGGATTGTACGTGGTCCCCGGGGCTTCTCGACCTTGACAGATGATTCGCGGGAGTTGACGGAGTGAAGAGCATCTTGACTATTTGAGATGCCGCGACCACCGCCAAGATATCGTGGCCGGAAACCGGGTAAGTTCTTTTCGCTGAAGACGAACGTGTTTTTCGGAGCAGAAACCTGACTTGTAAGATCGTATTGCTTTGGCACTAATGTGAGGTCCTTGTTCGCTATTTGCGAGTTAAGCTGCAGCCGTATCGTCTCTGTTGTTTTGCCCTTCGGGTCTGTATTTTCCCAGATCTTGATTTGACCGATCTCGATTTCCTGCTCCTCGTCCAGCGTTGATAGCATGTTCCACAGATCCTTAGGAACGCGCACTAGCCAACCAGTCGAAAGCGTCTTGGGGAATATGAGCTCTCCAGTGTCGTCCTCGTAGCCGCCGACCTCGTCAATGTCGGCCATGTCAAGGTCGTCCATGCTCGGCTCGTCCTTCACAAAGCCAGGCTCCATCTTCAATCCGTTCGCAGCCATTCTGCCGGCACACGTCACCACAAGTCCAAATAGTACCGAATTACAATTCTATAGCTATTTGAGGTAAGTGCGAAGGGCCGCTCTCAGGACAGATGTCTGATTGATGCGCCGTACGAGGCGAAGATGGAGCTCAGGTTATAGTAACGTCCTTGGAAGACGGAAGCAAAAGTGAGCAAAAGTGAGCAAAATCAAGCAGTCATTGTACTTATGTGCCTTGGGTCCGTGTCGGAGGAGAGCACACAGCAAGAGGATACTGTGGAAGTGAATGCAAATGGAAGAGCAAAGCAAAGGAGCACGTCCGCGATGCGGCTCAATAACAGTCGCCGCAGTCGCCAAGCTCCGCCTGATTCGGTGTCTCCCCGCAGCCCACCGGAAACCCTTCGAGCTCATAGCTTCTGCCTCGCTCGGCCCTCACTCTACAAAGTTGGTTTACACACCTACGAATTCATGCCATCATGGCGCCGCTTACACCTGACGAGGTCTCTTCGACTATACTAGATCTTGAAGATGCCTCTGCATCCAAAAAACCCGACTTGTATACCAACCTGCTGGACAAGATCTTAGCTAATTCGTCGTCGGACACGCTTGGTACTAATCTGACCATATTTGTGGAATCTCTTCTCAGCGAATCTCTGAGTGTTGTAACCGCTCGTCCATTGCTCGGCCAGTTCGTCACCTCGCTTTCGAAAATTGAAGACGCTTCGACCAAGATCGAAGTCGGTACGCGAGCCATTGAGTTGCTCTCTCCAAAGGTCGTCTCGTACGAAGAGCAGGACACGAATCTGAAATACCTCGTCGCCTCCGCTTACGAGTCCGAAGAAGAGTTCACACAGGCGGCTAAGACTTTGGAGAAAATCCCCGTGGATTCCTCACAGCGCACCGTTTCAGCAGACGACAAGGCCAAGCTATGGATTCGCATAGTGCGGTGTTATATCGAGGACGACGACACGACATCCGCTTTATCGTACCTCAATCGCATAAAGAACATTATTCATGGCGTAAAAGACACAGAAACTCGACTGTTGTTCAACCTGAACCAAGCCAAAATCCTCGACTCTCAACGTAACTTCCTCGACGCCTCGGCTGCGTATCACAGTATATCCCTTGAGACAGTGATAGACGAGTCTGAGCGCTTGCGTGCTCTCAGCGAGGCTATTAAATGCGCCGTCCTTGCGCCGGCAGGTCCTCTGCGTGGCCGATCGCTGGCGAGGCTGTACAAGGATGAGCGAGCGAGCCAGGTCGACGAGTTCAGTATTCTCGAGAAGATTTTTCTCAACAGACTACTGTCTCAGTCCGAGGTAGCATCCTTCGCGGCGACACTCCAACCGCACCAATTGGCAAAGACATCGGATGGTTCTACGGTTCTCGACAAAGCGGTGCTCGAGCACAATCTTCTCGCCGCCTCACGATTGTACAGCAACATAGGGATTGCACCCCTCGGCCTGCTCCTAGGCGTCTCGGCCGAGAAAGCAGAAGAGTATGCTGCACAGATGATTGAGCAGGGAAGACTGAGCGGGTACATCGATCAGATCGGCGGTTATATTTATTTCGAGGCCGAAGAAGGATCTGGAGAGAGGAAGGTTAAACATGAGTCTGCAGTCGTGGGGAGGGAGATGAGAAAATGGGATGCAAATGTGCAAGGTGTTGCAGAGGAAGTAGAGAAGGTTGTGGCCGTGATTCAGAGCCAGTATCCACAGTTCTACGCTGAACATATGGTGCATTGAGAGAAGAGCTAGTGTCATTGAAAGGCAGAATCGTGCCAAGAATGGATACGAAACAGCTCGATCCGGATAATTGTGAAGGTCGCAGATGGCAGCAACAAGCTCAATCGAAGCTCTTCCTAGCGATAAGCAACGTCAAGGACTGGAGACAAGAGATAACCTTCACAAATCAGAATGCCTTCAGAGCCCTTTCGTGGCACTCAGACGTCGGAATTCAGTGTTGGCAGGGGGGACCGTGATGAGAGATCGCATCACCAGAGGCGGATGCGCTAAGGGCTGGACAAGTACATGTTACAATTGAATGCCTAAAGTGGCATGAGTCTAGTATACTACATATGTTGTCCTCATACGAGTCTCCTGGCTTAATTTGTCGCTTGCATATACAACGCAGAACGTCACAACACAGTACTCAGACAGCAAATTAGGCAGAATCCTTCGCCAGCTTCTCTGCATCCCCTTCAACGGGCGGCTCGTTCACGGTAATCTCCATGATCCTCAGAACTGTGTACCGATGCTTGCTTTTGACGTGTTTCACATGCCGCTGTCTCCTCTTTGTCTTCTCCTTCACTCGCAGTGGTTCCATTTCCACGCCCATAACTCTGGCTCTGCAGGTGAAGAGCCGTTCATCGATGTATGCCATCTTACCCGCTTCCCGAGGAGCGCCGGCTTTCAAAGTGTAGTCCCTTGACCCAAGCAGGCTGGCGCGGTTTAGTCGCAAGATATCGCCTTGCGAAACGCCGTGCATTAGAAAAGGCAGACGGACCGTGTCGCCCTGAGTGACGAGGTAGGGTTTGCCGTGGATATGGGTTCGCAGGTAATACGGTGGCTGTGACTTCAGCAAAGGTAAAAGCTTGTATATCGACGGGTCGATTTGATCATCTTGAAGAAGGCTCTCTGGCTGTGGAGGCGCTGCGCGTGGCGCGTTAGATGCTGGGAGAGGCGCTTGCGGCCGGTCTCTTCTTTTTCTCTTCGGTATCGACGGTGTGGATGTTGGCTTTGCAGTCGTAGGAAGCTCACGCGTGGGAATCGGATGGGCACGCAGACGAAGGAGAGATTCTGGCACTGACTCTGAAGTAGCGGCATGCTGGACAGTGGTGATTCTTCTTAGCGATGATCTCGTTGCCCATCTTGTGTCGAGGAGCGAACGCCTGAAAATGCGAAATGGGAGAGCTGGAGATGCGGCCATTGTGGTTCGAATGTATGGACCCCGAGCTTTTCATCAATGAAGAGCATCCAACCTTGGTAGCTGACGGCGTCTAATTTGATATCGATGCCATTTGAGATCCCAAGGCGTAGAGACACTGATCTTACCGTCGTCGTCGGTCTCCCAGAATGTTCGAATGGGGAAAGCCCGCTTTATGCCTTGTCGCCCTGCGCTGTTGAGGCCACAATTTGGTGCTTATGTAACCAAGCTCCGCGCTTGCATCTCGCCTCTTCCATTGCGGCCCAAATCGAACAACTCTTCTACTACAACGACGTGCTTCTCATTTTTGCTTCGACACAAATTGCGTTTCCTCGAGAACGTTGCATTTGCGTCCAAAGCGCTCTGAGAAGGATCAAAATTTACTCTCGCGCAATTCAGCATTTCTTTTATCTGCCTATTGTCTATCAGTCCCCTATACGCACCGTTGATGGCGTCTTCTCCGCCCGCGTTTGGACGAGGTCGAGGTGCGAGTCATAGTTATGTCTACTCGCCGTACGGACGAGGCAGAGGCCAAGGTCGGGGCGCTGTTTCGCTTCCGCCAAAACCTCAGCAGCCAAAGACTGACGTGCCGCACCCTCGCTTTACTATTGACGGTGTGACTTTCGAGCTCGTAAAGAACGGTAGCAAACTCCACAGAATCACCCGTGAGTGGAGAGTGCACTGACTACAGGACTCTGAACTGATGGATGCAGCTCTCGACGACTCGCTTCCGACGCCGCTCAAACACGAAATTGCTGGCATCAAGTTCTACCGTACCAAGGGTGGCAACCTATTACGCCACAAGGAGTATTTGCAACTTGAAGAGAAGCAGTATGCTGATAGCCCATATGAAACTCGGGACGCTCACAGGATTTAGGCTTGCACGCAGGACGTTGTGCCCTAAATTCACCCGAACCGGTACCTGAACGATCACCTTCCCCTTCCCTTACCCGGCATGGTCGCCGCACCTGGCAGTTCTGGAGGAATCTTGCATGGAAAGCGAAGGCCCCAGCCATCAACACCACTTGAAACTGCTCAGACTGGCTCAATTGTGTTTCGGACTTTCCATATGTTCTCCGCCTTAAGCTGCACCAGCACCTGCGGCATCATGTGTTGCCGTGGAGAAATACTGACAACTAGCCCAGGACACTGTTCACGCGACTGTCGGTTCAACCACGATCCCTCCAAAGTAGCTGTGTGCAAGACATTCTTACACAAACGCAGCTGCCCTGCCGGTAGTTCTTGCCCCCTTTCTCATGATCTTACGCCCCATCGCACTCCTGTCTGCATGTTCTTTGCACGGGGAAACTGCACCAACGACAACTGTCAGTACGTCCACAGTATGCCTAAGGATGGAGCTATCGTCTGTGAGGCCTTTGCACGGCTGGGTTATTGCGAGGCTGGAGAGAACTGCCCGCATCTCCACGTCTTCGAGTGCCCGGACTATGCAAACACAGGTAAATGTGACAAGGAAGACTGCCATCTGCCACACGTGCAACGTGCAAGCCAGCTGCGAAGGCTCGCTGGAAGGGGCAGCAGCCATGGCCCTTCCTCTAATGAACACAGTGACAACGATGACTTGGGGCCAGAAGCAACGGCTACCTTTGTCGGTGCTGATGCTGAGGCCTCCACGGCTGGATTCACCCAGCAGGCCGATTATATTCGGATTTGATTGCTCCCTTACTTCTAATCGCTGTGCATAGCGTTGGCGTTTTTACTTTAGGCAGTCTCAAGAGATACCCAGGAATGGCTGTGGTGAGCCAGGCGGTACAGTCTGCATATGAGTGACCTCGCTCTCATCAGGAGGTTATTGTTTCAAGAATTAGGAAGCATACGTATAAAGAAAGAATCAAAAGAGATGAAGATTTTGAGCTTCGCTGCGCCTATACATTTCCTTTCTCGTACTGCTTTATTAGTGTTTTGCTGCAGGAACCGAAATGCAATTCGCGAAGTGCTAAAATTAGCCCCACAAGTCTCCGTCGCGTTTCTCTGACAGTATTCGTGGAGGCTGAGCCTCACTGAACCGCTGCTTGGCCTCACTGAATCGTCCCGACCGTAGCTGTTGCTCTGGGCTTTGTGACATATGTACAGATGAGTGGCTTTGTTCACGAACCTCGTGGTCCATTGCAACGTTTTCTCGTAGTCCTCTTAAACAAGTGATTGCGCTCGCTGTGCCCAACCCAGAGCGTCTGCACGATATCAGTCACGACTACACGACGATCCAATCTTACCGCGCACAAGACGAGAAGGTTAAAAGAGCTAAGGATGGCGCTGAAGGACTTGTTGAAGAGACACAAGGCCGAAGAGCAGGCCGAAGTGCAGGGAGAAGGTTCTGCGCAAGCCAAAGGAGTCGGCGTTGAAGAGCAGTCGCCCGGCAAACCAGACGTTCCTGAATTCACCTTCATGCGCACAACAACCTCTACGCAAGAAATCATAACGCCGCCCTCGTATCCTGGCGACAGTTCGAACCTGAAGCCGGTGTCATATCAGGGTCATACCCCGGCAAAGCGCATGAGCCGGTTCCGCAGACATTCGAATGCAGCTCAAGAGTCGAGCGAACCCAGATCCTCACTTGAAGGTAGTTTTACGAGCAAGCACGAGAAGCGACTTAGCGAGCGATTGCACCTCAGCCATCGATCGCGAAGCGCCAGTACGAGTTCAGTGAACCTTCCTGAAGGCCTCGAGGAGATCGAAGCTGTAGGCCAGGACGAGGAGAGGTGGGAGAAACGGGCCACCATTCTCGCGAAAAGCAACCCGAACCAAGAGGGCGGCGCCTCTTTGAACAGACCCACGTCGCCGCTTAGGACGCCCAGCAGAGAAGAGATCGCTCACGGAGACGACGACATACAAGAGGCGATTCGCCTCCATGAACAGGGCGATCTCACCAAGTCAACAGAGATGTTTGGCCGCCTGGCCGACCCCAATGGAGCAAATAACGCGCTTAGCCAAGTCCTATACGGGCTTGCTCTTCGCCATGGATGGGGCATTCCAAAGGACGAAGCCCGCGCCGTGACATATCTCTCCGCCGCGGCGTCCAACAGCGCCGACATTGAAGAACTGGCACTGCAAGCTGGGATGAAGAAGGGTGGCGCAGCGAAGGGCGAGCTTACTCTCGCGATCTTCGAGCTGGCGAACTGCTTCCGAAATGGGTGGGGAGTGAAGAAGGACGCCCTGGCTGCGAGACAGTATTACGAGACCGCTGCGAATATGGGCGATACGGACGCTATGAATGAGGTTGCTTGGTGCTACCTGGAAGGCTTTGGGTGCAAGAAAGACAAGGTACGTTGACTACTCTTCTTTTTTCTTTTCCTTTTTTTTTTTCTCTTTCCTTTTCACTCCTCTCGCCAATTCCCCGTATCAATTTTGCCATGACATCCGCGATCGCGAGTTGGGGGCCGTTGACATGAAGTGTTTCTTGGTTTTCAAGGCAACAGAACGCACGCGCTTGCGGCGGGTGATCAGATCGTGTAAGGCGATCGTGCACTGCCGCGAGTCTCCGATATTTCGAGCTCCTAAAACCTTACCCTGAAGGTTGGGCCTTCAGCTCATGGAGATTGCCTTATAGCTATGTGCAACTCGTTCACTCATACAATCTGCTGGGCGTGCAATCGCACGTGGAGGGCTTGGTTGCTCCCCTGAACATCGCTTCACCAGAAGGCTATGCACACCAACCCCAGATATCACATTTCGTATCTACTGTTAACGAACAACATGGAATTTAGCCTTGTACGAGACGTTGGGCATCAGGATATGAGGCTGACTAGTTTCAAATTACAGTTCCGGGCTGCACAGTACTTACGCCTTGCTGAAGAGAAGGGTAGTAAGACTGTGGGGAATCAATGGTACGTATTTAGCCCCTCCTATTCGCCCTATATCCCTAGACGTAGAGGATGCATCGTTTCCGGTGAAGAACCCGTCTTGCACAAGACAAGGCTCTCTCTGCTCCAAGCGGATCTCGAGGATCTGTTCCAATGCCTTGGTCTGAAGGCATAGTCTCGGACGACGATAGGACTCAAACTTTTTCATCACACGGCAGGATCGTTCGCAGGATGCCTATGGGAACTAGGCATGATCTGGACGTCAGAACGAGGCTTCTGGGATGATTGAATGACTTGTTCTCCGTTCCTGGTTGTCGCTTCGACACGATGTTTCATCACGTGCGAGTTGGGGAAAATGATAGGACCAGCGGCCTCCATTTTCGCAGCCCGCCCACGCAGCGTGCAGCAAGCGTGCATGCACGACGCACCGAACGAGCGAACTCAGCTCATCTTGAAAATTCTCACTGTGCTGCAATTTTAAGCCACTGTACCAGCTACCTGGATATTTCTCCAGCCACTGAGAAGCGGTGGTGTTGAACAGCTAAGAAGTTGGATGGGTAGGCCTTTACACGACTCTCGTCGAGCAGAGACTTCTTGACTGGGTACACGTGGCATGCATCTGCTGGGCAAGGTGCTTATCCCGCGACGGTCCGTCATGTGCCTACCTCTGGCGCGGAGCCTGGCATCGCTAGAACTAGGTGGCTCACCTCAGCGAGCACAGCGCGGATGGTGAGACCGTTTCGCCGTACTGGGAAAGGTGGAACATCGACGTTGGAGAGCATAGATCTGTTCTCCTGCCATCGACAATCAGTACTCAAGCTGTCGCTCCGAATACGGGATCAGAGTCACCCTCCGGGATTGGGGGTCAATCACTGTCCACTTTGGCTGGTGCTGGCGCTGCTCACTTCCAAGCTGAGCTGTCTTGACTCTCATCGGAACCTGTCGCTCACCTTGTGGCCCGCTGGATTAAGTTTTTGGCTTTGAAACTTACGCATGTACGGCCCTACGGGCCATTGCATCGCTTGAACAGCGGATACTGCGCCAGATCCCGTCCGTGGTTCACCTGTTCTGACGTCTATTTTCATTCTGGAGCCTGTGTCTGCTACGTCCATTTTCCTCTTCCGTTTCCTTTTGTCCCCCCCAGGAGGCAAATGCCTTTTTTATTTTTTATTTTTTTTTAAAAAAAATCTTTTTGCCGTCTCCCCAATGCTTAGATACATCATGCTAACGAATTCTCCGCGCGAAAACAGGATATGGAAAGACAAGTACGGGGGACCTAAAAAGACGTAGCCCCGGAAACGTCCCTTGAAACTCGGGAGCAGCTCAACCTGGGTATTGCTTAGTAGCAGCATTGTAGTAGGGTACATGTGGGCTTGGCAAGTCTTGAAAAACTCAGCCCATCCGGCTTGCGCGGTTTCGCGAAGTGATCAGACGAAGGCTATGAAAAGAATAACAACAATTGAGATGCGAGTCATGGTCCTCGATGCTGGATTCAAAAACGCAGTTTGGTTCTTTCCGAATATAGCTTTTTCTCCCTCTTCAAGCTGTTCAAAAAAAATTTTTTTTTGGAGGGGGTTGATCCCCGGCGTCGCGTTCCTTTGGTCGTGGTGTGACGACTCCCTTCTACTGTGCATAAATCGCTTTGCGCGAAATATCAAACCGTGCCACTCGCCATAGGACAATGCCTCGCGCAGGAAAATATCCCCAAGTCGTCGGTCCACTGGAAAGGACCGGGACGAGGCTCGAAGCAGGCTGTCCGTGGCAACGCGTCGACCTGGGAAAGCTGCTTGCTGGCGGCTACACTGGGGCCAAGGCTGGTGTTGAGATTCCCCCACGCCTTTCCTTACTTACTCGCTTGCCCTCTTTGCTCGTGCGGAGCATCGATTCCGGGACGGCGGCAGCGACACGAGCCTGGACAGCTCGATCTTGCCCAAAGACACCGTCTCCACGCGCGCTCATTCGTGTGTTTGTCCTGTGCGTCGTGTGGGTGGGGGGCCCCGTTTCCCCCCCCCCTCGTTGAAGGCAGCACGCCTACGTGGTGACCCTACGGCTGGGCCTCGTCCACGAACCTTTTTGCGCGTCCAGCGGTGCATTACGCTGCGAGTCCGTGAGGCACATCATGTCGACAGACAGGCAGGTACATGCGTCGGATGGTGGGATGAATGCGTCGTGGGGTCGTGCTGGACGCTGTGCGCGGAGAGGTTATGTGGAGTACGTCGCATGATGTTGGGGAGGGGGTGGGAACGACAGCAAAGCCGCCGTGGGATGGGGACGAAACAAAAAATGGGAAACTGACGCTTGATCGTTGTTGAGCGCGAAAGAGGCGTGTGTGTACACGAAGATGTTGCGGCAATTGATCCTGACGCCGTGCGGTTGAGCGGTGGATGATTTGTTTTGCATCGATGGATCTCTCCGAGCGTGATGGCCGCTGTCATGCGATATGGGAACCGTCTTACAATGGATGCCACGCAAAAAGTAGGGAATGATAGAATGAGCCAAAAGTTTGCCTCCCCTGTGACGGGGTAGACGACGTGCTGAATTGATGATTTGAGGTACATACATGCAAGTGCCTTGACATAGCTCTCAGACTGTAGTTCGCTTCGTGATTTGGCAAGGAAGAAAAACATGACCGCGTTTCTCTCACTACAAATCTGACAAAGGAGAAAATGTAGCTGTCGAGCCGTCTGGTTTGGTAGGCGAACCCCTCTCCAAGAAAGAAAATGTAACGTAGAGAGACGAAGGTGTCGTCGAGCAGCAGCGCTCTTCAACCGGGAAAAAGACAAGTTCTTCCTCGCGAGTTTGTGCAAAAAACAAAGAAGTAGTTCAAATGATGCCTGCCAATAGAACCAGCCAACCCAATGGAATAGTTTCGCGGTCGTGAGGACCGAGAGCTGCGTGAAGCGTGTGGGTATAGTTAGCCGCCCCCGTTTCCAACCATGCTATGAAAAGTGCCCCCGATCATGTCGCTCGCAATGCAAAGTAAACAAGCAGTCATTGTCCTCCAGGAGAGAGACACCAACAGAAAAAACAGAAAAAGCAAGAACCGTTCTTTCAAGATAAACAATGAACGCCATGCAAGAGCAATTTCGTAAGACCCAGGGGAAGGAAGAAAAAAAAAAACCAAAGCCAGGAGAGAAATGGAAACTCGCTCTCGTCAAAAGAATCGTCGCAGTCGCTGCGTCATCAGATGGTCGTGAGCTTTAGGGAAATTTATCGTCAGGACGTTTCCGCTTTCATGAGGTGGGGGGAAATGAAAAAAAAAAAAGAAATCAGTTGTCGCTTTCGTCAAAAATATACTCATCATCCGGAACAGAGCGGACAGAAAGAGATGCGTTTGAACGAAACATTTACTCCCCTCCGTCTCCATTTACGCTGGCTGTTTGGCTGGAGTGTTCTGCCATACGTTTGAATTGCTGAACGACGTCGTCTGGAATGCGCTCCCACAAGAGGCTTCGTGTGTAGACGCTGGCGGTTGCTTGGCCCTTGGCTTCTTCGCGCATCGCCTTTAGGGTATCGACAAGGTGTCTGCGGTGACTTGGTGGTTGGGAATCATCCTCAGGCGGCGTGTTGTAGGGTGGTTCGGCAAATTCAGAGCTCGTCAGGCTGTTGTACTGTTTGGCGCTTAATGAGAATGCTGCCTCAGCTTCTTGCCTCCTTGACGGCTGCGTCAAGCGGCTATGCATCTCGTCTAGTTTAGAGGTCGCCGAAGTGCTGGACATGGAGAAACTGGTCTGCCTGACACTTGCAGCGGACGACGCGGCAGGCTCTACGGCGCTGGAAGCTTGAAATGTCGAGACGCCATGGTCCTTCATGAGGTCGTCAAAGACGACCGCCGCGTCTGATCGAACCTCGTCCGGCATGCGTGGTATGGTGACCGGCATTGACGTTGTTGCCTTGCTTGCGACCCAAGCACCGCATAGCAACAGTAGCATGAGCAAACCGGATGGACCAGATTGAGCCTCCTTCTCTTCCTCGGGCTTCTTCTTGGGTGCAAGAACAAGCGTCGACGTCTCCATAGGCTTGAAGGGCCCCTCGTCCATGACAAAGTCGCCAAATGAGTCGTCCATTCCGTACATGTCGAGACCGTTGTCGGCAAGGCCGTGCATGTCTTGCACAATCGGGAAGTCATAGTCAGTCGAACTTTGACGAGTGGATTCGGACGAGTCTCGGTTCTCGATGATCTCTTCGAGCACTTGAATCTTCTTGCGCAGTGCGCCGGTATCTTTCGTGTGCTCGACAATGAGGTTCTCCTTGTCCCAGTTGGACTGCTGGAGGTGCTCCTTCAACTGGGCATTCTCGCGCAGCAGCTCGTTCTTCTCGCGAGTGGCCTGCTCAGCCTGCATCTGAAGCATCGACAGCCTTTCATTCATCTCGGCAATCTGGTCTCGGAGGGTCTTGTTGTCAACCTCGAGCTCTTCGGCACGTTGTTTCTTACGCTGCCGGGAATCAAGACTGCGATAGGTTAGCAGAGGGATCAATGGACCAAAATAGCGAACGATATTGGTGATGGAGGTTCCAGCCGACCAAAATCATCCGTTAGGACATACGCTGCTTGACGGTTCCTCAATAAACGCTTCTGTTGCTTGAGTTCCTTGATCTCGTCTTCGTCCTTGGCATTTTCAATGAGACGGTCGATGTTGGCGAGATTGCGCTCTTGGGGGATGTCGAAACGAGCATTCTTCTTCCGAATCCCGTCTCCGTGACGGTAGCTTGGTGGGTAGCGGGCGGGTGAATGGCCCCTTGGACGCTTGGAGAGGCGTGCGTCCATGTGGGCCTGCTCAGCCATGCTCATCCAATCCTTGACGGGAGGCGGAGAGGCTGACATCGGCACCGGCGTCTGAGAAGGGGGGAATATCGAAGCTGGCCTGACGTTGCTGGGCGGCATTGGACCGAAAGGTCCGCCGTGGGGGAATGCCTGGGCGGGCGCGGGCTCAAACTCTGCACTGTAGGACTCGTAGTTGGACGGGCCCATCGGACCCCGCGATTCTGGGCCGTGATCGAAGGTCGGCCATTGCGAGGTGTGCTGGGTGGGATAGGAAGCAGAATCCTGTCGCAGGAACGGATTGTTGCTGTGCTCCACGAAAGGATTTGTGCTTGAACCAAATGGGCGGTCTGGAATGGCGGGCGTTGCTGCAAAGTCGTCCCAGACTGTGCTTGGAGAAAAAACCGGCCCCGTTGCATTTCCAAAGGAGTCCCTCCGGTCCTCTGCGGGGGAGATGAGCGTGGAGTCCATGAATGATTCCTCAGCCGGATCGAACTCGTCTAGGAATGCGGGTTTTCGATCGACGGAGAGTTGAGAGGGAGGTCGTTGAAAATCGACCGAAGGCGCGAATGCCATGGTTTATGGGGCAGAGAGAAGTCAAGGTTTCTTGCGTGCGTGGAATATGGCGGTGAAAGCGTGCTAAATCGGGATATTCGCCCAAAACCTGCCGGGAGGCTGGGCAAAGCAAACGATAGCGGGCAACAGAGGCTATAGCAGCACGGTCTTAAGGCGTCGGTCGCTTGAAGATCACAGCGGCCGAGAGGGAAATAAAAGAAAAAAAAAAAGAGATAGCGAGGCAGAGATCCGGGTGAACTTGGGGTGAACAACGCTCAGGTGCGTGGTTCGGAAGAAGATGGCGAGGTCCAGACGGGCGAGGCGCCTGCGTGTTATCAGAAATAAGGTCGGATGTGGCCTGGACTTGATCAAGGAAAGACAAGAGAAACGGCCCGCGCAAAGTGCTGCCACTAGCGACCTACCCACGGCACTTGTTCTCTAGAGACATGCATGGGTGCTAGCAGAGTGGAGAATTGATTTCCTTCTATTCGGCGCCCCGAACAGGCATTGGGCTGCGATGCAGAGAGCAGAATCCAGCCGTCCGGCTCACGCTGTCCAATCGCTGCGGCCGGGTTCCAGAACGGCTGCGTCGCTCGTACGAATCCAAGATCGCGATAGTTTGACAGTCCGGGTCTCGCAAGCGACGGGGAGGTGACCAGCTGTGCAGACAAGAGCGTCGCTGAGCGGAGATTGAGAATCATCCGCCACGCCGTGTATACCAACGGCCGGCACGCACTCTCGCCCACTCGTACGATGAGGCCCGTTTGTCGTCCTGCCCCAGAGCTCTGAGACGGGCCGAGCTCAATGGCCGCCCGCCGCTTTATGCTTCGTGCTGGATGGTGCGCCCTTTGTGACAAACGAGCTGAGAAAGGCCGGCGCTGTTGATTGCAACAGCCAAGGGCAAGCCCTTTGTCGCCCACACACCCGGGCGCGTGCGAGAGCAGTGTGCCACGGGCAGAGCGGCCGGCCCTCTGCGTTGCCATGGCCCGTCCCGCTGCAAAACCAGCGTGATGAGAGCGCTTTGCTTGCAGATCCAGTTCAGTTTTTTTTCTGGTTCCGTCGGGGAAGTCTGGTGAGGTCACCGTTGCTGCTAGTATGACTGTTCCGTAAAGCCATCTGCAGACGCCACGACGTGGACAAACGGGCCTTTCGCAAAAGGCCAAAATCTCATTTCGCTCATTGTGGAGGCTGCAGCCGAAGTGTTGCGGGAGAAGGGGATCGTGATGCAACCACCAAGCAATACTGTGGCCTGCGTGGTGGGCACGTCCAACGATCATGCGACGCCTCAACCCGGCCGGATTGTCCTGCTGTTTGCAGACCTGACCTTTTCGCATCAGGCGCTTCACGATCCAACACACACACACACACACACACACACACACACGTGCTTGGAGAGCACGCGGCCCTGCTCACTACATGAACTGCGGTGTGCGGCCCAGTACGGACTGTGCGGACTGTGCGGACTGCACGGCAGAGAGCCACATGAGTCGAGCAAGTCATCGACGACACGATGAGACGACGAAGACGACAGCCCAGTTGCCCTACGGCCATTGATTTTCGCTCTCAATCACCGGGCACCCGATCGATTGGCTGAAAGCCACCCGTTGTCTTATCGACAAGCAACCGAGGCTCCCGGAGCGGGCACCATGCCCTATCCGCGATGGCTTCACTAACAGGACTGGCCCAGAGAGCGTCGGGATGCTTCGTAAGACAAGAGGCTCATCCGGGCGGTCATGCTCGTCGACACAGTCTCTGCTCAGGTTTCACCATTCACAGATGCTCTCCGTAGGGGTACGCTTACTAGGGGAAGAAGGCAAGGTGAGGAGGAGAAAAAAAAGAAAAGAAAGAGAGAAGAAATCGATTATTCAGACGATGAGAGGAACAACGCGGCGTCGGACGAATCAGAACGCTTACAAAGTGTGACTCCTCAGCCGGACGGCGCACACGGAGATCGGTCAAGCCAGCCAGAGCATCCAAACGGGCCCCTTGCTTGCTGGTGGAGTTTGGATCCAAAAATGAAATTGCCTTGGGCCGCAAGATATGAGGCGAGACCTCGAAACCCGACAATAATGGACGAAGAGACACAGAGAGAGCGAGTGAGAGGACAGAGAGCGTAAACCGCCCAGTGTTTGTCCCTGCGAGCGAACGGCCAAAAAGCACAGCCTCATGCAAGGACCTTTTGCGACGGGACCATCCTTGAAGCAGCGTCAGGCTGCGGTGACGGAAAACCGGTTTCGCTGGACTTTCTTTCTCTGTCATTTCTTCTGGATCCCTTCTGCGCGCGTGCCGTTGGGTGCATGGCATGGCCCCGAAAGGGCAGAGAGCATTGAAGCTTCATTTGGAGCCTTCCAAGGGCGTTCCCGGTCCCGCTTCCGTGCAGGGAAACGGTCGAGGCGCTTTCCGACGTCGTCGTCTGCGCCGCGGCATCGATAGATTCCTTTGCGCATCTTCATTTCCTCCCACACGGCCAAAGACGCTTGGATTGCCCAGCAAAGAAGACAAAAGGCACGTCATTGCCCCGTGCCCTCAGTTCATTGCCCATGCTCCAGCTCTTTGCTTTCCGTCGTTCGTCATGGTGATCGCTCTCTGTCTCCGTCTCTCGAAGCCTACAGGTCCAAAACAAAGGGATGGCTGGGCTGAGCACGGACATATAAAAACCAGCGTTATAGCCCAGCAACAGCATCATTATCAGGCTACTGCTATCGCCCTAAACGAGTCGTGCCCTTCAGAGAGAAAGAAAGGCAAAAAAAAAAAGGTTACAGTATTCCTCTCCTGTGGCCCCACACCCAGAACAGTCACTTTCCAGTCGCCCGGGACCGATTGTTTCTGGATCTGTTGGTTGCAAAAGGGAGATGACGCGACGTCTCATGTCACCGCCATTCTCGTCCCGCGCGTGAGTCCTCGTTCCCGTGAACTCGGGACGACGACCTTGTGTCTTCTGGGAAAAGACAAATCGATCAAAGGCAACCTCTTGCAAGCCCTTTTCGATCGTCCAGAAGTACGTCAGCTCGTCCCCTGATGTTCCCGCTGAGATCTGGGAGGAACCTTGCTACGACGGTCCCCAGTTCTCGCCTTGAGTTTACTTCCTTTTTTCCTTTGACTCTTTTCTTTTCCCCCCGTCCCTCTCGCCCTCTCCACCCCTTCCTCCCCTCTCCTTGTAAGCTAGGGCGGCGCTCGGCCAATGACTCGAAAATTCCAAAATCAGGCCCCGTACCTTCTTCATCCTCCCGCCCCTTTTCGGGGTTCTAAACTGTGCTGCCTAGCCGGACCCGTTCGTCACTCCGCCCAAGTCTTGTTATAGCCTCGCGTACTATACGTCTTGTTTACGTCCGGCTAAATTGCGATCTTCGCGACTCTCGGCGAACACGAGCGCCCCGTCCTGAGGGAGGTCGCGACGGACGTCCTTTTGCGACTGCAAATTGGGTGTAATGGATGGAGCAGGTCGGCGAGCGCGTCCATGCGACTTCATGCGCGCGCGCGCGGGGCGAAACGGAAGAGAAAAGGCGGCTTCGAGGGACGCCAAGATTGCATGATGCAACGGAAAAGAAGGCGGTGACGTTTGCTCTTGATGCCCGAGAAAACAGACCGTACGTCATGCTCACCGTCTCGAGCATTGGAAGACGTGACTACCAAAGCTGGGTGAACGTTGAATGCGCGAAACAAAGAAGCGTGATTTGTAGATTGGACAATTCTCCCTGTATGCTCGTAGATGCCGTCGAATGGCAGTTACATCGACAATGAACTTTGTTTTTACACGAACTTTGCACGCTACCAACGCCTCTAGCCTACAATCCGACCTAGCCAGTCCCCAAGCATGCAGACACAGATTCATCATGGAGAGGGCCGAAGGAAGAGAAAAGAAAACATCGCCTCGGATACCTGTCCAGCTTGTTTATACCTCTTCGTCCGATTCATCGCCCAAGAGTTCATCTGCATCGTTGTCCACAGCCGCGTAGTCGCCTCTGCCCCTCGCAAAGCTGCTCCGGCTTGTGTATGTCCTGCCTCCGTACCCGCCAAACATGCCTCTCACGCTTCTCCAGAGCGAGCCGACGAGCAGCGGCAAGGCGGCTAGCACGGCGACGAGTCCGGAGACTGCTGCCACAGGCCACTGTACCCAAGGGCTGTCGGTGAACGACCTGGACGGTGTCTCGCCCAGTCTGATGGCGCCAAACTTGCCTCCCCAATTCTTGTATACCCAGTAGCCAACGGCAGAGGCGGCCGCAAATGGTATCACGATGGCAAAGAAAATACCCACGCCAGATATACCACGCTTCTTGGCAAACTCTTCCTCCTTGCCGGGACAAGGGTGGCGTGAGCCGGTGTGCTCCATTTCCTTGCCGCCGTGACACGTCGAAATCGGGATTTTGCGGTACGGTGTAACGTCCCAGTACTCGAATGCGTTCTTGTCGTTCCTGCAAACCTCCATTGGATCCGGTGGCGACAGGCCTTCGACGAGACGGCATGATCCGTCCGGTTGGCGTTCGTAATTGTACGCGCACTCGAAGTCGTCACGCGTGCAGGAGCAGTTGCGCTCAATGTCGTGAAGCTTGTCGATGAGCGGGCCGTTGTAGCAGAGCCTGTCAGGTTTCTTGCGATAGTACTGTGCGACATGGCCAAACAGGCACTCTGGCTCTTCACGCTTTAGCGGGTGGGTGGGGTGCCAGAGGTAGTAATCGCTTTCTTCGGAGTCGAGATTGCTCTTGTCGAGCTTGCATTGTTCCGACGTCAGTCCTGTGAAGTCCAGGTTGACAGTGGTGAGTTTGCGATCCGCTTTGCCCCAGAGCAGGAAGTTCCTAGAATTGTCGCTTGGCACCGTGGTGATGCGCTCGACGAGCATCTTCGACTCGCTGAACTGGAAGGATTTCCATTCCTTGCCTTCGTCGAGAGTGTAAAAGATCGTCTTCGTAGGCGTATTCCGTTCGACTAGCACAATGATGGATCCCTGATCGCCGTATTCCCACATGTACGTGCCCTTCATTGCAACCTTCCAAGTGATACCTCCGTCCGTTGTAATGAAAGTGTCTCCCTCGTTGTAGGAGCCTAGACGGTCGCCCACGTTACCGACACCAATCATGACGCCAATAGCTGAAGGAGACGAATACGTGTCCCTAGGATCTTTGCGCTCTGTGTAGCCGTGCAGATGAAGAGAGCATAGATCATCGCCTTTGCCGTCGCAGTCCCATTTCTTGCCATCGAGATCCGTCGCCGGTTTGGGGAGGTACGCCCAATCCGCGCCGTCATTGTGCGTGATAAGTGTCTTCAGCTGCTTAGGCGCACCATGGTCAACAGCATCCGCGTTCGCAACTTGATTAACAATGGCTACGCCCTCGATGCCCTGCATTTTCTCGAAATCGACATAACCGTACAGGTTGCGGTTGACATGTCGAATACTTACGACGTAGGAAGTACCGTTGGAGTTGCTCTTGAGTATGGTGCCGTACTCTCGGTTCTCCTGTCCATTGACGGTGACGTGCAAGAAAATCGAGTTGGTCGAGCTGTCAAGAACTGTGTATGCCTGCTGATGTGCGACCTGGAAATTGGGAGGGAACTCTGCTGGCGCGAACGTCTTTCCATCGACACTCGCGTCGACCTTGAGCCATTTGTGGTCTTCCGTCTTGGCCGCTACGACGATGAATTCAGACATCGTCGCGAAATTGACAACGTCATCGAACACAACTTCCTTATGAGCGAAGAAGTCCGTGCTGGAGATAAGCTGTAGAGGGTTCTTCTTGTCTTCGGCTCGGTATTGCTCGCAGTAAATGAGGCTTTCGCTTTCTCTGCGTCCTTCCCGGTACATAAACTGGCACTTCTCTATGTAGTTAAGCAGCGTTGTCCAATCGTCGCCGCCTTTCTGCGAGACATGTGCCGTGGTGTGGCAGAGCGGATCGTTGCGGTCCTGACAGTTTTTGTCGCCTAGCCAGATCAGCCAGTCCGGATCGTCTTGATGGAAGCTGAGAACCTGACGTTCGGGGTCAGGAACATCTGGGGCTTCAAAAGCGTTGATGGCGAATCCGCGGTCCTTCGAATAGTACACAGTGCGAGAGCCTGTAATAAAGTATACGTGGTCGTTGTTATACTGATGCGGGTAGATCGCGAGGATCTCTTCGTCTCTAACGAGTTCCCAGGTTTTCCCGTGGTCGTGCGTGATCCATGCTTGATTCCGGTCTGTGAGCAGGACAACAGTCTCGTCATCGCGGTTCGACTGTATATCTCTTTCGAGATAAAAAGTCTGTCTAAAGTTGTCACCTCTGAACTCGTTGAAGGTGACTTCAATCTTGCCACTGGCCGGTGTGCCCAGTCCGTCACTACATGGATGCTCAACCAGGTCGTCCTTCTGCGGACCCTTAACTCGCTTGCAATCGTTGCCAGGAATCAGTCTGAACCCAGAGCTACCTTTGAATTTGTCGTCACGATTCTTACACGAGCCTTCTGGAATGACCATCTTACCCACCAGCTCGCAGTCGCCATCGGCAGTCCGCTGGTAGTTGAAATCGCACTCGAAGTCGGCATCTGTACAATCACATGGTTCGCTTTGGGGAAGATGCTCTTTGGTGAGTTCCTTGACAAAGCAGTTCGCGTCGCGCTTGCGGCGAGTGAAGTACTGTTTGTGGCCCATGATGCAGGAGGGATTGCCGTCATCGTCTACGCGTGCGTACCACTTTTCGAAATCGTCGTTGCCGCATTTGCGCTCGTGAAGGCCATCAAAATCGAGCGTGAAGGTATAGTAGTCATCGCCCTGCGTGGCCACTAGCAAAGCCTTCAAGCTCGTGGCATCCGGAATTGTTGTTAGCTCAAAAGGACGCACACCTTTGACTGGCAATTCGGCTGTTTTCCAGGTTCGCCCGTGGTCGAGAGAGTACGAAACTTCGTCAATCTCCTTCTCGGCCACAGCAACTAGCACCGATCCCTGATCCAAAAACTCATACTTCTGCGGTCCCTTGAGGTTGGTGGCAATCCAAGTTCGACCGGCATCATCAGACACGAACAGACTTCCAGAGTTGTAATCCTCCAGAAACTTGCCAGTATTGCCGATGCCCATGACAATACCCGGTGCAGCGCTTGAGAAAACACGCCCACTGTTGTGCTGCTCGGTGACCGAATGAATATGCAACTCTTCCTTGCCTACCATAAGCGGCTCCCACGTCCTCCCATCGTCGAAGCTAATCCGGCTCTTGATTTCCTTCTTGGCGAAACTAAGCGGCTCCTGGACTTCCTCCCAGTTGTTTACCACATTCACGAGCACAATGCCCTGAATGTTTTGTATCTTCTCGAAGTCAACAATACCCGTGGGGCTGCGGTTCGTGTGGTCGACATTCTTGGTAAAGTACGTGCCGTTCGAGTTGCTGGTAAACAGGCTGCCCATATAGCTGAAGCGCTGTGTCATCACGTCGACTTGGATGCTGTAGTTTGTGGACTCGAGGATCGTGTAAGCGTCCTCTTCGATGCGGTGGTCACCAAATTCGGCACGATGCCATCGTTCACCGTTCGTAGTCACGTAGAGACCAAGCTCGCGGGATCCAAAAGACTTGGCAGCAGCGACAATGTAGCCTCGCACAGCTGCCATGCTCACGAAGCCGCGGACCTCACGTCCACCAGCCATGACGGGTTCTTGTTCAGTCTTGAAGTAATCGTCCGACACAATGAGCTTGTAGTCCTTGGTCAGGGGTGAGAATTTGCCCTCGACGATGCATATGATCCTGCTCTTATCTGTGGCGTCGCTGCCTGTATCGAACAGCACGTTTGACTTTGCCCATATGCAATGTCGTCGCCGGCCGTGAACGAGAGACATTTCGTTGTCCACGAACCCGTTGGTGGTGTAGTACGTCTTGCCGACGCACGAGTCGCCGCCGAGCAGGCAATCTTCCTGGCCATGGAAGAGGATGCGCTTGCTGTCCGTCGCATGGAAGCTGAAGGGCTCCTTGCTCATATCTTGCGTGGCGGGCTCGCTCGTTTCAAACGCTCGCCAGGACTTTCCTCGATCGTACGTGATCCAGTGTTTGGTATACATTCCCATCGCAATGGCTACAGAGCTGTCATGCGGATCAGGCATGATGTAGCTTACCTGGCCATTCGGAATTTCGTCAACAGGCTCCCACTTCTCGCCTGCGTCATCGGAGCGATAGACGGTCTGGTGCTTCGGATCTAGCACCATGACGGTCTCCGAGTCGTCAAAGTAGAACAGGTTGATAGGCGGTGCCGGGAACTTCTTCTGCGATATCTCCGGTCCATCGCTTGCAGCCAGCACCCGAAGGGACAGGATGCCCAGCGTCGCCAGAGCACCCCCGATTAACCTCATCTTGCCGTGTAATCTTGTGAGGATGTGTGGATCATGCCATGAAGGAAGGCCGAGAGACTGTGCTGCTGACCGGCGCAATCAGGCCAAGCGTGGCGGCGGAGGAGCAACGAGTATCAGAGTCGGGCCAACTGCGACGCTTGGACGGTTAGCTGGGCGAGCTTAATTACGTCGGTCGATATTCGGGTGGCGGGTCTGGATTCGAGATCAGGGAAAGCGATGCTCAGGGCAAGCTCGAGCAGACTGTCAAGAGAAGCGAGATGAATGAGGTATTGGGGTTCTTGGGGAGCATGCGCTTTCTGGACACTTAACACGACGCCAATGGTAGGGGTGCGATCGCTGTGCATACGACACCAGGCTGCGAAACACCGTCAGTAGCACCCGGACGCTGGGGGAGCGACGCAAACCGGACTCAGCTGGTCTTCGCCACGGCGCTTAAAGCGGACTTCCGTCTCCGCACTGAACGGCCTGCCTCAAGAAGGAAAAGTAACGCCAAACGCACAACTCACCAGAACGAATTGGCTGGCTCCGCAGCCCTGTAGTCTTGAAGGGGGGAAAAAAATAGCAGACTGCCGAGTGTGTCGGGTTGCAGAAAATGGAGCACGTCTTTCCTTCTTCTCGCTCTTTGCCAATTCCCCATCTGTGCTCGAGAACTCTGCCCCCAATATCGCAGTTGACATGACGTATTGGTTACACCGCTACGGCAACAAACAGCATGCGTGGCGCAAGATACCCACTGTGGACCGCGTGGTGTATGAGCGGCAGCTTGGCCTCGTCGAGGCATCGTTTGATAATGACGGGGTGCACTATGGAGGAAGAGCAGACCTGACGCATAGTTTTGAGTTTGAGATCAGGACGAGCCTGGCTCCGAACAAGCTGCGCGAGAGAATTGTGCTAGCATGGTCGGCCTTGAGGCTGAGCCATCTGCTGATGCTGTCAAAAGCTAGGGATAGAACATCTTCTGCCTCGGGCGGGAGCGGAGATGGGGAAGAGCTTCAGCGATGTTTTGTTGTAGATTTGCCTACGGACGCAGCAGCTGCAATAGAAGAAGCACGCGCTTCTCTCACCTCTCTTCTCGAACAAGATGCGGCAATCGACCCAGTCGAATTCCGTACTCATGCCCTGAACTCAGCCCGTATCGTGGACCCGACCAGATCGCTCTCTCATCTCTTCATCCTGCCGTCGAGACGGGTGGACGCGGATCGGTATCGGCTCTCTTTCATGATTGTTCTAGCACACATGATCGCGGATGGCTTGTCCTTGCACAACTGGCTCGGCCACTTCAACGAGCTCCTCAATACGCGCCCCGCCGAATTGTACGAGCTGCTTGTCCAGAGCCTCCGAGAAGAAACGATCCGGTCCAGACTCCCGCCGGCGCAGGAGGATCTTTACCCGCCGATTCCCGGTAGCAAGGCTCGTCAGCGCTGGTTCTGGGCCATAATACGAATTCTACGACACGTCCGCAAGCCTCTGCCCGAAGGATTCGTCAATCCGCTCCGTCGCGCCAACAGAGTAACGCTTGCTCTTGAACCCAAGTTCTCGGACGTGCTGGACTATTCCGCTGAGAAGCTTCCGCCCCTGAATTCCGGCTGTTGCACTCCCGCTATGTCTCTGTCAGCGTCCCGACGGTTGGCTGGCCTATGTCGCTCTGCAGGGACTTCCATCGGTGCCGGTGTCTTCGCGCTTGTCGCGCTCGTTATGATGGACATTGAAGTACAGCGCAATCCAGACACCCCTCTGGAGAAGCGAAAGCCCTTCATCGCCTCCTTCCCCTTGAATCCACGCCCCTTCTTCGGATATGCAGGCAAACATGACTCATGTATGCTCGCTTTCAGCGACGGCATAGTTATTCCTTTCTTGCCCCCCGATCTGCCCCTGGAGGGACGTTTGAAGCTGTTGGCTAAAGCGGCGCATCGTCAGTTGAGAGCGTACCAAAAGCGGAAGGAGGGCTTGGGCAACAGCCACAGCCCAATGCGAATGCTGGCCACGAACTACATCACCGCCGTTGAGCGAGCTGAAGATAAATTGCCCGTCCAGTATAAGCGAGGCGTCAATCCGCAAGGCAACTACCCAGCGAACTCTGCGTGGTCCGCTGCAACGTGCGGCGTGTCTTCAGTAGGCTTAGTCAAGGAGTGCACGCCGGGTAGGTATAATCTCGATTTGCCTTTGGGGAGCCCTACCAGCGGGGAGAGGGATTTGATCGTTGATTTCAGGGAGCTGAGAGGAGGGGTTAGGGCGAGGGACAATGAGTTTTTGTGTGGGAATAGCAGCGATCAGGAAGGGAGGCTGTCCTATGCTGTGAGCTATGATGCCAGCGCCATGGATGAGCAATTGGTTGAGCTATGGAAGAGAAAGATGGAGTCGGTGTTGGAGCCTGATAGTAGTGAGAGCAGTAAACTGTGAAAGGCGGTTGTCGAGGAACAAGAATTAAAAGAGTCCAACGTAAATTTCTTTGGCATCCTCCGCAATGAAGTGAGATGAAGCTGGGCTCAACTGTTGTCCACCAGTGGTAAGGAATTACAGTGAAGCACAGCTGAAGTTACCGCTACTGTGTGTATGGACGACCTAGTAACCCTAGCAGTGCTCAATGCAAATTTTACATCCCGTCCCTTCATTTCCATTACATCCATGCATTTGCCGCAGGTTTCATAGTGAACCGACACTGTCGCTCAGTCAATTGCGTCTTCCGAAGCTATACATACTCCTTCGAGGGTTCCAAGTTCGCGGAATTCTCAACATCAACATAAAAGACGTCGCCAGACTATAAACGACCACTTTCAGCCGCCTCCACTGTCGTGAACCTAAGTCATGGAGGCCTTTTTCAGAGTCGTCTCTCCGAATCCAGCTGCTAATTTCGCATTTGCGAACCTTCTACTTCTAACTGTTTCAACGTTTGTTCCAGAACCTAACCACCTTGGCCGCTTGCTTCACCCTCAACGCTACTTCAACGGCAGAGATTGGCACCATCTGATTTACTATTTTCTATGGATGCCCTCAGCCTGCCTAGCGTCATCCATCGCTAATGCTTTGCTGCGTCCTGCGGACAAACGCTTCTGGATTGAGGTACTCAGGCATGTCAACCGACCGCTTGGGAAATCGGTAAGTCATAGCAAGAAGAAGCATACGAATGAAAGACTGAGAGCAGTGCTTGAGAATATGATGCAGCCGACCAACGTGTACTGCTTGTTGTTGCAACCAACAGACCGTGACAACCTGGTTTCCATTACCGAGCATGATGACAGAAAGCAGACAGTGAAGATGATCTTCTTGAGCGAGGGCCAGGCTTTGTTTTTCTTCCTGCTCACAACCACTCTGCATGAGAGCTCTTTAGGGCTCTTGTTCTTGCTGCCTCTCGTCGCCAAGGTCCTTGCCTATCTGACAGCGCCTTGTAGGCACGGCCAGTACCATACTGAATCCTCCACAGCAGAAAAGGAAGGGCTTTCCACGCGTCGATCAACGGTTCCGGGATTAGGCGTAGTGATTGTCCGCGGCCAGGAATTTTACGTTCGTCAGTTCGGGAGGATAGGAACATACGGGCAAGTAAAGTACGATTCGGTTACGCGAAGCACTGCGACCGTTGCACGAAACGCAGCACACAAGTCCTCTGTAGCCCTGCTATCTCTGGCTCAAGTACTTTCAGTCGCTGGGTTTATGTGGCTCGCAGACTGGGAGCGTGGAGACCTGGTACCATGGCTATGGTTCCTGCAACAGACCCTCGCGGTATTCGCATGGATGAGCACGCGCCTTAGCGGTCTGGCGGATAAAGGTCGCACGGAGGAGTTGCTTGGTAAGGCACTCTCGGAGCATGGTCACGTAATTCTTAGAGATGGGAAGAGCCACTTCGGCATCCAGGCGAGCCTTGAAACCCAGGTCGTGGATGGTAGGGAGCAGGTCGAGAAAGTCATCAAAATCTTTGAACAGGCTACTGAGTTGAGAAATGCGAATCCTGAGTTGTCGACAACGGAAAATGAAACTGTACGCAAGAATTCTGCTTCCGGGCCTAAGACGCTGGAGTCAAAGACTGGCAAGAACGAACATGCCACGCAGAACTCAAGCTGCAGCAACTTGGAGACAGGCAGTCCGAGCCACGCGTTAGAACCGATGGGCACCTACGTGATGCAACCAGATACAGACAGTCTCGACAAGCCATCCATGACTCAAGAGACAAACAAAGACGACGATAATGACGAAACGAATATCTACGAGCACAGCCCACAGACTCCACCGTCGAGGCTTGTGAAAGGTGATCCCGAGGAGCCGACAAAACCACTGAAAACGGAACCACAAACCATTGAGTCCGAGAAGAAGGAAAACGCTCCAGAAACCCCCGCGAAGGCATCAGGAGGAGTCAGCGAGGGTGATGGAACTAAGGAAAATAATTCTGAAGATAAGAGCGGCGAGGAAGAGGACGAAGAAGAGGACGAAGAAGACGCTCAAAAAACGCCAACACAGCCGCCTGCGAAGCAAGGCGTTCCTATTCTCGTCTTGGAAGATGCCTCTCCCGAAGCAACGCAAGTCCGCGCAGAGAGTGGGGGCGAACACATTGTTGATGCTTGACATTGTCGGGACGTGAGGAGCTAGGTCGCAAAGACAAACGAAAAGCGTATCTGCATTCCGACGTGTCGAGGCTCGTCTGTCTGTGCCTTGAGGAATAGGATAATCTGGCGAATTGTGAAGCTAAGATCGGACAGGTCCTGATCTGTCCTGCGTGGATCAGCCATGCCCTTAGGATCCATATGCAGAAAGCCTTTGTAGATGAGACTTGGGAATGGATGAGCTTATTTGCCGTTTCGCCGTCTCTGCAGTCGTATGTTGATCATGATAGAACCAGACTCTCGCATGCTCCCGTTGCAGCTACAAGAAGGAGCGATTGCCAGAGAGAACGATTCATAAGTTGCCAAAAGAGACGTCAGGCGCATCTCAAGCACAGCTTGTCGGTACTCAACGTCCCGCTTAACCAAAGCTGTCGGTGAGGTAAGGTAGTAGCTAGAAGGACAAAGCGGTGCAGCGGAAGCCAATCACGTGATCATAGCCAAGGGGCCATGGCGGCGTGGCCCGTGCCATGCGCCACCTGGACACCGTTTACGCGACGCAGCGCGCTAATCTTTCTTTGTTGCACACCGCTAACTGATCCTCCCCACAAAAACGCATTGGCTTCACCCCTCCAAATTCAGGTCCTACGCAGGAACCGACTGCAGCTCCTACCTCTCTGCTTCAGTACACCTTTCATACAGGCACACTTCCACGAGTCATCATGCGCGGCGAGATCCTCCATCTCCACATTGGCCAGGCAGGTTCGTATCCGCCGTCGTCGTCCACCGTGTTTACGCCCGGGTCGGAGCTGACAACACTGATCTAGGCACCCAGCTCGGCAACAGTATGTTGACATCCGCCCAACGACAAGCACGCCTCGTCGGCCGTGTCTCCGTGTACGCCGCGTCCACACGAGCACGGCCGAAGAGTCTGCCGAAAGTGACGTATTCCGGGACCATCCAGACTGATAAGTACTGTAGGCGCCTGGGAGCTCTATCTTCTCGAGCATGGGTATGTACTTTCCATGGGCGGACGTTGTGTACTTGTTGATGGCATGTGCCTCTACCAATCCTAAGAGGCACACGTCTGCAGCACGTCAGAGGCTTGCCATAAACTCGTCAGACACGAACACGCGCCGATGCTCTATTCAAATGATGATTGAGCACGACTAAGTAACCTGTCATTCGCAGCTTGAAACCGGACGGAAAGCGAGACCCAGATGCCGCTGACGTTTCTGAGGGCGGATCATTCGACACTTTCTTCACCGAGACCGGCAGCGGCAAATACGTTCCTCGATCCATCTTCGTTGATCTTGACCCTTCCGTACGTCTCGCATTTGGCTTCATCCGAATAGTGTCCAGTTGCAGCGAGACGAGTGCTGACTGCTACACAGCCTATTGATGAGATTCGAACTGGAGCATATCGATCGCTGTTCCATCCGGAGTTGCTGGTGAGCGGCAAGGAGGACGCCGCCAACAACTGTAAGGAAGCCTGAATGTTAAATCGGAGGGACATCGATTTTAACGGTGACCAGACGCTCGCGGCCACTATACCATTGGCAAGGAGCTTGTTGACGATGTCATTGACCGCATCCGTCGCGTTGCAGGTAGGAGCCTCAATGTGAGCCTATGCATTCTCTGATGATGGAAACAGACAACTGCTCTTCTCTCCAAGGATTCCTGATCTTCCACTCCTTCGGCGGTGGTACTGGCTCAGGCTTTGGCGCACTTCTCCTTGAGCGCCTCTCCACTGATTACGGCAAGAAGTCCAAGCTTGAGTTCTCCGTTTACCCAGCACCACGTGTTTCGACATCTGTCGTCGAGCCGTACAACGCCGTCTTGTCCACACACAGCACGATCGAGAACTCCGACTGCACCTTCCTTGTCGACAACGAGGCTGTATACGACATTTGTCGCCGCAATCTCGATATCCCACGACCAGACTATGAGCATCTTAACCGTCTCATTGCGCAAGTGGTCAGCTCCATTACCTCTAGCTTGCGTTTTGATGGAGCTCTCAACGTAGACCTCAACGAGTTCCAGACCAACTTGGTGCCTTACCCCCGTATTCATTACCCGTTGATTAGCTACGCTCCAGTTGTGTCTGCCAGCAAGAGCTCTCATGAAAGCTTCAAGGTCCACGATCTGACCTTCCAGTGTACGTTTGTTTAGCTCTGACAAGTTGTTCGCGCTAATGGTGTTCAGGCTTCGAGCCAAACAACCAGATGGTTGTGTGCGACCCACGAAACGGAAAGTACATGGCAGTTGCGCTACTCTACCGTGGCGACTGTGTCCCACGCGACTGCAACACGGCTGTCGCTGCGCTTAAGGCCAAGGCCTCATTCAACCTCGTTGAATGGTGCCCGACTGGCTTCAAGATTGGTATCAACTACCAGAAGCCAATGAGCGTTCCGGGAGGCGAACTGGCCGCAGTTGACCGTTCCGTGTCCATGCTGTCCAACACCACTGCCATCGCGGAGGCTTGGAGCCGCCTGGATCACAAGTTTGACCTCATGTACTCCAAGCGTGCCTTTGTTCACTGGTACGTTGGCGAGGGTATGGAGGAAGGTGAGTTCTCTGAGGCCCGTGAAGATCTCGCGGCCCTTGAGAAGGACTACGAAGAGGTTGCTAGCGACAGCCTCGACGAGGGTCTGGAGGAGGCCGAGTACTAAATGGAAGGCTCTGTCGCCATCGTCACACAAAGGCCCACGGGCTTTGGCTGGAACAGGGTCTAGGGCACAGGAAGAAGCGCTTCCGGAGATGGCACCGGAGGCCTTGTTTGGAAATTTTAACTAATCAAGTCTGGCTGAGCGTTCTTATCTTCTTCATCTCACAGCATTATTACGAATGAGGATTGAAGTTTAGCGATGATTTCTGATTGGTGTCGCGTAATTTTTTTTGTCGAAGAGACTGCCCTTACTACCCCCATCTCGTCATTCTAGGTAGGCTCGAAATGAAGAGAGGTCGTCAAGCATCCAATAGACAACGATTGGACTTGGAGACATTATCAGCACAAGCGATCAGTCGTCAGAGCACGACGGCGTCGCACAGCACTGGCCTGAACATTAGAAGCTTCGGCGATACCAGGCTCTGAAGGCTCCGAAAACGCGGCTGCTTTCGGCGATCCACCACATCGCTCGGAGACATGTTTCTCTCCGCGACTCGTATTTCTTTTCGGCGAGTATGCAGCTTGAGCTGAGGCCGAATGTTGCTGCCTGGGCATGACTCCAATGACGGCAAGCCCTGCACGTCTGACAGCATCCCGTTTATGCCGCGAGATCTGATAACAGGATCTACTTGCAGACAGCGAGCTAAGACGCTCCAATGTCGGCCGAGCAACGCGGCCGAGTCCTTGTGGCTGGACCAAGCGTTTTTGCCGAGCCGATGGAAGCTAAAGTAGCACGACCTCGATCGACGTCTAGTTAAGCAAAATGAAGGCGCGCGCACGCCGCCTTCGGCCTCGACCAACTTTCTTTGCGGATGAGCGCCCTCGCAGCAGGCTTCTGAACACGCATAGATCTCGACGCGGAACCGGATCCACAAAGAAGTGTCGGACGTGAGTGGATCACGCGCCAGAAGAGGGAAACGTCAGGGAGGGAGGGAGGGAGAGAGAGTGACATGTAGAGAGAAGCGCAAAAAGCGTCCAGGGAAAGCGACGGCTCTCCCGCCCGCTCGTCTGCAAGCAACCAGCTCCAACGCAGACGGTCCAGCGGTACAGCTCAGTTTATCCTCTCCGTACCTTGCTTGGGACCCAACCCAATCTCGTATCCGGCTGGTGTCCAAGTTCCTCGCGATCCATGCACGTTCCGTCCTTAGCGTCGTTCTACTTTTTTTTTGTGTGTTTTTCTCTTTCGGCCGCGATCTGCGCCTCCGAAGGGCCGAACGCAGAACAAAGAACACCACGGCTTTCGCCAGAGGTCGCGAGAGTGAAAAGGAGCCCGACGCGGCCTTTGCATGGCGAGATCTTCTCTGCATCGTTCCGCGCTCCCTCTTTGACGTGCTTACGGCGTGTGTCTAGCTTCCGGCGAGTAATCCTCCTACACGGTGCCGTGGGGCCTACAGCCTTGCCACGATCCGAATCGTAGACGTCAGGTGGCGCTCGCTAGCCGGGTGCTTATGAAATTACAGAAGCAGAGCCGACCCTCGAGCATTTCAGCGGGCTCGACGAGCGAAAAAAGGACGTGGAGAGCGTCGCAAGGACAGCGGTTCCAAGACACGACAGCATTCGAGGGCCTCCAACGTCGCGCCCTCCTAGCAACCGCGTCCTGCGAGCACAGAAGCTGGGCCTCCAGACAATGCAGTCGTCCACGGCGGTCGATGACCCGGCAGCGAACAATGCCAATGCTGCGCCTTCAACACCGTCCGGCATCCCCTCGGGCAAACCGAACGAGCTCGCGCCTGAGGAGACGCGCAGCAAAGGCAGGACGGCCTTGATCATGATCGCCTTGTGTGTATGTGCGCCCAATTCAAGGTTCGGCGATCGTCGCGAAGCTAACGCAAGTCGTGCTCCCAGATGGCCGTGTTTTTGGCAGCCATCGACATTGTAAGTTTGGCAGCCTCATTGAGTCCCCTTTTGAAACGGTTGTATCCTTTTTGATGTATATATATATATTTGTTGCAGCTCGCTGCGCGCCTCTGTGCTTCTGGTCTTCCCATCCCCAAAAATTCAAAAATTTAAAAAAAAGAAAAGAAGAGATTTATCTGACGCAATGTCGCACAACAGACTATTATCACGACGGCGCTGCCGACCATCGCGGAGCATTTCAAGTCCGCTGCTGGTTACACCTGGATCGGTTCCGGATACATGCTGGGTGCTGCAGCCTCGACACCAATATGGGGCAAGATCTCCGACATCTTTGGACGCAAGCCGATTCTGTTGATCGCAAACGTCGTTTTCTTGGCCGGCTCGTTGATTGCTGCCTTGTCCGTCAGCATTGGTATGCTCATCGTAGCCAGAGTTATTCAGGGTATCGGTGGAGGCGGATTGCTGGTGCTGGTCAGCATCTGCATCGGCGACTTGTTCTCCATGAGGTATGTGCTGCGCGCCTTTCAATTTGTCCTTCTTTTCTTTTCTTTTCTGCTTTCAACACGCATTTGACGTTAACCATGACGCAGAACGCGAGGACAGTATTACGGCCTTGTTGGTGCCACCTGGGCAGTCGCGAGCGCCACGGGACCTCTCATCGGCGGCGCGTTCACCGAGGGCGTGACCTGGAGATGGTGTTTCTACATCAACCTTCCTCTCGACGGCGTCGCGTTCTTGATCATCCTCTTCTTCCTGAATGATCTCTATGTGCCCAACACTCCGGTTATCGCTGGCCTCAAGGCAATCGACTGGATTGGTTCATTGCTCATGGTTGGAGGCACACTGATGTTCTTGCTCGGCCTCCAGTTTGGCGGCGAGTCCTTTCCTTGGGACTCTGCTACGGTCATCTGCCTCATCGTATTCGGAGTCTTTACCATGGCTATTTTCTTCGTCAATGAATGGAGGCTGGCCAAGTACCCGATTATTCCCCTCCACATCTTCCGCTTCCGCTCAAACCTTGCGTGTCTTGCGGTCTGCTTCTGCCACGGCTTCACCTTTATCGGAGGAGGATATTACCTACCTCTGTTCTTCCAAGCCTGCCTTGGCGCCACACCAATCCTCTCCGGCGTGTACACGCTTGCCACGGCCCTGTCACTGTCTCTGGCATCCGTGGCCACAGGTATCTTTATTAAAAGCACCGGAAAATACCTGTATCCTATCTTCTTTGGCGCCGGACTCATGACTCTCGGATACGGTCTCTTCATCGACTTCGACGCGCACTCGAGCTGGGCGAAAATCATACTCTACCAGATTGTGGCCGGTCTGGGTGTCGGACCGCTCTTCCAAGCTCCCCTCATCGCGCTGCAAAGTCTCGTTCCTAAGGGCGATATTGCGGCGGCGACGGCAACTTTCAACTTCATGCGCAACATTGGCACCGCCATGTCCGTCGTGATCGGTGGGGTAGTGTTCCAAAACACCATCAACTCACGCCAAGGCCAGCTCATATCAGCTCTAGGGCCTCAAATCGCAAAGCAACTCGGCGGATTCAACGCCGGCGCCAGCGTCGGACTCATCGACAGCCTCCCAGATCCCCAGAAAGCAGCCGCCCGAGACATTTTCGCAGAGTCTCTCCGAGACATGTGGATCTTGTACGTCTGCACCGCGGGTCTGGGCCTGCTGACCAGCTTCTTGATCACGAAGCAAGTTCTGAGTCGACAGCATGAAACAACGAAGACGGGCTTGGAGGCCGAGGAGGAGAAGAGAAGGGAAAGAGAGGATAGGCGAAAGAGCAGAAACAAGAAGACATTTCTTAATTCGGACACAGAGGGCGGCGAGAGTGATACGAAGCTTGCCGACATGCCCGCAGAGGAGAGCAAGCCCACAAACGCGTAGCGAAAAGCAAAGCGACCCCCTTTTGTGTGGAAAAACGCGGACGAGAAACACGCGTGTTGATGTTCTTGTGAAATAGTTTCCTGCATGGCGATTTTGAGCCGTTTTATGGTACGCTGCATGTTGGATGGGCATTGGATCTGCCTTGTCTTCTGATGACATATCTTCTGGCTATCTATTCGAATATTCATAGTGATGATGCTCCACTTCATCGTTGTACAAACCAGGAATCGCAGCTCTTACCCAACCTGTCTCTATTGCCGAACGCTTGATGAGTATCATCTCAGAGAAAGAAAATGAGAATCGTCCATCTACTTTTCGACGTCGAGTTACCGTGACAGCCGCGCAAATGGTCACGCCATCCTTTTGCACGATCCAAAAGTTGAAGTGCTGACGTCGCCTACCGAAACCAGAACAATTTTTTACTTCCATGGACGAGAGGCAAAGGAAAGAACCCCCCCAAAAAAAAAGAAAAGAAAAAAAAAAGAAACGGAAGGAAAGGGAAACAAAAAAAAGGAATTTCTGGTCACGGAGAGGCTTGAACTCTCGACTTTCGCATTATTAGTACGACACTCTGACCAACTGAGTTACGCCTGATTGCGGTTAGATGCTGAAGCATTTTGATGAGCGAGTGTGAGCGAGGAGGTTTGACTTACGACCCGGGTTGTGGGCGCTGAGCTGCGGCATTTGGCTCAAAAGGGGGAACTTGCAAGTGCCGAGTGGGGAAAAATTCGGCTCTTGTCAAAAACAAAACAAAAAAAAAAAAAAAAAAAAAAAATTTTACGTGGATCTAGGGTGGAGTTCAGCAAAACGTCGAGACGGTCTAAGCAGTTACGCGTGAGCGTGGATTGATGGCGAATTTTTCATGCTTTTCTTATTTTTTTTTTTTTTTTTTTTTAATTCTCTTTCCCTTTTGAATACAGAGGTCCTAAGCGTTTGCGTTGCCTGCGTGTACATGTCCAATTGTTCCTCCACGAGGAGCTATTGCTTAGAAAAGCTTAGTTGCCTAATTGTTCTTTCTTCTTCCAAGTATTGGTCCCTTTTATTTTTTTTTTTTCTTCTTTTGCTCCCTAGCATGCCGACGGTTTGTTCTCTGCCTTCCGTGGGTCCGATTCTCCGAGCTCCTGTAGGACGAAATGGTGTTGGCGCCAGGGGACTGGCTGGATGTTGAAGGTGCAGGCTGCCACGCCGTGTATGTGTACGCCGGTGACGAATGCGATGCTCAAACGATTTTGGTCTTGGGTGAATAGAAAATTCGCACATGTACCCCTCTGATATCCGCACGGCATCCAATTTCCTGCTCATAATGATGCTGCCGCCTCAATGGCCCCGGCCGCCCTGAACAGCCTTCGGTTTGCAATCGTGACCTCGACGTTCGGGTGCTTCCACTCCATGAACTTCGCCCAGCCTGTTCGAGGAATCGAATGATCAGTAATGGCATTCAGTCGTGTGTCCAAGCTGAGATAACGTACCCCAGTATGCAGCTTTCCTTCCAAAGTACTTTCCGAGGTACGGAACAATGACCATTGTGAGAAGCAATTCTATCTGCTGCAGGCTCTCTCTCCATTCACGCTCGGCATCCGAGTCCGCCTCGTCGTCATCGAGCGAGCTGTCCGTAGTCGTTGAAGGTAGCGAATCAATGTCGCCGTCGTCCTGCGGCGCATCGTCTATCACGTACGAGGATGCGTCTATGGCGGACATGATGCAGTGCTGTAGAGCAACGGGCCTTGCGGCAGGCACAACGGAATCAGATTGGACGTCCAGAGACACGTCGCGTGTGCGCGGACGATTCAACAAGATGCCGACTCGATCTCCGGTGTCGCTGGCGTCTTCAGCAGGCAGCGGGACCTCGTCCTCCACCACGACAGCTGTTGCTGGGAGTGAAAAACGCGCTAGTCCGCATTTGTACTTAGCGCGCCGATGGAGTCATATTCACACATTCGTCCCCCCGCGGGCGCAGAATACGTTCGGAGGGTGTGCGTGAGACATTTCTGCCATTCCACAACACGTTCCACCCACGACAACAAGAGCCAAGATCACCGCAATCATGGCTGACGTAGAAGACAAGCCGTCACGAAAATCGGTCTCGTTCGCGGACGCACACGCAGTCGTCGACGAGGATGGCAACGTCAAGGAAGGCAAGTCCAGTGGCGACGGCACCACGGCCGAATCCCACTCTGCGGGCACCGATCCTGCCGTCGAAGAGGTCACAGACATGTTCGCAAGCCTGGCGAAGAAGAAGAAGAAGCCCAAGAAGGACAAGGCAGGCGATGACGACGCCGATGCCGCCGCCGCCGCCGCACCGGCGGGCGAAGACGGCGAGCTGGACTTAAGCTCGCTCAAGAAGAAAAAGAAGAAGAAGAGCAAGGTTGACGAGCTGGAGAAGGAGCTTGCTGGAGACGATGAGGGCGCCTCCGCCGAGAAGTCCAAGAGCGAGCCGATGCCCGAAGGCGACCCGGTCGCTGGCACTGGTATCTACCAGCATAACAGCACGGCCGACATTCCCTACAACATGCTGCTCAGCCGATTCTTCACGTTCCTGTCGGAGAGGCATCCCGACCTCGTGGGCGGCGTGGCCAAGTCGTTCAAGATCCCGCCACCGCAGTGTCTGCGTGAAGGAAACAAGAAGACGCTGCTGGCCAATCTTCCCGACATCTGCAAGAGGCTCAAGCGATCCCCAGAACACATCACCGCCTTCTTGTTCGCCGAGTTGGGTACCAGCGGCTCCACGGACGCCAACGGCCGCCTGATCATCCGTGGTCGATTCCAGAGCAAGCAGATCGAGAACGTGCTGCGAAGATACATCATGGACTACGTCATTTGCAAGACGTGCAAGTCTGCAGACACGGAGCTGAGCCGCGGTGAAAACCGTAAGTCGTGCCTCTGCGTTTTATCACTGTGATTTGCATAGCATTGACGACCACGCTTCTACCTTCATCGTACGACTAAGCTAACGGGCTGCGTCTTAGGTCTTTCTTTCATCACTTGCAACAGCTGGTATGTATCCTACCTTCATCGCAGATTCGGTTTTTCTTTTTTTTCTTTTCGTCCTCCCTTCTTTTGGCGTTGCTAACCCATGTCAACAGTGCTTCCAGACGATCCGTTGCCGCCATCAAAAGTGGATTCTCAGCACAGTTAGTATATTCTTTCTGTCGTAGCCTGTTCGGGAGCTAATGTGAAACTAGAATTGGCAAGAGAAAGCGTCAAGTGGGTTGAATGCGATTCAACGAGGAGTTGGGCTGTGTTGGGTGCGAAGAGAAATGGGGCTGGGTCTTTGCATTTATGTTGTCATGAACACGATAGGCGTCGGTTCGATAAAATTCAATGGGCATTATCCACGCTGCATCAGGTCTCAAACTCTGCGCATGAGGGTGTCTTACGTCGTCCTGGCGGAGTCGAGGTTGAGCCGCCAGGCTGCAAGATGACGGTCATCAGCCACAAAGACAAAGTAGAAGATGTAAATACAGGGGATGGTCCGCTTCTTCAAATGGCCAACACCAAGATTCCATGTTTCCAGCAGCAGCCAGGTGCACGAGTTGCTTTCACGTGGGTGACGAAGCTAATGCAAGCGCCCAAAAATAACCGCCCAGGCAGCATCAGGGTTCCGCAAGGCTGGCGAATCATCACGCCAGAGACGCTGGACAAGGAACCGCGCACCGCAAAGTACAAGAGCAAGCACATTTCATCCACCATGGCGCGCACACTCGCCTCCGTGTCCTACTTCTCCTCTCCCTCTCTTGACTGCCACCGCTCTCTCCTTGCGCTTCTTGCCAAGGCTTCTCGTGTAAAATTCCCGCTTCGCGCCTAGGCCGAGCTGAGAGATTCCCGCCCTAAGTCTAACCCCCATCGCCGTGGGAGCTGTGCATAGCCCCGCCTGCGACGTGCTTACCACGTCTCGGTCCAAAGACTCGACACCAAAACGGGTTCGATTGCGCTCGTGAGAATCTGTCCTTTCAACCGTCGGGTGGACGTAGACTTTCAAAAGGAGCCATGTCTCAGTACTATCCTCGTGAGTGCTTCCACCCCCCGCCTTCCAGCGCGAGACCTGGGCCCCCCAGAAGAGTCCCCCCCCAGCGCCGCTTCGGCTTGACGCTTTGCGAACAAGTCGAGCGAGGAGTCGCGCGGGCTTTCAGGGTGGCCTCGATTGAGAAGATCGCTTTTTTTTTTCTTCGCTTTCGTTTCTCGCGGTTCGACTTGCGCTCATCTGCAGACATTGCTGACGTGCCTCACCAGCACCGCCAGAGAGCGGTTACCCCGCCCAGGCCCAGCAACATTATCCTCCTCCTCCAACGCAGCAACAGCACGCCTACGCGCCGCCTCCACAGTCTGGTACCCCACAGCAGAACTATCCTCCTCCACCTACGCAGCAGTATCCGCCTCCAGGCCAGGCGCCGGGACATGTTGGTTCGCCTCCGCCCGTGCATGGCTATAGCTCGCCGCCTCCTGCGCAACCAGTACCTCAGGCTGCTCCCCCGCAACAATCGCCGGGCCACCCACCCCAAGGTGGGCAAACGTCGTTCAGCTCCCATGCGAGCGCAGACGACGTCGGCACGTTCAACGGTGGCGCGTACAGAATATCGCACCGCGACGTACGACACCTTAACCATTCGCATCCTGAGGGAGTGGGCTGACAGATATGTGTGATGCAGACAAACTCCATCCTTACCATCCAGCTCGCCATGGGCTGCCCTATTCATGCCAAGCCTGGGGCTATGATCGCCATGTCCCCCACCATTACCATGAAGGGTGAGATCAAGTTTTCCGTGAAGAAGCTGATCGCAGGAGGCCACATGGCCATGTCAAGCTTCACCGGCCCAGGAGAACTGTTGCTTGCACCCCCCACGCTCGGCGATATCGCTGCCATCCAGCTCTCCGGTAAGGAAACATGGAGCGTGGGCAAGGACGCATTTTTAGCGTGTACGGAGCGAGTGACCAAGGATTACAAAGCCCAGAAGTTCAGTCAGGCCATGTTCAGCGGGGAAGGGCTCTTCACGTACAAGATCAGTGGTACGGGGATCCTTTGGGTCGACTCGTTGGGTGCAATTATCAGGAAAGACGTATGGAACCCCTACCTCTTTTTTTCCTTTTTTTTTCTTTTTTTTCCCCCTAGTTTGAGCGCCCAATCTTTGAACTAACGTGTTGCAATAGCTCCAAGCCAACGAAAAATATATCGTGGACAACGGGCATCTCGTTGCGTGGAACTGTGACTACAAGCTGGAACGTGTCGCGTCCGGGGGCATCATCAGCAACATAGCTGGCGGCGAAGGTCTTGTCTGCAAGTTCACGGGACCTGGCAGCATTTACATCCAAACGAGAAATGCGACTGCTTTCGCTGCTTTCATCACTGGAAATGCAGCGGCCGGTGCCTAGATGGACTGAAGCCGAAGAATGCTGATGGGAGCCATACGAATCATCCCTTGCGGTCTGAATCTGGGACCCGAAACTTTGTCCTTGTTCTGCTGATAGCGAGAGCGTCGAAAATCTCACTTCGTTTCCCTTTTGACTGTTTTGTTTGCGCTTGCACTTGATACGAATCCTTCAATGGAAAACAGCGGGTGCGGACTCAATGGTAAGTGAGCCCGTACTCTGAGAGGCGCTGGCGCCCAGGACAAGCATCTTACACATTTTTTTTATCGCTGTCGCACCTCCCAAAGAATGTTCCCGGCTCATTTCTGTCCATTTTTCATCCCTCGTTGTATACGACTCCAGAAGTAATAGCAATCTCCGCTTTGACGGTCAATCTGCGCTGTGATAGCCCTTGGTGCGCCTTTTTTCGCTCGGGGACGGACGACTTCGAGCTCGGTGAGATCGACAGCCTGCTTTGATGCCTGGTGGTATCCGACCGTTACACGTCTTCCCGTATATACCATCTCAGAACTCGTATATGGGTTGTGGAGTTGAATCTCTGTCCGACCCATTGGACTGCGCAGGTCTGCGAAGCACCACCTCCTCATGTAGAAAACTAGGGCGGAAATTTCGAAACATAAAATCTAGAGCTTTTGACAAAAAAAAAGAAAAAGAAAAATAAGACTTTTGGTACTTTTGGAGATTCTGTCATATTTGCTGACGGCGGTATTCCCAACCGTAATGGAAGTGAAAGCGTGCATCATTCGGACGTAATAGTATGGAATCTGTTTTCGCATGACGAATCCTGCTCTAAGGAATTACAGTTCTACGATGCACCGGCTGCCAAAGAGATCTACGATGGCGGCTCGCGTATCCGAGGAAAGACCATTTCGTCTGGCATTCCCCTTTGCCTCCTAACGGATCAACCTCATCATGAGTACGGACAGGGCTGATCTGGCTGAAGCAAAGATGGATATACTGAGCAAGGAGACATTCCGAGGCATACGTGTACGCCAGCGTAAATGACTAATGATGGGATTTATGCCTATTCCTCCTATGTTCTTGTTGGGCCTCGTAAACAGCAGTGCAATTCATGGTTGACATGCGACTAAGAAAGCTTTGCGTGAGACTTGAATTAGAGAAATCAGAGCACGTATGGACTTTTTTTCTCATATTTATGAACTTTCGAACTCAATGAGGCCGTGTTTTTAGATGAAGTGCTCAGGAAAATAGCGTCCCTTTGCTGAGCAGAGCGCTGCCACCATTGGAGGCGCAGTGGAAATGGCCGAGAATTTTGTTGGCTTTCCTTTTCTCATAATTCTTGACGTGCACCGTCCCTTCGAAGTAAGATCTTCTGATACAAGTTTCGATCAGCATTATTGTGGCTGCAAAGACTATAGTATTTTTCAACCACGGACCTTATTCGTTCTCTCGGAGTAAGTGGAATGCTTTTTTGTTCCCGCTCATCAGGGGATCTGATCATCGACTTTTAGACCGAGCCGTGTGAATATTGGGCGCGATCTCTTAAGCACCCGCCAAACAACCTTAATGTCTTTCCAGTGCGTCAACAGTCTGTGGACCTTCCGAAAGCAACGGTCGTCCAATGACTCTGGCAGGAAGCTCGATGCTGATGTCCGGTATATGATCATAAGCATACAAGCATTTGCGTAAGAACTAGATGATATCAACCTTCGCTCGGTCGTGCTAGGAAAGGTATCAAACTTACGCCCATATCGTAAATTGTAAACCATAGTGGCCCACCATCAAAAGTTCTTCGCTTGCGTCACAAACTTTCTGAGAATACTCTACAAAATGACTGGCGTCCTTTTGGAGCTGCTGTAATCGCTCGGGTGAGTTGACCTCTCCGTTTGCATTTGACGCGTTGTACTCCAGAAGCTGCAGGATCGAAGGCCAGAAGATGACAGAGTGAAGCGTCAAATACTGAAAGCGTAGAAAAGCTCTTCGAAGGTCGTAAAGAGGAGACGTGGTAAGAGGGAAATGAATCCCTGGTGGTAAATGATCATACCATTCCTCCACCTGACTACAGAGCTCTGCGGCAACAACCGGTGCGTAAATGATCTGCCCCACGCGGTAGCCGACAACGTCAAGTGTCTCCGTGAGCAGTTTGCGTAAACTAGCCTGTGCGAGGAAGTACATATGTCCATCATCATCCGACTCGGCAAGCGGCAGGGGGACGCTCTCATGAAATTGACGTAAGCCTATCGGGTGCATCTTGAGGACCGCCTCCAGTTCATGCAAGACAACCGAACACGTCCAAAATATTCTGTGGAAGTTAAGTTTGTCCTTGTGTGACAGTCGTTCCAAAGTGCCAGAGCTCAAGATGTGCATACAGTCTCGCGCAACTTCGGTTATGCCATCCCATGCTAAGAGTGGTCGTAATATCATGTTCCAGTAGCATACTTGAAGAATCCGGCACTGAAGTATCGTGATGTCTCGTTTTCTGCTCCGTTTCGACAATGCCATGAGTATGTCTCGAGCAATTGAAAAGTACTCTAGACCCGGATGCGGTCGTTCAAGAGAGCGACTGGCAGAAGAATGGCGAGTTTTGTCTAAACTGCCGATTGCGAGGGCAAACATGACGATGCAGTCCGAAGGACTTTGCCGTGCGAAGTTTCCGTTTCGCGCTATTTCAACGTGATTGGTAAATTCTGATATCGTGATCACAGGCAGCCACTGCAGGAAGCCGTTGACGAAATGTTGTTGGAGCTGCCAAACTGTTCGTGAGGAAACGTCTAGGCTTTGGCCAAAGCCGGCTTCCATGAGTTGAAACAAATACTCTTCAGCTACCAGCTCGTCGTCATAGAAATCCTTTGTATCGTCCCAGGACTCAAAGTTTATGTACCAAGTAGCACGAAAGGACAACATTGACGGTCTTGCGGCAATAGCCTCTCCTGCAGTCTGGCGGAACGAGAATTCATAGTGGGGAACAGAAACTATGCGCTGAAAGTACTGCTTCAGATCGTCGCGGCTTTGCAGTCTTGCGGCAAGCGATATGGGTTCTCCAGTAGTGCTGTTTGATGCTCGTCGTAGGGAGCTGGAGCCTGGGGTATGAGCATGATTGACCGAGTTTCTTGCATCGCTTACAGCACTCGGTGATCCCAATGCGGTCCTTTGGAGCGTTTCTTCTACACGCGCAAGCCGCTCTTCAATCCGCACGAGCACGTCAGTAGCGCTGGTCCCTCTTGTTGTACATCAGCAACGTTGACTCCGTCTTCGTCTCGCACATACAGCTGGAACGGACAGGGGGTAAGAAATTAAGGTTAGGACCTACTTTGTATCTACACCTCCGGATTGTCGATATACACATTCGATCCCAGCCTCTGTGCAAAAACTGCAGGGTCTTTTTGCATCGCATTTTGTTTTGCGCAGCCTACAAACTTCGCACTTCGACAAAGCTTAGTCCACGACGCACGAAGAGGCAAACAGCGGCACTCGTACTCACAGCGACAGCGACCCGCTTCCTTGGGTAATTTTTGGCGGGGTTGAGGGCTGAGTCCAGATCAACAACTTCCTCTTCCATCGGTCGCTTGGGCGACAGTGGCAAAATACCCAGCTCTTCTGTACCACTGTGGTTGCTTGGTTTTAAACTCATGGCTCACGACAAAGCTCTCGACCTCTCGCTCGTCCTTCGAGTCCGGATATCGACAGGCAACGGAAGTCCCATTCTCCGTGGCCCTTGCCGGACGCCGTACGTAGGCCCTTTGATCGTTGGCTTGATGCGAATGACGGCACGGGCGAAGGTCAAGCCAGATCTGTAGAGAGAAGTCCTCACACGATGCAGCCAATCTTCTATGGGAAGCAGTAGTGCACATGCGACAAGTCTCAATGTGCAGCTACAACCTTAAAGCTGGATATATTTTAGCGCACCGTGACTCGGGGGCCAATGGGATGCCAGCCGCGGATCAAACGCTAAGTCGCATCGTGGCTAGTGCGGAGTCTCCAAGGTTCTCCACACTTTGGGATTAGCCTCAGGTGGAGAAATCGTCGATTGCTGTATGACCAGGCTTTGTCATCAGTTTCCATGCATCCGATCGATGTTTCCGTCAACCATTTCTCTTGACGCGAGTAAGCTTTCTTTACGGCCTGGATCGGCTGGGCGCACGAACAAGGGAGCTCCCTATCCCCATCTAGTTTTGGCACGGCAAAGACGGTGTATACGAGCAATAGGGTATTGTGTTCGTCCACAAAGCATCCTGCCATGGTCGTCAAAACCAAGATCAACAAGTAATTGATGTGTATCAAGATCTCTATTCTTTTGTGGTTCTTTTCAACTCGTTTGATTCTTGATGACATATGTGCTTCGGCCGTCTTCGCTCAAATTTGAGAGAATATCCTGTCCTTCATTTCCGATACTGCTTATTTTTTTTTTTTTTTTTGCTTCCTCGCAAACTGCCATTGAGCTCATGAATTTCATATTGCCCAAGATGGCCTATTTGATGCGAATCTGCCGTGGCCTGCACAAGGTACGTCTCCCTTTGAGCACGTCGTGGCCTATTTCGACCAGCATATCCCCTGCCTATGAGGCTTGTATAAAACTATAAATCTTCGTGTTCAAACTTTGAATAATCCATCCCTGCCGAGCGTACCGATGCCTACAGTATAATATCAAGGGTTTTGACCTTTGAAATTACAGCCCCTTTCTCCACCCATCTCCTGGCAAGCTGCATTCTGTGACTTGTAATGAGCCGTGGTATTACACTCATTTCACGAACAGGCGAAGGTTGACCATTTCCTAATCAAGTTGGGTTAATCAATGCCTCCGATACCGCGACGACTGAGCCTGGTGCACAATCGTTGATGATACAGGAAAATGTGCGGGCGGAGAGCAACAACGCCGCGTCCCGTCTCGATCCCGGTGACGACAAATATGGCCCTCTTGCCTTTCTCTAACTTTTTTAAGTATTGACACATATCGAGATAGGATTTATGAATTGGCCAAGCATATTTAATCAATTATGTGGCGTCACTATCACGGCAGAGCCACGGCAGCTATAACGAATTCCGTTCCACCCGTAAACGCACAGAGTTTGCTTCGTCACAGATCGCCAATTGAGAAGTCGTTGCGCATTAAAATCGCTCGTCGACATAGCGTCGGATGTTCATGGCCAAAGCGCGAATGTCTCGAAACTTCATTGTTCTCAGGCGCACGCGGGCAGATCTAGTGTAAACATTACGTCGACTGCCTAGGAGAAGACACACAAATATCGAGTCAAAAAACAAACCTTCCATTAATGATTCTGTTCCTTTGTGATTCAGAACGAAGCATGTTACTGAGGCCACGTGGTACCGGCAAATTTGCCGGTTAATGGACCTAATTGTTTCCCTACGCCTAGGTGGCCACGAGGCTTGCGTGGTAGGCATTGAAATGTGGCCTGTTGCTTTTATTGGGGAATGAGAAAAATTGGCAAATGTCGTTGTGAATCTCTGAAAAAATGTTGATGTCGCTTCATTGGGAATTGCACCCTTCTAATAGTATACAAGGAGATGTCCGGTCCTGAGTTTGTTTTAATATGTCCTACAGGTGAAGTAGCTCCGTACGCCAATTTCCGGGGTATAACACGATAAGTTTGCCTTAATCACCCTCAAGTTGAACCTTCAAAGCATTTGCCTTCTCTCGAGTATAGCCCATATCTTTCCTTCCTTCTCCGACGAATTTGCTCACGTCCTCGCCGAGGCCATTGAAGAGAATGGCTAAAGCTGAAGTCTTCCAGATTCCAATCTGGTCTTTGTTCTTCGAACTGCGTATGATGGTAGCGATTAAGAAAAGAAGAGCGATGACCAGAAGGAGAAGTGGGAGCGTAATCCACTCCCATCGAACCTTTACAATAACAATGTATTTGATTGCCGTGCCCGTTGCAAAATCGTGCCTGTGACTCTGAGAGTTTGCGTTTCTGCGCACGATTTGATTCATGACCGAGACCGCTTTTGCCATATGGTCAGTGACGTTAGCTGGAGCATCCCAAGGCAGGCTGCTCGTGTAGACTTTGAGGAGATGTGGCGGATTGTAAATCCAGAATATTTTGAGTACGTCTGATGTCGTGATTGGATTGTTCGCTGCTGGACGGGTGTATGTCGACGGCGCAATTTGTGCCCAAATTTCCCACACTTTCATGGCGGTCGTGTTGCTAAATCCGTACGTAGAATAACCGGTATCCGAGAATTGATCCGGGAGTGTCATTGAATAGTTGGCCCTGTAGTTCAACGGGTTGTCAGGATTCCAGGGATCAGATCCGTTGCTGGAGAACTGCAGTGTTTCGATCGCCTCCTCGAAAAGGTTGCCGCTGACCACTGTGGCTTGAAGCTTCTTTACAACCCAATGTATCTCACACTCAGTCACAACAGGTGTCGCATTGTTGACTGCCCCGATAAACTCTCCAGGAGTAGTCGCAAGGATAAAGTCGACGATGGGACGCTGCACTTCCGGAAAATTCACAGAGCCACCAAGGAATATCTCGTGGGTGAGAATATCCGAAAGTGAAAAGAATCTCGTGGCAAGAATCTCACCAACGGACCCGTTTGACGTTACCTCGTATCCAGACATGAGCTGGGGTACATTATTCGGCATGTTCAAGTAGTACCCGCAGGAAGTTACATCTAATTTGATATTTCGCGTCAGTCCGAGGTCCGTAATTGCTTCTATGAACTAAATCTTCTTGACATGATGATTTACCCATAATAGGTCAAAGATGTACGGGAGGGACTTTGGAAATCACTCACTGGGATTTTTACGTGGTCCTTGGTATTGCGCCGTAGAAAGCCACTCTCCCGAAGTGTTCTTACAGTCAAACTCCAAGTAATCACTTGGCATGGTCTTACACTGAAAATCAACTGCAAGCGTGTGAAATGGGTCGAAGGTGCAGTTACCCGTTGGGCAGTTGGCGGTGATATCCCAGGGAATCCCAGAGCCAAGCCAGTACGGATAGACCAATGAATTCATGGCACCATCCCATGGTGTGATTGCGGTGTCGCCTTCATACATCAGCTCCTCGCTGGGGTCGTAGATCACGGCGCGATCGAGAGTTACGTTAGCACCTTTGTCGATAATAGCAACGGTGGGATAGCTAATGATTTGCTGGAAAAATAGATCTGTGGGTACGGAAAGCAGGATGATGGCAGCACCAACAGACGCGAGGGTGCTATGATTTCTAAATCAGCAAAGCGCCAGCATTTAAGTCTCTGGGGTAGCACGTACATTCCCTTAGTCTTGGAGAGCAGAATCATCGAACCAAGTGCACCTCGACTGGCAGCATCCATGACTTCAAAATCAATCATCTTCCTTTCCTTCCTGAACCAAGTCCACTTCAACTGCCCCAGTGCCTCAGCAGTGGGTAGCAGGAGTGCTGACTTCGCAAAGCCCGAGAATATAGAGATAAAGGCGTTGATAGAGATACTCAGGTCCCAGCTCGGTATTGACTTTCCGTCCACTTTCGAAAGCATAATCACGATGATCATCATGCAAATTGCGCCAAAACCCCAGCTGATAATCTCCAACAGCCACCACTCAACAAACCATCGCGTAAACCAGTTCTTGGTGCGATCAAGCTTGGACAAATCCCATGAGAATCGCGACTGAGAAGTGTCCATGGACCCGGGCGTTGAATGGGCTGTGCTACACCTTTTCATGTTAGGCGCGTAGTATTGACGGGACCGCATAGATGAATTGCTTGGTTGCCGCGTCGGCCATGTTCCAGCGGTGGAGGGTGGTTTTCCAGAGTAGCATGATTCTGCATACTTCGTAGGAATCAACGTGGGAGCTGGCCCTGGTGGGCTGAGTGTAGCAGTCTCGGAGGCATTATCAGGGGCCACTTGCTCTGTCTCAGTGATTGTCACCCCCTGGGCCGGCTGTTCTACTGCAGAACTAGCCGATGTCCGGATAGATGTTGCTGTCGACGCCGTTGACACTCGGTTTCCCTTCTCACCACGCACATCGATCGGCTTGAAGTTCGCGGGCGGGGCGATTAGTTGGACTGCGCTAGCCTGTAGGGCGCCATCGGGGTGAGGTGAGTATGAAAAATCTGGAACCTCTGAGATGATCGGGACTGCAGTGCCTGCACATTCGCGTGCTTCTTCAGGGGTAGCCTCTCGGATAGAAACTCGTGCTCTCCCCTTAGCAGTAGAGTATTCGATGACAGATGGAACCGCCTTGTATTCATTGTTCGGGCCGAAGCTGGTCGGCGCAGTCACTTCATCGGGAATCAAAAGAATACCGCGTTCCCCTGGAGAATTGACTAAAGTGCTGGTTTTGTTTGAGACCTTGGCTGCACTAAATTCTTGCTCTTTTGACGCATCCAAAACTTCCGATGTCTTTGCCGTAAAAGACTCTTTATTTTCTGACTTCCCACTGGAAGATCTCAAGGCTGATAGCCTGTTGGCGTTGAGTCCTTCCTCGGGAATATCGGAGAGTACGTTAAGCCTCCGCACAAGGTCCTTGACATTGTGGCGTGTAGACGACATGATATTCACCAGTAGACAGTTTATACTTCTGTCGAAATCCTTGAGGAATTTGAACGCCCTATTTCCACCCTGAAACAAAGGATCATGGCAAAGGCCTCAAACTTTGAGACCGCTCACGCGAAGTAACACTCAAAAGGTCGAAGGATTCGAAAAGATGACAGAATATGTAAGCCTCGCGGAATAAGGAAGAGGCGCGCGGGGAACACAAAACTGCTCGCACCACAATATATCTTTCTAATCGCCACTTGCGCGTAGGGAGACTTATGCGATTCTTCTGATAGGTTACAGAGCTCATGGCATAGCCGACGCTGCACTTGGCTCTCCTGGTCCTGCGTCCGCCTGCACATCGCTGCTTTCCGTAATCTGGTACTTCCCCGTATTCACTACAATCGCTCATAGGCGGCCGAAAAAGCAATTCCAACTCCATAACCTTGGCCTCGTGCAGAGATCGCATGAGGTATTAGGACGTGATGGAGAGCATAGACTGCAGATCGAGACCCAAAGGATCGACGAATCTGAAAGCGGCCCGAAGCGCGAGAGGAGGGATCGAGTCAGTGCTTCGCTCGCGCCTAATCCTTCTCGATCAAAGTGCGCTTTGAAAAATGTGTCTTGTGAACTGCTCGCGTAGCCAATGGGGCGGGTAACCCACATGGCTAGACTGTTGGTGGCGCTTCGAGAGGATCTGTGATTGGTCGGCTTTATTCCGGAACGTGAAAAGGCTCAAATGTGCAGACGCGAGGTAGTAGCTCCTGTTGGTGCAGAGCCAAAGACTTAATTCTTCTACAGGGTAGCGACATTTTCCAAGCTTTTGAGACATTAAAGAGGAGCATCATGGTTTCTCACTCTACGTTGCACATGATCAGCGGCATGGAAAAGTTATGCAGCTCATCTTGGAGTGGCGCCATTCAAGCCGTCTTGCAACTCAAGACCTTTGCCGAACGCTGCCGACAAGGCATACTTGGTCCTCGGCGTGCGACGCACGGATGATGCATGTTGGTAATATGGAATACTTTTTCCAAGGGTGTATCGTCAAGCGATTGTGTGAATGCATCTGGTAACTCTCTTCAATTTTCCAGCGCGAGAGCGGGAAGTGCGGGACAGCGCTTCTGGCGTTTAAAGCCCCGACAAAGAACTTGTGGACGCTCGGCAAATTCCTTGTAATACCTTTGCGGGACAAAAGAAACGTGATCGTTTTGAGCAACTAGCCATACAAAGTTCAATGCCACGAGAATGAAATTTGAGTATGAGGGCATGCAACCGAGAGTTTTGGAACCTGCCTCCCAAGCATTTAGCAACTTGCATCTTCATGTGGAACTTGCAGAAAAGGCAACGGGGCGAAGTTTGAAAGAAATTTTCCGCGTATGAAGTTCACTTGCTATCTTGTTGAAGACATCAGCAGTCTCCACAACCTTTCAAGGATCTGCATGCTCTTCATCGGGCCGCACCACCCTCGTGGGTTCAAGTACACAGGGTACACAGATCCCAAGACCGATGACGGTGATATCACCCGTGTGACCAATAAGCTTGCGGATGTAGCCAACCGAACCATGGCCTAGCTTTACAAGAACTCGGCGTCTTGGAGTTTTGAGTGTTGGAAGCCACAGTGCGTTGCATCTGATTATGCAGCCAGTATTGCAAGCCTCTCAGGCGGATCAAGAACCCAACTCTATCAATCGATAGCTTGTGGTTCTGACAAGAAGCCAACAGGATTCCATGTCGGATCTTCGGATACAGCATGAAGAACGCACTGAGCTCCTTTAAGGGCAGAGGACAAACTGCAACGGTAAGAATCCTACGGCTGGGATAATAGTCTAATGGAAGGGGGCGCTGAAACTGAATCAAATCCGATGGTAAACCCAACGCGGAAGATTAACGCGTTATCGACACCACTAGCAAATGGTATTGAGATGTGATACATGTGAAGATTGCGCGAAGTTGGCGGTAGCGGCACGTAAATTCTAGGCACGTAAATTCATGATATTCGGTGGTGATTCTGATCCTATCCAATGGCTTCGTTTACTTGCTTGGCCATCTATGAGCAGAAGCTAGTCTCTTGTTTGATATGCGATCGAGTAAATCGGATACCGTGTTGTGAAACCTAGTCAGTGAAAGTTAAAGGACAAGACAGAAGGGAATCTATTACGTTCTTGTCCAGAGCTCAAACAGCTTTTGCCTTACCCAAAATGCGACATCTAAGTGGTGTCGCTAAGTAGATTATGTCCAATATTTATCCAGCACTTCCAATTAGAGGCACTCGTTTTTGAATGAGTGTCTAGTTTGATTTCGATGATTCAGCGCCAGTCATGTTTTGGAGTCTCGCAATCAGTAAAGAGGGCCGTAGAAGTTCAACGCTTTTGATAGTGCGAGATGTGCACTGATTTGCCATATTTATGCGAACAGCGTCTTTAGTTTTCAATGGTCTCTTGTGTACTGCTTAAAACTACCGCCACCTTTGCCATTTCGTTATCAGCTAAAAATGGTGGTGGTATAACGAGGATCTTTGACCATCAATCTGGCGCGAAGGAAATATCCAAAGCTATAGGTCGTCTGCCTTAAAAAAAATCTAACTCTGTGCTGGGAGAGGTCGTCCGGACACAATTTTTTGAGAGCTGTGCGGCCAAGAACGCTGCAAGTGAAGGAACGGACTCGATTGTATGCAATGAACTTTTGCGATGCCTCCGTCATTCCGAGTCTCAAAGATCTGAAAGGCTCAACCTCGTGTGTCTTAATACACAGGGCTTTTTCCGGACTACTTGGCGCCTTGCAAAGCATGTAATGGAAATCAGAAACCAAAGAGATATAATAGCATGTCCGTGTTCTCTACCTTCATTGCTTATCCAGAATCGATTGTTTCCTGATTATTGGCCCAGTTGGACGACGAGGGATAGAGAGGAACTTCTCCAGAAATCGGGTTCCCGCCAAAAGTGTGACTGACGAGGCTGGCTGACGCATCGAGAATTTACAGTGCAATTTTTCTGGCGTCGTCTACAGCGCCTGCAGCTTTCGATCTTCATAAGACAGACATACTCTGCATCAGTTTTACAGCCGCGTTTACTCCCATTATCTCTTACGCAAATTACAGGAAGCAACCGCCTCAGCGCTTCCCTGAGCAGTCGGGATGTCATGAAATTGGACCCATCGAAAACATTTCCACGCGGTTCACACTCGTCAACGAGAATGTACTTGCACACGCTCTTGTTCTCACACCTTTGGACCATGCGCTTTCTCTTCACCGCAGCCATCTCCGCGCGGTTGTTTCACGTTTACGAAGGCCCGTATTCTCGGGACGGGCCTTTCCTCCGCGACCGCTTCTTTTGATCTCCGCGCTGGCGAAGCAAGACTTGGCGGAATCCCGACCGCCGTCGTAGACCTCGGTAGAAAAAGCTGTTCAAACGCTGGAAAAATATCGGGAGTAACATGATCAGCCTTTTCCTTTCTCGTCTTGTCGCCGTGGGCGCATTCGCTCGCGTTTTGGGCCTGGCGCGCCCTTTTCTGGGCCCAGCTTTGGGAACAACCTATCTCTACCCTGGGCGATCCATTTTAAAAGAGTCCTGAACGGGTCGGTTCCTACGTCTTGACGGATTGTAGTGCCATTTTCAAACAATCGAATTTGCTAGAGCCCGGCGCCTGGATGTCAGTGCTGGATATATGAATCATGAATGGAGCTTGCCCTCAAACGGATTAGGAGCTTCCGAGTGCTGGTGGAGGAAGAGTTGTATTCTCGCCAGGTTGTGTCGAAGGGGACACCAGAGTTCGACGAAGACGTCCAGAAAGAAAGGCGCCGTAAAATGAACAGCAGAGAACCACGGCGACGGGGGGAGATCTCATGCAAGCTGCCAAACAGATTTCATGAGCATTGAGCCGCAACGAAAAAAAATGGACTGTGCGAAAGGAGAAGGGGTGGTATTTTGTCATAAAAGTGACGCATAGTTCACACCTACCTTCATGAGCTAGCGGCGCAGGGGAAACGCCACACATGGCGGACGCATTCGGACGTGAGAACGACGGACTGACTTGACATACAGATTCCAACTGCCACTGCATACAGAGGCGTCTTGAACTTGTGATGGGCTGCATCATGCCTCTCGAGGTTGAGACTGACGCTACGGCACCTCTGCACACGATACTTGATCGCCAAAAGAATGACAAGAACTTTGAGATGTTCATACAAGTTGGACTCATGAGCAGTCCTGGTATCTATGAAGAGTCCCGCTGCAAGGTGATGTTGCATCTCTTGCGCATAGAAGATCACTTTCTACACGGATGCAATTATGTACTTGAATGGAAGACGCCAGACTACCACAAAGCACTTCCAGCATAGATCAACAGAAAGCACTGCTCTTGCTCGCCTGAATAGAGAGGCCTTTTACGTGCGTATTCTCAAGCCAAAAGCCCCGATCAACCCAATAGACGCCATGCCAATTCCCCTCGCTTGCCAAGCTGCTGGAGAGGTGTTGCCCGCCCAGTGTCTAAGATGTGCCCATTAAGGATAGTGCGAAGATCGTAACATTTCGTGACAGTACATGTGGAAACAGATGTGAATGCATGGCGTGGCTTCACACAGCAACGCCGTTGACAGGCAGCTTTCTCAGCAGCTTTGGCGACGACGCAGATTTGCTAGTCGGCAACGATGCTGTTTGCTTCTTTGGCGATGAATGATCTGCTTTCGGGGTATGCAATGGCATTGGGTCCTCGCCCGATCTTGTCCTGTGCAGCTGCATGACCCATCTCATCTCGTGAACTACGTCTTGCATCTCGATCTCTAGCCTCTTCGTGTTCTCTTCCGTTTCCCTGTACTCCCTCAGGAGTGCACTCATCTCCTGGACTTGTCTGTCGCTCTTTTCTTGTTGGTGCCGCTGCTGGTCCAGCAGCACCTCCAGTTGTGTCAGCTGATGCTTGTGTATGGCGCTGTTCTCGTTGATCTTCTTGGTCAGATCCTCCACCTCCTTGCGCAAGAACGCGATACGCCTCTGCAGGCCCTGGTATTCGTTCTCCAAAGTTGCGTATGCATTCTCCGCATTCTTTTGAGCCATGTGTGCTTCTGCCACGTCCTTGGATGCTTGAGATACCGTTTCGCCCAGCTTTCGGCCCATCTCGGCTTCCCTGTCTTCCGCTCTCTTTCGCCGCGCAATCTCCTCTTCCAGCGATGCTTTGAGGTCGTCCAATCTTCTCTCCTTGCGTGCCAGTGCATTTTCATTCGCGTCGAGCTGCATTGCGAGTGTTGAATTCTTGTCCTCCAGCCAGTTGACTCGCCCTTTCAGCGCTTGAAACTGTTGTACGGCTTCTTCCTTCGCGGCCTTCTCCGCCTTGATCTCTCTTCGTAGCCGATCACACTCCGATGTGAGTTTGGCCAGAACTTGTGATGTCTTTCCTGCCGTTGGTGCAGAGTCTGTTGGGCTCGTGAGCCCGTTCGAAGCTTGTTGCCATGGCGTTGACGGTGTTGGGTATGCCGGCTGCGGTAGCGCCTGCGGCATAGGCGATGCCTTTCGCATGACGGATGAAGACGAAAGGAAATTGGATATGTCGGCTTGTTGGGGTGAAGAGGACGAGTGGTGACCGTTTGTCAAGTCGGAACTGCCCTCGGGCATGAGGGCATGCCTTAACGTCGCAGTCTCAAGGGCGATCGGAGACGAGTCTCGTTGCGACGTGTCATGAAAAATCTCCTCGTCAGCAGCGAGAGATGTGTCAGAAGGGGTGTGGCGCCGCGGAAGCGTCACGGTGGTGATGGTGCCTAGCGGTGTGTATAATTAGCCCTGCGACTATGGACCGAACAGCCGTCAAAGCGGAAAGGGCGTGTGGGGACGTGGACAAATGCGCACGCTACGAAGGCCAGCTGAAATAGGGACAAGAGTGTCAATGACGCGAACGAGATGAGCCCAGGGGGGCGGCTTTCTCAGCGGACGCGAAACAAAAAGCAGCGAAACCGCGGATGAAACGACGCGTGCATGCTCGACGTCGTTGCTGAGAGGAAAACTGTCTTTTGCGTCAAGCGCTGCGTGGGCAAGTGTCCGGGCAACAGAGAAGCAAAACAAAGCACAAACCTTGTCGCGTCCTTGTCCCTGTCGTACCACTCCTGCTCATGCTGCTGCCGATCTCAGATGCATGCGCTGTTCCTGGAGGCATTTCCACCCCTTCAGCGAGCGCCATGGCCGCGCATCCAGCGACTGGTCCGAAGCGGGCGGGCGAGTGCTGCTCCGTCGCCCGTCCCAGCGGCGGGACGCTGCCGAGCGAGCTGATTCGCGGAGGGAAAGGCGATCGGTCCAGCGGAATGTTTGGCGACGAGGCTGTACGCGGCGTCGTGAGTGTAGCCATCGATGCCGCTTTCCTGACGCCAGCTTGTTGGACCTTGCTTTGCTCGAGCTGATCGCGCTCGCGATCGGCCTTGCGCGTCTGCCAGAATGGCATCTTCGTTGTCGTCGTCGTCGTTGTCGTTGTCGTCGTTGTCGTCGTCGTCGTCGTGACCTCCTTCGGTTTCGTCTTCGTTCCCGTCTTCTTCGTCGTCGGTCGTCAAGTTTTGAGACCTCGGGCCGGAACAGTTTTGGAAGTACCTACTCAAACGGTCAGCACGCAGTTGCTACCCCGTGGCAACGAGACGGCTGGGCGACAGCGAGCGAGAAAGACGATAAAGACGGCGAAGGACGAGTACAATGAGTCCAGTCTCAGTGAAGAATAGACGCGCCGAGTCACGGAAACGAGATCGAGACAGAGCGCTTTTTGCCCATCCTGTACTCTGTCGTGGTTGTAACAGGGCATAGAGAACTATGGTATCGGCATCTACGCTAAGAAGGTGCGCGTTCATTACTCCGTGGGCTTCAGCGGTCCTTCACTGTCATGTGAATACCGGGACTGGCTTCAACACCAACATCCCAAGAGCAGAGCATACATCAAACCTATGCTCCCCAGCAGCAACGTGCTTTGCAATCCTATTGTTTTCACAGGAGGCAACCGGTAGCTAGGCTTGTGCATATTTATTTCAAGCATCGGAACGAGAGAGTGCCACTAAACCTTATGCGTGTTGGCAGTTGACGCGAAAGAAAAGCGAAGAGCAAGTCAAGAACAGATCAATGTTTCGGCAGATTCGTTTGATTGCTAAGGACTCGGGAACAGAAGTCCGAAAGATAGAATTTCGTGCTCGTATATACAATGCTCCCAGGATGCACCAGCTGTTCTATACTTCGATCGAGGCCACTTTATGCCCGGGCATCTCGCCTCCAGATGGTAATTTTCAGCCAACCCCATTCTCAAGCATTTGATGGTCCTTTTGTCCATTTAGCTCGTTCGATTGCAGCTCGTCTAGTGCTTCTTGATCTGGTCCTCGGTGATGTAGTTTTGTTGCTCGAAGAGGAAGCCTCTAATCTTCGAATCCTTGAGTAGCTCCAGGTACTTCTCTGTCGGCATATAGCGTTAGCGTGCACTCCGCACTCCAAGATATGCGTCGCTCGAAGACACCGCCCACAGGTTCTACCATATAGCACTCGCGAGCAAAGATCACCTCGTGCAAAGTTCTTCTGCATAGCCCAATGCCTCACTTCTTTTCATGGAAGAGTCGCGGGATCCGTCATACACTTACCTCTCAGTTTGCCACACTTCTCCAAGTGATTCACACCCTCCGTCCAGTAACACTTGCCCATCTGCTCTCTGACTAGCCGCGCCATCATGACCTTCACCCACTGTTCCCGGATGATAGCATCCTGTGCCGCCTTGAGTGCACGCTGGTCATCGTAGTCAACGCCGTCGAAGGTAGGTGGCACCTGCGGCTTCTTCGCCAGAAACGCAGATGACTCCGGTGTCGGCATGGTGATTTCCCGTGCTGAGGCTTGCGATTATGCGAAGGGTGATGGAGGGAGCCACGCAATTGAGGTCGTCGTTGTTGCCAGTGATACGGGCTTTGCGGTAGCTCCTCTGAGGTTGGCGAGGGCAAGGCCACAAGGCGCGCACTCAACCCTCTGAGCTGTGCTCGGGAGGGCTTGGCGCGGCACCTCTGCATCTCGACGACTTCTTCCGAGAGCGAACAACTTCATCGCCAGCCATTCTACCACCTCCAAACTCATCGCTCGCATCCTGCAATTGTCTCAATTGCACACACAGACTATCGAGATGGCAACACCATTGTTCGGAAAGAAGTGGCCGGTGCCCGTCGGTGCGTAGTGGAGGTGCATGCGCCGAGGACATGAAGACTGACAGCTTTGGCAGCTCGCCCAATGATGCCTTTCTACGCTGCAGGTACGCCAGACTGACCATTCTATGTGACATTTACGGGATGAAAGAGGTGCTGGATGCATGATGTCGAGATAATGGATTTTCGTTGGAGAATGCAAGCGCAGCGGACGTACGAGAGCTGACACACTTCGTAGGCCTTATCGTCCTCTACGGCATCAACTCCTTCGCAGGCGTCCTCGCTAACAGTACGTTCTCGCTTTCAATTTCCCTTGCCCATCCTACAATCTGCTCACACTGGAACAGCCGACGAGTACAAGAACGATCCGAGAAACCCGAACGCCCGTGCAGGATCTCACTAAGCTAAGCTTTGTCGCCTAAAAAAACATGAGGGTGAAAGTTGCTCGATGATGTACGATAATGCACGGCAAAAGCACAATCAAATAAAAGTCGAAGCCGTCATGGAGGTAGAGGTGGCTGATCGCATTGTGTACATACAAGCATAGACCTCGGGGGAAAAAGACTAAGCAGATCAAAGCCAAGAGATTACGTTTTCTTTGTGTGCACATATCGATATCTTCCCATCCAAGTTCATTCAATCTCGTCAAAGCTGTACCCGCACTCATTCGTATCCTCGTGGTGTGCCGCTATATGTCTTGAGGTGTCTTGAGGGCATGGGCTTCGGTTAGAGCAGCCGACGATACGAATAGCTAACGCATGTTACTTTTGCCAAGCACTTGGCCGGAAGCAAATCGACATGATCAGTGTCACACGCATCGATTGAAGATACAGACGCGCAGTGGAATTTGCGAAAGCGACGATGTTGAACAAGCGAAGAAATTCCAGTCTTCGAGTCTCACCTCCGGACCTGACACTCTTCCGAGGCGCTGGCAAATGAATATTGAGCCTTTGAATAAAAATGTTGTATTACATTCTCTGGATCTTCGGATTCGGTATCTCAAATTCACACGAACAAACAGCGTATGTCCCATAGTCAACAGGTAAAGCAAAATGCAAACACTTCTTCATGCACCCTTGGCATACATCGTTCCACCAGTCTCGGCATCAAAGGCCATGTATCCCTCCAAGCCGCAGACTTCAAAGATCTTCCTGGGGCCAATTCCCTCTGGCGTGTTCTGCACGCCCGTCTTCTTCAGGCCCTTGATCGCGTCCCGCATGGCGACGTAGGCGGGCACAACCGTGGCGAACGGCCAGATGATGACCTTGAAGCCCATCTCCTTGGCTTCGTCCGCCGAGATGATGGGCGTCACGCCGTACTCGACCATGTTGAGCAGGCTGGGCCACGGCGCCAGGTCCTTCACGGCGCGGCGGCACATCTCCTTGTCCGTCATGCCTTCCAGGAAGGCGACGTCGGCGCCGGCGTCGCGCGCCGCCTTCAGCCTCTGAATCGCGGCGTCGTAGCCGAGGCTCTGGAGCGCGTCCGTCCGCGCGATAATGACGATGTCGCTGCCGATCCGCTTGCGCGCGGCCACCGCGGCCCTGATCCGCGACACGTACGTCTCCTCGTCGACGAGCTGCTTGCCGAGCAGGTGGCCGCAACGCTTCTGCTGCACCTGGTCCTCGATGTGGAAGCCGGCGACGCCGGACCGGGCGTACGCCTCCACGGACCGGGCAACCATGACGGGGCCGCCGTAGCCGGTGTCCATGTCTGCGATGAGAGGGATGGACGGGTCCAGGTTTGCAATCATCTCCGCGTGCGCGCGCATGTCGTTGATGGTCGCAATGCCCAGATCCGCCGTCCCTAGACGCGAGGCGGTGGTGCCGGCTCCGGTCTACGTCTTCGCTGTGAGCAGTCTAGTACTGTAGCATGCTTATTAATACACACCATGTAGAGGCAGTCAAAACCGCCTTGCTCGAGTACTGTGCGTGCCGACAGGCCGTCGTGAACGCCTGGAGCTGCGACAAAGCCATTCGGGTCTTCAATCATGCGTCGCAATTTCGTAGCGGCAGACATGGGGGTGTGAACCCCGTTCGTGCCGTTCGCTGTCATGTCGCAATACGCACTATGCTCTTCTTCTGTCTACGCTGTTGCCGATAAGCTGAGCTGTATCCTCGGCAGTTTGAAAAGCTCCAAAGACAAGAGGCGACTGTATGTCTAACGTACTCAAAGAGCTCGCTCCACGGGTCTCAGAGGAAAGAGGGCTACGAGACATCACAGACACGGATGAAGGCCATCATGTACTTATATGTCACTGTGGCCACCAGACCCAGCAAGATCATGGCCCCGAAATGCCCTTACTCGCGCTTTATGAGCAAGCTTTCCCTGAAAACACTACACCAAAAGCGTAGCTCCAAAAGATGGCCACATCCACCCTTGGCAGCCAAACACGCGAAGGCCCGACTTCGGCTACCGCGTTCTGACGAATGACGATGCCAACATTTCATGTCTGGGCGAGCAGATGGATTATATCCGTCGGCTCAACGTGCTCAGCCTTGCGGCAACGGTATTATTTCCCGCTTTGTGCTTGCGGCTGTTTGATGCCGACACCAAGAAACAGATTTCGCCGATGACGGGGCGGGGCCGATTTCGGAATCCGCGGTTTCGGTAGTTTTTTTTTTCTTTCCTCAGTGATGGCCTATGATGTGGAGTGCTGCGCATGGAGGGATATCGGTAGAGACGATGGGTACCGTTGGAGACGTGAGGCCAGGCAAAAATCGCTTGCTACATTAAACAGGTGAATGAAGGTGTGATGTCAGCTTCTGTACACGTCTGTGAGATATGAAAGAACGGCCGAGAGACTCTCTGCTTAACTTCGATAGAAGTCTGACTTACTGAACAATAAGGAGAACGAGGGGTGTTAAATGTCGTGTAATAAATAGCAGCGGCTGGGGACCTTTTGAGTTGAAAGTTAGATTATGAGGTAAGTTGCAGTGCGCTTCGCACATGGTGAAAGACACAAGGACCTGTGACTTCTATGAAAGGGATGCAGAATCACCGATGAATGCATTTGCATGTTGAGAAGATGATTGAAGACAACAAGACGTCACTCAACTGATGTGGCACTTGCAAGTGATGCTTCAAATGCGTTCTAGTAAGCTGCTGTCTATTCGTTTCAGACCAGAATAGCTGGGGGACGGCGGCCTGCATATCCTACGGCCCTTGTCTGTGAAAGACCTTCCCAGTCCATATCGAGGCTGTGATCATTTGAGACTGTCCTGGTCTTTCGGCAGTTCAGAAGCAGTTTCACGTCGACTTTGGCTTTCGGATGTACAAAATGTTTCGTCTTAACTACTTCGGCAAACGCCAGAGAAACAGCAAAGGCAGAAATAAACGGACAAGTAGCAAGCATGAAACTTTTCTTCTCCAATCACCCACCCGCAGGCAAGCTGATCAATGAAAAAAAGGGTATTCGCGTCAGCCCGAGGTAGTGCAATACGGGCGACACTGTGCCCCCATACATAGGCAAGCCCAGAGGTATGGCGGCTGGGTACAAAAATTAGATTAATCTTGAATTGTCGCCGTAGCGACGTTTCAGAGATTAAACTGAAAAGAACAGATACTACACTTGATCTAAGCCAAAAGGCAAACTGGGCAGAGAGTCAGCACACAGTCATTTCTAACGACGGGGTTGGGAAGACGAACGAGAGCTGAGGATCGGAGGATGGAGGACGAGCGGATTATATAGAGGACAGAGTGGCCCGTGCGCAGTGCTCCACCACGCGCTGGGCCAGCCGTGGGCCAATGCGCGGCCAAGGTGGCGTCACACCGCACAGCAACGCGGCCGTGGGACTGAATTGGCTGCGAGGAAGCTCTGTTCAGAGTGACAGCGACGATCATCATGAAGTGGAGTATCTTTGAATCATCAAAGTGAATGGCATCGAGGCTTCCAGCGCCTGCAAACCGCAGCACAGGTCATCGGCCCACACAAACATGTGCCGGCGGAGCGACGACTTCTCCTGGCGGGCTCCGTGCGACTCACCACTCACAAGGCCCCATTTTTGAGCGCTGCAGGGATTTTTCGTCCGTCTCAAAGACGCAGGGCGCTGTTCACTTGCCGCCTTTGGAGAAAAATTTCAAGAGCCTGGACGTCCTCCGGTAGTATCAAACACAGCGAAGCAAGTCACAAGCACAAGTGCACCAGCGCTTGCTAACGGGGCATCGATGCCTGATGCCGTCGATTTCAGGCGCCAAGGTTGCAAGTTCCCCGTGCTAATTACGCGATTGGTATTAGAGCGGCGAAAGACCCTATTACTCCACAAAAAGGACTGTAACGATTAGAAATCTAGCAGGCATCGTTTCCTCTCCGGGACAGTGGATCTGGCAACCTTTCTCATGAATCAGTATTAGAGTCAAGATCGGAGTGCCAGGCAGTTCCCGCTGGCACCCGTGCGATTCCGCAACCACAGCCGGCCCATGCAGCGCATCGCCAAACGACCAAGGTCTCGATTCGGTATGACTGACTGTGTTTGGAGCAATAATTGGGGACTGATCGCATAGGTTGCACACAATGCCGCGATAGGCATCGCAAATGCGATGAAAAGCGACCCTCCTGTGGCTTCTGCGAGGAGCGTGAACTCAAATGCAGCTATGAGACCGTCTTGAAATGGTCGAATCCAGGCAGTATCAGTACATTTGGAGTGCAGCAGCGCAAGAAGGAAAAGCCACCGAAGAGCTCCAACGGCGCAAAACAAAGCCCATCTTCGGCCCCTCGTTCCGAAGATGAGGGCGCTGGCTGCCAAGCAACCAGCTATGATCCAGTACATGAAGCCCGATCGCTCTTACCGGACATCAGTGAAAAGTCAAGCGATTTCATTCCTCAAGAAGCACATAAATTTGCAGCGACGAATCGCATTGCCGTCTCTTCAGAATCTGGACTGCTGTCCTCGACGAACGACTCGCGATCAGTCGGTTCCTCTGTGACGGCCCAAGTTCCGTACTACCCTTCATGCGGGGAAGGCTCGAATGTACCGCGTCATGATCATATCGGTGGTCTGGTGCCTCAACTTTCAAATTCACTCGATGAGATCGCGAGTCCAAGTAGCTTGAACTCATACACCATCGACAACATACTGAACAGTCTTCTTCATCAGTTTTTGGATAACCATGACGAGGAGATTGCTTTTATCTACTGTGAGTTAAGCAAACAAAGACCGTCCGTATTTCAACGAGCGAGTCATGCTAATTGTCACAAGTCGTTGAGCACGTCTGTAGCGTGATACCTGCTTATGATGGACCCCAAAATCCCTATAGGAAACTTGCAATTGTGGCACTCGCACATCCCGTCCTTCTTCACGGGATTCTGGCGGTTTCTACCGCATACATGTATAATCATGGCCGAAGCCATGAACATATTCTGTCAGAGCGACAATCTAGGGCCCTGAAATCTCTGCATTGGGCATTGAATGCATTCCAAACAGAGAAGGCTACCCTGACACCGGATGCGGACAGCTCGAGCGACATTATACAAGACTCGAGCGTGCTCTCGAGGCTCAGTGCAAAGGAAGTTGTGCTGGCTGCAGTCACTATGCAGACTTGTTCAGTTCTGATGTCTGGAATTGGAGTCTTTGAAGACCACGTGAAATGTTAGTCTCGCACATGACAATGGACCAGAATCATGAAAGCCTAGAAAGGCACAGTGTAGATGCCCAAATTTGCTCTACGCTTACATGATTCTGTTCGCATCGACCGAGAAGAAATTGACCGAGCTTCTTTCTAATCATGACGAGTAGGCGCCTTGCATTTTATTCAAGACCTTGGATGGTTTTACACCCCTCCCAAGAAGATATTCATGTGGCTCCTCGTTTATCGCTTTGCCACGGTGGACGTTTTTCTAGCAATTCTACGGCTTCGCAATCCAATTGCACCTTTAGACTTTTTTATGTATCGCCCGAATGAGTATCTCGACAAGGCTGATCCAAGTTTCCGAGAGATGATGGGCTTCTCACAGCGCGTGCTGTGTTTTCTGGCCCAGATCTCTGTTCTGAGTATCGATTTGACAGAGAGAAACATGCCAATCGATCTTGTTCAAGCAAAGGCACTCATGCTGGAGACAGAGATGCGCACTTGGGGTCATCATTATCACAAAAAAATGATTCAAAGTCTCGAGAGAGATCCAAATCCAGTTGGAACATTACCGACGCCTAAAGAATCGATGAATTCTCAAGCTGGGCTGGAAATCGTCTGTGAAGTTCACTATTGGATTGCACAGCTCTTGCTCATGCGCAGAGTCTTCTTTGATTCGACGAAGTCGCTCCGAGTCCAGAATGTCAGAAAATATCTATTCCGATTAATGGATCAACTCCCGGCGGGATGTGGACCTGATTCTTGCATGACGTTTCCGCTGTACCTCGCCGCCAGAGAGGCTGTAACCCCAGAAGATCGAGAGTGGGTTCGTCGCAAGCATGCTGCCACAATGGACGTCTACCGTCACCAGGCTAGGGTTGCCTTCATGGATGCAGTCGAGGAGATCTGGGCGCAATCGGATGATCTGGATTGGCAGGACACTGGGAATGTCCCCCAGTGGAAAACGCCAAAGGAGTGCTTCATAAGAGAAAGGGACAAAAATGCGTCGTACTTTGCGTTCTGAGCCGAATATGACTTGAACGGGTCATGATTTACGCTGTTCGTGGATATTTCTTCAGACATAGGATTCTGGAGAGGCCGGAATACCAATCGAATTTTGAGCAAGCATTTTTCTCTCGCGTGCTGCGAGTTGTCTGCCATCGATTTGAGCAGTCTAGTTTCCGGCAACGGATGATCTGTTTTTTGCTCTGCCTACTGATCTAAATCTTGACGTAAAAATATGGAATACGAACTTATTTGCTGCTAGCCGGACAAGAAGGCAAGCCCAGATACCGCCCAACTCAAAAGAATAATAAACGACATAAAGCCACCAGCCTCCATGACCACGTCTGACCAGCTCATATCTTGTCCCCGCGAGATGGCGATACGATCGAACGATGGGAATTGCAAATGCACAGAAGCGAAGCACTTGTAGTCCGGTAGGGCAGATACTCCATCCCATTCACATTGTATGGTTTGGGCAGGCACGGTCGAGATGGTCAAGGTGTAATCGTATGCCTTTGTGCCATCAACAGCCTCCCTGTAGCGCAGAGCCAGATTTATAGCTGTCTGGCCGTTGGCTTGGAAGAGCATCAGTCTAGTGAAATTTTTCTCGAGGGCTTCTCGCAGGTCCAGACTGGCGTCGTATATGGCTATATAAAGGCTGGGCGACGGCCTTTCAGACGAATCGTTCGCCGCCTTGTTCGTATTATCTGGGACGCATCAGCTTGGGAGCAACATCGGAAGACGGATCTGTACAAGTGAGGGGGGGGTCACTGACAGTAGAAGAAAACCTGCACGATCATCTCCGTGCCCTCATTCACACACATGTGCGACGAAGGGGTGGCTAAATCCAGATATCTGTACTTGACACCCTGCCACGTAAAGTTCCCGACGTCTCCAGGCGAGAAGTTGTCATCGCATCTGCAAGGTATAGGGGTCTCTGTGCCGTCGTTGGTGCAATTCTTGCCGTCCGTCTCGATCCAGCCGAGCCCGCACTTGGCCGGCTCTCGCGTCAGAATCGCCTGCGACGACCAGTCCACCCGCTGAAAGAATGCCACCGAAGGGAATCGAGCGCTTGCCTGGGCATCGTGAGTAAGTAGGGAGCACAAAGTCGCCACGTGCAGAGAGGGGGACATGGCTAACCACTGTCTCTTCCTGCGTGAACAGCACCGTCCGATTCAGAGCCACGTGCCACTTGCACCAGTACGCGAACGTTAAGATGACCATGCTCAAGACGAGAGACAGGACAGTGTTGCCTAGGTTCTTCCTGTATCTCACGCCAGCTGTGGCGATCGCGTTTCCATTAGCGGAATCCTTGGGTAGCGTTTTCTTTTGCTTTTTGTTCCCGTCGTTCTTCTTAGCACTTACTGTTTGGAATGATGTATCGCACGGCGTCGTAGGCCAGAAGAAGCACGATACACAGCGTGAACACGGCCGTGGCCACGGTCAGTGTGACGCGCATCGAGCCCAGGGGCCATCTTGACGCGACGACAAGCAGGATGGAGTAGACGAAGAAGCAGACCACAGCCGTGTAGGCTGTCAAAAGCGAGGGTAGCGACGTACTAGATATGCCCGGACGGCTCATGGCCAACCTAAACTGTACTCATACTTCGAGAGAAAAAATAAAATAAGAAATAAAAGAACGGCGTGCTTCTCTTCATCTTGTACGATCGGTTGACTTTTGGTCACTATAGTTGCCCTTCTGGCGACACATCTTAGGCCTCCTGTGATGGCATCGACCTGATATCAGGCTGTCTGCTCATTGAGCTGCAAATGCGGCCGAGAAAACAAAAAGCTGCTCGCAACAAGGATAAGAACGTCGAAAATGCTTCGGTGCATATCGCCTGCATTTCTCGACCTTTGGGAAGGGGGCGGTGGGGAGCAGCGGCCGTGAACCGTCGCTAAAAAATGACCTTGCAGTCTGTTGTGTCCTCTGAACTCATCACAGTCTTGCAGTTGAGCCTCCAATCAGACCGTGTCCGTTCTAGTTATTCGTGCACACGTCTTGAGAGGACAACCAATCCTATCACGCCCCGCGTAGAGCGCTTCGCTGCTTTGTGTTACACCACATTCTCCTTTGGTTGCCTTGTACGCCCTGTGGCAGCCACCTCAAAGTTAATCATGGAATCCTGCCAATATATAGAACATGTTTGTATTTTTGTGAAGTAGCTATATTTTTACAAGCCTATGCTCACTTCCGGTCGCCAAATCCTGCGACGTCTCGAACGAGCATTGAGTGTCATAAACTCCCCTACCAACTCAAATCCCTAGCCGTAAATGATCATCATGACGGAGTCCGCTCTTGCTTGTTATCGTAGCCGATAGGAGTTCAATCCCAAATATTCTGTCTTCTAAAGTTTTAAATTTTTGTTAGGTTTGGGCTGAAGTGCATTGGGGATCTGCTGATGGCACCAGAGGCCTGCTTTCTGCTTCAAGCTGCAACTGGCCCATCGTACCTTGCTCTGATGCAGCCTTCCCATTTACACCAGCTTGCCTAGCCACCGTGCTATTCATGGAATCCCTTTCAGCCTTCGCTTTCGCCATTCGGTTATTCTGAGCCAGATTTTTCTTCAAGTTTCTCAAGTAGTTGGCTGCGGCGTCAACCAAATATTTCGGTTCGCTACTGAGTTTGAGCTCGGTGAGCATTGTTCGCACCATGGTCTCACTCTTGAGGTGAGGGCATACTCTGCCGTAGCCAAAATGTGCTAAACCGCAAAGGTTACAATATTCAACTCCTGCTAGCTTAAGCGGACACGATCCGATCACGTGCAACTGTTTACACGCTGGACAATGGCGTGACATTGGGTACGGCTGCCCATTCGGAAGAAGTGGGGGTGGCTGGTTTATCATCTGAATAGGCCCTTGGAATGGCGGTAGGACGGTAACTCTCTGGAACGGTTTTGCTGCGAGGGAGGATGTCAGTGTCAAAATCATTGTTCAGAAAGTGTGGTAACTGACCTGGACGATCCTTAGTTTCCTCAAGTTCACTTATTTCAGATAGTCCTTTCCTGCTTTGTGTGGGATCAGGCACAGCCAGATCACCAGTCTTCGCCGTCCCTTCACCAGCACTCTCGTCTGCAGACTCTCCGCTGTCCCTGGGTCGGAAATCCGTATCACTATCTTCGCTCTGCTCGCCCTTCGTGCGTCCACGCTTTCGCCTTCGTCTTCGCCTTTCAGACGAAACCTTTGGAAGATCTTCGAGAGGGTTTGAGGTGGAAGATGCCTGGCCTTCGTCTTCGTTCTTGTTCTCGAGTACCACAATCCCAGATTGATCGTAATTGACCGTGTTACGTGCTCGCTTTCCTCTTCCAAGCTCAGGCTTCGCCGCACGCTCAGCAGCTTTGCGCTCTCGCTCCTTCAAGATCTTGTCCCAGAAGTCTTGGTTAGGCGCTGTTTCTTCCTCGGACACATTGAGCGAGTCCTGCAAAGCGGCAGAGTCATTCTCCCAGACACGAGCAAACGAGAATTGTGACTCTGCAGTGCTATCCTTGCCAGACTTTGTGTTCTCAATCTGGCTGCGGTCAAGCAGCAGGTCAATGGAAGCGTCATCGTAGCGAATGTCTTGGTTTTCTTTCTCATCGTCGAAGAGCTCTGCCATGCCGTGCTTAAGAATACTCTCCATGTCCTTGTCTTCCACGGAGTCATCGTCCAGTTGATTGATGACGACCTCATCAAGGGCCATCTTCCTTCGGCCAACCTGCAGGATCTTCTCCTCAACCGAGGCACGTGTCATCATCTGGAAGCAGAGTACCTTCTTCGTCTGACCTATACGGTGAGCTCGTGAGATGGCTTGTATATCTTGATGAGGATTGAAATCCGGATCAAGAATGATGACCGTGTCAGCGGTCGCAAGATTAATACCCACGCCGCCAGCTCTCGTCGAGAGAAGAAAAGCGAAAAGCGCTGAATCAGGCGCATTGAATTCGTCGATACGCCTTTGTTTCTCGAGGGCGCTGATGGTGCCATCCAGTCGCTGGTAAAGCATACCCATGCCATCAAGGAAATCTTGAACGATATCAAGCATGTCAAGAAATTGGCTAAAGATGAGGACACGATGGCCTCTCTGTTGTAGCTTTGGAAGTAGTAGTTCAAGCAACTGCAGTTTTGACGACGCCTCCACAAGATTCTTATGCATCACATGTTGCTCCAGGCCGCGCTCTTCAATATTACTATTGAAGACGAACGGATGGCAAAGGCACTTCCGCAGCTGCATAAGTATGTTGCTAAGGCCAATTCTATCTGAAGCTTTTACGATGCCCTGACTGAAGAGCGAGCGCAAAAGCTCTGGTTTCTTCGCCAAAATTGACTTGTAAGTCTTCTTTTGCAAGGTACTCATTGACACAGGGAGAATGATTTGCGCCATGGCAGGCAGAAAATGAAGAACCTGCAACTTCGTGCGCCTCAAGATGTAAGGGCGAATTAGGTCGTGTAGCTGGGTGATTTTCTCGTTGGTCATGTCTTCGTACTCTTTCTCCATTTGCTCTGCGTTGATTGAGTCATCGAGAAATTGAAGAAGGTTGAATAGCTCTCGTGCGTTATTTTGGAGTGGGGTGCCCGTAAGCAAAACTCGAAATGGGATCTTAAGGGCGCTGAGGGCGTTATGGAGCAGGCTTCCATCGTTTTTGAGGCGCTGTCCCTCGTCGACGATCATACCTTGCCATGGGACGCTACGAAGCATCTTTCGACTCCCTTCATCAATGGCAGTCTCATAGGAGATGACTACAGCATGGCAACGCAACTGCTTGCTTCCACCGGGGAAAAGCTCATACTTAAACGCCATGTCCCTAGCGATTGCGCTTCCATAATATGTGACAACCCTCAATGATGGGGCCCACTGTTTGATTTCGCGCCTCCAATTCGGACATGTGGAATTTGGGACTACGACAAGGAAGGGGTAGCATTTCAGATCGTGAACCATCATTGCTAGAAATGAGATGACCTGGATCGTCTTGCCCAGACCCATCTCGTCGGCGAGGATGCCGTTCCGGCCTTGATACCATTTGTAAAACAACCAGTTTAGTCCCTCAAGCTGGTACTTCATTAGCTTGCCGCCCTCGAGGTTGGCAGGTTGTTCTTTCTTCTCCTCGAAGGGCTTGCTCTTTAGGTTATTGATACGCTCGCGCAGACGTTCCCCTGAGGGCAAGCTAGTATATCGACCAAGCACCCAGTCATTGTAGGCGGTGACAAAATCCGTCCAACGATCGCCATCTTCAGGACGTGGTACTTTCTCCCAGACTGCGTCTTCGTATCCAAGACCCTTATACTTGATTAGAGCAGTGTCCACTTCTTTGATCCGCGCCCTGTCGATATCTTGTGTATGGAAACCAATCCTGTTCGTGTACTTCACGTCGAGCACAATATCAATGCGCAACCACTCTTCTGGAATTGCATCCTCAGTTGTCATCTTCGGTTGAGGGCATTTCTTGAAGAAGGTACTTCGAGTAATATGTGAGACAACGCCCCATGTCCATGCACCAGGCATCCATTGGGCTTGGAAATAAGAATGGTCTTGCCACTTGATTAGATATTCCTTTTCATCTTCTCCGACAGTTCTCACATCCAGCGTCTGCTGATGACTTTCACCACCGACGGGACGCCAGGCAATGATAGTATCGACTTTTCCAGGCATATCTGCGCATTCTTTGCACTTCCAGTCTTTGCTGTACTCGTCAAATCGTGCATCAGCCCGTTCCGTCTCGTCATCGAAGCTCATTGAGTACTGATTCCTGGGTTCGAGGTGGTGGAAATGTGAGGCTCGCGAGCAACCAATACAGCGGAATAGTAAGTTCTCAGGATTATTCAAGAGCGTTGATGGCACCTCGCAAATTGGATCATTTCCCTCGTTTTCCTCGCGCTCTTTTTGCTCTTGCAAAAGCGTCTTGCGTGCACGAAAGGGCACACAACTCAGACCCTTTTTACGACAGTCTTGGCAGCGTGCCAGATCAGGTGCGTTGGGATCCTTCTTCTGCTGTGCATTAACACAACGGCGGCACTGGAGTACGAAGTCGTCCTCGCCAACTTTAGTAACAAGGTGCTCGCGTGTACTACGTGGACCGAGACACGTTTGATGGTATGCCAGCGTACAGCCTTGACAGTAGACCATCTGGCTTGAAGAAGGATTGGAGCTGCGGCACGTATCACAGAAAGAGATATGTCTCTCTCTAAATTTGCTGCCACGCGGAAGCGGCTGGAAAATTTCCCGAATAGCTAATGGCTTTTGGTGAGTTCGCGTGCTTCCAACGTCCTCAGACTCAAAGGAGTAGATCTGCTCGTCATCTATCTCTCTCATGCTATTCAAGGTACGAGTTAAGCGCTCTGAACGACGTGTAGGTTCCTGTTTAAGCCAGTTCTGCGCCATAGCTGCTGTTCGCGTCCCACGCTTTCTGCGACTGCGTGGTAGATCCGAATACATGCCGCTCTCATTGCTTTCAAAATTGGAGGTTTCGATCTCGTCGTCGGATAGAATTATTGGCCTGACTCTGCGTGAGGAACCTCCATAGACACTCGAACGATGAGACAATTTGTCCGACGCAAGATGAACAAACCTGCGCATTCTTCTCCTCTCGGGTGGGTCGCGTCGCGCGCGCTTCGGCTCACTGTGATATGAAATCTCGTCTTCAGAAGCTCGTTTGCGCTTCCCTCCGTTCTTGAGTCCTCGCTTTCTGGATCTAAGGATCGAGCTGTTCGAATCGCTTTCTTCGTCTTCCAGGTCGCTTAGGATGAAATGGGTGATTTCATCATTGTCATTGTCATCATCACGCGCTCGCCGCCGCCGACGAGAGACCCTCGCCTGTGGCTCGATGTCGTCTTCGTTCGACGTTGACTTATCCTCATCGCTTTCCGAGCTGATTTCTCTGCTTTGAAACGTCTGTAACGCCGACTGGCCATTTTCAAGTTCGAGGAGTTTATTACGGGGTACCTGGAAGTTGCATGTGAGTGACTTAGGCTTGAAAAATACTTGCATTATGACGGGTAGAGGAGTGAAGTCTTAGCTAGGATTGTGATGCGCAGATACAAATATGTTCTTCAAGCTAGGATGGACGCGAAACGGTCCCGAGAAACTTGAAGTTAAAACTTGCACGCACATCAATTGCCTCTAAAGAATTGTCTGATCCGGGGTCACACTCCTACAACGGAGCCGAAAGAAACCTGAATGACGGGTAATCTAAGTTCAACTCACCCTGTCCTGCCGTGTATCCCCGAATTGGATGGTGTACACAGGCTCACCCTGCTCTTCCTCCTCCCGTAGAACCTTTGCCACGCGATTCTCATCGGCGAACACTTTATAGGTTTCACGCTGAAAGGAATTCGGTATTTCTACCAGAACATGTTCTAGACGGCTTGGCTCAATCTGTGCCTCTTCGACAGCTAGATCTTCTGTTCGATCCCTTCCTGCTTGCTGGTCGCCAGAACTCATGCCCGGCGAACTAGCTGTCGAGTTTTGATCCATGTTATTCCAACTGGCATCCGCACATGAGGTGGCAAATGTGGCATTGTCCGTCTCCTCTAAATGTCATGCTGGAATATGCCGCCGGACAACAACGCGAGCTGAATTATCGTAGGCTTACACATAGTGCTTCTAGTTTTCGCGGATCGGTCAGATTGAAATGAAGGAAATGTGGATGGAGGGCTGAGCGAGGGAACTTGGCTGCCGAATATATAACGCGGCCTTTGCGGCTCATCGAAGAGAGGATCAAGTCAACCAAGAGTGGCCGCGCGACGAACGGACAGTTCGCGGTGGCCCAAGTTATGCCAAGAGCCGGTGCACGCGATTGGGCACTCCTTCCAGAACGGGCTGGTCAACTTCGCGGCGTTTCTGGCGCATTTCTTCTTCGGGAAGCCTGCACTTGACTTCAAATGACCAGTCTATGTCCTGACCTGCACTGTGACAAACGCTCACTGACATGTCCATCGCGAATTGCAATGGCACCCGTGTAGCATTCTTATCTTTGAAGCCCACAAATCAGACTCTTCGCTATCCGGTGCACCATCAGAGACGATGGAAAGCCTTCGGATCTGCGCTACATGACGGCCTAAGGAGAGATGCGCAACAGCGCGAGAGGAAGCTAACGCAAGGCCGCTGGTCTTCACGAACATCTTCGGATACTCTGAAGAACAGCAGTTGGTCAGATAGAGAGGCGAGCTTTCCTCGAGTCCATTCCAGGACGACACAGGGCAAGAAAGATTCGCGTCGTGAGGAACGCGGGCGGCGATCAGAAGGCTCAAGGCAAGACTTCGAGTCAGGAACGAGCGCCTCGTCCTATCCGTTAAGTGTCCCATATACTACGGCTTCCTCTGAATTTTTGTATGGATACAACACCGTCTATGCCGCCTTGCGAGCGCGGAAGCGAACATGTTATAAGCTATACATCCATTCGCGTGGTGCTTCAAGAGATGAGGACTCAAAACAGAAGGTTACATTGCGGAATCTCGCAAGACAGGCCAAGGTCTCCATTGTAGAGGGTAGTTCTCTCGATGTCAGACTTCTGGACAAGATGAGCGACGGGAGACCCCACAATGTATGGCTATGAGCGAATCCTGTCGAGCAAATGTAATATCTAATCAACACTGAGTAGGGCGTAATTCTTGAAGCATCTCCATTGCCCATCTTTCCATTAACATCTTTAATGCCCCAGGATTTCAACACACCATCGCTGTCTACATTTGGCATCCAGACCAAAACCGGAAAAATCCAACGATTTCGACACAGCAATCCACAACCCACCGTCCTGTTCATCGACTCTGTTCTGGACGCCGGGAATCTGGGAGCTATCCTCCGCACGTCGTATTTTCTAGGCATGGATGCGGTGATCTTAACCCCTCATTGCGCTCCCTTGAACGCAGTTGCGCTCAAAGCGAGCGCCGGAGCTGCAGAAGCGCTGAATTTGTTTAGATCCGAGAACCCTGCGGGGCTGCTTGAAGACAGTGCGAAATCCGGGTGGAGAAGTGTTTGTGCCAGTACGCCTGGGGATTCGAAATCGAGGAATGTAATGACCTTTGAAATGTCGGAGAGAGGAGTGCGATATTCCTTTGTTGAGCAGGCGCTCAGAGCGGGTGAAGGCGTGGACGAATTCTTAGCGAGAGGACCGGTAATCATAATTGCAGGAGGTGAGGGCAGAGGGTTAAGGAAATTCATTACCGAGAAAGCGAGCGGGTTCGTGGAAATTCTGCCACAAGATCCAGCAGCAATCGAAACGGTGGGACTGGACAGCTTGAATGTCAGCGTAGCCGTGGCGATGGTTTCCCAGGAAGTTATGACCCGAATGCGAGTTGGTTCTGGGACGGTCCTACACTCGCGGCCACTTGAAAAGACACAAGGACTTCAAGAAGCTTCTTCGGTGGGGGTGAATCTGGATGAGAAGGGAGACTTGGGCTTTTCCACCGGTCCAAGCCCACGCGTGCAAGCCAACATCAATGAGATCGAAGAAGGGCCAAGCGAAGTTGAGAGGAGAAACGAACTGCTCTAACTAGCCCTAGGCAACGCTGTCTTGAGCAGCCTCAGAAAGCAAAGTGAAGTCGCTAAATTACGGTCACGCTGTATTGGACGACCAGTCCCTCAGTGAGATTCTTTGCGTAGGAAGATACGTACGGGCAAGAAAGTGCTGTGTCAAAAAAAATTTTTTTTGAAGATTCATAACCTAACATGGTACGTCAGACCTTACCGTCACGAGCGTCAGCCTCGCTCTTGGAGATCAAATCAACAGAGCGGGCTTTGACGGTGTCGCAAATCCTCTCCACCGTCTTGAGTTATGTGTGCAAAACGCTCGTCCGGTCTTGAAATCGCAAACGAAGCGTCCCCACACCGTCGGACGTTCCTTTCTCTCCTCTCAAATGCACTCGTTCAGGTCATTCCACTCACTGGCTCCAAGAGATGGGGATCTGCCACGACGTCCGCTCACATGACAGTGCAGCTCGAGCTCGTTTTGGCGGGCCGCTGGCCTCGTAAAGACTGCGCGGCGTCGCGCACTGCCTCCGACAATCTCCCTGACTTCGTTGCTTCCTTCGCCGCACTCCGCGCTTGCTTTGGCGCCGCGCAAGCATATTTGTTCGTAGCGCCGAGCACCTCGCCGGCCTTTCCAGTCAGCCCCGATCCTCGAAAAGCCGTACTCTGGCGCAGAGGGTAGTTCGATGGGACAACTCTTGGGAGCGGCCTCCTGGCGTACTTCTCGACTTGTTCCGTCGGCGGCGGCTTGAAATATGCCTCGGACTGATTGTGCGGAACGGCTACCTGCCTGCATCTCTTCTTACTCATGTATCTCGGTTGAGAGCTCGACTGTTTTGTAGCCTTCATACGGAAGCACCAGTCGTTTGGCGGTGATGAGGCAAGCAAAGTGGGTGGCATTCCATGGATAGCATTTGCAAAGGTAGAAGCGTTGTAGTCCTGGTCTTTGACTTGTTTGGATTCAGCCGTAGGCATTTCAGCTGCCTTCTTGTCTTCGTGTTTACGTTTGACACGCTTATGTTCTTCGGATGGTAACATTATCTATGTCTAAAGTGTTGGGCATGTGTGACGGAGACGATTTAAGTATTCGCGAATGGGATTCATGCTGAATACGTACACAAGACTTTTCCTGGCTACAATGCGGCTTTGTTCAGTTACTTTGGCATTCAAAAGCTAAGAATACCTTTCACTTGCCCACTACGTTGTGTAGTGCATATTGATCTAGAGGACAATGGCCGTGAATCACATGTGGCGTTAGACTACCAATCCAACAACTCTGTACATAGCCTTCTTGCCCTTTTTTCCTTCAAACACTTCTGCTTGCAGAAGGATCATTCTTGATCTATTTTTTTCAACCTGGTGCATAGTGTTAACAACTATATCTGCCTCTCTTTATTTCGGATTTAAACCGCAGTTAACTTCCCCCCCTCTCTCGTTCGCTATGCCGCTTTTATGCCGACTACACAACACCCGTATTGTTGTCCAGTTCATGCGTATCATTCCAATTGTGCATTCGCATTTTAGAATCGAAATGGCTGATCGACAGACTCTCTTTCGCAAAGTGCTTCAAACGTCGAACATGAGACCTTTCCAATGAATCAAAAACCGTTGGTGTGTACGAACGATTATGAAGCGGAGCAAATGGGGGAGCAGAACACACACGTCGCTGCCCGTGGCTGGACCGTCCAAATGACTACACCCTTCTCACAATGCTCCTTTTGTAGTTAGTATTCCTGTCTGAAAACTTGAATTTGTGATTGCGCTCCATAATTCCCCATAGAAAAACTAGGCAACAAAAACATGCCGTACACATCGGAAATACCTAGCTCTTGAGCAGATCCAAACAGCTCTTCACGGCTCGTCACATGTGACTCGGAATGAAAGCGAGTTCGTAAAACAGGTGCATTACCTCTACCTATCAGATTACCAACGAAAGCTGCATATGTATATATAAAAGCGCCTAGCCTCCAAGACTCATGCAAAGATTTATTCAGCATGACACCGTGAAGTAACTTTGCATTTCTTATTCCTTCGCAAGTTTCGCATCCAAACAACAATGAAAACAGAACAATACCAAGTCGAACTGAAAGCCAAGAAGCGAAAAGAATGTATACACAAGGGTACGTTCGCCATACAATACATTTGAACGAAGGCCTTGGGGAGAGCAAAGCGTCAAAAAGGGACGTATGGACGAACAAGTCACGGCCCTGCTCGTACAAAGTATAGTCTCGATGAAGAATGAAAGAGTAAAAAGACATTATGATGGGAAGGGTATAATGCAACACACGGCCCATCAAAAACGCTTGTCTGCTCGCAGTTGTTGCGACCCGCTACAACTACCACGTATGCGTGTGAAATGAGCAGGAAGGAAAGAAAAAAAAGAAGCAATGCGTGCGTCCTCTCTCTTTCTGTTTACCGCACACCATACTAGTGATGGCAGCAGTCCCCACATTCTGATCGCCAGTGCAATTCCATACTCATCAGCGTGAGAATATATTAGCATCCTCAGAGATGCGGAAATTAAAAAAAAAAGCCTCAAGCACAAACGAAAGAAAATTTCTCATCTAACAAAGACATGATGCACGCACAAGTCGAAAGAAAGATTTCGTCATGAGGTACCTGAAACAGGTGAGCCTCCTGCCTTTGCATCAGTCTTATCACCCTCGTTGGACCGGATGCTCAAGTCCATCTTCTTCCTCCAATCACTCAGTCCGCCTGAACTGCTGACCTCGGGAGTCGAATTGACGGATGACCCCATAGTCGATGTTGACAGACCAAGACCGGAAGAGGAGCTTGGCTTTTCGAAGTCAAACTTATCGCTAAGCCTGTAATTTTTCTTGCTCGACTCTTCCCAATGCGTGCGCAGGGCATCCAGTTCGGATGCTAGGGAGTCGAGTGCTGTACTGGACCTGTCTCGCGCATGCGTCGAGCCAGACTTGTCGGAGCTGACAATACCGCCCGCGAAACCGGCTGTGGCAAAGGAATGAGCACTGGGAGTGAGCTCGCCCGAGTTATCTGTCTCGGCATCTTCTGTATCCGTAATGTTGCTGAACAAACTCTCACCGCCGAGGCTGTCTTTGTGGCCGTGTCTGGCTACACCGTTCGGGCCCCCGCCTGCAGCACGATTCTGAGCTTCAAGACGCGATTGTCGGCGGTAGTTATCGACAGAAGTCTCGAACTGGTCGAGGAAGAGCTGGACTTTCTTTTCAGCATCTTTAGCGCGCTCCTCGAGTAGGGAATTCTCTCGTCTCAGAGCTTCGAGATCGGCGTTGGCACGCTCGGTAATGTTGTTGATGCGCGCCGTGTGTTCTGCTTGCGATTCATTGACTTGCTTCTTCAACGCGTCACGATCTGCCTCTGTCTTCTCCAGCGACTCTTTCAGGTTAGCAACCTCACGCTCCAGAGTCGCCATATCGCCCTTGAGCTTCTCCAGCTCCGCCGCATTTGCCTCCGCATTAGCCGCACTTCCACGCCGCTCCTTTAAGCCTTTCTCTAGCTCTGCATTACTCGCCTTGGCCTTCTGCAGCTCCTGCTTCATCTTGGCAAGCATTCTCTCGAGGCCACGAACGTACTTCATCACACCTTCACGATCATTCTCCAGAGTGGCAAGCTTTTCCTCCCACTCCCGATTGAGCTCCTGTTCACGACTCTCGAATGCGGCACGAACTTCCTCTCCGGCTTTAACGCTCTCTTCCAGCTGCCGCTCCAGCTCGCGGACTCTTCCTGCTTCGGGTGTGCCGTACCTGCTGGACGGACTGTCCAGAGCACGTGAGCGCCGTACATCTGCGCCTGCAGTGCTCACACCCCGCTCTTCAAGCAGACTCTTCAATGTGCGCAGCTGGACCTCCAACGCATTGCCCTCGAGTTGGTTTCGTTCAAGCTGCGCTTGTAAGGAAGCGCGCTCTGATTGGGCGGCCTGCGCCTCCTTAACCGCGTTTTGCAGCTGCTTGCGTAGATTGAGCGATTCTCTCGTTGTTTGCTCCTGGTATTGCTCCAAACCTGCGATGCGCTCTTCCGCGCGACGTAAGCGATCTGCCGCGGCATCCGCGGCCGCCTTATGCTGCCGTGCCATCTCATTCGAGATGTCGAGCTGTTGCCGCAGAACTGTGACACGCTCGTCGTTGATTTCATCTTCGTCAAGACCGCGAGCGGATACGCGGTCCAGGCCAGAAAGAACAGCCGCCTTGTGCGTGCGCGCTTCTTCGGCATGTTTCTCCGCGAGCTCCTCTACCTCCTTCAGTTTGCGAGTTGTCGCAGCAAGCTGGCCCACGCTCTCCTCGTGCTCATTCTTTAGTTGTGCGTGTTTCCGTTCTAACGCCTCACGGAGCTCGCGCTCCTCGGCAATTCGGCGTTCCAATAGATCCGCCTTCTCTGTCGACGCCGTGACAGCTTCTCGAAGCGTCTGTAGGACGAGCGCATGATTTTTGGACTCTGACACGACCTTCGCATGTTTGTTTGCCATGTCCGTCTTGTCTAACTCATGCATGCGCAGCTGCGCCAGCGCCTCTGCGCATTTCGTCGACTCGTCCCTGGCGATGCGTTTCGCCTCGTGGAGCTCGGCTCGCAGACTCTCCAGCTCAGATGCAGCCCGCTGCTTATAAAGATCCAGCTCTGCAGCCCGCTTCTGCGCCGCTTCTGCGCTGTCCTCGACAACGCTCCTGGCCTTGCGCTCAGCTTCGAGCTCGGCGGTCAGACTCTCTAATTTGGCGTTTAGCTCATTGTGCGCTGTCAGCATACTCGCCAACCTGCGGCTCATGTCGTTATTACGCTCTAGATCGGGTGTTGAGGCGCCTTGCTGATCTGGTTGGGGAGTACCTGCCTGGCTGTTCCCACCTAGATGCGCCGCGAGCTTGGCCTTTGCATATACAGCCTCGCTGATCGCCGCGTCGCGCTGTTTTTCTATCTCTGCAATTCGTGCAGCGGTTGATTCGGCTTGAGTCTCGATTGAGCCTTGAACGCGTGCAAGCTCCGCCTTCATCTCGAGTAGAGCTTCGATTAGTGGTCGGTCATCATCGTCAAAGATGTTCGCCGCCTGCTGATCTAATAGAGGATTTCCATTCGTACTTTGATTGTACCCAGCCTTTCGTGCAAGCGCCAGCTCTGAAGCGAGCCATGCGTTACGACTCCGCGCTGCTTCAAGTTCTTTGACCAGATCTTCTGTGTGCTGACCCAATGCAGGACTCGATCCTAGTCCGCTGTCAATTTGTTGCTGTGGTAACGTGTCCCGAGTAGATGTACGTGTCAGTTCCTCGGACTGGCGTGGGGTAGAACGTCCGCCAGAGCTATCTACAGACGCCTGCTGTCTTTGTGTTCTTGATCCACTTCGTGACGGTGGCCCTTGGCGAGACTGCGTTCCCGAACTTGCTCCCATGGTGCTCATCATTCCGCGCTCAACGCTGTTCGGGCTCTGAGCACCCATCGCACGTTCCCTTGATGTGGGAGAGCTCATATTTTCGCGTTCGTACATCTGGGTTTTTGATACCGCATCCGATGGCGCACCCCTTGTTGGAGTACGGCTTCTTGATCCAGGCTGTCCGGGCATCGTTCCAGGTGGTCCCCTGGGCTGGGGAGCTGCTTGGGGAGGTGGTGGTCCAGATCCAGCATTTCGTGGCAATCGAGATTGCTGGCCTAAGCCTCCTTGCTGTTGCTGTGACAGACCGTTCGTTTGCGAGGCATTCGCTACATCTGCAGACCGTGCATATGATTGACCAGAAGTCACTGGAATCCCTGATTTCTGGGGTATCCTGCTTTGATCGTTGCTAAATTTTCTTAGGGGTAATTGGCCACCGGGGCCTGTGGGCGGTGATTGCTGGCCTTGAACGGGCACTCCCCCAGGCGCACTTTCGCTTGCCGGGTATCTGATCTTAGTCGTGTCAAGGACATAAGCGTAACTTAGCTCTGCAGCGTCCCTGGGTGCTGAACTGGGTTCTCCTGCTAAAACGACAATATGTTTACCAACAGCAGTCATGCTGTGACCTGAGCGTGCCGAGGGCGAGGAGCCCATGTTTTGGAACATGTACCAGCGTCGCGAAGAGATTTTGAAGGCTGCAAGATCGCCGAGATCCGTACCATCTTGCAGGCGGCCACCAAAAATATACATAGTATCATTGACCAGTGCAGCCGCATGTCCTTCTCGCGGCGCTGGTATGTAACCTATACAATCGAGTTCGGACCATTGATTGGTACGAGCATCATATACCCACACGTCATTAAACCACTGTGTGCCGTCCGTGCCTCCAAATCTGAAATTGTTATTAGCGCCTTGTGAACGTGTTCCCTCCAAAGCCATTCACAAGCATAGTTGACGGAGAAGAAGGAAGGGAAGTCTTACAGATAGAGTTTATCCTGCCAAGTGACAGTGCTGTGATTCGTGCGTGCCTTGGGAATAGCCCCGCCTGTACCTCCATTTGGAATCAGCACTTCCCATCGATTGCCTGGCGTCTGCAAAGAATTTAAATCAAATGCGACTAGATCGTTAAAGAAATAACCCTCCACCTGGCCACCAAAGATATAAATCTTGGAGCCAAGGATATTAAGGGTATGGCCGTATCGGCCCGCAGGTCTTGGTCCAGCAGGCGAAGCCCTCGACCATTGCTTTGATGCTGCAGTACTCCTGTTAGCGGGTATCCTCCTGGTTACAGGTACAGATCATATACGTACAAATATTCAACAAATATAGCGTGTCGTCAAGAACGTCGCCCTCCTCTAACTTGGTGTCGCCGCCAAAAACGATGAAGGCATTGCCGACCAGCAGACTCGCATGTCCAACCCTGGGTCCGGGCCCTTCGGATGTGGTATTTACGGGGTAGCAGGCCATAGAGCCATTTCCAACCTCCACCATCCAAAGATCACCCTTGACAGTCTGACTGTCGACCAGGCCGCCCATGAGGTAGATCTGGCCCTCCTTGCTGGCTGTCGCATTTGTCGCAGCGCCATAGCGAGGAAAAGGTGCTACTTGAGCGGTGAAGTTCAGGCGGCGTGTGGACCATGGATAAGGCGAATCTGCTTGGGGGGAGCGCGCTGTCTGTTCGACGCGATGTGGACGTTAGCTTCTCTGAGCGCCAAATTTCTTTAATCCACAGCACGACCAAGAAGTGCTTCGGAAAGCTTGTGAAAGTTGGGAAAGACGTACACCTAGATCTGACTCCGCGCGTTGCCTCATCATCTTGCCCGGCTCTGGTCCAGGTAGAACTCCGCTTGGGGCAATCCCTGAAACAGCTGCTGCCGCCTCGATGCCCCTCAACGAGTCGAGAGATCCTGTACCTTGGCCTTGTAGCTGCGCCCTCCGATCGACGGCGTCACCTTGTCGTCCGAGGCCATTAGCTGTAGGAATGCGGGTCTCGCCATGAGAAGAGGAGATCTCACGAGTAGCGACGGGAAGGGCGTTGCCCGGCTGCGTCTTCTTCGACTTGCCGAAGAGGAATGACATTGTCGTGCGGGTTATTGGGGAAGCATGTATACTACGAGGATGGATATGAGGATCGGGCTAGGTCGTTGTAGTCGTCGCACGACGGCAGTCAAGGTGAAGATGGCGCGCGCACAATTTTGCGGGAGTGAGGTGTAAGTAAATCGCACCCACAGCGAGGGCGAGGGCGATTGCGTGAAGAATGGAATGGAGAGACGAAAGCGAGAATCGTGAGGGCTGGCTATGCAGACCGAACAAGGAAGTCTCGACTCGAAGGCTGTACGGGGGTCGGCCACGCCTTCCTTCCAGTCCTCCAACCTAAAGAGCGGAGGCGCAAACAAGCAGGAACGACGATGAATGCAAAGGGTAGCGAGAACAAGGTGCTCGCATGTCCTCTTCGTCGCAGACGGCGGTGGGTAGCGGCGGAAGTGTCGTAAGAGCGTAAGACGTTAAAGTTGTGGTGAGGAGACTGTTGGAGGTGTGTCAAAAAAGCATCCCCCCCGGCTGCACCAAAGTTGTCCAAGTCCCCGTAAGGGATTGGAATGTTTCAAGACCGGAAGCGGAAAGGAGAGAAACTGGTGAAGGGGAAGTCTGGACGGATCCTGCCTTCCTCTCTTCCCACCGCCCAGCTCTCTCTCGCTGCTTTACCAGCAATCCTTTCCTTTGCTAAGGCGTGCCGATGCACTTTTCTTCTTTCTCCTTTTTTTTTTCTTTCTCCCTCCCGCTGTTCTGCACCGCTGCAAGTGTGTTCGTCGCGCAGCGCACGCTTTATCCACCGGGCTAAGGGGAATCACTTGAGGCTATTGGCCCGTCGACACTGGAATGCTTGCCCATTTCTTCTCCAATTGTTTCTTATGCAGCCATCTTTCTGTCCTTTGTTTCTCTCCGTTCGGCTCGTCACATTCAGCTGCTGTTGTTCGCACTTGCCACTCGCTCCCGGCGATGCATGCGCCTGCCGTGGTTTGCAATTTACTCGCGTAATGTTGCTCAAGGAAGCGACGATCGGGGCATTGCACGCTCTTCCGAAGGAGTCACCACCGGCAGTGGCCACCCTCCCCGTCCTTCCTTCCGTTTGCCTGCACTCGTGTGGCTAGTGCCGCGCACCGCCGTTTCCTGTGCTGCACAAGACATGCAATTGCGGAAAGCGCCAGTCGTCGCAGTCATCCGTCCCTTCCCACGGCCTGCACGGAAACGCAACCTGTATCTACGTCACATCCACACTGGCAGCGTTGCGTGCCCGTGCTGTTCGCAGACCGCGAAGCAGCCGCTTCACACACCCTGTCGGCGTGCGCCCATCGGTTCCTGCAGGTGTGGGGCACAGAAACTGGCGGACGCTCTGCTAACGCCACACCTCCTTGGGGTAACCTGCTCCTGTCTGGTCCCAAACTACATTCGTCAAAACTTCAACTTAAAACCGTCCTACATCGATGCGTTAATCTAGGTTCTAAAAAGGTGGAGAACCTTCTTGCACATACCTTGATTCCAGGTCCCATGCTGCTTTGTCTCCGGAGAGCACGGTCAAGTCCCACAGGCGTCTCGACTTTTCTTCTCCGGATATAGCTCGGTATGGACGAGGCCGTGTTGTATTGTGCTATACACAGTCCGAACTAAGCAAGCACCATGACTATACAACACCTTAGCTCACTGCATCTAAGTAGCATCAACTTCCGAGGGAGCGCTGGAGAGTGGAGCAGGTATGACGTGCAGCATGTGCGTTCGATTGTCCAAGCCGGCCTTAAAATGCCAGACTCCATGCCGTATAAGGCCCAGTCCGTAGACGGTATCGAGCAAAAGTAGGACAGGCATTCCTCTCTTACGTGGCACGTTGACGCTATACAGCGATTCATGCAGGCACCAATCCCACTTATAGCAGCATAAACGAGGCATGCAATCCGACAGCTTAACCACAAATCCCATCCATTTGAACAGAATATTACCAGTGGGGTAATGCAGCAAGCTAAGACGTGCGTATTTATACGCCAACCACGAATATGCTCGTTAACCTCTTCGATTTTTTTTATCGTGGGGATTTCCCCCTTTTGAAAGCTGCGCCTCCCAAAAGGTCCTGATTCAACAAGCTTGATCGATTCATAAAGTGGAATGGAGGCATAGCGTAAAACATATTTGCACAGGCTGGCGGTTTTTATTGGCTAAAATCAAACGGCATGACCTCCATAGAGCGGGAAAAAATCCCTTAACAATCCCTCCGTGTGAAATACCGCATATTGTGCAAGTCGATCCCAATGGTGACCGACTGCAGGACTTATGTACCATACATGAAACAGGGAAAGCTTTATTACAGTTCATTGCTGCAGCATCCAGGCTGAGTAGCGAACATGCTCTACATCATCCATAGAGCGACCGGAGCAGCACAAATACAGCAGGATAATCCAGACGGAAAACTCAATGCATTAGCTGCGGCCGAAGATGACGATGAGGTTGGAGAAGCCCCCGCTATGCTGACAGTAACTGAAGGAGCCGAAGTTGTGACCGAATTAGTTATCGGTGTGGACATCTGAGAAGAAGTTAGCAAACAGAAATGAAAGTGCAAACATTTACGTGGCATACCAAACTGTTCTTTGGACCCGTAGGAGTAGGAGACAGAACAGGAGTGGTGGGTGTGAACGACACGGCGGCATCGCAAAAGGAATGCCAAGAGGATACCTGGCTGTTCAGTGTTGCATCCCAGCTCTCATCGCCTACGCACTGGCGGAGTTCGCTTTCACAGCTGGCAAATATCAGCAGGCATCTTGCAACCAGACTGCGCCAGGAGTTTTCTACTCTATGATGAGGTTGAAGTACGACTGCGTGCACATGCAATCGACCAGGTCAGAATATGATGCTTTGGTCGTGCAGGAATCCAATAGGGAGTAGAAGTTATTGCAATTTGTAAGTGACGAGGAGCTCTGGATGCACATGGCAGGATCGAAAATCGGAGTCGAGTTCGTTTGTGCTTTCACAGGTTCCACACATGTTAGGAATGTGGCCAGATACAAAGAGGTAAAGATCTTGTGTGATTGGTATGCGAACGGCATTTTGGGAACAAAACCTAACAGAATCTCGGAAAGGAGCGGTGCGTGCAAAACACTTGCTAATAAATCCTCCAGTATCCTGACTTTGCGATGGCGGAACAGCCAGTCTAACCCATGGTTGGATAGGTCTGGAAAGACACACTGATGCCCAAAATAAAGCTGCAAGGCGTTCGCGAACCGCAAATGGTCAGGCTGAGAAATCTGTACGTTGTGTGGTGTTGAAATCCCGCTCGTTCGCACATGGGCGCAAAGACTCGCGAAGCCACCGCAAGGAAGGTGGTCGGCCCAGTAACGTCACTGGGTGGCAGTAGCTTGGCAATCGCTTGGCGAGCCTTACTCGTGATAGACTTGGCCAGCCCTCGATCCGTTTGGAATAGTCTTTCAGACGAAGTCAAGGTTAGCTGCAAGCCGCAGCTGAATTCGAGTTTCCGTGACACGAACATTTTCGTTTGAAGACGTTCATCTATCTGCAAGGCAGAAGTCAAGTGATTGACCATTTGATCTATGATGCTTGAACACAGTTGCCAACAGAACATGGATCAAGGCCTCTACTTCGACACGAGTTACTTTCGACCTTCTTTCTGGGGGGTGGCGTCCATTGCGACATAGGCTTTCCTCATGGCTGCATTCACCGTCCCTTTTCCAGTACGGAAGGCTACGAAGAAAGTCGAGAATGAGTGGAAGACATGGCGGCTGAGCAGATGGTATACGGTAGGCCTACTTCTCGTCGAGGCCTCCATGATCGTTGTTATTCTCGTTCTAGAGCGCTACTCCGCAACGCACCAAGGCATTGCCACTGTGCCGCATGTCGAGACGGACCAGGACTTTCGTCTTTCCATAATCAGCATGTTCTGGACATATGGACTGCTCTGGACAGCATTACCGTCGTTTTTGATGGGCCTCTATCGCATTGGATGGGACGCAATAGTCATGGCGACTGCCGAAAGGCAGCCATATGTTGAGATCAACCGTGACGAGCAGGATGCGAGCACAGCTCGAGAGACCATAATGCTGGACTATCGCACTTATCCTCTTCTTTACAATTGGCTTGTCGCCTTTCGGCTGAAGCATGTCTTGATAGGATGTGCAATGATGCTCAGTTCGGTGCTTTCCATTGCACTTGTGCCACTTGCATCACACATTCTTGCCTCAGCGCCGGCGATAATAACGTCTGAGTATCAAGTCACCATTCCATATACCTTTGATTCCGCCCCGCTGGCGAGCCTCGATTTGGAGACGTTCATCAGCATGGCCAAGTCAACGCAAGCCTACGGAGCGGAGCCACCGCCGTGGTCCATGTCAAAGTACGCATTCGAGGCCATCAATCTCACGGATATTGACACGCGTCAGAACTACACTATCCCAGTGAATGCATATTACGGCCAGGTCGATTGCAAACTCTTAAACGTTCCGCCGCCAAGTATTTCGTCGAACTCCTTGAACCAAACCGTCCTCAGTTTCAATATCACTGATCGTGGATGTGTAATTATGCCAGTGCAAGTCTACATCTCAGAAAATTCTCCTTCCATTGTCGCGCGAACTTGGGAGTCCATCTCTTGCGGCGAAGCGGCGCACACGAGCCGAGTCATGATTTTAACAGGAAAGCCAACATCACTGTCTGAGATGTCAAACCTGACCGTAGTCTCCTGCATACCCAGTTATTGGAAAACGTCTGGTTTGCTTAGTATTAGGGTCGAGAAAAGGTCCAGTCCAACCGTCGATAAGTTTGATGAAGATACAGCGAACAAAACCGAGTTTCGTCCCTTCGGCGCAAACATATTTGAGCCGGACTTGACGAGCTATACGCAACTCGATCCGAAGGGAACATTTCAAACAGACTTATTTGCAGCCACCGTGTATGAAGTTGCCAAGAAATCAAACCCAGCGGATCCTCTAGACTCAAATACTCTGAAGACAGCGATGGAGTCTGTCTGGCCTTCCATTTTTGCATATGTGACGGCAATATCGTTGATACAAAGTCCGATGGAGCGAACTGTGGAGGCCCAAGCGAGGAGATTCGAGACGAGACTGTTCGTTGTGCCTCCAGTAGCGTGGACCATTGTCATTGTCATGATTCTAGTACTTATATGCAACGCGTTGCTCATCTTGCATGCCGAACTCAACCACTCAATCCTGCTAGAAGAACCAATCGGCCTTCTGGGCGCGGCAGTTCTGCTCCAAAACAGCGACGTCGCCGGATTAGTGGCTCAAGTGCGCGGCGAACCGCCGGACGATATCAAAGTGCGAGAGGAGATCAAGAAGAAAGATCTAGCAGGGTCGAGATGTTGGTTTGACAGCACGACGAAGACTATTCGACTCAGCGGGTTGGGATGGAATCCCTCCCCAAATCCAACTTCGAGCTCAGGTTCAGGGTCGGCGTTATCGGCCGTCATCACAACGAACTCACCCCCTGCGACTCCGGCACCCGATCCTCATGTATCTCCAGTGACAGTGGTTGATCAAGGAACGGAATCTTCTGGGCTGCCAGACACCGAAGTCACCACACAGCACGGGGATGGGACGTTGGAAGACGACGCAGAGAGTCCACCTGTGCCTGAGACACAATCAAGCTTGTGAACGAATCGACGCAAACGTACGGCGGCAAGTCGCCCTTGCACTCCACTTCTCCCAAGACCAAAGCTTCGAGGTACAACTTAAGCTCGAGAAATCTTGGCAGCGACGGCTGTTCGGACACAGTCGGGCATGGTTCAAAGGGTTGCTTCTTGTAAGACCGTGAGAGTAAAGGTTAGATTCTGCAACGTCCAGCTACGAAAAAGGGGAGTGAAGTTGAGCCGGACAGCGTGTGCATTGCTGGGCTTTCTTTTCTCAAATCATAATTGTCCCGTCTGGTGAAATGGGAGAGGGTAGCATTTTAGCACATGGGGGTGGGGTTTAGCAGAGAAGGAAGGAACCACGAGCGTCAGGGGCAGGCGCAACCAGGCTGCCTGTCGACGATCGCCGTTTCCAAGCAAGGGCGGGCGGCGTGGTCAGAAGTGCCTCGTGCTGTATGTGTATGGCGGGCCACGAGCAAGGGAAAAAGGAGGATGGCCCATGTACCGAAGAAGCAACGCGACTATTGGGACGTGTCGCTCTTTATCTCGTTATCGTCTTCCGTTGTTTTCGGCTGTCGCACGACCCGTTCTGCATGCGATTGCAAGAAAGCCACGTGTGGAACGTGGAAATCAAGTCACATCAGCACGTTGCGTGTTAGAAGAAGGCATATCAAACAAGTTGCGTGTAATGTAAAAGTCGGATTTTTTTACGTTGACTTTGAACGTACACGATGAGAATGTGGATGCACGTGACTGGCGCGTGAGATCACGTGATGCACTCGGCTGGACTTGCCCGCCTCCAGAGAAGGAAGTTCTCGATGGGCTCCGCTACTCGTGGAGGCGGCCGATGCTCTCGTACAGCAATCCTCTCACCACCGTCGTTCTCTCGCTCAGAAAGCTTCTTCTGCATGAAGAATGATCATATCTAGCTCGAACAGCAGCCGTGGCCAAAAGTTGAATTGACCAGCTTGCTTCCTCGCTCCCGCATTCCGGTCTATCCACTTTTTTTCGGTGAGACAACAAGGTTGACATGTGCCGCCCTTGTACGTCTTAACTTTGTTGGCCCGGTGAAGAACGTCAGGAACTACGGGTTCGACTGTGTATAGCTTGCAAGCGTGGCCCGTGTTCGGGGCCTTGTGCTACCCAACGTGCTCGGATTCCACAAATACACCGAGACTAGACGGTGACGATTTAACCAAACCACAGAGTAATCTTTGCTTTACTCACTACTTCCTGCTTCCTTGCCCACCTACCGACCAAACTCCCCTCAAGCCAGCGACGGCTATTATGCGCCGCTATCTCTCGTAGCTCGTCAAAATTCTTGCTACCAGCAATAGAGAAACAGAAGGAGGAAAGTCATGGCCGATATCCTCACTTTGCGATCACGCAGCCCTGCACCGCGTCTAAACGGTTCCAGGCATCAAAATCAACGCCATATGCAGAACAGTCACGGCTCAGAAGACGATGGCGAAGGCGAATCTGAAGAAGACGCAGGAGACCTGCCGCCCAACGCGCACAACAACGAACGTCCTCACACCGCTCCTCGTCGACTGGCTGGGCCAAATGGTTCCGCAGCTCTAAACCGCACCTCTACGGGCTTTCCTGAACGAGAAAGCAGGAATGTAAGCAGAAATACGAGTCCAACGCCAGGAGCCGCCACCACGGCCGGCAATGGAGGGCGTCCAGCTCTTGTGAGAGCAAAGAGTGATTTTGGTCCGAGAAGGGAAGAGTCGCAGAGCAAAATATTGGGTCTAAGCGACGAGAGCGAGAGCGGGAGAGAGGGGGAGTGGGGATTAAGGCACGGCTTTGAGACACAACTGGAGAGCGAGGAGTACAATCGGCTACTTGAATCGGTGAGTTTAGTCTTGACTGGAGGAATGCTGCGAACCACAGGTGGCTGCGGACAAGGACTAACCTTGAGATGGAACAGAATTATTTTATGTATTTCACAGACAAAAAGCACGATACGGGTGGCAATCCAAAGGATCCAAAGCAAGTGTATGCCCTGGATGACTGGCGCATGCGCGACCGGCTAAAGACTGTCTCTGCCGTTTTGGCACTTTGTCTAAACATCGGCGTCGATCCACCTGATGTCATCAAGACGAGCCCATGCGCCAAATTAGAGTGCTGGGTTGACCCCTCAAATGCAGGAGGCGTCACTTCGAACGCGCCTATAAACAACATAGGCAAAGCACTCCAGTCGCAATACGAGCAGCTTAGCATGCGCACCCGATACAAGCTCAGTCTCGACCCAACCGTGGACGAGACACGCCGATACACGTCGACGCTGAGAAGAAACGCGCGTAATGAGCGCGTGCTTTTCCACTACAATGGCCATGGCGTGCCCAAACCTACTTCCTCGGGCGAGATCTGGGTCTTTAATCGGACCTACACGCAATATATACCCATTTCGCTGTACGACTTGCAGTCTTGGATCGGGGCACCCTCTCTCTTTGTCTGGGACTGCTCTGATGCTGGACTTATCATCCAGAATTTCCTCAAGTGCGTCAAGAAGCACAAGGCTGAGGATGAGGAGACGCTTCGGCAGCAACCTAACGCCGAAATCACAGACTACTCTGACTGCGTGCACCTCGCTGCCTGTCGCGACAAGGAGAATCTACCGACCAATCCGGCTCTTCCCGCTGATGTCTTTACATCGTGCTTAACGACGCCGATTGAAATGGCAGTCAGGTTTTTTATCCTGCAGAACCCGCTACCGAGCAACATCGGCGTGGAGGCAGCAAGAGAGATTCCCGGGCGGGTCAGTGAGAGGAGAACACCGCTTGGAGAGCTGAACTGGATCTTTACAGCAATCACGGATACTATTGCTTGGAGCACGCTGGATAAAAAGTTATTCAAGCGACTGTTCAGGCAGGATCTGATGGGGTTCGTTTTTGCCCTTTCTTTTAGTGTCAACGCCTTGCTTCGGGACACGATGTAGCTAACTTTGTGCATGAACAGTGAGTGCGAGATGCTAGCATGATCTCTTGATGTTTAGGATTACTAGACACAGGAAATCGAGCTGAAATGGGCTGGACTAACGAACTTTGATCGTTCGGAGCAACCCCAAAGCACCCGTTCTTGAAGACATTTGCTGACAGCTCGACAGTAGCTGCATTATTCCGCAACTTCCTGCTCGCTCAGCGAGTTATGCGAGTTTACCATTGCCATCCGGTTTCTGAGCCGTCCTTCCCGTCGACTCATGATCACCCGCTTTGGCAGTCCTGGGATCTCGCCGTTGAATCCATCCTTTCACAGCTTCCGGATTTGCAAGCCGCTGAACGAGGGGAGAAAACGTACGAGTACCAGCACTCTAACTTTTTTGCTGAGCAGCTTACTGCGTTCGAGGTGTACCTTTCCCAAGGTGGCGTTGATCAGAGGCCGCCCGAGCAGCTGCCTGTTGTTCTGCAGGTTCTTTTGTCGCAAGTACATCGCCTCCGCGCACTTATTCTGCTCAGCAAATTCCTTGACCTTGGCCCATGGGCTGTGCAAGCTGCACTCAGCATTGGTATCTTTCCTTATGTGCTGAAACTTCTCCAGTCCCAAGCGATGGAACTCAAACCTGTCATGGTGTTCATCTGGGCTCGGATCCTTGCTTGTGATCAGACGTGCCAGCAGGACCTTCTTAAAGACAACGGATACCAGTATTTTACCACTATCATGAACCCCAATTCCGGTAAAGCCTGCCTATTTTCCTTACATTTGTCTTCCCCCTTTTCCTCAAGTGTTTTTCTCTTCTCCTCTCTTCATCATTTTCATCCGCGCTGTGCCTCAGCATCACGACTTGGAAGAATTTCGTCTAACTGATCAATTTATTCACAGGTGTACCCGTCGGGAACGTTTCGGAGCATAGGGCAATGTGCGCCTTCATCATCGCCATGTTTTGCAAGGATTTTCCCCAGGGCCAGGTTGTGTGCAACACACATGAGCTGATCGACAGCTGCATCGCACATTTGCACAATCTCGAGAATCCGCTTTTGCGACAGTGGTCTTGCCTGTGCATTTCGCGACTTTGGGCGGACTACCCGGACGGCAAGTGGACTGGCATCCGCACACAGGCGTGGCAGAAACTTTGCGAGCTAGTTGTTGATCCAGTGGCTGAGGTCCGAACCGCGATGCTGTGCGCGCTAACCACGTTCTTGGGTGTACCGGATATTACGCCGACTGTGAGAGAAATTGAGGAGAATATCGCAAGCGTCGTTCTGATCATGGCCTCGGATGGCAATTCTATGGTCAGAAAGGAGCTACTGGTCTTCTACTCCGTGTTTGTCAACAGGTACATGAATCGGTTCATTGTCGCGGCGTATGAGCAACTTGTCGAAGAGCATGGACAACTAAGCAAAGCAAAGTCCGAAGCAGAAACTGCTGTGGGCAACGTACGATCGACAGCCATGAGCATCAATGAGGATGACGGTGTCTCATCAAATACAGTTTATGCGGCTGTCTGGAAGCAGATTTTAATTATGTCCGTGGATCCTTTCCCAGAAGTCTCGCGCGACGCGTCCATCATCGTGGATTGCGTATTTACTGCACTAACAGACTCACCTCTCGGCGAACAGGCGCAGACCCTGATGAATTCTATAGCCGCGCAGCATGCCGGTCTGGCACCTTCATTGCGGTCCTCCTTTGTAGATCTGGCAAATACGCCTAATCCATCACAGCCTACCACCCCACCGACTCCAACTAAGCAGGAAAGCTATTTGACAGCCAGTTTAAAACGTACAGCCAGCGTGGCGGCGAGTTTGAAGAACTTTGCCTTCGGCACGAGCGGAGGGAGCAATGATTCGAGTCCTAATGTCAAGAGTCCTGTGAGCGCGAAGGTGGTACCGAATCTAGACGGAAGAGGTCCATTAGCACGACAGCGAACGGGAGACTGGAACCTGCCACCTGACGTAAAGGACCATCATGCTTCGGCAGTTTACCCGACTCTTCCTCAACCTGAGCCGTCCTACTTCAAGGCTCGGAAATTGAAAGAGGAGGTCCCAACATTACCTCTTAAATCGGGTTTCTTCGATTGGTGTGCGGAGTATTTCCGCGAGCCCCAGATGAAGCCATCCGAGGCAGATGAGCCAGGTAGTGAGGACTACAATCAACGGCTGTGGAGGCGAAATAGGAATGACCGTCTAATCCACAAGACTCAGCCTCTCAAGGAGATTGCGGGCACGAATCCGTGGGACAAAGCCAAGGGCTTCTTCAACAATGGCACTCAACCACAGAAGATGGTTTTTCACCAATTTGAGGACCATCTCGTCGTCAGCGACGATCGCGACGGTATTTCTGTGTGGGACTGGAAGAAGCAGACACGTCTCAATCGCTTCTCGAATGGAAATCCAGGAAGAAGTAGAATCACAGAGATAAGATTGATTAATGAGGATGACCAAGCTCTGCTTATGACGGGCTCATCCGATGGCGTCATCAAGATCTTCAAAAACTATGAGCAAGCAAGAAGTGTTGAGATGGTGACTGCCTTCAGAGCATTGACGGACCTTGAGCCCAGCACGAAGAATGCAGGACTCGTCTTCGACTGGCAGCAATCTCGTGGTCTCATTCTCGTCGCTGGCGATGTCCGCTCTATTCGAGTGTGGAATGCTGGTACGGAAATCTGCACAACAGATATCAACGCGCGGTCCGGCTCCCCAATAACGTCTCTCACATCTGACCAAGTCGAAGGCCATCTTTTTGTGGCAGGATTTGGTGACGGTGCTCTACGTCTCTATGATCAGCGCCAGAAGCCTCAGACGGCAATGGTACAAGTGTGGAAAGAGCACAAGAGCTGGATAACGAATGTGCATCTCCAGAGAGGTGGACAACGTGAGCTTGTCTCGGCCTGCCGAAACGGCGAAGTCAAGTTCTGGGATATGCGCTGGGACAAGAGTTTCAGAACCGTGCGGGCGACAAAGGATACACTTCGAACTCTCAGCGTTCATGAGCATGCTCCTGTCTTTGCTGTGGGCACGGACAGACACGTCGTTAAGATTTTCAGCATGATGGGACTTGGCTCTACGTCTTCGGAGCTGGAAGCACAGGAACTAAAACAAGCACCGATGACACCGCCCCCAACGCAGGTATATCACATATCAAACCACCGTCCGGGCTCGACTCTTGCTGCCGTTGCCGCGGCGAGAGCACAAGCCTCCTCACATGGAGTACCTGGCAAGAATGGACTGTTAAATACATTTGAGCCATATTCTGGGTTCTTGAATCCGGGACGTGGTAGCCCAATCAATTGTACAGCATTCCATCCTCACCGCATGATGATTGCTGGGGCGGCGTACGGTGATACACATATTAATATATATGCATGTAGTAAGGGGAGGGATAAATGGTTAGATGAAGGCGAGGAGAAGAGATAAACGTGTTGGGGTAATTGTAACCCATGACTTTTACTTTCTACTGATGGCATGAGAAGAGATAGGCGTGGCACCTTCTTCTATCCTTCTCGTTCTCTTTTAGTACAGTCCTTAGGGCATGCATAGCGGAATTTGCTCTTATTATTGACGGCTTAGCGACTACACGGGCAACCAAGATCACATACTTAGTATGGAGTGGGTGAGGTTCTTTAATTGAACGGCGCCTAGGTCACCAAGGTGCATACGAACGCGAGGGTTGTATGATTATAAATTTACTAATTCTTGCACAAACACTCGCTCATTGCACTTTTGGAGAATCCAGTCATCATTTAGCAGTGTTTCGGAGTCTGGCGTTGAATTCCACGATGCTTACCCAGCCCATGTTCAGATGTGTTCACAACTTGGACGATGAGAAGTGAAAACAGCCCTATTCACTTCTGCATTTATTAGGAAAGATTGTGCTGTTAAAGAATTTCCGTTATAACACGTTAATAAAGACACTTCTCCCATGCTGGGGAGTGCCAGCTCAATCGTCATACACCCATTTCACGGCCACTAACATAATGGACATCAACGATATAACATTGCGTCTTGCGGCGCTCACTCTTGTAGACTCAGAATCTCCCATTTCTCCCATCGGCAAGCTTCCGTCTGAGCTGCAAGACATTATTTTTCAGAAGCTCTCCAATGCTCAGCTCTACCCGTTTTTGTTCATGAGGAGGACCTACAAAAGTGCTCGCCGTGCATTGTACGGCGGTGTCCTAGCCGTACGTGTTCACAGTCCGCGATCCAAAAACTTTCTTTCCCTGTGGAAAGCGCTCTCTCACAGCCCGGAGATGATTGGCCTCGCTAGAACGCTCCAGTTGCAATGGCATGCTCGTGGGCTTGCAGACGTGCACGAACTGAAGGCCCCCTGGACCAAGATGCGAGACTGGCTTCTGCAATACACGCCGACGATACGGACTTTGGACGTTGAGATCGGCCATACGCATACCTGGAATCAAGTGAGTATGGGCATCTCCTCTCCGCTACTTGTGGAGATCATACTTCGCGCATTTGACAGCAAGAAGTACCAGCCAGTCTCGTCATCCTGGCTGACGGCCCTTCCAGCAGATCATCACGACTGGAGTCTTAGTCTCATCAACTGCTACTTCCATCCGGGGATGGCATCGTGGTTTGCAACGAGAATGCGCGTCTCTTCCGTTGTCCGGCTTGAGATCACCGGGTCTTGTTGGAATTGTTCGTCCGCATTCGTTTATCCACAGTCGAGTCTCCCACGGCTGAAGCATCTTCACTTACAGGTTCTCGCGTGCAATCACAGCTGTCAACATCAGCAACAGGCTAAGCCGCCACATGTAATGCTGCGATCGCTCTCTCGCGCCGTGACGCGGCTTGAGAGCTTGCATTTCAGCGGGCGCATTCCTTCTCTGATACATGTCGCAAGTGTGATTCGTGTCTACTACCCATCACTACGTTGCTTCACGGCACCGGCGAGTGAGCAGCTGCGCCTGGACGAACTCCTAAACTACTCCAACGTCGAGAACTTCGCCTTCTATTGCGACCAACAAGGCGAGCTGACGGATGAGAAGTGGACGCTTCTTCGGATAATTCTGCACCTCGACCCACGCAAAGATCTGTTCGCGCGACGGCTGACTGATTTCAAGAAGGGTCGACGGATTTCACTCGTACCCGCGTTCGAAAACGAAGACGTGCCTGCCTCCGCCCAACGCCGCACGAGGGCGCGCATGGAACGGTTCCAGCTCGCTTTCCAATTCTTCCGCGACGAGGTTTGGGGCCCGGACGGACGGGCTCGCTGGCGAAAGAACATCGAATGCCGCCCCGGAGAAGTGAAAATCGGTGAACACTTCACCATAGACCATTCGGCGTTGGCGGTCTTGGAATGAACATGTACGTGCGAGACTCGAAAGTCGTCAGTGTAGAGAAAAAGAACGATTGGATAATCTGCCCGTGTGTTTCGTAATTCTAGTCCACGGCGAAGATAGGGGTGCTACTTATGACCATTGTCTACTTTGATGTCTGTCTGTCATTTATACATGCCTGGAAAAGACGCTATGATTTTCAGGGACGTCTTCGTGGCAATGACTTTGTTCAGCTAACCTAAGCGTAGCACCGTTGCAGGTTGCGATCAAGGCAAATCGAATTCCAAGACTCAAAGAGTGGTCTCTTCGGTAGAAAGATTGTGCACCACCTTTTTTCCTCTGAGAAGGTTGTCTTAAGGATGTGAGAAAGGACCTACCAATTTGAACCCTGGGAATTGAAGGCTCTAGACTTTGCTTCATTGATTTCCAAAGAGGAAAGATGTAAGTTTAGTCTCTGTCTATCAATTATCGACAAAGGTATTTTATTACGTTTTCAATGCGTGCGACTCATTTGAAGTTTACTAGTGCCTCCCTGTTCCTGGCGAGGCGGAAACTTAAGGCTTTACTAGGTCGAACTTACCATCCAGAGCTGCTCACTACCAAGAATGTGCATAGGGAGGGCTAGCTACGTCTCGGGGTGCTTCCACGCATGTGCTTTAATTTCCAGAACAACCTTGACCGACAATACGAGGTGGGAAAGCCGTATAGAGAGTACGAGAGAATCCGGACGAAACAGAATAACTAGGCAGTGAATCCACCAGTCTTAACTTTGCCCAAGAAGAGGAAATAATTCTTACGCGCCTTTGTAAGGCTACGTGCTATGAACAAGTTCTAAGTTACTGCCTTTCTCGGAAACAGTTACAGGCAGATTGAAGATAGATTCTGAGAATTTAGTAAGAGCAATAATAGCACGGGTGGTCGATGTATCGAGTTGCTGTCGCATTCTGCGTGTAATTGATGACCGAATGGCTCCAAGATGCAAGGAACATATGATGTCGCCAAAAGTTGGAACCGTACCGTTGACTTAATCATTGTCAATATGCGACTGTTCTTTAAAGAAAATGGGCAAGTGGTTGTTTTTCCCAGGATGACCATCCCGAACATCGCGTTGAGCGCAGCGAGAATCATGGGATACAAGACGCAACTAAGCACCATGGACGACCCCGAACGACGAGCTGCTCTGATAATGCAAAAATGTAGTAAAAAGGTTGTTTCTACATTTACTGCCTCCTAAGCAATTCTTAGAACCGCTTATGCTCTTGTCGCAATCGATTTTCGGCTACTCGCTTGGGAATCAGATGAGTTCATCGGCCTCAATGTTAGCTAACAGATAGCCCTGAATTCAATAAAACTCATTTCGATATCTCTTGCATCTGGTTAGGATAAACAACCGGTAGCTATCTGCTTGTTCTCGAGTGTACGAATTCATAGATAGGACAGTCAACCATCATAAAGCCTCGGATATCTTCTGTGTTGCTCATGGACTGCGAATACAACGTACGCCTCCTAAGCACTGAGCTATTTGGCTTCGAACTGCATGCATCGAGGAAACTACACCTCTCCTAGTACCCACGATTAGGGAAAAATCGCTCTGAGGTTGTTTGAAAACCTTCGTTCATAAGAATTTGCCGCTGGTAAAACCGCGGACTTCTGCAGATCTGAAGGAGAAATACGTTCAATTTGGGAAGATATTACGTGACTGAGGCTTTGAAGGACATAGCCAAATTCAAGAACAAAACCGGGAAGGCTGTTCCTGCTTTTGAATATCCCTAGTCACGAGCTTCTTACCGGAACAGCAACCAGTTTAGCATGTTGTTGGGGTTGTCAAGGGCGCAAAAGTGGTGCGCGCATGAGGCAAAACTCGAGCTCGAGGGGTTCTGTTCAGAAGTTGAATTGAAATTTCTGTTGTGGATTCTGTCAAGATATGTACATTCGGGTCGACAAAGTCATGGAGCGCGTGGAAGGACAAGGCAGCGAACAGCAGTTCGCTGATGGACGTGCCCCTTTAGGCCATGGTGATAGTCAGGAAACGGTCTGGAGTGGTTTTGGCGGCGTTGCAGGCGTTTGGGCTTAGTCCAAAAACGGAATAGCGCATCCGAAAGGCGACGTCTCCAAGATGCCCCAGGGTCCGAGTTACGCTCCGGACATTACGAGTTCCAGCATAATTCTTACCTCTAACATTACTATACCACCAACGCCAATAATGGCCCTTTGCCTTCTCTGCGTTTTGTCTTGAAGGGTAGCGCGACATAATCGAGCGCTTCTGTGAGGCGCCCTATTCCCTATCCCTTGCTCTTATCCTCCTCCTGCCTAGATCCCTAATAGTCGCCCAAGACGTGACCTGTTACCGGCGATGATTCGATATCTTCTCAGCCTTCTGGCCTGCTCGCTGGGCGTCGCAGCAGTCAGAGACTATGATACGAACTCCTACTACGCCCTCAAAATCGACCCGAGTGGTTCACCAGATGAGATCGCTCTGCATCTGGGTCTGAAAAACGAAGGTCCTTTAAAAGGCTTGAACGACCATTACGTGTTCTCAGCGCCAAAGCACGACCATGATATTGTACACGAATCGTTACGAAAAAGAAAGCGCTCAGTGTCTTCGGGCCCACATGTCCTTGACAGCGTCCGATTTGCCCAAAAACAAGTACCGAAGCAAAGGCTGTTCAAACGGAGTGTGATTCCTTCAAGAGCGTCGGTGGGGGATGAGACCGCCATCAATGCAAGAGAAGATGTGGCACGACAGCTGAGTATTGTGGATCCGGAATTCACTAGACAGTGGCATTTGTACAACACCGTGGAAGTAGGCAACGATCTTAACGTCACGGGTGTTTGGCTGGAGGGCATCACGGGAAAGAACGTCACGGTTTGCATTATTGACGATGGCCTGGACATGGACAGTTTGGACCTGAAGCCCAACTATTTTGCGAAGGGTTCGTATGATTTCAATGAAGGTGTTGACGAGCCAAAGCCGCGGCTCTCAGATGACCAACACGGAACGCGGTGCGCTGGAGAAGTGGCGGCCAGCAGGAATGACGTGTGTGGAGTAGGCGTCGCATACGAGTCGAGGATCTCTGGAATACGCATCCTGTCAAAGCCCATCTCGGACATTGATGAAGCTGAGTCAATTGGATACATGAGCCAGGACAACGACATCTACTCGTGTTCGTGGGGACCCCAGGATGACGGCAAGACGATGGAGGCTCCGGGTATGTTGATACAGCAGGCAATGCTGAAGGCCATACAGGAAGGAAGAGGTGGCAAGGGCAACATTTACGTCTACGCTGCAGGTAACGGAGCTGCTTGGGACGATAACTGCAACTTCGATGGCTATACGAATAGCATATACAGTGTTTCGGTTGGTGCTGTCGATCGCGCGAACAGGCATCCGTTCTACTCGGAAAAGTGTTCCGCTCAGCTGGTGGTTACTTACAGCAGTGGCACTAGCCACGACGCTATCCACACGACCGATGTTGGCCTTAACAAATGCACAAGCAGCCACGGTGGCACTTCAGCTGCTGGTCCTCTCGCAGCCGGCGTATATGCGCTTGTGCTCTCGATCCGACCGGACCTGACCTGGCGGGACATTCAATGGCTTACAGTCTTGACTGCAGATTCATTTCGACATCCGGAGAATGAAGACGATTGGCAAAAGACGCCGCTTGGTGTCGAATTCAGTCATCAATTTGGATATGGCAAGCTCAATGCGGGCAGGATTGTTGATTTAGCCAAGACTTGGAAGGTTGTTAAACCTCAGGCATGGTACTTTTCGCCCTGGATTCACGTTAAGCACGGTATCCCGCAGGGCGACCAAGGCCTCCACAGCACGTTCACGGTCACAAAAGAAATGCTCCAGGCTGCCAATCTGGAGCGTGTGGAGCACGTCGTCTTGACTATGAATGCGGAGCACCAACGCCGTGGTGATCTTAGCGCTGAATTGGTTAGCCCTTCAGGAGTTCGGAGCATGCTCGCTCCATCAAGACGTCTTGACGAAGCAGAAAGTGGCTATGTTGACTGGAACTTCATGTCCGTGGCCCACTTTGGCGAGGATGGCATTGGCGAATGGACACTCATCGTCCGGGATACAAACATCAACGATAAAATTGGTGTCCTGACAGACTGGCGGCTCAAGCTCTTCGGTGAGTGCATCGATGCAGAGAAAGCGACTCTGCTACCGATGCCAACTGAGCATGACGATGATGACCATGACGTTATCTTATCTGCTCCTGTCAGTACGGCATCAGTGGCCCCCACAACCACGAAACCCCTCCCAGATGGCTCGGGCCATCCCACTCGACCTGCCATACCTAAACCTACGGATGCTGGCGAAGCGCCTTCACCCGCACAAACGACGCCCGCAACTGGCTCGCCAACTGGCACCCAAGTTTCTTCACCGACTTCAACGGATCTGTCTGAAGAAGAAAGCGAGAAACAAAACGAGCATTTCCTCCCACCCATATTCCCAACTTTTGGTGTTTCTAAGCGCACGCAAATTTGGATCTACGGTTCTCTCACGATCATCGTCCTCTTCATCACGTCTCTTCTGATTTATCTCTACGTGCAACGCCGGAAGAGGCTAGCTGCGAACCCGAGAGATGGGTATGAGTTTGAGATGATTAATGATGACGACGAGCTTGATGCTCTTGCGAGCAAGATGGCGGGAAGCAAGCGGAAGTCAAGACGGGCTGGAGAATTGTACGATGCATTTGCCGGAGAAAGTGACGAGGACAGCCTGTTCTCTGACGGGGACGATCACGATCGCAGAAATGATGCATACGCAGACAGTGATCGTGGAGAGGAACAGAGGTTGACGGAGAAATAAGTGTATAAAAGACAGGACCTTGTGCAGTTCCCGTCGAAATTCCGGCCACGGGGAGATTTGGAAAGCAACTGGAGCGGATACAAAAGACAGCCTTTGGAGGTCTCTGCATAGTGTTACGGCGTTTCCTTTCGCGATTGACGTATGTATACTAACAGATTGGGGAGCGGAAATCTTCATGAACTCCCGGCAAGCGGCATGTGCTTTGGGGTTTTTGTTTTCGCGAATATCTAGTCGCAACATGCAGCATATGGGCATATGCGAGCATTATATTCGACTCGTTCTATGCAACCAATTGTTCTACTACCACTGATGCAGGCCAGCAAACGTGATCGAGGGACGTTTCTGCAATGTGAATGATATGCCAGACTGCCCTCGTTCATTGGACCGTCTCGTGCCTAGATAAATGTAGATCTTCACACCTTCGAGGGAAACAATCTAGAGATAACCAGCTCGATACTTTTGCGGACGCCGTGGCCCAGCCTCCAAATCTGATCGTGCGTGCCTTCCAGCCGCAGCAAGACAATTTCCTTCTGCTGTTCGCTGCTCGCTCGCGCTTCATCCTCGCTGCGCAACGTCTTCCACCCTTGGTGCTCCAGCGTCTTCTGCATCTCCTGCCACTGCTCCTTCTCAACGAGGACATCGCCCTCGCTCGCGCCCAGGATCACGGTCTTCAGACCACCCTCCCTCCAAGCCCGATCATATGCTGCGTTCGTGGGGCTAGCTTCCCTCCACACGCTCTCGTCCTCCCCGAACGCATCGACGACTATCTTTCTGTAGAAGGGCTCGTCGGCGTGGTTCTCCACGAGGGCAGGCAAGTCGTAGATCCCCGCCAACCCGACGACCGCGCTGGCCGGCAGAAGGGTTGAGCGGGCGCTGCTGCGCATCACGCTTTGGAACGCGAGCGTCGCGCCGGCGCTGTGCCCGACCAGGACGTACCTGTACCCGCCCTCGGCACCGACGTTGTACTTCTGCCGCAGGTGGCAGAGCGACAGGACGACGTCGGCAATGTGCCGGTCGTGCCGCACGCGCAGGCCCGCCGGCTTGGACTCGTCGTCGGGCGCGTGCGTCGAGAGGCCGTAGTTGGGCGCCGCGAAGCCGGCAATGCACTGCAGCGTCAGGGAGTCCGGGCAGGCGAGGAGCTGCGAGAGAGCGGGCTGCAGTTCGGACTTGTCCTGAGACGGATCCCGCCACGCGCCGCCGTGGATGAAGCTGTTTGGCATCTGTCAGTCTCTTGCACCAAGGCTGGACCCGCGGCTGGCCAGCAAGGTCGAGTGAGATTCTTGCGTACATCACCCACACCGTCCTTTCCGGGCTGCTCTCCTCCAGCGGGCGCGGGAGGCAGACGTCGTAGTTCTGCAGCTCGTGCTGCGATCCGTACACACCGTCCCGCTCAAACCGGGGGAAACTGGTGTCGCCCGATTTCACCGTGGCAGGCTGTTGCTGCTTCGCTGCCTCCTCATCCCGAGCCATAGCTGAAGTTGCTGATGCTGTTTGTGCCTGCACCAGCAGCGTCCCGCAATGGATGCGTCTTGCTCGATGCTCCAGAAAAGTGACGCGGCGGTTTTTCCGTGGGGTAATCTGCTCTGCTTTCGAAGGGGCCACCCCTGTCAATCCAAACGGCGGGTGATGTCAGAGAAGGCTGCTCTTCAGCCTCGCCAGCCCAACACAGCCGTGAGGGTTGAAGATAAAATAGTGCCCCCTTTATCTTCGAGAGACGATCATTGCATAATGAAATGGTTTATCCATGTGAGGAGCAGGTCTTTCCTTATCGAAGCTTCAAACAAGATGAGATCTAGGAGATACAAGGGGAGCAAAGTCGTCGCCATCTGTTAGATTATTACTTCGGTGCTACGCCGGAGGCCCGCCGCTTTTACGTGCTTCTTCAATCACTGCTGGTAGGGAGCGTCCAATCAGCATTATGTCCGAATAGCGACGCTGGAAACCGCTTTCGTATGCACGTGCAGCTCCTGTTGGGTCTATCTTTTGAGGTTGTTGAATCTCCTAGCGTGTTTGAGAATCAGGAGGACATTAAGCCAGTACACTGAGTCGAGCTTTCACCGCAGTCACAAGAATTGGAATGAGGATACGAAAGGAAAAGCCCGAATTCAAGCTTTGTCGAGATGTGTTCTTTGATCGGAGGGGGTGCCGCCATCCCCATGCACAATTGAAGTTCTAACCTCTACAGTCATACAAAACAGCGCAACAAATATGGTAACACGTGCCCATAATCAATGTGATCGTGACGTCTGCGAGGCGGGGCATTGCATCGCCGGGTCGTAATAAAAAAAACAGTGATGTACTCCTCAGCTTCTGCTCTATTTCTTTGTTTCCGACAGGTTATCTCCATCGTCGAAGATGTTTTCGGCCACCTCTCTTGCATCCTCATCGCCAGACAATTCATCCCTGTACGGCGATAAAGTTCCTTCATTAAATGCATCGCCTTCGTCTGATCCGTAGTCATCATCCCATGCCTCCCGGAGGCTGATATCATCCTCATCCTCCCTCAAAGCTTCCGCAGCTTCCAGGGCGGCAGGGTCGTCTGCATATTCGGCTCTCAATGCATCCCTGCTGGTCCTGTGCGCATTCTCTCGTTCCAGCTCCTCTAGCTCCGCAGCGCGCTTCTTTGTCTGTGTGTAGATCACAAATCCGGTCAGCGCACCGGCAGCAACACCGATGGTGATGCTGATGTAGCTTATCATCTTAGTGTGGAAGTCCATCTCCTTGCCCTTCTCCGCGAGCTCTCCAAGCTTTGCGCCAACGAAAACATGCAGCAAGAGTTTAGGAGTGATGATTGCGGTAGCGATGAGGAAAGACTGCCAGCTTACGGTTGGAATGGTGGACAGGGCGCCGTTTGAGAGCGAGTAGGGTAGAGGGCAAAGACGAATCATGATGAGCAGTTTCATGCCGTCGTGCTTGAGGGTCAGTGCTAGAGCGGCAAAGCGAGAGTCATTCTTCACAAGTCTGTCCACGTAGGATTGCAGGAGGTAGCGGGAGGCCAGGAACGAGCACGTGCTTCCCACAACCGTAGCAGTCGCAACAATGAACCAACTATGCAGCAATATCATTAGCCCTGTTGATCCGAAGGTCGACACGTAACATGCAATGTACTCACCCGTGTGGAAAGCCGTACACAAATCCGGACAGCGTTACGCAGCTGGAATACCCAATGAGCGGAGGGAACGACACCACGAATGTGATGGCCCAGAGAATCAGCCAGCCGGCCGGCAGGTCCCTCCATTTCTTCGCAAACGGCTCCAGCGCGGCGAAGATGCGTTCATTGTACACAAGCAGCAGGACGCCGAGCACAATGGCCACGACGCCCGCAATCGCCAGCAGAACCTGCTGCACAGGCGTGAGCTTGCTGAATTGCTTGCGGGCCGAGCGGTCGAACTTCTTGTACCGCCTGAAAGCGCGACCGTACCATGAGCGGGCGGCGGGTCGTTGTTGGGAGGTCAAGGAGGTGCTGCGGCGGTAGGTCGTTGGGCGGGACCAGAAGGGAGAATTCAGCCTGTCCGGGGGTGTTTCTGTGTCTTCGTAGACGGGGAAGGCGAGCGCGTCGCGCGCACCACTGTGATCTAAAGGGCTTGACATTGCTTGGTGAGGTGCACGATAATCCTGCCGCCTGGGGAACGGGAGGGCGCGGGATGAAGAGTTTAGCGGCCCGCGGACAAAGAATGAAGTCGAAAGCAGAAATATGGAACCCAAAAGTGCCGTCTATATCATTGTCGATTCTGGGGATGGGATTGTTACGGAGATGAGAGGATGCTGACGACGACTGCGAGCGCACCTCGACGTGAGACGAAGAATGATGCAGTGCACAGCCCAGACGCTCCTGGTATGACATCGTGCCCGGTGGCGGTTGGAATCCGTGCCCGAGCAGCCAATTAGCGATGAGGAGAACGGCCTTCAAATCCTCGTCTCCAAACGCCAGAGTTGGCAAGGTAAACCACCTGGAATTCTTCTCGAATCGAACTGGGATCCCGTCTTTGTGTGTTCAATTCGATTACATACTATTGCGAGTCGGACGATTCATGATGGTTGGATTGTAGACGTCAATTGAGCAGGACTTCGATCTCCCCTCACCCTGCACGTGCTCTCTGTAGTTATTCGTGCGTGCTGTTCCAAGACCTGAACTTGGGGCAGTAGTTTGAGATGCGAGGGACGGAAGCCCCTCAATACACGTTGAAAATCTGGATTCTCTAACTTGCTTCATTCTCAAAGCGACGTCTTCACTGATCTGATTCTCTTCTGGCCACGGGCTGCTTAGTCTCGACCTCCTGAGCCTTTCAACACGATTTGTGCCGTATCGGCACCAAAGGACCCCGGAAGATAGGATAGACGCTGTAGGTACAAAGCAAGCAAACACAAATATAGCGTTGAGATTGAACCTCGAGGTTGGCAACGTTTGATTAGCAACCGTAGGCCCGGACGAAGCGTCGGCTGCCTAGGAAGTGAAAATGCCCGCGGAAACCACCGTAAGAGACAAAAGTTGTCGGAAGAAATATGAGGCCAATCACTACGATCGACTTCATTATCTCCATCTCACGCTGATTGCTACGGTTGTACAACACGATGTTTGAGCCTTTAACAATGTTTTGATTGGCTTCTTCTTGGAGTCTGCGCAGCCAACATTCTTCGGTGAACAAACGTCGTGCTGTCAACGTGTTCAAGTCAGCCTGGAGCTCAAACGTAGTATTGAAAAGTGCTATTCTCAGAGAACTTCTCCGCATTCAAAGCATGGAAGTGCACGAAGTGAGCGAAGGGCGATTGGCGACTCTGGCCCAGCAATGAGCACCGATCGGCCAACAGCCATATTCCAGCACGCTGGCAGAGAGCTCAGTGACCGATCTTGATGACGACTCCCGTGCTTCCGTTCTTTTTTGTTCTCCTTTCATGGAGCAGGTTGATAGACGCCGGTGGGAAAAGGTGTACGGACGTTGCGCTGGATGTTGCTGCTCCCCATGCGAAGGCTATCAACGTGCAAGTGCAATGTACATGTGCACCGGCATACACGTAAAGGACACGCCCACGTACTTGTGCGGATTGTACTAACACGCGTTTTGGCGGTGGAAAGTGGGTTTCGCCGGACGATGGCCAGCAAGTTACGGCTGGTGATGAGGCCGCAGGCGCTTTGCTTCATCTAGGTCGTTGGTCTCTCTGCTCGTTGCCAGCAGACGCGCCTAAACCGTTTTGAGTCGATCCCCAGTAGTATCCCAGCTTCGTCAACTCCAAGCTCACTTCCGCCAACTTTCGTACTCGACACCTCTGCGACGATCCTTGGGCACTTCATAACAGCCTTTTGCTCCATATGAAGCCTCTACCTTCGCGCTACTTCTCTCTCAACTTGCACTACCGCAGCCATGCTCTCAGACGACACTTATGACCTCTGCCGCCCCGTGCTAGATGACGACGCGATCGACGAGGACGAGAAGACGGAGAAGTTGGAGGAGCTGCTCAGGGACAAGGCCGGCCTGAGCGGCAAGCAGCTGGAAAATACTGTCCTCGACGCGCTGTGGCGCCACAAGAACTCGACGTCCGAGAATGCGTCGTCACCCCCACTCGTTCGTCACACCGTCGTGCGCAGAGCGTCTCCGGCTCCGTGGCAGGTAGCGCGCTCGGCCACGCCAACTCATGCCCCTGGGCTGGGTGCAGCGTCTCCTGCGCTGGCGCGGACGAAATCCTCAACGGCCTCGCCTTTCACCTCGCCGCGCGCTTCTCCACGCCTCGCTCACGTCGGACTCCATGCACCGCACATCCCTCACAGTCCACGACTCGATGCATACCAACCGAGCGATGCCAGTCCGCCCGTGCACCAATACCACGATCTGGATGGTGACTCTGTAGATTGGCTGGTCAACGACGAGACAGGCAGCAATGCGTCCTCGTTCGCCGGCGAGGGCGTGCTGAACGGAGCTGCTGCAGAGTGGATGGCACCGCAAACAATGAGTCCGTACGATCTGTTGCGGTCTGTTGTCAAGGAAGACCGCTCGGACGAGGAGCTGGAGAAGTTGCTTCAAGAAAATGGCTACGATTTCAGTGCGACCGTCATGGCCCTCATGGACAGTCAAGAGCAAGCCATGCCAACCCCTCCGGTGACGATTGCCGAGCCCGCGCCGACTTTCCTTATCGGAAAGTCTATGAGCCCAGCATTCCGTCCAAGCACACCCTTGGGACAGCAGAAATCGCATATTCTGTGCAAGTACTATCTGGCAAACGGTAGCTGTGCGCGAGCAGACTGCAGGTTCAGTCACGATGCGAGCAAGGTGCTTTGCAAGTAAGTGTCTCCCTGATAAGACCAATCCGGTCGTATACATGCTTATCGGACAGATACTTCTTGAGCGGCAACTGCCTTGCCGGCGACAACTGCATTTTCTCTCACGACCCCTCGCTTCTGATGCAACGGATGATGCTCGAGAACGCGGCCAACCAACAGTTGCACCAGGTCCAACCAAACTTCCAGATCGGGGACTACGAAGCCTTTCCCACCCTGCAGCAAACAGCTAACATCAACCAAATCGCAGCGTCCGGCTACGATTGGGATGCGTTCGAGAAACATAATGGTTCCATTGGTGCGGTTGCTCCTCCGCCAGGCTTCAACCCACTAGGCCCGAACGGGCCGGGCCGGCCGCACTCGAGACCAAGCAGCCGTCACACATCACGCGCACCGACTCCCTCGGTGCCTGCTGTCGATGATGCAGAGGCATTTCCATCGCTCGGATCTGCTGCCGCGGCAAAAGCTTCCAAAAAGCACCATGGCAAGCGTGGCGGTCATGGTCATGGACAGAAGGAAGGACCCAGCACACTCGCTGATCTTGTACGCATGTCACCTTCACCTGGGCCTGTTCAACTACGCAAGAATTTTCAAAAGCCCCGCGGATACGTCGGTCGCGAATCTAGTGGCTCGGCGGCCTCAATCCCCCCGCCCGAGCAGATCCCCTGGTTGGAGACCGGTGATGCAGCGAACAAAGCGTATCTAAAGGCTAGAGCCGAAGCCATCAAGCACGGAGGATTGAGAAACAAGTTCCTGCAGAGTGCCGCTCAAGCTTACAATCGCAATGACTCACGTGCTGCAAAAGCCTTGAGCTTACGTGGTCAAACTGAGAATAATCTTATGCGAGAGGCGCACCGTGAAGCGGCTCGCGCGCTGTACGAAGAGCGAAACAAGAGCTCTGGACCCAACGCGCGAGAGCTCTACGTGGATCTACACGGTTTGTGTTCAGCAATAGAGATGTCTGATCCCATCACTGACTCGGAGCAGGCCTCCACCCAGACGAAGCAGTCGCTTATCTAACCAAGGCTTTGCGTGAGCACGAGAACTCGTACCCCATGCGTCCCATCTACGCAATTACTGGCACGGGACATCATTCTCGCAACGGTAAAGATAAGATAGGAAAAGCCATACGCACGTTCTTGACCGAATGGAGGTACACATTCCGCGAGTTTAGCGTTCCCGGCGACAAGAACGGCATGGGCGGGGTGATTGGTATTGATCCGACGAGCTATGATCGCAGTGCTGCAAAGAACGACCCCACCGCTGGGGCAAGCGAAGGAGGCGCAGTAGGTGGGAGTGCGGAGAGCACAAAGGTTAGGATTCTCAGGAAGGAGGATGTAGAGGCGGAAAATGCTGCCGCTGCCGCCGCTGCAGCAGCTGCTGCTGGGGGAATCTCAAGAGAAGGCGATTAGATGTAGTTGGCTTAAGCGTTTAAAAGAAAGAGCAAATGAAAGAAGAATCTACAAGAATCCATGATTGGATGTCGGAGGTGGCCGTTGCGAATACGACGCTTGCCAATTTAGGTGAAATACGAATGCCGAGCCTTCTGATTCATCAACACCTCAAAACGACCTGCGAACCGCGATGTCGTCAGTTCGTACGGCATAAATATCTCTTACAAGTGAAAAGAATCGTCAATCCATGTGACCTGGTCGTGATGTCGATGCCAGCAGCAAGAATCGTTGTGATCACCACCGTCGCAGCGTTCGCCACGGCTCCGGCCGCAGCAGCGCTGTTCCTGATCTGGAAGCGCAACCAGCTCAGCAAACGAGTGGCCGTCGCGACGAATGTCGACACCAGCGTCCCTCCTGTGGACGAGGTCAGGTCGATACCGCAGAAGCTGCGGGACGAGCCGACGGCCTACGTTCTGAGCGTCGAGCGCGCGTCCAAGGCGGTTCCACGCGCTCGGCTGCTGGACGGTGACCTCGACGGCGTGCTGGTCCGGTACTTGAGCGCCAACATGGTCTCCTTTACGCGCACGCCGCAGGCCCCGCTGATCAAGTCGATGTGCGGCGACGAAGGCGCGAAGAAGACGTTCGAAAGCGGATACCTGGAGCGGCTGCGGTTCGAGGTCGGCGACGTGGTCACAGGCGTCTACAAGGTCGTCGCGCGCGAGAACGGCCGGATCGAGATGGCGCTCGATCCGCCGGCGGGGTGGACCGGTCCGAAGAGCGAGGGGATGATCGTCGCCCGCGTCGAGCAGCGGGGCGACGACGTGGTGTTCTCGAACGGTAGGTGCCCTTTAGCCGGCGCGTGGGGAGATGAGCGCTGACGCCCGACGGGATAGAGACGATCATGTGGAGGAAGCGAGACGGCGGAAAGAAGGAGATCATCGAGACGAAACTTTCGAGTTGGCTCCACGAGTTGATGGTCATGTGGCTCGTGGATTCGGGAACCAAGGCGGTTTCTCGATCGTGAGCCGCCACGGAGCATTTGGCGACACCGAAGACGTGCCATCGAAAGCCCATCGAGCTTCGTGGTTGGCGTCTGAAAGCGCAGCATAGACGCGAACGTCTGTGAAGATTCATGCAGCGTGTGCCCGCAAGGGGATCTTCGTGGGATCACTACGCCACAGACTAGAGATATTTACGCTCATAAACATGCTCTGCTCAGAAACAATGTTCCAGCGGGATTAGCCCGCTCTCTCTGTAGATAACACAATCAACGCCCGTCCAACTCTTCCGAAACGCAACCGTCGTATTTCTTGCCACAGCCGGCTGTGCTACCCACGTCCTCCTACCTCTAACCAGTCACGCAGATCCAGCGCTCTCGTCGCTTTTAATTCCTGCGATCCTGGATCGCTGAGATGCGCACGTAGGGTACGGGACAGGCAGTTGTAAACGATGAGCGGCGAACCGCGCTTCCGCAACGCATGCTTGACTGAACGACAGTTTTTTCTCAGGGCAGCGACGAAGCGATCGACGTCAGGCGAAGGGAAAGCGAAGAAAAGAAACGAACAGCGGCCATGAGATGCAGATGCAGCTTTAGGACCAGATTTCAGCGCACAAAAGAAAATCGATCTCGGGAAGTGCTTTTCTTTTTCATTTCGAACGCCGCCTATCAGAAGAGATTATTTTTTTTTTGTAAAAAGAAAACCGCTCAACAGAAAAACTCCACCTGCTCCACGCTCGAACAAAGAACATGCTCTGTATGCTGAATGAGGACGTGCGCGATGGTGTGTGAAAATAGGACGTAAACGATCTGTAGATAATCATACGTATCCGGCCCCTCCGTTTCCTGCGCTAGCTCTCTTCTTCTCTCCGACGGTTTGTCCCTCAGACGTCCTCCTGGCCGAGTACCTGGAGTCGCTCGCAACCCTCTGGTCTCCTGTCAGTACAGCCCTCTGGGTAGTAGATGCGGGTGGCTGGCCAGGCGGCGGCGGCGGCAGATGATCTGGGATGATCGTGTTCGGGCCCGCATAGGTCTCGGCACGAGGCGAAACGGTATATTGCTGAGAGCGTCTCTGCTGCTGCGCCTGTGGCGGGTCCTGTCTGCGCATACTGAAGCCCGTGGAAGGTGTCGGGCCTGTTTGCGCAACGGAGGGAACGGGCGCGCTCGAATTTGCGACGGGCCGTTCCGCTTTCTTCGACTTGGTGGGGAGACCGTTTGGTCCCTTGACGACTTGCTCGGGCGGGTTCAGGCTATCGCGTCGAGCATGACGCTGGTGTATCGCCGCAACAGGAACGGGCTCTTGCTGAATGGAGTCAAACGAATCATTTGTGGGCCGGGATGGAGGAGGCTTGTTGTGCTGATGCACGGACGGTGGTGGCGTAAGCGACTCTTCAGAGTAATTAGGCTGTGCGCGTCTGGACGTCGCCGATCTGAACAACTTGCTTAGCCTGCTCTGCGGTTTGACCTCCTCCGGATTTGGGTCACCGTCGCCACGATAGTCCAATGTCGGTACGATGAGCCTGTACTCTGTTGTGGTGCCTGCGGGATCGCCACGCTCATTCTCGCAGTTGAGACGAATATCCAAACCGCCACGTAAGTTGACCATATACTTCGGATTGTTAGGAAGCACTATCGTGGGGCGCCGCATGAATGGATTCGGCCTCTCATTTGCTGGTCCACGAGCAAGATCACTCTCAGAAACATGCTCAGCTCCTCGCGCTCTGCTGATGTCGGCGGACCCGCGTCTCACAGCATCAGTGCTTGCTCGCCGATTGTAGTATTCTGGATCGTGCATACGTTGATTGAACGCGACTGGTGGGTGCGAGACCGAGTTTCGCTGACCACGTTGACTCAACCGTCGAATAAGACCAGCGCCGGGTAAACTGGGACCGCGTCCGAGAGAGAGTGATCGTGTCAAACCAGGTCTCTGCTTGTACGATCCGTCTGGGGTCATAGGAGGGCTCGGCGTCGGCGGCGGCGTCATCTCAGGTTTGTACTCTCTGATCGAGCACCAGTTCCTTCTGGGCAGCAAATGCTTGTTGTTTCTCGCCTTGTTATTGACGTCCTCGGAGAATATGGGCACCATGTCTTCATCTGTTTCGTCGTCCAGATGGTGCACCTTGTTGCGCTTGTTCAGCACGTCAGCAACCATATCCGCGGGTGGCGTGTTTACAATAGCAGAGGAGATGACGTTGGGCATGTAGCGGTGATCTTGGTCCTTGGGTATACCAAGAGTCTTGTTGCTGTAAAACTGCCCAACGGCGCAAAGATGCACGTCACCACTCAGAATCGTTATTCGAACCGAAAGGTCAGCAGCCAGTTCCTGCAATTCCTGGATGAACCAGTTGCGCTCGTCCTTGTGGTGCTTGGCCGTCCAATGGTCGTCTAGGTCGTCCAAGATTTCCGCGCCCCCGTCGAACTTGTTGACAAATCCGCCAAGAACGCCGGTACGTCCGAGTGCTTTGACAGGATCCATCAATCTCGAAGTGAGGATGTTTTCAAGAAAGTTTAGGCGTGGGTACGCGATAGGCTGCATTCATTATTAGCGTCAAGATCACAGTCGAAAGCAAGTGGAAGAAGCATACCACGCCAAGCAGCACAAGGAGATGGTGCGTCTCTCCCTTAACGATCTCCTTTCGTAGTCGTTCGAAAACCAAATCCCACGTGCCTTGCGACAAAATTTCGTCCCTCGTCCGCTCCGTCCTACAATCCAACGCCAGCAAGGCTGTCCGTCGTCCCAGCCACATGAACAGGCTTCGGCTCAGCTCCGTGATATACGGTCCTCGCTCCGCGCCGAGCAGCCACGACGGCTCCGTGGCCTGGTCCTCGATCGGCAGCGACTGATGTTGGAAGAGCATGTAATACTTGAACGCAACGTTGCCAATGCCGCTCATGACTGGGCATGACATCGTGTGGTCGGGATAGCTACCAAAGCCGTCGATGATGTCGTGATCGTCCCACATGTTGATCATTGGAATCTGCGAGTTGGCGAGTCCAAACATGCCCTGGGAAAACCACATCGAGTACCGATTGAGGTAGAACTTTTCCAGCTCCTCTTGCATCTCCGCCGTGAAGGGCGCGTTATGCTTGTAGTGTGGATTCTTGGAATTGGCCCATTCGCCAAAGTATTTCGTCTGCACTGTCGCGGCGTCCATGTAAATCTGGTCACCGCCACCAATCATCGCGTGGAATGGCCGGGTCTGGTGCGCGTTCAGTACGTCCCGCCATAGCGGATCCGGACCTGAGAACTCGTCCGGTTCGACGGAGAGACTGAACCCATTGCAAGTGTGAAACATTATGTTCATGGTCTCACCACGGGCAGGAACCCAAAAGCCGACCGCAGGTCCGCGGTTGATACGGTACGCAAGGCGGAGCTGGCGGTCCGAGAGCCCAATTTCAAGATTCCATTTCCAGAATGTCACGCCGCGTTCTTTGTATAGAACGTAAGCCGGTATGTCTTGGAATTTGCCACGAAGCTCGCCGTCTTGGCCTACGGAACGCAAGCCTCCCGTGGTACCCTTTCCAGAGGGTGGCTGCAGAGGCTGACTCCGTTGCTCCTCGAATAGACCAGAATCGTCTTCGATGCGCGAGAGGTCCCTTTTCTCGTCCAACGTCTCCACGGGCTTGACATACAGTGTCTTGCCAACTCGGGACATCTTGATCTGACCTGCGACGGGGTCTACGTATTCCGGCGGCAACTGTTGCCCACTTGCCTCGTCGATGTGACCAGGTGGTGGTGGTAATAAATCGACAGGTTGCTTGAAGATTCGTAAACTGGGCGGCGTATCATATCGTGACTTCGAGTCGAGAGTCACGATCATGATGCTGCCCGTCCAGACATCCTTGTTTGGCGTCTGGGACGACTTCCGGAGACCTGTAAAGCGGAGGAGAGGACCGCATTTGAGGTACAACTGCGGCTGGAAATACGTCTGCTGCCCCGGTTGTGGTTGCTGGTACGAAGTCTGATGGGTTTCGGCGCGTCTATTGGTAGTAACAGGCTGTTTGGCAGCTGGTACAGCAGCAGCTGAATCTTGGGCAGCAGCTGTACCCTCTCCCGCTCCAGGACCCATAGATCGTCGTCTGGACGTAGATGAAGGAGGGGGCTTTTCCCACCAAGCCCTGTTATCTTGCACTTTTGCAGCAGGGATTAAAGGCGCCGCGGATGGATCCTGTGCAGCTTGTGCGGTATCTGTAGCCCCTATACTAGCAGTCTGCGCGTCCTGCCTGTAGTCCCTGTACCTGGGACTCTGGTATCTGCGGGCGTGGTCCTCATTATTGTGGAAATGCAAGTGGTGGTGGTGTTGTTTTGAATCAGCCGCTGGCTCATAAGCATCAGGTGCAGAGTATTGTTCCTGGGCAGGCATCGAGTCGCGCCGCTTGTTCCGCTTAAAGATGCTCTTCACACGGCCAAGCACGCCGCCCGAGGATGTGCCTCTGAATTGAGCATCGACGTCTTCGTCGCGACCGTAGCCATGAGGAGGGTAGTCTTGCTGCCGTTCCGCGGACATCATCGGCTTGTTGTAGCCAGACTCCACATAGTCGGGATCTGCATCAAAAACACGACCTTCGCGAACCGATCTCTGGCGAGCTGGCGGTTGGCTGTATGGGTCGGAGACAGCCCGGGTGTCGTGGGGAGGGGGCTTCGAGAGGACGCGAGGTTGTACGCCATCCGAACGCCGACGGCTGTCGTTTCTCACAACCGAATAGTCTTGCAAAGGCTCTGCTTGGTTGGACAGCCTTGCGCGAGCTTGTCTGCGCATTTCAGACGGCGAAAGAGCGCTTGTCGAGGCAGGCGGAGCTTCTGTCCTGTAGTCCGTTCTTGTCGTTACCGATCTTTCTAAAGGCCTGCTCTGCGCCGGCTCGTCGGCCACATTGGGGTCTTCGGTATAGCGGCCAGGTCTCTGCGCCGTGGTCGCATTCCCCCCACTGTTGCTGCTATGCACTGGTCCCTTGCGCCGACTTGCCGCCAGCCGCTCCTCGGCCTCGAGCAGTCTCGCGCGCTTCTCTTCCTTGCTCATGTCTTGGCGCATTCCGTTCACAATCGACTCTACCTTCTGCAGCGGGGACCGATCGGAGGCGAAGTCGGCCGAGTAACGGAGAGCCGACGAATTCGATTGTCTGCGGGCGGTGTTCGACATGTCAAGAGTCCCGAGACATCATATAAGCTGCGGACGGGCGACGTGAGACCGCGAGTAGAACGGGGACGGCGAAAATGACGCTGGCCGACGAGGTCCGACAGCTTGTGCGACTGCGCGAATTGGGCTGGCAATGACGCGGGCACGAGATTCAAGCGGACATGCACGATTGGCGCAGCGTAACACAAAGGGACGAACGCGCGGACAAGGGAACGAAGGGTTCAGATGACGTGAAGAAGGTCTGGACGGCGGTCCCAAGATGCAGAGGAGAGCGAGAAGGGATCAGGTGGCAGCAGCGAGCATCTGTACCACGCACGTCTTGACTTTTTTACCTGCCACTCGACTTTCTTCGCAAGCTCCAGCCACGATCGTCGCCGGGCCGGGGGCGCCGCAAGTCAGCGGCAACGCGGAACTGGTCTGAGCGGACCCCGTTGGCGCCCCCACCCACCGTCTTCGCGCCTCAACGGTGCCCGAAATCCCCTTTCTCTGCCTGATCCTGCTACCCAGCTTCGTCGACGTGCCTGGGCGCCAGTGGAACGTGTCGGACTGGCGTGGTACGCTTCAGGTGAGACCGCGCGGAAGAGAAGGGAGGACGGGCAAGCCGACGCTGCTGACGTCCACACGGCGTCCTGGAAGCGCTTCCTGCAAAACCAAGGTCGATCCTACAAGTACACGAAGACACGTTGTGCACCATAGCCTGACGTACATGGACGCCACCTTGCTGGACAAGGGCCTGTGGGCAAACAGGCAGAAGAACCACCGCTGCTTTTGGCCCACGACGACAACACATTTGACCATTTTTCAAAGCATTCGGACCAGCACCCAAGACTGCTTACACGGACATCGGATGCGACGCAGCCAAGGCAGCCCATGATGCAAGACGAGGTCCTCGCAGCGGGGGAAGAAAATGCGGCATTGACGCACCATGTCACGACCAGCGCAATTCAGCATGGCGGCTCAGCCAGTCTTGCACATGTTGCGTCAACAAAGCAATGAGCAATGTGAGCATATCTCTTTTCAGAATTTCAGCTGCATTCAGAAGATCAAGCTGGGAACTCGTCGTAGTGGAATCACCTCTGTCCTCTGTCTCGCTTGAATAGACAGGCGTGGCCATTACTGTATCCTCACCAAGGCATAGAACTGAGTCGAAACCCATTCTGAACCCTATTGGATTTGCGTCTGGAAACTGGCTCTCAGTTCATCTGATCAGTCGCATCAGACCTTGTGGAATTAGAGGCTTTCAAGCAATATGAGCAATTATCATGAAAAGCGAATCTAAATTTAGCATCAACCCAGCAGCTGTATCTTCATACATCATGGCGTGGAACGCTTCTGGACTACGAACTCTGGCCACTTTCCTTTTCAAGCAGCCAACCAGCTATCGGAGGCAGACGTCTCTTTAAGAGGCTCTTTTTGCGTGAGCCAACGATCCACATCCGGCCGCCCAGCCTAATGCAGCTCGCCTGCTTCGAAGCTCCCCATGCATGCTATATTACCTGGCGGCGAAAGGCCCTCCCCTCCATCCCACAGCCTGATGCCAATTTCCAACCTTTCTGATTTCTCTTTTCGACACCGTTCCCCGGATTTCCCACGCTTCCTTTCCCATCCTTCATGTTCATTTCTCGCTGTGACCCACAATGTCGCCCATCAGCCTGCTTCGCGTTAGGCTGATTATCAAGTCAATTGTCGTCATGTTTTTATCTTCTAGTCACGGAGCACTGGCTTCAAGCTCGCTCATATCCAGGAGCGACCCGTCCAGTATCCCGGCGGACGCGACCGGTAATATTGACAATGCCGAAGATCTGTACGGCTTTGGCGTGCGAATGGGAATCTACGTTCAAGCGCTCGCCTTCCTCATCGGCTTCTTCAACGTCCTGCGTCTCGACCCCAAGGCACAGTTCTCCGGTGTCGTGATCGCCTTCACCATCCTAGTCCGCTGGTTCATGCGTCTAAGCAACCGGGACATCTCTGTAGCTGAACTGTGGGTTGGCCTCGCGCTTCTGCTGCTTGTGTCCTCATCCGGCATGTGGCTACTGTTCTTCACTCTCGAGACTCAGCGACGGAAATGGTACCGCAAGGTGCACGACAAACGACAAGCCTTCGCAGAAGTGACCAAGGGCCAGACGCTCAATATTCTTCAGGCGCTCGTAGTCTTCCTATGTACGGTCGTCGCAAACTCGTACTTTTCATATTGGATCATCGCTACAAATCACGTTGACAATTATCCACCTGCAAACGGCACTCAGAACATAATCTGGCTCGGCGTACCAGTGTCCGTCTCGTCAACTTGGGTCAAAGTCGTCATGATAACACAGGCCGCGCTAGGTACCGCATTCACTGCTTTTCCCGCGTTCGTCTATGTGCTCGCCGCAGCTTTCGCTATGATATCATACTGGTTTCCCAGACAAAGCAATATGTCTCCGTTGCTTAACACGGAAGAAGAACTGGATAAGAGAACGAGACTGGAGACCAAGAGGTGGGCTTGGGGTTTTGGTGCCGCGCTGTTTCTGATGTGCTTATGCCTGTCTTTGAGCGTGGAGCTCACACTGAAGGCTGCGGGGCTAACACCAGAGATGAGTTTACAAAGACCCGGGCAGCTGCTGCCTCTTATCGCCGGTGCGACGTCATGCGTTTCGTCCGCGGCCGACACGTTTGGAGGTCAAATACCGGTGCATAGAGAGCATCGCAGAGGGCAGTCGAGCGTATTTAGGTCATTTACAGCCCAGAGGAGTAGTAGCCGAGATGGTTCGGGCTATGTGGAGTTGGAGGATACGGCTGGGAAGGAGGACAGACAGGACACTAATGAAGGAATACATGCCACTTCACCAACGCCCACCCCTCCTAGGCACGACCTTCAGAATATTGACAATGGGCCTTTTGTGAACACGTATTCCCATACAACCAGTGGAAATCTACTTCAGCATGACAACAATGTCGTGCCGGGAACCAGCTATTCCGGGATTTCGCGATTCTATACAAATCAAGGACGGGCGTCCACGTCTTACTCACAAACATACGGAGGAGGGCCCAGCTATACACAAGATTTACCCGCGTACTCGGGTGTGTCTCCTGTTTACAGCAATAACTCGTCGCCATATACGGGAGGCTACAATCCGCGCAAGTGGAATTCGCGATACGAGCCGTTCCGAAGGATGCTGTGACGTTTTGAACGCAAATTTACTCATATAGATTCTTGTTTTTTATTAAAGGGAGCAATGTATCCTATCCTCCCCCCCTTGAACGCAATGCTCTTAGCGGATAGTGTTCGGCTTAAGTGGAATACATTTACTGTCGGCATCGGAGTGTTTGCAAAAAAGGTAGCAAATGCCTCTCAAATCCTATTACGTCAGGATCAATATTTGCGAAATTGTGGGCTTATTCGCAACGAAGGCCGAACTCAGTGACGGTGGGATAGCGGTCCAAGATATTTTTCTGCTCGTCTTTAAACGACGATGGAGAACCATCGTCGAGGTAGAGCTTCCATCTCACCAATAATTTTCTACTTATTTTGACCGAAGGAAATAAAAATGGCGAAGTGGCTCCGATGACGAGGATCATCACCCGAAATTCGGTCAGAAGTGCGCACCGCGCATAAGTTATACAGAGTCCGTGAGAATGGCGTCCCATAGTTCTCAGGCTCTGCCATTCTTGTAATTTATAATCTGAAAAGCTGGCGAGATCCGTGTGTTACCCGTCGAGTTCACTCAATTCGAAATAGTTCCATCACGGGATGCAAGACACACTAACCTAAATGAAAATCGAACGGCGGCATGTTTACGGCATATTTGACTCATATGAAAAGAGTGGCCAAGTATCTACTTCTAAACTCTTCAATATCCTCATCAGTGGCATGTACATGTGACTTTGGACTTTTGTCCATGTTCTATCGAGGAGCTTGTCAATCCGAGTGCCATCTAAATATTCTTCAACTTATGCTTCTACAAAGTAAACACGCTTGTTCTTATGTACGGCAGAGAGCACCGTCATCCCGTATATACCACCTCTCACTACCTACACATGCTTCGCACCAGAAGACGTCTGTTGGATCTAGTTTCCTCTTGATGGAAAGCAATCTAGGATAGTTGCTGCCCCAGAAGGCATTCTGATAATTCGGCTCATAAGGGCTAGCCTACACAGTCGTCAGATAAAAGGGACCCCAAGAATTGATTCACAGCGGAGCAAATACCTCATTGACGTACGAGCCGGTGTCTGGAGCAAGTTTTCTTAGGGCTGCTGAAGTGACATTGGTGAGATTCTCAATTGCCGCACTTTTGGCGGTGGTGTTGAACGGCGACCAAACGGCACCTACAACTATTCCAGATGAGATTGCAGCCAAAGGTAAGAGACGAGGAAACACGTACTGGAATGGACATAGCCAACCCGCCATGCCGGACATGCTGCGTTAAAGTCTGCGGGATACGCGTGTGTTCCCGGGCCTGACACACCATTGAAAGCAACACCACCGGTCCCTGCCGCTTGTTTAATCAAGTCGGTGAAATTCGGATGATTCAGCGCCTTCTCGTCTAGAATGCGAGAAGCAAAAGCAAGGTCAATACCCATTGGAGTGGCATCTACCTGTTTACTCCACCAATCATAGAATGAGGGCCACTCTTGTATCTCTGTCAGAGATGCAAGGATATCTGAACCGTACGAAACATTAAAATGCTCTGCGATTGGTGCAAGATAGCCCCTTGTGTCTATGCTTGACTGATTTAAACCCATGAATTTCCCTGAGAATGACCATGAAGTGGACTCATTTATCGGAGGTACCACGCTGGCATACATCGTTATGCCCGCCGTCACAAGCATTGTCATCTGAGTCGCCATGTAAGTAAGTGCACTCCAAAAAGCATCATTGACTAGTGTCGGACTCGAAAATCCAAACGTCGTGCTCGTTATGGGTATGGACGGGAATGTTTTGACAGTAAAGTTGAGAACGATCCCAATGGTTGAGCCGCCGCCTCCTCGAACCGCCCAAAATACGTCTGTGTTCTGACATGCGCTTGCTGTCACGATATCCCCATTTGGGAGTACAATGCTGAACTCGAGCACAGCGTCAGTTGCAAGCCCTTTTTGGGAGCTGAAAAGCGTCTGTCCACCTCCTGTAAGAAAGCCGCCGACTCCAACGCTCGGGGCGCTGCCGACATGAACCATTAGGCCATGTTCATTTGCAAGAGCCAGAGCTGCGCCATTGTTCTCACCAGCTGCCACCGTGATAGCAGGGCCCGAATAAAAATTCAAATCGTCCGCTGGAAGAGCACCACATGTTTGGTAGGCCTCGTGGAAACGCGTGCCTCTAAGGTGGCGTGTCCAGATCGACAAAGAGTAAGGCGCAGCGGTCCTACCTCGGAAATCATGTCCTGTCCCTTTGACGACGAGGCGGACATTATTATCTCGTGCGAATTTAATACCGGTCTGCACATGCTCGGGCTTGCTGGCATTGACAACATAAATCGGGTAGCCGTGTCCCGTACAGGGTGCATTTGGATTCGGCAAGCAAGTGTCGTTGCTCCAGTTGTTTTCACCAACGCTCACGGGATCATCCGCATGGAACTCCCACGATGTCGTCCATAGCTTGGTGACTTCTGCGCACGTAGCGTTGTCGTAGTTTGGTCGGTCAGAGTGGCACACCGAAGCTGGTGGAATAGCGGCGATCAGATTGCCTTCCAGTGTTTCGTTCAAAGACAACCACGCACTTTTCGACGGCCAAGAGTCGGATTCGGGGAAAGCCTTACAGCAGTTGAGTGAAGCACTTCTGTCGCTGGCGAAGCACGAGGTAAAAATAGAAAGGAACCACAATCTTTTAAGTGCACGCATTGCAACGAACAATTGCGCTTTTGTAAAGGAGGTCGAACGTGATGACCTCACTCTCCAGGCATACCAACGCTTTATGTAGGAACACACCTGCAGTCCCAGTTCCTGAACGATCTTCGCTTTCCCCGCATCCTCCTCTAACCCCGGCCATCACTACGCCGAAAAGGCACTCAAGGAGTGTGCAGTCGTTTGGGCTCGTGCGCCGAAAGAGATGTAACCTCAATTCGACGGTGCTTTGGAGAAAATCGTAGCTTCTGCTCAATGGAATACTAATTCCAGAGGAGTACTTCCATGCTACCTGCCACACTTCCTAGCGGCCAACGAAGCGCAGGTTTTGCGTCAGCGGCATTTCAGTAGAATTACCCTAGGCATTTTAGCTTGCGTTCAGAGTCTATTCTTTCTAGTCGAAATTTACCTGACATACGATTCTGAAGATGAAGCTTTCTGTCCCTTGGAGGAGTCTCGAAATGCGTCAAAATTGGCATCACATTAGTCGTGTGGATAATTGATTGTCCATCAAATGGAGCAAAACGTCTTTCTTTGTAGGAATGCGTATCAAGCATATCGTAAGGACAATTTGCGATTTCAACTTCACCTGGAGGGCTTCTCCATCGTTTAATACAGTACTTGAGATGGCCCCTACTCACACCTACGTATTTCAAGGAAAGTTCTTCGTCATGACCTTGATTCGCCGCGTACAAAGCTATCTTTTCATTTCGAAGTGACCATGGCTTACACACATACTGTGTCATACGGGCTCCACTACTCTGATGTCGAAATCCTTCAGGGGCTGGGCCGCTCTCCACTTCGCCAGCTCGTCGCTAAAGTGATTCAGACCTTTGGACCAAAAACTTCCTGTGGCCAACTTCCTCTGCGCATCGGCTCCGCCGGCAGCCATCTGAAACAGGTCGCCTTCTCCATTGAAGTAGCTGGGCGGGCAGGTTTGCATCGTCGCGAAAACATGAGCCCCATCCACGATCTTCCTGGTCCAAGCCTCTTCAGCTTCCACGGTGGGCTGAATCACCAGGTTCGGCGTTCCAAACGCCTTGGCGGCTTCCGAAATGATGAAGGCGATGTGCTGCGCGAGCTCGTCGACCATGGCAACCTGGTTTGGAGTCGCGCCTGCTTGAGACAGGCCCAACAGAAAGAAATTGGGTAGCCCGTTCGTCTGAATGGAATGCAGCGTCTTCACGCCGTCTTTCCACTTGCCGCTGAACGTCATCCCGTCTTTCCCAGTCACAGTCATTCCTAGTCTGTCAGCCGGCGTCGCGCCGATAGGAATTTCGTAGCCCGTGCTCAGGATCAAGACGTCCACAGCATACTCCCGTCCGTCAAAGTATGGTCCATTCGGTGTCATCCTATCCAGCCCGCGACCATCCGTGTCGACCAGGGTCACGTTCGATCTGTTAAAGCTCTGGAGATATTCGTCGTGGAAACATGGCCGCTTACACCAGCCCGGATACCACGGTTTGAGACGGTTTGCGGTTTCTTTGTCCTGCACGATCGAATCCACCCTTGACCGGATCCTCTCTTGTCTCGCCAGATCGAGGAGTTTCATTGCGTTGACGTACTGCTGACTCTCGGCAGGTGACTTAGGACCTGCTTCGTTGCCTGTAATGCCGGCGTAGGTTGGGAATGTGGTCCAACCATCTCCAACCAGGTCCACCGCGGGTTGATCGGCAGTGTTTGCCATGAACGCGCTGAAATTCCTTCGTCGTTCGCGCTGCCACCCTTTCCGATCCTTCACCTCGCTCCACCACTTTAAATCCGTCTCCTGCTGCCCCCTCGTGTCGACGGACGAAGGAGTTCTCTGAAAAACGTAAACACGCTTCGCCCACTTCGCAAGCTCAGGAACGACTTGAATGGCAGTGGCGCCAGTCCCCACAATGCCTACGGTTTTGTCCCTTAAGTTCACAAGATCAGGCTGTTCTTCGGAACCACCGGTGCATTTGTAATCCCATCTTGAGGTATGGAATACCTTGCCTTTGAAGTCGTCGAATCCCTGAAGACGAGGCAACTTGGGCCAGTTGACAGTCCCACCGGCTACAAGGAGGAAGCGAGAACGCGCGGTGATCCGAACTCCTTCCCGACCCTTTCTCGAAGATTCAATGGTTGACACCCATTCCCCTCGCGTTTCGTCCCAAGTGGCAGCGACTATCTTTGCTTGAAACAAGGTCTTGTCTGTGAGGTGATAATGGTCCGCAATGTTCTCAGCGTGCTTCCTCAACTCAGGCCCATAAGAATATTTGTGCTTGGGCATATAGCCCAGTTCTTCCAACAATGGCATGTAGATATAGCTTTCCACATCACACATAAGACCTGGGTATCTAGACTTCGTCAACATATACAACTCAAGCGTTTCAGAGCAAACGTACCGGTTGAACCACCAGGTTCCTCCGAAGCCACCGGCTGAATCCACTAAGCGGATGCTATCAACATCCACACCGGACTCAATCAGGCGAACAGCAGCGAGGAGACCGCCATAGCCGGCTCCAAGAATAAGGATGTGATAAGAGTAGCCGTCCACGATTGATTCTTCACCATAGTCGGGCTTAGTGTCGTCAACCCATATATCCTTGCCGAATTCGCGATACCTTTCGGATTCGGAAGTGGCTATGAATTGCTTGAGGCCTTCTGGTCTGATCCGTTTGAGACGCTCCTCTTCATACTTATCGAGTATGGCTTCGGCATTCGGCGCATGCGCTATGTTCTGGCTTGTGCTGATGCCATTGATTTCAGCCAGTGGCATGCTTTCTTACAAGCGATTGCTTTTTCTTTTCAAGAAATGAATGATGTTGAAGATCTATGATAGCAAGCCTCTCTCGGGTCAATCCCACAGGACGGTAATAAGAATCCAAAGGGAGAACTCGAGATGTCACAGTAACCGCCTGAACCGAGTCATGCACCAGATTCAGCGATGATTCTCAGATAAAAGTTGCCCTTGATCCAGGCGTTGAGTACTATAACCTCGGACTTGGAATGCGTTATGCTTGTTTCTCGATCTAGCTTCGGGTAAGCACCAATGTCAAGCTGCTTTGGCATGTCCTTTGCCTGCCTAGGTCAAAAGGTGGGGTGCAAGTGACCAAATAGCGATTTCTTGATGATCGGTAGAAAAATTGCAGCTCATGCGAACTGCTACCCCGATAACATGCGTTCAAGATGTACTTTACGTCAGGAATTTCAAGTACCTGGTGTCTTACGGCTGCAAAACCATGGTTACGGCATAGGACGCAAGTCCCCATATACACGGGCTTTCACGTTTACAAACACACAAAGTTACACCAGGAGGCTGCGATGAAGAAAGCTGTGGGCAGACTTTGTACGTCGGGGACCAGGACCTCGGATATCGAGGGGTTCGGTTTTGCAACAAATGAATGTGCGACCAAGAGAATCCTGAGACATATGATTGAACGACACAGACAAGCTTAAGCACCGTCTATTTGGCCCAGTGAATCCGATCAGGTCCAGCAATACCGCTTCACCATGGGTCAAGCTGAGGTACTATAAGTTAGAACTGTCCATGACTTCGAGATGTCGAAGCGATAACTCTAACGGCAACATTTTCATTGAGGTATGTTGTTCCCGGGTAATATAATCGGAGCCTGACTTGGATGCAGGACAACAGGTCGTGCGGGTCAACAAACACTCTTGACACGTTCACGACGCGAGCTGTACTGGAGCGTAGTCCCAAGAAGACATCACTTCCATCCATCTGGGCGAGGATCAAACTTGAACGCTTCACTCCTTGGCCGTTACCGGAACATTCTCATTTCGAGGGGCAGTGTTTGCAGCGCTTGCCCTTTGATTGGTGGGGCTTCTTACGGGTCCCGTTGCCCATTCGGCCACATCGGGAACCACATCGATACCCGGCGGACGTCGCTGACCGCAAGAGAATTCGATATCACTGTGAGAAGGCCGCAGAGCCGCTACACAGCGCCGGCGAGCACCGATAGACTTTGGAACTTTCCTTTTTCTCTAAGAAAAGAAAAAGGATGTCCTCACCGCAGGAGGATGACGACTTTTGGCTCTTCGGTTACGGGTACAAAAGTTCCCCTCTCCACCCCCCTCTTTCCTATCTCCCATCCGCCATTGCGACATTGCTTTGCTTACACGGATGGACATAGAAGCTTGATATGGAAACCGCCTCCGCACTATGGTCGTGATGTCCAAAAGAACACGCGTTTTGCCAGCCTGGACTGGGATGGCTGACATGTGGTGCTTCAGACAAGCGCGTGCCGGGATACATCGAAGGGTACGTCCGCCGGTTTTGGCAAGTAAGTTTTTTCGAGCGTCCGACGGAGACGACGACGGAGGGGGGAAAGGCAAACCCCCTCTGGCCCCCAAGGAAGAGCCAGGCTGCTAAGCACGACGCCAGGCCAGGTAAGGGAGAAGAATGCCCGTCGGGGGCGCGAGAGGTTTTTGTTGCTGAACGTCGACGCCGGGACCACAGCGAGGATCACCGGGGCACGCCGGAGGCGCCCGGCCGCGTCGTGACGCTGATTGCCCGAGAGCACTATGACACACTGACCGACCACGTGGGTTGCCCTCCCTTTCCCACCGCACCAAGGACGACGAGCGAAGGCAGAGCGAGACCAGACGGCTAACAAAGGAGCGGGCAGCACTTCTCCGCGCGCGACGAGCGCGTCTGGGGCGCCGCGTACCACATCCCCGCGCCGCACGTGGCCGAGGTGAAGGCGTACCTGGACATCCGGGAGATCAACGGCTACTCGATCGAGTACGCGGCGTTTGCGCCGGCGTCGTCGTCGTCGTCGTCGTCGTCGTCGTCGACGGGCATGACGAAACCGATCCGCTGCCTCGTCTACATCGGGCTGCCGAACAACCCGCAGTTCGTCGGCCCGCAGGACCCGCAAGAGCTCGCGCGGCACATCCTGCGCTCAAAGGGCCCTAGCGGCCAGAACAGGGAGTACCTGTACAACCTTGAGCGGGCTCTCGCGTCGCTGAGCCCGGAGAGCGGCGACGGGCACGTCAGCGACCTTGCGAGCCGGTGCAGGGCGCTCGAGGCAGAAGGGGGCTGGGAGGTTGAGACGGGCGCCGAGCTTGCGCCGCTGCACCGAGTAGGGAGCACGGAGGAGCAGGAAGAGGTCGAGAAGATTGGGTAAGATTGTTGCCAAAGCCAAACCATCGCTTTTTTTTCATTTTAAGTCGCAATACTTCCCCTTCTTCTATCGCGGAGGAGGGTCCGCAGAATGATGCCAGGGAAAGAGAAGCATGAGAGACGAGGAGCAACAAAGGTACAACTACAAGGGCCCGATTTTGTTTCTCTTTTTTTTTTTCGTTTTCAAGATAAAGGAAAAAAAGAGCAGAATTCGTCAATTTAGACTCCTTTCCGATGAGGTCGGTGGTTTTCAAATATAGACAAGAAAAGACATGAAACAAAGAAACTGTTGATAGAAGCAACATAGATGCGGCTTACCCACACCAAGGTCTATCACGAGTTTTGAAAAAAAAAATAATGGAACGTCGAAGCAAACTTGATAAATGAAGCTCTCGACCCGTGGCGCCTTTATCCATGCAAGCTGTTGGATATCGCAAATCTCAATGCTTTCAATGCCGAAAGAAAGAATGTTTGTGAACGCCGATTTTCTCATATGTCTAGTCTTCCATCAGGTCGTCCAGCAGTCCCTTGTCCTCTCCCTCAACAGCAGGACTCGTAGCTGCGGTAGCTTCGTTCGCATCGCCGTTCTCGTCTTCGTCCCCTCCCATAATGTCGTCTAACAGATCATTGTCCGCATCCCTATTCTCTGTTGGGTCTTCATCAGCCGGCTTGGCCCCATGTGTTTCTCCATTCTTTGCATCCTTCTCGACATGGTTCTTTCTCGCCATCAAGCCACGAAAGTAGTCGTTACTTTTCGGTCCAGTCGGTTCGTCGGCATCCCTTTTTGCTGCGACCTCATGAGTGCGCTTGCTGAATCCCAGGCCACCACGACGTCCACTGTGGCCGCCCCGAGGTTGGGCAGGACGGTGCACTGGTGCACCGAATCCAGAAACGGCTTTCTTCTCAGCCTTCTTAGCTTTGTCTGTCTTGGGCTTCTCCTCTTTGAGCTCCGCCTTTTGCTTCATCAGCTCTGGCACTGTTCCAATGCGCAGCTTGTGGTCTTCCAGCTCGTAGTTTTCTAGGCCCATCTGCGCCTTACCCGCGCTCGCGACATCAACGTATTCAACAATGGCGCCGGCGTGATCCGGGCGGAGAGTAAGCTTCCTAATCGGGCCGTATTGCTCCGCGAGCTTCTCGAGACGCGCTGCGGTCACGGTGTCTGGCACATTCATGATCGCGACGGTGCGTTCCTTGTGGTTACTCGCGTTCGTCTCTGGTTCGCCGGTCGAGCTTACGGGCGCAGCGGAAGCACCGTTCGTTTTTACGGACGGTGAAGTAGTCGCGTCTGGCGTCGGGCTCATCGTGCTTCCTCGGTGGATGCTCGTCGCTGTCCGGCTGGCTTTCTTGCTTGAAACTTCCACATGCAGCTTGCGATTCTTAAACTGAAACTCGTTGTACTCCTTGGCAGCTCGCTCAGCACCCTCCTTTGTTTTAAACACAACAAACGCGGTGCCTTTGCTCTTGCCCTCAATGTTTCGTGGAATGCGTACAGACTCGACCTCCCCGGCCGATTCAAACAGCGTCTTGATCTCGTCCTCTTTGGCATACCAGTATACGTTGCCGACAAAGACTTCCCGACCCTCTGACTGAGCACCTTCACGATGTCCCGCTTTGTTGGGGTCAGAGATCGCGACGACGAGTTTGTACTTGCCATCGATCAACGTGTCGTTGAGCTGCGTGGCCTTCGCAGCGGCATCGGGGTCTAGGAACTGAACGTACGCAAAGCGACGTTTGGCGTTCGCCTTGAGCGACGGCATGCGCACGTCAACAACCTCTCCACAATTGGCGAACAGGTTCTTGAGGTACGCCTTGTCCGCCTCGGGAGGGTAGTTGGTCACAAAGAGCGTGCATCCAGTGCCGAATCGGACGCTTAGTTCAGACCCCTGAAACGTCTTGCCGGACTTCATGAGCGAATACGCAGCCTCATCTTGCGACTCGAACTCGATGGTGGCAGTCAGGCTGTCCTTCTCGTGAACGAGGTTGATGCTCTTGATTGTTCCGCAGTCGCGGAAGAAGTGCTTGATCTGGCCTTCGGTGGTCTTCAGCGGAATGTGCTCGACGATCACGGTCGTGTGCTCGCGATCACGCTTCGGCTGCGACGTCTCCGGCAAGGAAGTGCCTTTGGCGTCCGGTTCGGCAGACTTCATCTTCTTGGTAGCCGTCTCATCCACGGCGGATTCCTTGCCCTCTCGCTTTCGCTTACCGCCCGTCGCAGACGTGTCTGCCGTCGCTGATGCAGACTGCGAATCGCTGGCATCCTGCTGCGCCGCTTGCGCCGCGGCTGCCGCCTCTCGCTCTCTTCTTTTGGCGATCCTGCGATTCGTTTCCCGAGCTAAGATGACCGCGCGTCGAAGCTCGGCCACAGACTCGTGATGTTCACAATGGTTTAGAAACATGGGCACCAGTTGCTCGGGCCAGTCCATGACGTCGACATGCTCAAGTGCCTGCTTGAGAACTGCGGTAGCGAGTTCGGGGCAGCGCAGCTGCGATCCAGGTTCATTCGCCGCACGCATCGAAAACTTGGCCCACACGACCATCTCCCACATGTAATACCTGTACCAGAAGTCGTATGAGTGGACCTGGTTCTTCATGATCTCCTTCCAGCTGTCGCGTGCGACCTCAATCTCGCCCTTCTGCATCATGAACTTTATGTAGATGCGCTCGAGCCGGTAGTGGGGGTCGCCCATGTACTTCTCGCCATATTTGTCGTGCCCAATCTTCTTGACGTGCTCGAGCGCAGAGCGGATCGCGACTTCCGCAATGTCCAGCTCGTCCTCGGTCGCGCCTGGCGCGAAAGCACGTCTCCGCAGCCCGCCGCACCACGCCACGTACACTTTCATCAGCTCCTCCATGCCGCCCACGTCCAGGAGACCGGTCGACGTCGCGCGGTGCTTGATGTTTTCAATCTCCGCGAAGGGACGGCCCTCGAGTTCCATCGTCAGCAGCCGGTGAGCCCACAAGTCTCCCGACCAGGGGCAGTGCCGCGTCGCCCTCTCGATGACTGGCATGACCGAAGCATCTGGCGTCGATGAATCGCTGATGAGATAGTCGACGTAGTCGATCCAGAAGGTCTGCACGGATGGGAAACGCGTCGTGGCGCGTTCGTAGAGACCTCTGATCATGCGGAAGCTGAAGACGCCTTTCTTTTGCAGCTCCCACGCTAGGTAATCCGTGTAGGCCTGATACTCGGCCGTCTCGTCGCGGCGATCGACGGCGTGCTGGATCGCGAGTTCGTGCTTCTCGCGTATGCGCCAAGCCGTCTGCGCACCACTGTTTCTCGCCATCTGTGCCATGATCTCCTCGTAGTTCTTTGCGTCGTGGACCGACAAGAAAGAGCCAAAGCTTTGGTACGTGTCCTGCCACGTGGCGTGCGCCTCAGAGAGTCGCTCCGCAAACTTCTGCTCGATGTTGATCAGCTTCTGCTTGTCCGGCCACTTTTCATGGTCCTGGATCAGCACGCTCATGTACTGGTCCCAGACAAGATGGCTGTCGTTCAGTCGGAAGTGCGTGTTTGCGACGGCCTGTTCCCAGATGCGTAGCATGGGAGCCCATTTAAAGTACTCCTTGCCAGACTGCACGTCCTGAGGTGACCAGCTAGCCGTCGCGGCGGCGTCTGCCATGCCGTACGCAGCCGCCCACAAGAAGTACGCGTAGTCCCCGTACTTGCGCCAAAGACGTACAGAACTGGGTTCGTCCGTGACGGCGCGCGCAAACAGGTCCATCACGCGCAGCCGGTCGTCGTTGTTAGTCGCGAGGGCCATCTCGTCGTCCAGCCACGAGACCCAGAGCGACTCGCCAAGGGGGAAGATTTGATCCATTGTCTTACGGGCATTACGCAGCTCCTGCAGAAGCTCATACTCGTGGGGGCTAGCTCCCTTACCAACATGCACAGCTAAGCCCTGCTGCAGCAGTGTGATGAAGCGGACGTGCGAGGAGTAGTCGAACGGATTTGTCACGAGGTGGTTGCCCAGTTCATCGAGGAGACTGCACTCCTCCTGCGTGAGAGAATGTGAACGGTAAGAGCGCCGCTCCTGCGTCGCTGGATCAGTCATGACGATCTCGTTCGACGACCGAGCGGAAAGGGCCGGCCGGGGCAAGTTCTGGAGCGTGTAACTGCGCGAGGACGTCGCGTCGCGTGATGGCAAGGCAGGGCGGGTGGCCGCGTGCTGGGATTGCTGCATCGATGCGAGATCTGGATCGTGTGGTGAGCATACTGGGACGTGGACGACAAGGCGGTGCCGCGGAGGCGCATACATACCCGCAAGCGTGTCCATCTGTGGGGTCGACCCGTGGCGCTGCAGGGACGGAAGCTGCTGCTGCTGGTGATGGTGCGGCTGGTGGTGCGGCGCGTGGACCAGCCTTGGGTCAGACGCGAGCACGCCCGGCGACGGCGACGGCACTGGAGCGGAGGACGCGGCAGCGTAGACCGGCTGGGGGCTCGGCTGGGCATACATGAGCTGCTGCTGGTTGTGGTATGCGGCATTGTGGGCGGCGATGGCGGGCAGCGACTGATCGGCGGCACGAGGCGAGGGCGAATACTGCCGGCTCAAGCTCGAAGACTTCCGCTGCTGGACGGGCGGGCGCGTGGACGGGCGACGGACCGGCGTCGAGGACTTGGAGGAAGGCGCGGTGGGTGGAGGCGTGTCGCCATCGGCCGGCGACTCGGCGGGCGAGAGCAGCGAGTTGATGTCCATCTACGGCGGCGACAGCGGCAGGCGCAGACGACCGGGCGTTGAAGAGGCTCCTCCCTGTCCACGGCAAGCGCAACGGGCAGGGCGACGCTGCAGGACCATGGAACGCAGCTCAGCGAAGGCGCAGAAGACGCATTCAAGACGGGAGGGGAGCTGCACAACCACGATTGCGGGAGATGCGGATGTGGATGTGAGAGCAAGGACGAGGACGAGGGCGAGAGCAGGTGGCCGAAGTGCAGGAGCCGATGCAGGCGGCCGCACGTCAGGTTCGGATTGGGATGTAGAAGGCCGTGTTTGGCGTCACCGCGCGATGGAGAAAAAAGTCGCCCGTCAGGACGGGACAACGTACGATGACGAGCAGGCTAGCGGCGCCAGAGCACGGCGCTCCAGAGGCCCTGCGGAGTCCCTGGCGGATCGGACTGCGTGCGTGCCGCAGCAGAAAGGGGGGACCCGCCTGCTGCTTGGTTGGTCGGGCAGCGGGTCCGCCCAGCGCCCAAGGAAGCAACTCCGCGCTCTGCCATTCCGCTGCCCCCGTGCGCCGGACGCAGCCGTGCTTGCCTCTCTGCACCGCGTCGCCAACGTCGGTCACCGTCCACCACGCACCTCTCTGACCTCTCTCTCCGCCGCAAGCGGTCCCGCTGTACCTGCGGCCACGGCCGCCGCTGACTTGCTGCTTCGGCTGCTGCTCCTCTGATCGCTGCTCTCACCCGCCGGCCGCTCGTCGTCGGCAGGGGCTGCCCCAGTGCCCCAATTCTTCTCCCTCGCTCCTCGCGTCCTTCCGGCACGAAAAGACGTCGTCATGCAGCGACGCCCGCCCTGCCTGGACGTGTCCGCCCTGGTCTGTTCTAGATTGTGACAGGCGTGTTTCCTTGCCATGCGCCAACCGCAGGCCAGCAAGTCCTGAGGCAGCGTTTGTGTGGCGTCGATCCGCTTCCTCATTCGGCCTAGTCCTCTCCCTCGGCACCGCATCCTTTTCGTCCAGCTTTGCATTGTCGACACGTCGGGCACCTTTTCTGTTCATCGTCGCCCGCATCATCCTCTTTCCCTCGACGACGTTCCAGCGCATACCACCGCCTTGTCGTGAGGTTGCTCTTGCTCGTTGCTCCAGCACCTGCGCCGGCAGCTCAACGACAACAACAACAACCATGCCAAAATATAAGTATCCCCTTGCCCCGTCCTCGCCTCGCGTACAAAAGGTACTGACCCTGCGAACTCTTCTGTAGGTTTCTTCCCCACGCTGCGCATCACCCACCCGCCGTGTATGTCGCGTGCTCGCCCTGACCACGAAGCAAGGTGACTACTGCGATGTCTACCTTACGCACGATTCGATGAGCGTGCGTAAGGCTCACAACAGCGGCCGCAACCACCTCCGCAACGTCCAAGACTACTATCAACGTACGTCACACGCCCATCCCTTCCAACCCTTGTGCATGCCGGAAAGGGTGTTGCCTCCAAGCTGGTTGCTAACTCGCCTCTTTGTTTCGCTATGCAGAAATCGGACATGAAAAGGCACAGAGCGTCATAGACTCGATCACGTCCTCGTACGCGGACGCCGGCCAGGCGGCGCAGAATCCCATGCTGCAACAAGGCGGTATGATCGGTCCCATGCCCGGTGCCTCCTTCCCGACGAGCGGTGCGGCACGTCCGCCCTTTCCATTTCCAGGTAAAACTCTTTTTCTTCTACTCGGGCCCGCCGACACCAGTTCCGCCAACGACTGAGAAGAATCCCTCGCCGGCCACACGCTTCAGACGTTCTCTAGACTAACCTCAATCCCTCTCTTGTATACAGGTCAGCCAGGCGCGCCACCTCCAATAAATTTTTCCGGCCCACGACCCGCCGGGCTCCCCGCCCATCTTCCTTGGCCGCCTCCGCAGATGCCTTTCCCCCCACCGCAGGGCATGCCAGGAATGCCTCCGTTTCCCCCACCAGCGGCAGGCTCGCCACCGCAGGGCATGCCTCCATTCCCACCCCCGGTCGCTCCAGGAATGCCGCCTCCGCCGCCAGGAGCCAGCTTTCCGCCTTTTGGAGGACAGTCAGGCTCACCTAGCGGACCCCCACCTCCAGGACAAGGCTTTATGCCTCCGGGGATGGCGCCACCCGGAAGTGGACCTCCTGGACATTGAGAGGCTGAATGACGAATCTTGACGCTAAGATGAGGATATTTTTTTTCCTTGTGGCAGAGATTGTAGGAAGCAAGGCACGCATGCACGTGTTCGTTTCTCGCGGTCAGGAAGGGTCGGGACGACTCACGCGCGAAGTGAACGGAAAGACGCCACGAAATTGCATGTACATGTAACTCGCGGGGCCAATTGAGTCAGTCAGCAGTGTAATTAGAGCTGCAAACTCTTGGTGACGCAAATAGAGTTGCGGCCTTGGACAGGACTTGTGCTGTTGTACCAGCAGAAGCTTCACGGGCACATGGAAGAAATAAGAGAAGAAAGACAGATCCATACAGCATTTCTATGCAAGTATCACAACTTCTGCTCTCGTCCGTGATCCGTGACTTCGGTTGTCCTCCTTGTCCAGCACAGCCCGTACGCAGTCTTTGAACAAAACATTCACACAAAGTTGGCTCTTGTGTGGTGTAAAGCCAACAGCTTCAAGGTAGGAACAAAGGTCGCTTCAGAGACAGAATCATTTCTAGAGAATGAGATTGCCAGGTTCTCCAGCAGGAAGGCGATCACGAGACCAGCCAGCTTGAAACTCTACCTCTGTCTAGCTACCGTACATTTCCTTACCCCCACCCCCGCTTTACGATCGGCCACGGCCGCCTATTTTCGGTCGGAATCCTGGCGCCCACTGACAGTGCTACGCGTACGAGCGAACACACATATTCGCTCTCGCACGCATGCAACGTTGAGGCCAGTGCACTGTACGCGGGCCCGTTCGCAGGTCTGTTCACGACGGGTTGGGGAGCAAAAAAATAAAATAAAAAAATAAAAAGAAGAATAAAAAAACCACGTGCGGCCAAAGGAACGTTGAAGGCCAGGAAAAGAAATGAGAGTACGTCTGGGGAATGGCCAAGCGATAGGTCGCGCGGTCTTTTTTTTTTTTTCTCTTTCCGTTTCATCATCAGTTCGTTTCCACGTCGCCATCCTTTGCTTTTTGGCTGTTTCGACCCGACAGCTCAGGTGATAGGAGAGACCTTGGGTGCTCACCGTGCCGGTCGCTCGCAAGCGGTAGCCGTGGAGCGATGCTACGCGAAGCGCGGGTCATTCTGCAGCGAGGAGGAGGAGCAGGAGGAATCGAATGCGTCAATGGGGCAGCGTCATCTCTCGACCAGGCTTCCTTCTCGTCTTCGATCCTGCTCGTCTCGCCCGGCTCGACGCGCCCGCTACGGCGGCTCATTTATGCTCGCTGTGAGTGCGGGCCAGCGCTGGTGCCGTGGATCCGACGAGCGGCAGCCCGTGCGTGGGCATCGAGCGGGAATGCGACGCGCCCATTGGCCAACCCCACAACGCTCGGAAGCGGATGTTCGCTCGCTGCACAACTCCTTATGCATCGTGCACAACTGTCTTGTGCCCCCTCTCGCTGCCCGTCTGGCCTCGGGCTACCCTGTCCCATCTCCCATGCTTTAAAAGGGCCACCAGCGTTCTCCTTCCCCCGTCGCAAGTGTGACCGAAGCGTTTCGACTCTCGAGGCCTCTAAATCACCTTGCGAAGCGGGGGCTGCAAGGAAGCGAGATCGCCTTCCTACAAAAGCAGAAAGATCAAGACAAGAGAAGCCCTACGCTCGTTTCTCCTCCAGCAACGACGGGATCTACCAATCGCCGTTGGCCTGCCTGACCCAAGCCTTTTTACTTTCCCCCTTTGCCCTTATCCGACGCTTCGCCTGTCGACCATCGCACTTGTTTCTTACCTCCACACGCCGCCCCCCTTGTTTCGTCCGAGTTGGCGCGCTGACGCGCGCCCAGCGCGGTACTTACCGACCCACGACCGAGGGCCACCATGGCTGCGTCTGAGCCTGAGAAGCAGAACGTAAACGCCCCCGTGGACCGCGACGAGGACTCGTCCGAGAAGCGCGCGGCCGAGTCAGAGTACACGACGAATGGCGACGTGGACAGAGACGTCGAGAAGCTGAGCCCCACTGAGGAGACCCAGACGGTCGAGGCTACCCAGCCCGAGTCGAAAGCCCAAGACGTGGAGCAAGTCGACGCCGACATTGTCGACTTTGACGGGCCGGATGACCCGGAGAACCCATACAATTGGACCAAGAAGCGGAAGTGGATCAACGGCGGCTTTCTGAGCTTCTTGACCTTCATCACGTATGTCTAGATCTTTTTGTGTCCTACGTGGTGGAGCGCTAAACCTCTTCCCCCTTAACTGCTTCTCAAACTCCAACCCCCCCCCCCCTCTTTTCCCCCACACCCCTGCTGCTGGGTAACCTGTGTTGACGTGAGAAAACGACAGGCCTCTGGGGTCGTCGATGTTCGCCCCCGGCGTTCCAGATGTGCTCCGCGAGTTTCACACCACGAACGAGACGCTTGGATCCTTCGTCGTGTCCATCTATATCTTGGGATATGCGTTTGGCCGTGCGTAACCCCAGGGTCTCCCGCTGTCCGGACCCGTCCATGGCTTTTGACTTACAAGCTGACCGAGAAATCCGTAGCACTCTTCATCGCGCCCCTGTCCGAGATGTACGGCCGAAGCATCGTCTACCACGTGACGAACGCGCTCTTCATCGCCTGCACCATCGGGTGCGCGGCCAGCTCCAGCTTCGGCATGCTCATCGGCTTCCGCTTTCTGGCCGGCACGTTTGGCTCGACGCCCATCACCATCGGGTCCGGCACGATCTCGGACATGTTCAGGACCGAGGAGCGCGGCGCCGCCATGTCCATCTGGAGCATCGGCCCGCTCCTCGGCCCCGTCGTCGGCCCCATCATCGGCTCCTACCTGTCCGAGGCGAAGGGCTGGCGCTGGGACTTTTGGTTCGTGGCCATCGTCGCCGCCCCCGCCGCCCTCGGCATGGTCTTCTTCCTGCGCGAGACGTACGCGCCCGTCCTGCTGGAGCGCAAGGCCGCGAGGCTGCGAAAGCGGACGGGCAACATGAACCTGCGTTCGAAAATGCACCACGGCCTCACGCCCAAGGAGTACATGGCACGCTCCCTGATCAGGCCGACGAAGATGCTGCTCTTCTCCCCGATCGTCTTCTTTCTGTCCCTCTACATGGCCGTCGTGTACGGGTAAGTTGCTCTCACAAAGCCAGGTGGACTATGCTGTTCAAACGGGCGCGGAAGCTTGAGCAGTGCTCTCCCTCTTTCCTCCCACCCTCCCCCCTTCCTCTCTCTCTTTTTCAAAGAAAAAACCTTACTAACTTTTGGTTTTCTTCTTGCAGATATCTGTATCTCCTCTTCACGACCATCACCGGCGTCTTCGAGGGCAAGTATCACTTCTCGCCCGCAAACGTCGGCCTCGCCTATCTGGGCATCGGCATCGGCATGTTCGGCGGCCTCTTCGTCACAGGCCTGCTCTCCGACTCCATTGTCAAGAAGCTGTCCGCGCGCAACAACGGCGTGCTCAAACCGGAGTACCGCATCCCGCCCATGATCCCCGCCGCCTTCTCCATCCCCATCGGCCTCTTCATGTACGGCTGGACGGCGAACTACGGCGTCCAGTACGTCGCGCCCATCGTCGGCACGAGCTTCGTCGGCCTCGGCTTGATCACCACCTTTGTAAGTTTTCGCCGTCCCACACGCACGTCTGCTCGTGCCCCGGCATCGCCCTTGCTGACGCGGCCCGCCCCAGATGCCCATCATGACGTACCTGATCGACGCGTACACGCGCTACGCCGCCTCCGTGACGGCGGCCAACACGGTGCTGCGCTCGATGCTCGGCGCGCTTCTGCCGCTGGCCGGCCCAAAGATGTACGCCGCTCTCGGCCTGGGCTGGGGCAACTCCCTGCTCGGCTTTATCGCGCTGGCCATGGTCCCTTTTCCCTTCGTCATCTGGAGGTACGGAGAGGCGATCAGGACGAGAAGACCCCTGAAACTTTGAGCACGCTCACTCACTCTCCCCACGTTTTCTTTTTCTTGTTTTCCCCCCTTCTTTAGATACGCGGGTTTCCCAAAAGATGGGAAGGAATAGACGGTAGGAGAACGAAAAAGAAAGGTCACTGAGAAAAGTAAGAACGCTTCTTCTTCTTCCTTCTTCTTCTTCTTCTTCTTCTTCTTCTTTTTTTTTTTCCCTCTCCTTCCCCTGCCGAAAAAAAAGAACATGTGAATTCATTCGGAGCATAGCGTCAAGGTGGAAGGGCCGACAGGAGTTAAGCCAGTTACGGGACATACACACACACACATATATATATATATATATATATATTTGTTTCTCTTCTAGAATTTAGAACCTAGTGGGCTACATTCTTAGCGAGAAATGAGGAATACTCATGCCAACGTGCTTTCAGGGACCCCCAATTTTTTCTTTCTTTTTATTTCGTACGACCCCCTCCTGATTGCAAAACTCACCGCGTGAATCTCATCGCGTCGTATCTTGGTTCTTGGTCTAGAATTGCGGTCTGACCTGAACGCCGGCAACACCTTTTTGCGGGGAGGTGGGGTATCCTTCGCTCCGGGTAACTCCATCCAGAAAGGGAAGCTCTTCCTCCTTCAGCAAAACATGTTCTGCGCAAGCGTTGAAGTACGTGAGACAAGGATAAGTCTTTGATGCAAGCTCGGTGAGATATACCCAGGGCAAAAGGGGAAGAAAATTTTTTTCATCTTCTTTCCATCTCAACTCAGGGCCGGGGGCAATTTGAGAACAAAGAAAAAAAAGTAAATGCGGTCGTAGGGTCGAGAATGACGAGTGTAGGCTGTTTGCATCGAAGTCAAGAAGGAAAGAAAAGAAAAGAAAAAAGCTGCACGCTGATCATCGGGAACGGAAAGGATCGAAAGTCGTCATTTGAAGTACGCGCCGTCAAGAACGTTGCGTTCAAAGACAGACCGGAGCTAACGCTCCGTCACGAGCATGACGCCATCATCAACGTAGCGCGGACGGGATATGTTCTCGAAAGCGCTGCTGATCGATGGGATTCGGGTGCATTGCCGGCCGCCGGGAGAGAGAGAAATGAGTGGATATGTACTTGCTGGGCCCGCCACGCCGGGTTCACGAGTCGGCCGCGAAGAACGTGGACGGACGCTGCCGGCCTCAAACCTTTGCAGCCGGACCTGTCCACGGTGTGTCTGGGTGCGACCCGATCGGTAGGAAGGTCGCCGACGGTTGTTCCAGATGGCTGCTTGCCCACGGCTGCAAGGAGGGAGGGCACGCTCGCGCCGAGCCGTGCGTCGAGGGGGAAGGCGAAAGACGATCCGCATGTCGTTGCCCGGAGAGAAGAGATCCAGTACAGCGTTGACGGCGAGCGCGAGCATGCCGTCAAGGCTGGACGGATGTTCTGCGCAGCAGATCCACCCAGGCCTCGACCATGACACGGCGCTGCTTGCTTCTCGACGCCAGCAGCCAGATCATTCAGATACGTCGGACTGTCCAGCGAGATGGATGGCACGTCTCCGTACCGCTTGAAACGCAAGTGCGCGAAAAGGGCGGCAATTGCAACAGGGCCAAATCTGATTTGCGAACTTTGACATCGTGGAGATCACTCCGTTAGGCGTTCAGAATCTGGGTTGCTGTAAGAATTCCCTCACACGGCGCGGGCATCTTGCTTACTATTGCCCATCAAACGGATCGCTCGAAGATCCTGACACTTACTATAGGTCGGATCCGGCGCTAATTGTCACAAAAGACAAAGACGCCACGATGGTGAAGCGACTTTTGAAGTGTGAGGAAGCACAAAGAAGCCATTGTTCACAAGGGTGAGAGTGTTTTCGACGTGAGAAAAAAGAACTCAAGACGAAGACGAATCACATAGAAGTGTTGCCAAGGCCAAGCTGGACCATGCCTCTGGCTTCAGACACCTCAATTTGACAGTGGCACAGTAGAATTTCGTTGATTAACGCTGTATTCAGCTAGGATTAGTCCGCGGTAGTAAACGCTCTCATGCCGAAACTGATCGGGCGTGCTAAATTACAAAAATTTATCATCCTTCTAATTCTGACCTTGCCGTTGAACCCCTGTTTGAAGGAGACGACTGAAAGTTTGAAAGTGAGGAGTGGTAGATGCTTCCACTGACCGGCGTGTCGTCTGCTTGGTAGACTGGTTTTGGCGGAACCTCCATCTCGTGAATGCCGGGCAGGACATTGACGCCCATTCGGGACTCGTGAGCAGACTCGACACCTAGCTCGTTGACTCTCGTGATGTGCAAGAACTGACCGTCGATTGGAGAGATGTGATCGCGGTCGTACGACGACGCCGCTGCCGGAGACAGAGGCGGTATGATCTCCGACATTTTGGGGCTGCTCAGGATGTGCTCGTGCTGGCTGTGCCGCTTCTCCTGCTCGCGTCGCCTGCGAGAAAACAAGACCCAGAGCACGAGTGCCAGCAAAAGGAGGGCACCGGAGACGGCGCCGACGACGATGCCTGCGATCGCTCCTCGGCTGAGATGGCTGGAAGAGCTTGAGGGGAATCCAGACTCGGTCACGGACGCATTGTAGATCGGAACCAGGTTGGAAGACGCCTGGGAGGCTGGAAACGATGCTTGCGAGAGGTTGAAATACGCGCGTTCAAAGTCAACGCTGACATGAGCCTCCTGCAGGAAGGCTCGCCCGAGTATGTAAGTATTGCCTGGGGCACGCCGAATCGGGAAAAACGGTTGAGACTGATTTTGATCGTACGTGGGCCAGGTTGCGTTGAGATTGAAGGCGTCGTACGGAAACGTTATGCTCGTGGTGTTGCCGCTGTTTTGCGTGTCGGCCACGGCGATGCGGACCTGGTCGATGGCGTTTCGATTGCTCGCAAGGGCTGCGTCACCAACGGTAAACAGGTCGGTAGACCCGTCATACGTAAGTGACAGCCGACTGGCAAGTTGATCGCAGACAGAGGACGGCAGGTAGAGATAAGGCAGCGTGGAGTCAATGACGACCGTTTCGGACACGGGAACGGACGCTTCGGTTCCGTTTTTGAAGGAGAAGGCGATGGACGAGAGGCTCAATTGCAGCTCCCTCGTATCCTTGCTGGCCGGTAGAGCGTAGTACGTTGTGGTATTGCCCTCGATCCTTGCCTCGTCGTAACCACCAAGGACGAGGCTGCCAAGATAGTTGCGATACGAAGCACCAGCGGTATAGCTCCACGAACGGCTGGGTATCAGAGATTGGTTTGCGAGCGACTCCAAAAAAGAGGGCGTGTCCTGCGTTGTAGATTGCAGATACCCATCGCCAATCCCCAAGCTCGGAAGGAAAAAGTTCCACGTCGTCATGCCAAAGACGGGCACGTTGGCGTCTGGAGACAATTTTGCAGAGCCCGCAGCGTCCTGTACAGTCACCGAGTCGAGCCCAAGGTCTCCAGTAGCGTTGTACGCCGATCCAAAAGCGCCGGTCATGCTCAAATCGTTGCCCAGCTCGAGTGAATTGATTCCTATGTATTTATATGTTCCCGACTCCTGGAAACCGCTGCTCTGGAAGCCGTTTGAAAGGCCGACGCCTCGGAGTTCCGAACAATTTGTGGGAACGAAGGATGGATCTTGCTCATACGTACATCCTCCAGGCGTAGGAAGCCATGTTGAAAAGCTCGATGTTGAAACCAGCGCACGAAACGATTGAGCTGGGTTGCCAACGGATAGTAGAAACGTGGACCAGCTGCCGTCGTTGCCCTCAAATTGACCGCTGGTCCTCACAGAGAAAGGCTTCGGGAGAGAAGCTGAGTCACGTTTAGACAAAGGCATGGTGAACTTAAACGAGTGTACAACGCAGTATGGCAATTAACGATGGCTCAAACCTTACGGGAGAATCATTCTGTTGTGCTTGACAAAAGACGAGTAGCTTTCTGATGATAATAGTGCGACAACTCACCACCCACTTTTCCTCGTCGGGCAGATCAAGTAGAAAGACGTCGGATCGTTCAAGCGGGTCATGTTCTATGACATAGCCGCCGGCGAATTGGAGGCGTGTATTCACTTTCAGACGAGCTTCTCGAAAGGCATCGCGCACGGCGATCCCCAAACCTTGCTGCAACGGCGGTGGCAAAGGCCGGTGGCTCTCGCCCCATCTTCAGTAGCAGAACGCGAGCCGAACGGACCTGTACTCCCAAGACCGGACTACGGGAAGATCGAACGAGAGACGGCCGTTTCGCTTGTTGGGCAGAGGGCAGATCAGGGAACAAAGGTAGTAAGGGGTGGTCGAATCAACATCGGCTGCTATCGATAGACGATACCCACATGGGGATAAGTCGACGAGCAAAAGTACAGGTTTCTCCCGCGCGTCCCCGGTTTAGTTCTAGTCAACGCCGTAGTTCCCACGTACCTCGCAGATGCTTTCCAAGGCTCCGCCTCGCCCCATCCAGCAAGGAGCTGCTGTACTTCGGGCGAGACATGTGCCTGGGTGCGACAGCGGGTTTCCCGTTTCTCTTGAACAGCAGCTGCGGCGGTTTATTCCCTCCGCCTTGGCTCCGCGCGACCGTCCTAAAAAAATCCACCCCACCGAAACCTGATTTATCCCGGCGCGGCGTCGCCACTGTGTTTAGGCTGTTGATGAACAGCATTCCTTCCCAGATCAGCATGCTAAGAGTCAATTGACGAGATGCAGATGTCATGCAAGGCCCTGAAAAAAAAAGGGAAGAAGAGCATGGAACTACGTGTCTTTGCGCTGGTCGTCCTAGCCAGCGGCTGTTAGGTAACGAGAAGAATCGGCCCTGGAGGTCCGGCTCGCCTTTTAATGTGCAAGTTCGTTTTTGCTCTGAACGTGAGTTTCTCTCTCAATTGCTTTCGTTCTCTTCATTGCTTGATCACAGGACCCTCGCTGTCAAAAGACCTTCGTTCCATTCGAGTATTTCAGCATGCGTGCCCATCTACTACTTTCATTGTCGACTGCTGCTCTCACCCGTGCAGCTCCCGGAGGCGGCTGGGATGATACGTCACACGTTCATACTTCAGTCGAAGTGTATAGCAGCTGTTCCACAGCTTCGTCACCCGAGCAGTCTGGAAAAACATCGTGGCCTAGCTTCGCGAAGCCGTCTTCGCATGTGCGTCCCTCTGCAGCATGGTCTGATCAGTCCAAGCCTTCCGAGAAAGCCTCTAAGACGTGGGCAATCAGCACTTCGTGCAAGACGACGCCCCAGCCATTGCCTGTGACGACAGAAAAGTCGACGGAGCATCCGGAGTGGACGAAGGCGTCTTCGTATATGTGGCCCTCTGCAGGCTGGTCTTATCAGTCCAAACCTTCCGAGAAAGCCTCCAAGACGTGGGCGATCAGCACTTCGTGCAAGACGACGCCCCAGCCATTGCCTGTGACGACAGCAAAGTCGACAGAGCATCCGGAGTGGACAAAGGCGTCTTCATATATATGGCCCTCCGCGGGGTGGTCTGATCAGTCTAAACCTTTCGAGAAAGCCTCCAAGACGTGGGCGATAAGTACGTCGTGCAAGACGACGGCCCACCCATCGGCCGTAACAACGGCGAAGTCATCGGAGCATCCGGCGTGGACGTCGACGCCTTGCACGACCAGCAGCACGCTCACCTGTCCGCACGTCTGCCATCTGGATTTCTTCGGCACGTTGCTTGCCTATCCGACCGTCATCGAGTACTCGTCCGTCTATGCGCAGACGATCAACGCCTACGTGACCGACTTCAGCGACGGCTCGCCGCCGCGGTCGAGCGAGGAAACGGTCACTGCCCCGCCAGCGCCGCCGGCGGCACCGCTGACGTGGACCGCGTTCGGCGTCGTCCTGTACGTCCTGTCCCGCCTTGCGCCCACCCCCCCAAGGAGAGGCGTGATTCGCTGCTAACGGAACCGTCGCTAGGACCTACCCAACGACGTACGTAGCGTACACGTCCATCAACTACGCCACGGTGGTCCCGCTCAGCGCGGAGGGCACCTGCACCACCACCACCTCCGCGCCCCTGATCTACCCCACCGTGTGGCCGTCGCTGATCGCGCCCTCGTCGCTGATCCAGCAGCCCGGCTCCCTCCCGCCGGCCACCGTCGTCCAGTGGCTCGACTCCCTGCCGACCGTCGAGGCCCAGCTGGGCGGCAACGTGTGCGACCCGGCCAACGGGGGCGTCGCCCCGTTCGTGCCCACCGCCACGGTCACGAGCGCGACCACCATCGACGGAAACACCAGGATCGTGCACACGACCACGGTCCAGGTGTCATCGTCGTCGTCGTCGTCGACGTCGTCGTCGACGCCTTCACCCACACCAACGCCGGCCCCGCAGACGTCGAATACCCCACAGCTCTCGCCGACGACCCCGACGACCGCATCGCCGACCCCGACGAGCAGCACTCCGACGGCTGTGGTGCAGACCATCAACGCGGCTGCCATTCCGAGAAAGTTTGGTACAGAGACATGGCTTGGTAACGCGTTGGCTGCGGTACTTCTGGCCTTGTAGACGGGTCCTGTGCCATGAAAAAAGACATCAAAGGATGACACGCAACGTAATGATCGACGGTCTGCACGACCAGATCGTCTAGTCAAGAAAGAGAAATAAAGTAAAACCCCACGCAAGTAATAGCTAATGGTGACATGTTACTTCTGGATGGGCTCCCGCGACGAAACACAGATTCGTGGATGCCAGAAGTACGAGAAGCATGTATTGAATATTTTTCAGAATGCTAATGTGGATTTGTACATGTAAAGAAATAAAAATGCTGATGAGTGCCATGCCTTCTCGGCCTGCGTTCTTTTCCTGCCCCTGTCCTTTAGAGAGCTCCCCGCTCATGTTCCAAATTTAGCCCACCAATTTCGAGATGTTGTGCTTCTGCCTTGGAAATATATAACTATATATATATAATAGAACCTTCCACGTGCAACCATACTCCTGTTCTTGTGCGCGACTGTCTTGATTCGTACGAGTCGTCTTCGCCACGTCCTCGGGAGGATGATAGTCAACGCCGAGTTCTTACGCACGCTGTGAACACAGTCAACAAGCAGCGGCATCAAGGCAAAGGGCGTAGTTGGGTGCCGAGTTTAAGCTACCGGGCTCCAGGGCATCGGCAAAAGCACCCTGCTCTTCATCGTCTGAATAAGCGGCGTCGTCTTGTGCACGGTGTCACCCCAGCCTTCAATGCTCCAGCTCTGCTCTCTTCGCACCTTCCTCTCCTCCAAGTTTGCAAACTGCCACAGGTGGTGCACCGTGTTCAGCTCGCCAATCTGTACGAACCAGGCTCCCACGCCTTCCATGACCTCGCGACGGGCCTTCAGGCCTCGACGCCAGTGCGTCTCCCACTCCAGCAGGTTTCCGGGGTGTAAGGTGTATGAACGCAGCTCAAAGAGCCCGCCGAGAGCTCGCGGAGGGGACGTGGGCCAGAAGGAGAACTCCTGCATAAGTGATGTGCGTTTGGCGTTGATGAGCGTCTTGAGCTTGCGATCGAACTCGGGAAACTCTGGGTGGTGCTGGATGGCATAGAGCGAAGCGTGGTACCCCGTGTAGCGCTGGTACTCCCAGATGTGCACTACGGACCAGATCCGTTAGTCCAAGTGATCTTCGAGGTAAGGAAAGGTAGTCTGCAGAGTGATGGGTGTGGGACGTACCAAACGTATCGCAATCACCCACTTCCGTCCTCCAGCTTCCCACCAGATTCACCTTGTTCTCCGGCATGCTGGCCATGCGCGGGTACCAGCTGCCGACGAGCTCTACGTACTCGTCCACCTTGTCCGGCTTGACCTCGTGAAAGACGATGCTGTGCACGTACTTGCCCCGGGCCAGCACCTGGGAGAAGCTGCGCTCGATGTCTTTGTCCAGCTCGCGGCCCTCGGCCGTGCCGTAGATCAGACTCGAGAGCGCGCCGCTCTTCTTTTTGCCGCTTTCCTCGCGTGCTCGGGCCTCCTCTGCGAATTGAGAGCTTAGCGAACCAAGGACACTGGTAGGTGAAGAGACAGAAGAGGAAGAAGACGATATAGCATCTCTAGCACTGACGGGGGACGTACTCTCTTGTTGCTCCTTACGCCGCCGAGCTTCCTGCTCCGCTACCAAGCGCTCGCGGAACTCGCGCTGCTTGGTGTCGAAGGCAGGGCCACCGTCCGGCGTGATGTCGCCCAAAGCAGGCGATCTTGCAGGCGACTGTGCTGGGTGAATGGTGCTCAAGGATCTGGCGAATCTGACGGCTCCGCCCAGCTGACGCGGGTGTAGGCGTCGGGCAAGCATGGTGTGTTTGGCGCGGGAGAGGGGTGCGGGCTGTGTACGTGGGCTTTTGGACGGTGCAAAGGCGTGAAACAAAGCTCAGCGCGTCCACAACGAAGCGCACACAGGCAATGGCAGAGCAAGAACAGCAGTTGTGGCGATGGCGTTGCGGGCGGAGATGTGCTGGGGGCGGGAGGGAGAGCAATCAGCAAGCAGCAAACCAAGCTCCAACGCGGAAGCCCTTCCAAGATTGACCGACGCACGGCAGCTTGGGACGGCTCGTTGGAACAGCGTCTTGCTTGGGACGAGAAAGATTGCAGCTCACAACAAACAGCGGACGATGGAGGCGAGGCGTGTCGGAGAGACGGGGTTGAGGGAGGGCGGATGCTGAGACGCCTGCAAAGATCGGAAGCTCTTCTCTGAGGGGAGAGGGCACCAGGTGCGCAGGAGGCTTTGTGAGAGTCGGTCGCCGTCCTTCGATGCTGGGGACGCTGCAGGAACACGTGCAAGAGAGATACTTTGGATGAGCGTGCAGAGACAGCAAACGAAGATGTATCGTCCTGTCACGACGGCAGCAGCTTCCCCGCAATGAGCGAGCAGGCGACGAGCGAGCGTACCGGGAAACTGCGACGCTGCTGGGCCGCGCTTGGCGTCGGCGTCCCGTCGCTCTTTCCCGTCATTGGCTTTGCGCCGCGGCGTGGCCTGGGGCCCTGCACGGTCGCAGCTTCTCCACCTGCTCGACGTCATTCCCCGTGATCAGCCGCTCGTGACTGGTGCCCGATGCAGGCGCTCGCGTTGGCCTCTGGCTCCTTCGCTTTGCTTCCCTGCACGAACTCGCCTGCGCCTTCGCGTGCGCCAGCTCCAGCCCTTCCTTCTGCTGCATCGCCCGACGCCCTGCTATACAGGACAGTACTGTCTTTCTTTCTTTTTTCCCCCCTGGTTGTTGTTGGTGTTGTCGTCGTCGCCCGACGCCACAGTCGAAACCAAGTTCCGTCGTGTGATGATGTGGCGGTTCGAATCGTCCGGATTCGCTACTGTCAACTCCACACTTGCAAGCCTCTTGCTTGGGCTGCACCAAAGAGTCTAGTTCTGGGGCCGTGCCATCGCTGAAATGTTTGGTCATCGCCATGGTTCGCTCAGAATGTGTGCCCTCAATCGACCGCGTCATGATTGTTTTGCTGGTTCCTGGCAAAAAAGTTCAGCCCTTGGAAAAGTGCGCTGCACTCAAGCTGTCACTGGTGGAAAGAAAAGTCGCTGTGCGGAGCCAGAGGACCGGACAAAACCATCACAAAGACACATGCAGATGCTCACTCATCCACAGAAGGCGTACCACTCACGTGTGATGTTGCTCATCAACAGTGGCTGGCTGCCGTCGGATGCAATTGCATGCAGCTGAGTACAAGATAATGGATTCTCCTCTGTCAATGCTGTTAGACACACGAACTGACCCGGAACCCAAAGAAACTCTGGTTATTTTCCGCCGTGGTTCGAGGAAAAACAAGTGGTGACCTTTCATCGGACATTTAAGCCGTACAGAATATAGCTTTGGGCCAGACTATGTCGAGCCCGCATTGCGGGTCAAGTTGAGTTTGCACATCTCCTTCAATTGGCCAGGGCAAGGCCGTGCAGTGTAGCATGTTGGCTTCTTGCATGTGCCTTGTGTTCGAAATGCATCGAAGTTGCCAGCATCTCGGCCAGAGCTGTGCGCAGTCTGTATATCCAAGTGGACAGCATCGCCAGCCTTCCTCGTCATTTCGCTTGTCGTGATATGTACTGGATAGTAACTCAACCAAAGGAAAAAAAAAATATGGGCGATGACGCTCCGTGTCCTCGCACTCCCTCAGATAGCGCGGTGCCCATCTCATCAAACTGGTGGTGAACTCGGTGTCACTGGGCTGCTCCATTCTCGCGTGCTCTCGAAGACTCTAATCTACGATAGACGATGTGTTTTCGCCTTCATCTTCTCCATTCTTTCTTCGCCCACGGCGGGCAGCTACAATTCACGCAATAAATAGGAGGGCAGAATTTGTGCGTGGACCCCAATGGCAAGCCAACTGCCCAGGGCCCAACCGCTCACCAGAGGCCTAGGATAGTAGATAGCGAGATGGCCAGACAAGTTCCACTTGCAAAAGAAAAATTTTGGTCGACGATCGGGGGCCATTTACCTTTCCACTCAACGTTTGCCAGTGTCGCATGACGTCTTGCAGGTTCCCAGCCTGCTCCGAGACCCACAGAAGCGCTCGACCATGGACAGCACCAAAGCATCGTTCGCTTTGTGAGTTTCGTGATCAGTCGCGGTAGCACGTGTGTAAAGGAAGCGAACCACAAATGTCCGTTCACACAAGCAGGTATCCGCGCTGCTAGCTGGCCGGGTCATGTCTAAAAACATCGATGCTCTGGTTGGATGCATGTCAAGTTATCGATTTGCCAGGAGAAAAGCCCGTCTGGGTGTCGATGACGGATTCGGGTCCCTGAGAGAAAAAAATTCCCGTGGCGCCAATCAACATGACGCACGCTTGCATGCAGCCAACCCACGCGATCATCATTTACCTTGGCCATGATCGGAGACCGGGAGACGTGAGCGGAAAGCGACAGAACAATTTCCATCGTGTCCTGTCTGTTTTCTAGACGGCCGCCTCCTTCTCCTCCTCCCCTGCCTTTTGTGAACGCTCGACGCTTTGCTCCGTCTTCCGCTCCACCTGTCGCATCCGTCTCTGCAGACCGCGACCGCGTCGCTAGCGTATCCCAGGCCATTGTCAAGATGGTGTACATTCGTCAGGACAAGCTGCCCAAGCTGAAGGAGTACAAGTACTCGGCAGTGGACAAGAGCTTGGTTTCCAAGTACATCTTGAAGCCCTTCTACACACATGTGGTCATCAAGTGCTTCCCCATGAGCATGGCGTACGTTTTTGCGAGAAACATGTTGGTACAACGTATGAACTAATCGCGCTTTGCAGCCCGAATCTTGTGAGATAGCCCCTTCGCGATGCGCTGCACAACCGCAACCCAAAGCCTATTACGCGATGCGATCACGGCTGCTAACATGCCTCACTGCGTTAGATCACCCTGAGCGGCTTTGGATTCGTCGTCATAAACCTTCTCACTCTGCTGTACTATTCACCCGGCCTCGATCAAGACTGCCCACCGTGGGTGTATGCATCTTGGGCTGTGGGCTTGTTCCTGTACCAGACTTTTGATGCCGTTGATGGGGCGCAAGCGTGGGTAAATCGTTTGCAGAAGTCGCGTGCAAGGCATTGACACGAGAATAGGCGGAGAACACACCAGAGCGGACCTCTTGGCGAGCTTTTCGATCACGGTACGTGGTTGAGCTAGGATCCAGTGCCCGAATTTGCGCTTACGGTCTCGCAGGCGTTGACGCGGTCAACACTACGCTCGGTGTCATTATTTTCGCCGCGTGCATGAATATGGGACAGACTTGGAAGACGGTGCTCATACAGTTCAGCGGTACTTGAATCAGGACCTGCCTTCCGAGGTGAGACACTGACTGGTTGACAGCGCTTCTCACCTTCTACATCCAGACCTGGGAGGAGTATCACACCAAGACCCTGACCCTGGGCCTTGTCTCTGGGCCCGTCGAGGGCATACTCACCCTGTGCGCTGTATTTGCTATCACCGCCGTTAAAGGGGGAGGGTCGTTTTGGCAGCAATCGCTCTTGGCCTCCATCGGTGTCCCGAACACAGACTTGATCTGGGACCCCGTGTATGAGATGACGTGGGTAGACTGGTACATGCTGTACGGCGGCGTGATCATCGTCGTGAATACAATCTGGGCCTCTCAGGGCGTAATGCGCGCCCGTCGCGCCAGAGGGAAGCGCACCAGAGTCGCCTTGCTGGGCCTTCTTCCGTTCTTTGCGACATGGACCCTCATTTCGATTTACCTGGCGCTGCAGCCCGTCATCCTCCACCACCACTTGGTCCCGTTCATGTTCTTCACCGGTCTCATCAACGCGTACTCCGTCGGTCAGATGATCGTGGCCCATCTCACTCAGTCGCCGTATCCATACGGCAACGTGCTCATGTACCCGATGTTGTACGGCGTGATCGACTCCATAGGGCCCGTGCTTCTTGAGAAATTTGGTTTTGGCTGGCCGAGCGCGCTGGGCTACGACACGTACCAGGTCGCCTTCGTCTTCTGCTGTTTGGGCCTGGCGGTCGGCGTGTACGGCAGCTTCATCTTTGACGTCATCACCACGATCTGTGACTATCTAGACATCTGGTGTCTGACCATCAAGCACCCCTGGACGGGCGACGACAACGACGCGAACGGAAGCGTCAAAGCGGATGGGAAGAAGTCCCAGTAGGCGAAGGAGCCAGCGACAGTCGTGCGCTGACGCACTCGCGGAAGGCGGAGAAAGACTGTAAAAGTCCGCGTGCAAAGGGTGTCCTTCTTGGCTTCAAATTGCTGCATTTGATATTCTATTTTGTGAAGCGTACGGCGACGTTCATGCGAGTAGTTTACGGCGTGTGCGCCGACCCGGCGCGCATCCGGCATTCCTGTTGAGATACCACTTTCTTGCCAATAAGCACCGTTCTTGATATAAGAGTCCTAGCGAGATCTGTCCGACGTAGCTTACTATACAGATTTGAATGCAGGAAAAGACAAGACCATTCTCCCACTTCTGTGCTGTTCCTTTCTGTTCTTTGAGAAACCAGCGTCTGACGCGAGATATCTGCAGCAACCACTTGGGACACAGGTAGAGGTGGTGTTGCGGCTGTGTTTGGGGTCTTTTGATATCGGCAATCCTGACGGCTTCCAGATCGTTGGGTGCGCCATCTTATCGAACGAAAGCGTCTTTGGAAACATGTCTAATAGCGTATATATATATATATATATATAGGTACGTATGTATGTATGCGCATAAAGCCGCGTGGAAGCAGAGCAATTCTTTCACGACATGAATCTCAGAACGCGGGCTCTCACCAAACTCACCCTACCGCCCCGGATCTGTTTGGAGGGACCGTAAAGACGACGCATGCACCTTCAAAGAGTGAAGAGTTATCGGCAGATTGCCAAGCAGGCCTTGTCTGTTCGTCACAGCGCTCTCACAGCACCTAGGGATTTGACCGTTCCTCCGACGGGGACGCTGGTACACACACACCAAGCAGGGTTGCCAAACACAAAGGTGGGAAAAGTGAATCAAGAAAGCCTTCTGGGCCAAGGGCTTAACGAGGCAGAGACGGGGGCGACACAGACTGGAACAGACGCCGGGTCTTTGGGTCGAGGATCTAGATGCGTGAGGATGCGAGATCGATTGGCGTTCGCAGCCTCAGAGAAGCGGAAGCATCTTTTGTTCGTCCCGAGGAGTGGGGGAAGGGGCGCGTCCCCAACTCTCAGTTTAAACTTCGAGGCGTCTGTTTCAGCCCGTCTCATCGCTGAGCGACAACGCGAGGAGAACAGACGGTAGGGCAGCCACGGACACTTCTCTACGGGCCGTGGATAGCGCTCGCGACTCCAGTTGACTTCACAACCGTCAGCGACTTCTTTGCACGTGAGGCTGGACCTTCGCGCTGGCCTGCTCGATCCCCGCAAGTCGATCCGCATGGCGCACTACGCTGGCAAAAGAATTTTTTCTCCCCCTTGCAGATTGGCGATAAAAGAAAGAGCTTTGATTGCGTGCTGCAGGAGTTGAGATGGCCAATCGAGCTCGTTGACAGTCGTTCAGACAGCCCGAAGCGTCTGCGACAGTGTGCTTCTTGGCCTTGGAGCGTCGCCGTGCCGAGAGCAACCATGATTCAGCTTGGCCGGCCGTGCTGCAACGGCGTCCATCTTTACTTTGCGCGCAGCACCCGCGAGTACATCCAACGGGCTCTATCTGACCTAGAATCGACCGTCCAGCGCTGATCTCGTTCTCCAGCCTCATCGCATGCACGCTCTTCCTTGGCGTCGCAAAATGTACTTCGATCCGCGGCGCTGGTCATACTCCTCGTACGGGACCTGACACTCGTTCAAGGCATGGCTTTCTTCAACCTCCACGGGGAGGCGTTCTTCACCGGAGAGCACGACCACTTTGTAAGCTGAGAGCAAGCGGTAGAACGCCGTCGCCGCTCACGGATGCGTCGCATCCGTGATTCATCCACCCGAGTCGCTCTCTCGTTTCTCACATGGCTGGAAAGTTACTGTGCGGGTGTTCGGGCAGCATCCTTCGACAAGTTCTGACTGTACAGTGCTTATGTTTGGTCTTTCCGTAAGATTATAAGTAGACGACATGTAGTCTGTTAAACGTAATCTGATCATCATTGTCTCTTCCATATCACTTAAAGTCGCCTCAAATATTGAACTTTGAGTCCTACCCTTTGTCAGCTGTTCAGTCACGCTCTTTGCTTCCTCTGCTGGACAATATTTAAGCGATGAAGCTCTCTTCTTACCTCATTTTTGCATGTGGCGTGGTCATGACGGATGCTTTTAATATCAAGTCCCTTACTGACATTGGAGACGCTGTGTCAAACGTCGTTATGCGAAGCCCGAAAGGCCGCTTTGGTGGCCCAGACAAGGGAATGGGAGGATCAAAAGCTGGCGCAGGCGGCACTCCCGAAGCCGCCGAGCCAAAGGATACTGGATCTCTAGACCGACGAGATGGAGGAGTCAAATGTCCTGCTGTTTGGACCTCTGTCTCGAAGGAGCTTACGGCCAAGTTTCTTACAGGAGGGCAATGCAATGACGACGCAAGAGCAGCCATACGCGCTGCATTTCATGTAAATTCCAAAAAGCGAACTCATCAGTGGAAGAAGGTCTGACGAGTTCGACAGGATTGCGGGACTTGGAACAAGGCGCAGGGTAACACCGGTGGTTGCGATGGCTCCTTGATTCTTGCACAGGAATACAACCGCCCAGAAAACAATGGCCTCCAAGGTATCTCGGCGTATCTGCTCGGACTGTCAAAGAAATACAACGTCGGCGTCGCAGACATGCTCGTCTTCGCTGGCAACCACGCCATCGTTACCTGTCCCAGTGGCCCGACGGTCAAGACGTGGATCGGGCGGAAAGATTCTTCGAAGCCGGCGCCTGACGGCCTCCTTCCGGACGTCCACGCTTCTGGAGACAGTCTCTTCGCGTTGTTTCAGGACAAGAACTTCAACGCCGTCGACCTTGCCGCTCTGCTAGGCGCTCACTCGACCAGCAAACAGTTCTTCGTGGACGTTGCGCAGGCGGGCAAACCGCAGGACTCGACGCCTGGCATTTGGGATGTAAAATACTACAGCGAGACACTTCAGCAGCCGCCACCCGCCGGTAACTTTCGCTTCGAGTCTGATCTTAATCTCGCGCAGCATCCCGTCGTCGGGAAGGAATTCCAAGGCTTCGTCAACAACCAGGGGTGAGTGCACCCCGACAAGATGTCAAATCTAATCTCGAGCTAACTTTCGATGATAGCAAGTGGAATGGCAAGTTTGCTGATGCCATGCTGAAGATGACCTTGCTCGGTGCACCTGGAGGATCAACCAATGGTCTGGTAGACTGCACGGATGCGCTTCCGAAGCCAACGAACAAGAAGCGAGACATAAAGGCGGGCAATATCTTTATGCCTAGGTCCTGATAAGAATGAAGTTTAAAGCTGCGCTACTGCAGTTCTCAGAGGCATTAGCTGCGGTTTAAAACGTTTTGGCTTAACTTTGCGATGGGTGCAGCGGTTGAAGCCGAGTGCGCTTGCGAATTTAATGTAATTGCCACGACCGAAGTCTTAGCGATGACTTCCTGGTGTACTTAGCCTCAGTATCTCTTAGCTTTCTCATGATATGCTGTTTGGAGATGATCTTGTTCTAAGGTTTGACAGTGGGTAAACAGCGAGACAAGGCTGAGACCAAGGCAGATTTGCAGGTTGCAAATCTCTGATTCGCGCGCAAAATACCCCAAAGGCGGAAATGATCCGCACGACATAACCAGCTGGATCGGAATAATAGCCCAACGACGTACCAACTTTAACACGTTGAGGCTTGGCTTATTGACTTGAGCTCAATTTTCAATAAGAGTGATGCTTCACATGATACTGCCAAGTTGGAGGTCTTGACCGTTGATCTTTCCGTTCGTCCGGCTTCTGTATATTGAACAGGGTTGGACAAGATAGCAAGATATGAGATAGCAAGACACGAGAGACCAAGGCGCCGCGTCATTTCGAGCATCTGACACCTCAAGGCTTGGATTGGTAACCGCTAGTACGGTAGACGGGCTATTTCTCCAGTCAAGGATAAAAGAGTGAGAATCAACCCTTCCTCACGACGAAGGGAAGAAGGCCTAAGATATATGCTCGACGCGCAACACAATGGTTGGGATTGCAGGCCGTTCTAAAGGGTGTGGCACATGCAGGAAACGGAAGAAGGGGGTACGTCCGCCAGGAACCTCACACAGCAGGGCTGGCGCAAAGCTAACCGAATATTTCGCAGTGTGACCAGCAACGTCCAGCCTGTAAGCACGCACCGCAGCATTTCGAGCTTGGAAAACCCCTGAAACATAGTCGTTGGCATGGGCTAAACCTACGCGGCGCCCCTTAGGTGGACAATGCCTTCGCAGCAACCTTGACTGTTTGGGCTACCCGTCGGAAATGACGTTTGTTCGCTATTCGCCAACACGTGCGGGAGGATCATCCCACTTCGCTATTGACTCGAAGGACGACGTGAAATCCAGAGAGGCTGTCGAAAAGACGCGCTCCCCCATAGCGAGGGTGAGCCAGATGCTTATCAAGGCGACAGAAGACAATTTTATATTTGACGAATATTGGCGTTCATTGTATCCAAGTACGAGAGCCGATGGGAGCCAATGGATGTCGAATGAAGGCTCTATCTCTTCGTACATGCCGGCCGGATGGATCCTCGCGATTCGCGATTCCTGTCAATCAGATCCTCTTCTCAAAACAGGTTTACAAGCTAATGCATATAATATGGTTGGGAGACATAACGCCGATGAGAGGCTAAAATTTGCGAGCATGCAGGCTTATTCGACAATTCTTCAACAGGTGTGCCGGTGTCTGCAAGATCCAGGCCAAAGGATGTCTGATGGATTGCTGGCGGCGTGCAAGTTTCTGGCCATGTATGAGGTCTGTGCCGAAGTTGTACAAATGTTATTTACGAAGTGCTAACGAGGAGGAAGGCCACCCAAGGAGCGGGCACAAACTGGGAGCGGCATGCTCTGGGCATATTGAAGATCGTTGAAGTTCGCGGCGCTGTGGCACACCAAACGGGCCTTGCCCATGCGTTATTTCTGGATGCTCGGTACCAAGGCGTACGCATTTCGTACTCGACCGCAACACGTCTAAGATGCTGACCGGCCTCATTCTAGATAGCGGCGAGCATCCGACGGCGCGTGCCCACATTTCTCTCCAGCGAGGAATGGTGCACCATTCCTTTCAAGATCGAAGGCAAAGACGTCCGTCACGAGCTGCTCGACATCATGGCCGAGATCCCCAGACTTCAAACCGATCTTTCGTGTCTTGGGAAGATCTCAGAATCCGCGCAAGGCGCAGTCGATCGACGAGCTTCGTTCTTTCTGCTGTGCCGAAGCATACGGAGGCGACTTGGCGAGTGGCTCGGCCACGTACGAGCAAAATACGACGTCGACAGAGTTGCCCTCATCGAAGAAGGCATTCCAGAGAATTTCCCGCTGAGCAACATCACGCTTGCTCACACGATGTCATTGTACTGGACCTCCATGCTTTTGGTCAATTTTCAGGAATTTCTTGGTCTTCGCGATGTGCCCGTGCCTACGCGGTCAATTCCCAGCAAGGACTACTTTGACAACGCAGTCACTTTGGAGATCTTGCCTTACATACTTTACATCGCAAAATCCGTGCCTTATTTTTTCCAGCCTGAAGCAGGAAGCCTGAGTCCACAGTTGTTCAGTTTTCCTCTTGGTGTCGCAGTCAGTGTCGCAGCGGACACCAATGCTCATTTCGTGCCCGAATATCGACGACTGCTGAAAGCATTTTCCAAAGGGGTTGCAGGCGAGCAGATAAGAAAATTTTTGACGAGCTTACAACTGCTGGCGGACTCGGGAGATAAAGGCCAATCCAGCAGCTTTCACCCATGATGATTTGGCTGATAAAACGACGTACGAAGACGACAGAATGAGAAATGAGATGTACCATGAGTGGGTAACGCGTTCGCGGGAGACGTCCGATGCCTCGTCGTCTTGAGAGATTGCCCGTTGTTTTTACGTAGCACCAAGACTTGCAGAGCAATGAACGATTTGACATACGTTGTCAAGGCTGCTCCTCGTGGTAGTACAAGCATATGATAGGCTGCAGAGAATGGCCTCTTGTTTCGAACCATACACGAAATGATGTCATGTCAGCCCCATCCATCGCTGCGTCGAGCGCAATGCTGCAGTACGTAGAGCGGAACAGAGTTGCAACAGGCGGCGTCTTGCTCACGGCTCGATTGATGCCAAGGGCCACGGCACAACACGTCGAACGATCGTGGTCTCGTGACCGTGGACCAAGTTCTCGCCTGCTCGGACCCTCACGACCCTGGCATGGGATCATCTCCCGTCGAGAAAGATCTTTGAAACTTTATAAACAGTCCGGAAGCTGACCTTCCTCCACGCACAGTACAATTCCCGCAAAAAAAAAAAAAAAAAACCGCACTCGCTCACCGACCGCCAACCAGGCAACCGTAGCCGGACCAATTCACGACTTTCCGCTGCGAACAGGCAACGTCGACGGCAAAAGGATTTTGGCGTCCACCTCCAAGTCCCCGCCCCACCGCACTGTCAACAAACCTTTCGATCGGCGCGAGCACCGTCGCTCCTGTGAAGAGGCAGACATGGCGACAATGGACATAGACTTGACACGCAGAAACAAGAAGCCCAGGCCGCTCAGCGAGTCTGAGCGAGCAAAGCTCGAAGAGTTCATCGACTCCATCCACTACTCGGCGCGGTAAGTCCCACTCTGCCCCGTCCGATATCGTGCAACTTGGCCGGCCTCCGTTGCGGAAACACCACGAGTCCCAGCGGGTTTGTCGGCTGAGCTGGCAACCGGCCCACTGCATGATCGTTGCCTGGACTGACCTTTCGGCGTGCGCAGATACTCCGACGACAACTTCGAATACCGCCACGTTCAGCTGCCTAAACAGATGCTGAAGGCCATACCGAAAGAATACTTCGACGGCACACGAGGCACTCTCAAGCTTCTATGGGAGGAGGAATGGCGCGCCTTGGGCATCACGCAGTCCCTTGGCTGGGAGCATTACGAGGTTCACGAGCCTGAGCCGCACATCTTGTTGTTCAAGTACATGATAAATCATGTCCTGCATTGTCGAATGTACTGACGCATCTAGGCGACAACTCTAAAGAGATTTAAACATGCAGTGACCACTGTACAACGTAGATGCCTCAGCACTCCACTGCAACGTAGTGTTCACGACGTCTGCTTTCGAAAACTCCACGAGGACAAAGCGATTTGGACCGCCATCTGATTATCGAGAGGCTTTTCCACACATCGCGAATACGCAAAGACCGGATCTTCGACTCGGTAAGCAGATGGCGTGGAGTTTTTTATCTTCTTTTGAAGGCGGAAGAAGCGAGAATGGCAACGAGTTTATGGGATAACGGTTATGTCAACTTTTGCAACAGAACGATGGATGAACTTTCTGCTCAGCACGCAATTGCAAAGAACCCTTTTTTTTCTCCCTTCCTTTTCTTCCTCTGGTCTTGGTAGATAGCTGCCCCCTTGGCGTTACCGGGGGGCACAACAATCAAGAGATCGCTTCTCAAAATGATCTGAAGTCGTGCAATCGAACCATCGGCTCACGTTAAGAGCCACTTTTGTGACGAGGAGACTTTGGTCGCGTGCAGAGGTAGTGATGACACGGTGTTGCCAATCTTGACCTTGACGCAGTCAAAATGCGTCGAAAGGTCTGCCAATTCGTCGGGCGATATCTCCTGCAAACCACCGGCCAGGCGCTGCGGCTCGAGGCTCCAGGCGAGACTGACGTGGAACGCCTCGGAACAGTCCGGCACGTCGACGCGGCGACGAGGCCTCGAAGCCTCTTGCCTCCAGCTCCGACCTTGCTGGGCGTTCTCGGGCTCGTCTCGTGGCGGCACGTACAGCTCCGGCTGCCTCATCTCGCGGCAGGCGTCGTTGCACGCCCCGAGCAGCCTGTTCAGCTCATCCGCCCCGGGTCGCCGCACGCCAAGCGACAAAAACCAGCGGTTGCGCTCGTGGTTCGGGTACCAGGCGACCTTGGTGAAGCGGACGTCGAACGCGCGCACGGCGGCGGCGGCGACGTGGCCGCGCACGCGCGACAGGAACGCCTCGCGCTGGTCGGTGTGCAGGGCCAGCGAGCGCGACAGCGAGACGTGCAGCGGGAGAGGCGCTCCAAGGTCGCTCTGGAGCAAGGTGTGCACCGTCGACGAAGCGTCCGTCGCGCGGTCGACGATGCCTTGAAGGAGCCGAACCGCGTCCCGGCCGGGGTGCCACTCGAGGTACACGTGCGTGGGCCAATTTCCTTCCAGGTGCGGAATCTGTCGTTTGCGTCCGTTGTGCAGAGACGGATCGTCGCTGACGCCGGTGCGGACGTTGGTCGCGTACAGGTCGTGGAAGGACGTCGGCAGCGGCGGAAGCTCCGTCGGCGGAGACGCGGAGCGCTTGCGTTTGGGCGCCGTCACGTTGGCCCGCTGAACACCCGCGGCGGGCTCGCTGGATTCTTGATCCTCGTCGGAGTCCGAGTACGTGACCAAGGGCATTCTCGGCAAGGAATCACGAAGATGTCATGCAGACGATGCTGTGTTGGTGCTCTGCTCGCGAGATCTGCAGGGACCGGACGTGTCCTCTCTACGTCCGCTTTGCGCATCTTGCAACGTGGGCAAGTTTTAGCCAAATCCTGGCTGGATCGATCTCGAAATCTGATCGCTCGGCACGCAAAACAAACGAAACGAAAATGACCTGTTTCGAACCCGTCCAGTGGAGAGAAAGGTAATCTGTTTCAGCTCAGACATGTTGCATTCCACATGTATAAGCGTCTACCAGCTTCCTCATTGGCACGGCGATCCTAGCGCCTCCTGCTTGCTGATCAGCCTGAATATGCCTGCCTCAGCACTCCAGCACCGCGTCATCTCCTCCGTCACAAGCCCAGGTTGAGTCCATCGGCCGCCATGGGCCCGAACATCTGTGTTGTTTTGAGAAGATTCATTCTCATGGTCTCGTTCTTCTGACATGTATTTGTCTGACCGTTTGAAGCAACCCTTGTCACTGCAGTGATTAATTCCACATGTATGCCAGAAATTAAAACAGATCAGTTCAGCAATGGCCTGGACTGGCTGGGAAAAGATGTTAGATTGAAGAAGAAAAAAAAAGAAATAAACGCCAGAATTAGTCGGCGTTGTAGCAGTGTCCGCGACAGGCCGAGCTGCAAACTCTAAGCGATGTCGACGCTAAAATTAGACTTCGCAACAGCCAGTCATCCTGGACCAGCAAGACCACGGGCCCAATTGACATTATAGCCGTAGATGCTCTACGTGTGGGATAGATTTCGGAAACGCGATGGACCGTGGTTGTGGATATGATGAGCAATCACGGCAAAGGTTTCATGCACAGCAGAGAAGACCAAGGAAGAACGTAAGGGAAATGACAAGCCTGCCCATTTCCCCCGTGCTAGAGGACCGAAAAGACTTGTACGAAGACTTTTGTCCCGCCTGCACATTGTGTACATTGTCTAACGATGAGGTCAGCATCCAGGACCCAAAATTGTATTCTTGGAGTGACGTGCAAGGCGCTTCACAAGGCTGAAGGCGCACTATTGGCTTGGCGGCGAATGACATCAGAAGACGACGCAGCTAAGTTGCGTTAAGCCAGCGGCATCCGGCGCAACCCATGCATTCAACACGTCAGCTCCAGGCTCGAGATGCTCCCCATCTTCTATCCGGAGCCATCCTGAGCTCAAACTACCGTTTCTCATCCTCATCATCAACCCAGCATCGCGAACTATTGACCTTGCAAATCTCAAAGAGATCAACTCAATCGCGCAGCGTGATCGCAACCAGCCATGGCCGCCCAAGATAAGCACTGGGTATGTTACGTTTGAAGCACAGTTCCACGGCCTTTTCAAACCACCGAAAGCCCCGTCACTTGCCAGGGACCCATCCACGGCCATTGGGTGCAGCGTTCGAGGCTCAAATCCCATTGCTGTTCATCTGCTGCCGCTCGTACTGACATGTATTCAAGGCTCAAGCCTATGTCAACGACCCTCTCAATGCGCCCGAGCCGTTCCAAGAGGATGGACCGGGCACCCACTTCGGCAACTCCCTCGCTTCCGATCCTAAGCAGACAAGCAGCTATCCGACGCCGCCGGACTCAGCGGGCAGAGACAGGATCACGAGCTTCGGGTCCAACAATCCGTTCCTCAGCTCTCTGGACGTCAAGAAGCCGTCGACTCGGGCCCGCGCAAGTAGCGACGTTTCCGGAAGGCTCCAGAAGACGCTGCCGTCGTACTCAAGCCACCACCGCAGCAGCCAGTATCGCAAGGAGGCCTTTGGGAGCTATGCGCCCGAGCGGCCTCGCAGCGCAGGTCACTCGCGCAACGTGAGCAACGCGTCCAACAGCAGCACGCTCAGCCGGGGCAATTCGCTCAACCAGCGCCCGCTGGAGTTTGCTCGCGACGAGGCGAAGATCGCACATCGCTCTCCACACCTGAAAAAGCGCCATCTCCCCGGCCCCGACCAGATCGACAGGCTCGACGTGGTGAGCTACCACCATGAGGGACCCTACGACGCCACTTTGCTGGCTCGCAACAGGAGCTGGGAGACCAGTCCCCTGGCCGCGGTCGCGGATTCGAACGCCGAGGCGCTGAAGGCCACACCGCGGGAGAACATCATCGACAGCATCGAACGCCACCGTCCGCTTGTCGGAACCGCCACCATCGCCCCGGGCGAGACGGATCGCTTCGGCAGGCGCTACGACTACAAGGAGGGGGACAACATGATGATCGTCGACGGGGGGAACTACAAACGCTGGCCTGGCGTGGTACGTTTGACACCTTTCTCCACCGCACTCTGCCTACGCTACACGCATCTCATCTGCACAGCAGCCTGACGCAAACATGCACGTAGGACTACCTGCCCGAGGACTACAAGGGCAAAGGCGAGCCCTCGTTCTCCATCGACAGAGCGCTCAAAGAGCACAAGGCGCGGCAGAAGGCCGCGAGCGTCTCCGAGGGCGACGGCACCGGCAAGGCCGAAACCAGCGGCATAGAGATGCAGGGCGGCGCCGTCGACGAGGTGGGCGTGCGTCGCAGCGGCAGCAAGCGCGCGAGCCTCGACGGCATCAAGCGACGGCTCGGCAGCCTGAGGAAGAAACACCACAACAGCAGTCCGAGTCCGCCTTGAGCCGGAGAGAGAGCCCGCCAAACAATCAGAAGACAAACTGGGCCTAGCCTTTGCCTCCGCCGCGAGCTTTGCGAAGTGGAAAAGGCAAATAACGAAAAAGAAAAAAAAAATACTACACAGTATACACCCACGCACACACACACACACAGACGACGGACGAAATGGTTACGGTTTAATGCGGGCCGCCAGCACAGGTCCAGAATAGATGTCTTAACAGCTTTTTGAACACAAACGAACAAAGCTCGCCATTCTTTACGCTTTTATTTTTTTGGCTCTGTTTCTGTTATCTTCTTCGCACGCTCGGTTACGGCACGTATATATGTGGAATTCGATTAGACGAGGAGTTCTCTTGGGTCGGTATCTTGTGTGAAAGTGACGCACCTGGGCGTTGGGCAAAGGAGATGAATAACCGTCCCCGCCACCCTTTCCCTCTTCTGTACATGAAATAACGAAATCGTCGCGTCCACAAATTTACGATCACTCATGAACCTTGACAAAGATTGCTCGTTTTTCACCAGTAATTTTCGTGCCTTGGTGATGTTTTTGTGCCTTTTGTAGGTGGCAAAGACAAAGGGGTCATAAAATCTTCCTGTCAAGGTTTAAGAAAGATTCACATGTGATGGAAGGTTGCGTGATGTGCATGAGATGACATTTAACTTCTTCTGTGGCATTCACACACACATACTTTAAGCTCTTTGCTAGATCACACAAATCATTCGAGAGAGAAATGCTTCTCGAAAATACCTCCCCAGTTTTCGAACAGAAATACAGATAAGGTGGAAGGAGGACATGTCCTCCGCGTGTCTAAAGTGTGCTAGCACATAACGAAACATCCATCCATCGCCCGTATCTTACGTCGCGCCTTACCCCAGCAACAGATTATCAAAATCGCTCCGTTCCAAAATAAACATGTGTGCTTAAGGAGAGTCGTGAAAGTCTAATGTTTTTTACTTGTTCCAATATGATCTTTTTTTCGGGATTCGCGCTATCACCTTATTGGTATTTCCCTCAAAGGCTGGTGGCGCTAGTTGAAAAAAGTTGGACAAATAAATAATGTGCAAGAGATAGGCCGTCGAGGCAGTGCGTGCGTGAGTTTTGATACTTGCGTCTGGCTCCCGCCGCGTGAGAAAGTTTTCTCCTCGAGCTAAGGGCGGTGGAGAAAACCATTAGGGATCGCTCCCAAGTATGTACACGGAATGAAAGAACCAGAAAATGGAAACTGAGCTTCACCCTTGCCAAGGCATTGAGCTATATCCACGCAACGGTTGGTGCGCTGAGCTGTGTGTGCACGTAGCGACTAAATAGTGGTTGAATCTCGGCTATGTAGTCGGCAGCGCAGAAGCGCATAAGTCCGCACTGTTCCATAGCGAGCAAGTCATGCTCGCGCTCAGCGTCGCTGACTACGACGTTAAACTCCTCGGCGACCTCATCCAGTTGCTCGAGCTCCTTGCCGAATGGGTGCGGTTGCGGATTTGGATTCAAAGCTTCCGAATCGGCGGCGATCCTGCCGTTGAAGAAATCGAGACTGTTCCGTTCCCTTGAAGCCGACCGTGCGCCGGTAACGCTGTGAGCGCGAGAAACTGATGAGGTTGAGGAGACAGACATGGCCTGTATCGAGCGCTTCTTGGCAAGTTCGGCGTGCGCCTTCTTAGAATGACTCGGATGTCGTTGCGGTATGGCAGGTGATTCCGAGTGGAGCGAGTCGTCCGTGATGAATAAATTTTCTTCGGCGAGGCTCTTCTGTCTGACTTCGAGCGTTGAGATTGAGCGACGAAGGGTTGAAGATCCTTTCACCGCGGGCGTAGCTTCAAAATACGCAGGCTTTTTCTCCATCGGGGACGTAATGGGTGAGATGCTGCCTACGCTTGAAGCGTCCGTCAGATGCGTGTCTCTCGACCTGCTCGTCGTGGACGACGCATCTGACCCATCCACACTCGCACGTGAGGAAGCTGAGGAAACACTTGCTGACGCTTTGCGTTGTGCCTGGATCACCGCGACATCCGGAGCGTTGTAAGTGAGCATATTGGTCGTGCTAAGGAGCTGTACTGGGCCCGAAATCTTCTTGATGTCGACTGACTTCTTGCTGTATCTCATGCTGGCGGAGCGTGTAGGGGACGGAGGAGAAGGAAAATCGCTGCTATCACCTACCCCAGAATCCGTCCGCTTACGGCGCATGGTGAAGGCTCTGGCGATGGACGACATGATGGCAGGCGTCTCTGACCGGGCGTGTTGGCTCGAAATGCTGGCGAGGGAGAGGATCCAGAGAGGTGTGGCCTTTTACAAATCGAGATGCGTTGCCCGGGAGGCCAGAGATATGATTGTCCTCGTGCGACTGATACAAAGTATGTGTTTCTCGTATGTTTGCGGTATCTCCGAACTAGCGGAGCTGGGATCACGATGATTCCCTGAAACAATGTTTACTGTCGGCTTGGGAAGAATAAAATGGCGATGCGAAGGGTTGTGCTGGACCCGGCAGCGATAGAGACAGAATGGGAGTTGGGGCTCTTGAGATGCGACTGAGACCGTGACGGCAGAGGCGAATGAGCTGTACGCAAGGGAGTGCGTAGGGGCGCGTGATGGGTCCAAGGAGTGAAATCGTCGTACAACAACGAGATCAAGGAGTGAATCGCGCAGGTGAACCTGACCGCGGCGACGATACAAAGGAAGGTGGGCTACAGAACGAGGAGGAAAAGGAAGTTGGAGTCCGTGAAGGGACAGACGTCGAAGTTAGGAGACGGGACGGGCGAGGCCTGGATTGGCGTCCACTCTGGAGACTTTGCGCCACGGGTAAAGTCCTTTGGCTCTGCTGTGGGGCTTGGACGAGCGAGGCAAACGTGGACTGGCGTTGATGGGCTGCAGGGTGCAGGCAGCGTGCCAATCACACAGGGGGAGTGGATGTTTCACGTTTCTGCGCCTGGCGAACCAAAAGAAACGGAGGCGCCTCGAAGGGAAACGGGGATCGATCTCGAGAAAGAGATGTTTGGCACAAAGACAGAGTGGAGATAGGAGAGGGAGGAAGGAAGATGCTGAGGAGGAGGTGGAGGATTACAAACGCGAGAGGAAGGGTGCGGACGTGAACCTGGTGCTGGAGCTGGTCGGCAGCATGTAAGGTCGCTGCGAAAGGAAGCGACGACCGGTATTGGAGTAGCGTGGCCAGACCCCCAGGCGGCCGGCTGGAGAAGGACGGTTGCACTTGCATTCTTGCCTTTCCCTATCTCGCACGCATCGCACCTGCGCTCTGTCCAGCAGTCTTCGCACTTGCTGGCTGCGACGACGACTTCGACTCGCACCTGCTCTCTCTTGCAGCTGCCCGGGATGCTGACCCACGCACCTGCCGTGCTTCCCCTGGTAATCCATCGTGACTTCCATCGTTCGCCGAGCTTTGGCTTCAACCCAGCCGTTTCATGCATGATCACCCACCACACACCACACACCACACACCACACACCACACACCACACACCACACTCACGCTCTGTCCTGGAATATCCGCATCGTCTCTGCTGACACTCTGCTTTTCGCTTCTCAAAGAAAAAAAAATCCATGTGTTTTGTGCTGGAAAGCTACAGCACCAAGTCGTCTTCTCTGGGGTGTGCGAGCTTGCGTTGCAAACAACCAAATCTTTCATTCATCAACAGCCGGGCCGACGCATCTCCTTCCGTCGTCCAGCGCCTTGCCCATCCGCTCCTTGCAATCGTCCGTAAAACGCAGAGAGGCGTGGGCAACTGGAGAGACCAAAAAAACTAGTCAAAGGGCCCAGTCTTTTCGTCCTTTTGCGTCCAATCCACATGTAGATGTCGATCCAAACGCTTGCGGCGACCCTCGGCGCCTCTCAGTCCATCTTGTTTGGTCTCCTGCAGGTGACGGGGTTCCATTTCGTGGATCCAACGCAGCATCCCACCAATCACACAACTTCAGCGGAGCACCGTGAAGGGTCTGCGACGAGGCGAGATCGACCAAATCATTCCTTGTTGAGCGTTGTTGAGCCTTGCGTCCATCTCCCTACCTTCATGCTCATGCTCTCCCTGCGCTGAATCGACACATCGACATATGGGACGTAGTGAATCAGCGGATCTGTCGGGCCTTTTACACACTTCCTACTATACTCGTGATCGTAATCGTAAGATCGGTGCTTGTTTCAGCGCTGCGATCAACCCTACTTTGACTCCTCCATCTGCCGAAATCGAATGTGTCGCGCTCTACGGTCGTCTGTCCTGGGAATGAGGTGGTTGCCCGTCTTTGCGCTGTTTGAGTTTGTCCCGTTGTGCCCACCTGCCTGGCAAAAAATCTACCATACGCGCCTCGCCAGGGGGGCCCCATCGGTTACTGATCTGAGGCTGCTGATTTTTACACCTTCATAACCTCCACTACAATGTCGTGGAAGTATTTTTATTCAAGTTGGTGGGGAGAGAAACATTTCTATCACACCTTGTCCCTATGTTTGACGCCCTTCCCGCTTTGCCCTAGCCATTATGAGCGTGTGGTTGCTTGCGCGTACTCCTCAGCGCTTCCAAGATGTTTCTGTTTCGTTTCTCGCTTAGGCACGATCACCCTCTTCCTGAACATGGGTGTAAGCTTGGGGTAATCTTCTTCTCACGCTGCTGACTACCGCTGCACCAAGTTGATGCAGATGATTCTCATCCAGGAAACCACAGCGAAGTGGCACGAACCTTACGAGTCCTGAAAGAGGCAAATTCCCCAGTCCGCGTACCACATAACGAAGAATGGGACGACGTCGCGACATAACCACCATCATTGCCCAGTACACTTGTTTCATTTAGGATAGTTTTGTTTTTCTCGATGCCTGGGTACGTGCATACGTTTGAATCAATGAGATGAGAGTTTGCCAATGGAGCAGTGGTGACGTACGCTCCGCGTGAGAACATCGCTGCCTTTATTACTCGACCCACAGGTTTCACATGCTTTACCAACATAGTTGGTTGAGCTCGCCTTCAACACGACCATTTCGTGCATCTTTACTATAGCGTCGAATCATATCCCTTGCTGCCAGACGTAGTATTTGTCTTCGGTCGACGTTCATGAGGGATGCTGAACATGTACAAAAGCATGGTTCGATGTTAGATGGGCTATCAAGCATCAATGTTTCAACTTTTCAAAAGAATTATATGAGCCTCGTTTTACATTTAGCTTGGCACTGCCTTCTCTTGTCGTGGCTTGTCTTCCAGCCAAGGAACATACCTCTCAAACAGCCAAGCCCTTCAACACAGTCCTAACATCCTCTCTCTTATCCACTATGAACCGGCCCTTTCCAGCATCAACCTTGGCTTGAAAATCTGCGAGGCCCTTTCCTGAGAACTGGATTGCCTGGAGAACCTTTATAGGCGAACCTTCCCGAAATGCAACGTCGCTATCGTACTCAGTAATGTCAAATGTCTTCCCTGTAACGGCTTCGGCAGCAGCTACGAGTTCCTTCTGCGTCATTTGGACAGACGACACGTAAACATGTTGGTTCTTGTATTTCTCTCGAGTCACAGGATCCGTCACAAGCCGGACCACCGCCAATGCTATGTCTTCCATGTTGGACGCGGAAAATCGTGTCTCCCCGCCGTCCCAGATTGTAGCTTTGCCTTTCTTGAGGTCAACATCAAATGTACCGAAATTCAATCCCTGATAACATCTCCGTTAGTGATTTTTGTTTAGCAGTAGACAAAGGCGCAAATTACTTACCCAGTCGAAGAACAGCGCGGTTATGATCGCTGTCCATGTGAGACCGTCCTTTTCCTTCTCCTTTAGCCGTGCGACAGTTTGCTGCTTCTTGCCAAAGATAGGCAGCAAAGGTGCAATGCGATCGTCCGACGTGTCATGTCCGAACTGGCTTGGAATGAAAAGCGAAGCTCCTGCTGCGGCGGCCGCATCCACGAGTAGCAGCTCCTTGCTCAGCGCCGCTGTGTTGACCAAGGAGATAACCGCGTCGTTCCCTCTGATGATAGATGTTAGATCTTCCACCGACTCGTAGTTTGTGGTTACGACTTTGACAGATCCGGGAAACGTAGACTTCGAATCCTGACGTGTTGCGACCGTGACGTTGACGCCAGCCTCGAGAAGAGCAGGCAGGACGGCTTTGCCTACGTTACCGCCTGCACCAAAGAGTATTGCTGAAGTGGACATCACTTTTTTTTTCTCTTAGCTTTATACTGTGTTATAAACGGTTATGAATAAGAATGGGTGATTTCTAGCAGTGAACGAAGCAGTCGCACATCCTGCAGACGGCAGCAAAGCATATATGCGATCGAGCCGGTGGATGTGATCGCATGATTGGGGACGGATTATAAATGGCATTTCAGTAAAATGTCTAAACCCCGACTAATCATCATATTCAAACGACGAGACACGACAAGCTCCTTTGCGTTGCGACTACTGACTGTTGAGGGGAAGGTTTGTAACACACAAAGCCTTTAAGTTAGGGAATGGCGCAGTTCATTTCGCCCAGCAGAAGATGACTAAACATCCATTTCGCAAACGTATATTTCATCGCAGCACTTTTCGCCTCGGCTCGACGTCGAAGAATTCTAAAAGACTATGGTTCACTTTAGGACATTGTTGCAAATTTTAGATCCTGGTTCTTTGGCACCGGTCTGGGTGGCTCACTAATCGCATACGAGGATAGAGTAACACTACTCAAAGAGGCAAGCCAGAATTGCGCTTGCCAGTAGGCTTTGCTCGCCGTGAGGAGGAGATAAGTTATTGCATTACTAGGTCTCGTGATAGGTGCTCAGTGTACGTTTTAAACCGAAGTCCTAGGACGTATCGCTGGTGGTATTTCTCGACCACAACTTCTCGCCATATCCTTGCTTGCACAATCGAGATCCAATTGGGAAAGAATAGATCGGATAGTGCAGGTTTTCAACCTCCAAAAATGTCATCGCACTACTTCGTACAGGTGTTTCTTGTCTCCCCTAGAATGGAACTCGAGAAGCCAAAGAGACTATTCTGAGAGGAGCAGTTCTATGGCCTCGCAGTTGACATTTTCGCAGCAGTCTTGCCGCGTGTCTTTTTTATGTCCAAATTAATTATTCTGGAGGCAGACAAAGCGAATCATGTTCACGGTCGAGTATAGATTCAGCAAGGACGCCTCATACCCTGGGCAGGTAGCTGTGCGATCGGCCCAGCTGCAAAGTTGAAAGGCGAATAGGCCGTACCGGATTCTTGGAACTGGATCATCAAGAAAACGTGACAGATGTTCCGGGGCCATTTACCAAATCAACGTAGAGCGATGATGTGAGACGGGCTGCTTTTTTTGCATTGGCCTTTCGAAGGTTCATGCGGTGACATGGCTTCGTAGTCTGTATCACATATCCCAACTGAAGATGATCGCACTGCTTGCTCTCTTCAACCTGACGGTCTGTATGACGTCCCCCGTAAACGCATCGCAGCGCAACACGCTACGTAAGTGATCAATACGGGTGTGGGATTTCACCAAATCCAGGAATTGCAGTACCTTCGGGACACCGGGTTTCATTTATCCAAGTTACTCGGGAGGCGCGGGACGGTGAAAGTACTGAATGGTTCGAATCGGAAACCGAAACGGACGCATGCTTTGCTCTCCGGGCGACGTGAAGCGTTCTCGACCCTTCGGCAGCGGGCGACGGGCGCCGCGACTTCAGATACCTGTGCCGTCACATGAAGAGGCTCGGCGAAGTTTTGACGGATTCCCTTCGCGAGGGAGCGAGACGACGGTCTCAGATTAGCCGTTCAGGGAGTGTTGCAAGAAGCGTGGCGACTTTTCAGAGCTACGATGGCGTAGTGTGCCCTCTCGCATTGCTCAAGCCCACGTTGCTGCCGTTAACAAGCAGTTTGGAAAAAAGGGCGGTGCGAGGCTGGCTGGCACGAGCGAGAGCACCACATACCCCGAGCCGTTTGCGTAAGTGTTTAGCTGACGGGAGAGAACTGTGGCCGGGGCATGCCTCTGGACGTACGCAGAACAGCCCTCCGTACTTTTCCAACGAGTGGTGAGCCTATTTAACAAGCCTATCCGTCAGCATGGCATTTGTGTCAGCAAGTCACTGTCATACTGGAAAAGAGCCGGCTTATCTCTCTTGACGCACTGGAGATCCACGCTAGTAACAAGCTGACAAGACGTCAGGCAAGATTTCGAAGCATGGGCATTGTCCTGCCAGTGATTTAGATCCACTACTGAGTATAATAGCACTCTTCATGGGCCAGCACACGGTGATGATCGGGTCTCAACGGATGTCAAGAACAAAGAAGATCTAGCTGACAGCCTTAACCTGTGGGTCCCATAATAGACCTGTTAAAACATCTTGAAGTCCCACCGTACTTGAGCAGGAATCACGGCGGCAAGAGCTGGATGTGGAGGATTGGTTGGCCAGACAATTTAACAGCGAACTGTTAGGCGTTCGAGAGGTCTTCGCACATTATGGCTTGGAGAGACAAATGAAATTTGAAATTCCCGCATCGAAAATCTACACAGACAAATAGATCGCCGAAGAATTTTTCTAACGCTCTTTCTTCCTTTGCCCTTCCCTTTTGCCATGGAAACCTTCACCTTTCTCTGCTCTCTACTACTCCCAGGATTTTATCGAAACATGTAATCAGAGCGTAGTTCCGGTTGCACAGGTACACGTCGGTGGGGCGATTGATATCGTAAGAGAGATACGCAGAAAATCATATTATACATCTACTGCCTATCAGCTACTGTTTACTCCTCCGGTTTCTCTTCAGTGCAAGGAAAACTCACTTTTTCGGCCATCCCCTCAACCAGCTAAGGATTCAGAGCATTTACGAAGTAAAGCTCTTGGTGAAGCTGCTCACCACATCCCTCAGTCTCTGCTCAAGATCCTTTGACAGCGCACCCTCCTTATCAATTGTTGCAAGCAGGTCGCTCTCATTGCTCTTGAGGTGGGCCAGGAAGTCCTGCTCCCACTGGTTGATCTTGTTCACAGGAACGTTGTCGAGGTAGCCGTTGACACCAGCGAAGATAAGGGGAACCATCTCGTTAACGGCCATGGGGCTGTACTGCTTCTGCTTGAGAAGTTCGGTCAGACGCTCACCACGGTTGAGGGTCTGCTTGGTAGCAGCATCAAGATCAGAACCGAATTGGGCGAAGGCAGCAACCTCACGGTACTGGGCCAAGAAGAGCTTGAGCGAACCAGCGACTTGCTTCATAGCCTTGAGCTGGGCAGCGGAACCGACACGGGACACGGAAAGACCGACGTTAATGGCTGGGCGGACACCCTTGTAGAAGAGTTCGGCCTCCAAGAAGATCTGACCATCCGTGATGGAAATGACGTTGGTTGGGATGTAGGCGGACACATCACCACCCTGGGTCTCAATGACTGGCAGCGCAGTGAGGGAGCCACCACCGTGCTTGTCGTTCATCTTTGCAGCACGCTCGAGCAGACGGGAGTGCAGGTAGAAGACATCACCAGGGTAAGCCTCACGACCTGGTGGACGACGGAGCAACAGGGACATCTGACGGTAGGCAACGGCCTGCTTGGACAGGTCATCGTAGATGATGAGAGCGTGCTTGCCGTTGTCGCGGAACCACTCACCCATGGAGCAGCCGGTGAAAGGAGCAATGTACTGCAGAGGGGCGGCCTCGGAGGCAGTGGCAGCAACAATGGTGACGTACTTCATGGCATCGGCTTCCTCAAGAGTCTTGACAAGCTGAGCAACAGTGGAACGCTTCTGACCGACGGCGACGTAGATGCAGTACAGCTTCTTGGATTCGTCGTTGCCGGAGTTCCAGCGCCTCTGGTTCAACATGGCGTCCAGGGCAACGGCAGTCTTGCCAGTTTGACGATCACCAATGATCAACTCACGCTGACCACGGCCGATCGGAACCATGGCATCGACGGATTTCAAACCGGTCTGCACGGGCTGGTTGACGGAACGACGGGGTAGGATACCTGGGGCCTTGACCTGAGCACGGCGGCGCTCGGTGGTCTTAATTGGGCCCTTGCCGTCAATTGGGTTGCCCAGGGCGTCGACGACACGGCCAAGCATGGCCTCACCAACTGGCACATCGACCTGTGTGACTTGTTAGAGCTCTATAGGGTTGATCAAAGGACTTTTTAAGACGTACAATCTGACCAGTACGCTTGACAGTTTCGCCTTCCTTGACCAATCGATCGGAACCGAAGAGCACAACACCAACCTGGCCGGCTTCCAAGTTCATGCACATACCCTTGACACCAGATGCGAACCTGTTCATGTTAGCTTCAGATATTCATGTGCTACGTACGGCATAGACGCACTCGACAAGCTCCTCGGCCTGGACATTGTTCATGCCGTGGACACGGGCGATACCGTCACTGCAACATCGTCAGTCATCCATTTTCCTGGTTTATTCGTTGGCCTCAACACAATGCATACCCAACAGAGAGGACACGGCCAGTCTCGGCCAAGCTGGCCTCCTCAGCGACGCCGCGGATCCGCTGTTCGAGGATGGAGGAAACTTCCGTTGGTGTAGCCTTGCCCTCGGAAGCATATGTGCGCTGAATCTGGCGGGTGACATTGAAAGCGGCTGGCGAACGCACCTGTAGACGATGATAATGTTAGCCAATCCAGGGTGTTGCGTTGAGAACGTCGAGTTCAAGGCTCGAAGAGAAAAGTCTCGGCACTGAGCATTCACCGAGCTGCCAATTGATGAGCGTCGTCGCTTCCTCGCATCCACAACGCAGCTCAATGGCGTATTATTGATGCCCAGAAGCTCCACAAAGCTCAATTGAAAGCTTCTCTGATGCCAATGGATGGAATTCGGTGGCATGCGGAACCTGTCTGTTCAGGGTGGACGTACGGAGGTGCGCTTCGCAGCAGCCGCGAGCGAGCGTCTCGCAATCTGTCTCGTGAACATTGTTGCGAGATGTGTGAGATGACCCTACCACGACACGGCAGAGCAGACGATGACAAACGGTGGTGGAGAGGAGAGGTTGTTGATGGTTCGGAAGGGTTGGATGAAGTTTTGCTTGGGGACGTTCGCAAGCTCGGAGCTGCGTTCGGAGCCTCAGGCACCAAATCTGCAACGCCAATAGCCGGACCATTCCCGACTTTTCGCGAGACGCAGCCGTTTTGCGTCGACGACAACGGCGACGACGACCGTGATGCCAACACGTTGATCACTCGTGTCATCCATCGTCTCGCATATGTATTGAGTCACAACTGGGAACGCTCTAGGATTTCGTCAGGTGCATACGGCGATGGAATTTCGCGATCACATCAAGTCATTACAACGCTCTTGGCATGCTCGCTTTGACTTTCCCTCCTACACGTCCAGAGCAGTTGCACACTTTAGAAGCAATCCTCTTCCGATCGAGCCTTCGGCTGAAAGGGAAAACCGTGACTTATCCCAATGCCTAATAAGACTGCTTATGAGACTCAACAAGTATCACTAGAGGCTAAATCATTCTAACTATTTTTTACCTACGTAAGGGCCTCATTTGTCCATTGCCAGAGGAAGCGTACTTTTGTAGATGTCGTGACTATACTCCGGCCGTGAAAGCATAAAACTCCAGATCTGGTATCTCGCGGGTCTTCACAATAAACACCGTCCCAATGCTGCTACTATCTCAAACGGACATGTTTACCTCCTCTCATACCAATTACTTTTCGCTGCCACCTGCTGCCCAGCTTCCTACTACCTACGAATATCCCATCTTAACAGAGGGAAGAACGATCGGAGGATTTTTTTTGCTCATTTTGCCTTCCCATTAGCCTTGCCACTCACCTCCGTCTGCCATTTCCGAATTTCCGCCTCCACAGCCTTGTCGAGCCTCTTCTTCAGCTCTGGGCGATATCCTAGCATGAACAAAATCTCCATCCACACGAAGAATGGCGCCAGGAAGAGCGCCTGGACCAGATTGTCTAACAGAGCAGGCGCTCTTCCCTCGAATTTTCCATGTCCGATGAATTGTAAGATCCACGACGTCACGAATACGCCGAGGGCCCATTGGTTGGCCGTGCTGCCATACTCGCTCAGTAGATGGTTCGAGTAGAGCGTCCCGCCAATGATGAGCGGGAACAAGAGAGAACCGGCGACGGGCTCCATCAACAGGTAGAGGGAGCTATAGAGGAAAGCACTGACAGTGCCAAGATTAAGAGGGAAGGACTGGAAAGAGGAGGGTAGCCATTCTGGCAGCGACACATTGGGCGTGTTGGAAGCCTGCATTTAAAGGATCAGCATGTTAAGGCGCGCACGGAATTTGCAATTTTGAGCTTGTTACCAGCAGCAGACTCGTCATGAGAATGAGAGGTACGCAGACTATGTGAATGGCTACATTGACGCTGTTGTGGTGATATGCTCCATACTGCGCGTAACCCGCGGGTTAGCCACCGAGTTGTTTCACATCACACGCACCCGTGTGCGGTAGGGCCGACGTACAAATCGGAGTTGTTCCTCCAGGTCGAGCGAGATCATGGCGAGGATTTGATGATTTTCAAGTACCGAGCTATTTCCGAGCGAAAGGACTGTTTATGAAGAGGCTATATGCATGGCATAATTTCAAGACAGGTCAACAGCAAGCAAAGGGAAGACACGGGTAGCTTGGGAGGTTGGGAAGATGGGAGGGATGGAGACGGACGAGAGAAGGTGGAGAGAGAGTGAGAGAAGGCCAAAGACAAAGTCTTGCTCGTCTGACATGTTTCCGAAGAATGCCTGTCTGCCTGCCTGGGTCGTGTCCCAGTCCTGCCATAATCAAGTGAACGGACTTGGCATGTGATCGGCTTAGCGGCAAAACGTTAGAGTGAAGGCCTGAGGCGGTAAGGCGATTATCAAACTGTCGCCTGGCCTGCCTGCGCCAAAGCGACGGGTGTGGACACACACCTTCATCCGACTTGCATCGCTCAAATCCCGGCATCGGCATCGGGTAGCATGTTCTTCGTCAAAGAGGAGGAGCGTGTCATCACGCTGCACCCCTCTTTCTTTGGTCCGCACATCAAGCGTTATCTGGACGATAAGCTGCTCAGCGATGTGGAGGGTGCGCACGCCTCATCCGACAGGCGGTAACATTGGCGGAGCTGACGTCAACCCAGGAACTCTGCAGGGTGATTATTTTGTTGTGTGTGTGCTAGAGCCACACGAGTATTCTGAGGGCAAGATTGTGCCTGGAAGCGCGTTTGCAGAATACAAGGTTTGTGAGGCATGCGCAAGCACGTGGTCGCACTTCAAAAGACTAAGGGCACCCAACAGGTTCACTATCGTGCCATTGTATGGAAGCCTTTTAAGGGCGAGATCGTACGTCTTGTTATATCGTTTATGAACATCTCGGCAGATTCCCCTGACGATGGAAATCTCCAGGTTGACGCGCAGGTCTCTGCCATCCAGCCTAACGGCTTCTTTGTTGCCATAGGTCCCATGCAGGTATTCATTGGCCGCGCACAAATTCCATCGGACATCAAGTACGATGCGCAAGCCACGCCACCGCAATGGACGGACCATGCGGATCAGATCATCGAGAAGGGAACTCAGATTCGTCTTCGTCTGAAGGGTATTCGTAGTGAAATGGGTAGCCTGTTTGCGATTGGTGGTATCCGAGAGGATTATCTTGGGTAAGACGCTTAAAGCAGGTCCCGACCTCTTTCGTACTATGCTGACCTTATCAGCGTCCTGGAGGGTTGAATGTTACTCTCCCACCGGCATGTCCGGTTTTTTTTTTCGCTTCACATCAACATGGAAATAGCGTGGTCCCCTTCGAAGCAACTATGAAGATTCTAACTAGAGCCTTCATGTCCCAGATGCAGAAGAAGAAGACCTCGAAGAAGTTTGATCACAGCACGCGCCTTGACGGCGTTGTCAATCGCGATGATCACCAAATTGAACTGACACCACCTAAGGGCCAAATGAATCGATTCTTAGTCATGACATTTACATACATGCAGATGCCGCGATCGCGGTCCAGAGTCGGAAAGGGAGAGAACAGTCTAGAACCGTTGTGCAAAATAGGATCAGAGCTCTGGGTAGGACAATTGAAGGCCATAAAAATTGTAATACTAGTGCTTAACCAGCCATTAACCGAAAGCTGCAAAACGTATATGAACTCCGCAGTTTGCACTTGGAAATTAAAATGACCGATCTTTAAACACGGCATCCATTGCCTCATCTCCGCTTAATTGACAAGCATTTCTCTCCTATTACATACTGGATGTCGAAATTGTCCTGATGACGGTCAACAATTTTCTTTCTTTTTAAAAAAAAGTCGAATGATCAGTCCATTTGGAGAACAGGTAGATTGTCTTTGGCTGTCCTTGTCTTTCAAATGAGGAATTCTACACTAGCCGTTATACGACTATAACTTCCAGACGAAAGCAAACGCAAGCACAAAAGCTGATGTATCCTTATTCCTAGAGAGCAGCGTGTATGAGTCCCACTCAGATCATACATGATGGGATTAGTACTGTCAAGATCAATTCTTGAGAGTCATTCATGAGCCAGGAGCAGGACATCTGATTAGATCATGAATCCGGACGTGCCGCTTGCACAGAGTTAAGAAGACATGGTAAAAATCCTTCTTTACGGCGTAGAGTGTCACCGTAGCAATTGATTCAATATAAGGGCCGGGTCGAATTCTGGTGGCTCCCAATTCATCATGAAAGGTCTTGGAAAGGTCTTTCATGTTTTGATGATGCAAATAGGAACAACGAAAACTTGCAGAACCGCATGCTCGTATTTGACTGATTCTCTGAAATATTACGAAAGAAAGGAGGAACGAGTTCCATTGCCCTGGAAAAGCTTTCTTCGAAGTCTCCTCAGAACGCTTTTTTTCCGCTAGAATAGCCAACATGATCAGATATCGATGCTCAAGCTGCAATAAAAGGAGAAGGCGCCAGATGACACCTATTTATCGTTCGTTTGAAAGAGCCCTTAGAACAAGCTTTGCTGGCTTTACGACAATTTGTCTGCACTTCGTGATATGAGAAAGTCCACGGTTCCCTTCAAAGTGAGATTCATATTGAGTTCAGCTAGCGTTGTGTAGCCAACGAAAAGCACCCCTGTGTCGAAATACGAAGAGGGACCCGAAATATCGAGCGCAAGATGCCACGTCAAGATAGGCGTCTGATTGCGAGACTGCCTTCTGACTTGGACTTCTCGAGTACTGTCCGCCAAGAAGAACAGGGGCGTTCATACATGATCTCAGCAGGTTTGGCCTTTTGGCAACTTCCGCGTAAACGATCAGTCTCTAGACTGTACGTGAACTGAAGACATTTGACGCGTACACTCATCGAGAGGATGCTGTGGAAGTCCCCAAATGTCTCTGATCTGCGGGTTCTGATAGGTAGCAATGAGATGCCTCCGGAATAAATGCCCGCCACCGAAATACTTCCTGTTTCAGCCTAGCTTGGCGCCTGTCGCCCTACAAACACCTTCAAGCTTCAGGGCAGGGCACGAAGCGGAATTAACCTTCAGGCGCCATGTATTATTCCGAAGCACATTCTTAAAGACTCATAGGTACCCAGAACCGCCTACGCAAGCCCTGGTTTCGCGATCAAATGCCAACGTGGAGCGTCGGCGTCCATTACTGCCGCTGGAAGCTCTTCACCTCCTCACGCCGCGTCAACCATGGTTCTCGACGATGACGAAACGAAGCCGCTCACACGGTATTCGCACGACTCCCTAAACGAATCGCGTGACTCATTAGACTCAATCTCGACCACCTCTGCAATACTCGAGCAGATCTCGCTCTCCAATAAGGCACAGGTCAGTGACGACCTGAAGAAGTCGTATAAGGATGAGGAGCGGTCCTCCGACAGCACGCTCCGTGAACATCCCGGCTCCTCTTTAGATATTGAAGATGGGTCTGGAAAATTCTTTGGCACTGTTAAGCCTGTGGATAGGAAATACAAGAGATGTCTTTGGATACTGGGCCTGGTTTGCGCCGCTGGCTGGCTGTCGGCCGCCCTTCTTTTCGTCATAAATGGAAGCTACAAGCATGCAAGTACGACACCACACGACCCACTTGCGACGTCTTCAAGAGGAAACGGCAAGAAAGTCACTTTGGACCAGGTGATGTCAGGCCAATGGCGCGCCAGACGCCACGCGATAAGTTGGATTGCTGGACCTGAGGGCGAAGATGGTCTGCTGCTGGAAAGAGGTGACCCAAAAAACAAGGAGTACTTGGTTGTCAGGGACGTAAGAGAACGGGACAAGGGCGTCGAGAGCCTCAGCACGAGAATCTTGATGGCGAAGGCGGGATTCACTGCAAACGGCGAACACAAGTATCCTTCGGAAACATGGCCAAGTCCCGACTTGAGGAAGGTACTTATCGTGACGGATCGCCACAGTAACTGGAGGCATTCTTTCACTGGTCAATACTGGATTCTGGACGTCGCAACGCAAACGGTGGAGCCTTTGGATCCCCTAGTTCCTGCTGGCAGGGTACAGCTTGCACAGTGGAGCCCTCAGAGCGACAAGATCGCCTTCACGAGGGATAACAATTTGTATGTCCGCACGCTAAATGCGGGTGTGAAGCAGATCACGCAGGACGGTGGGCCAGAGCTGTTCTACGGCGTGCCAGATTGGGTGTATGAAGAAGAGGTATTCGCCGATCGGGTTGCGACGTGGTGGAGCGAAGACGGGAAGTACATTGCCTTCCTGCGAACGAATGAAACCGAGGTACCGACTTTCCCAATTGAGTACTATTTATCACGACCTAGCGGCGAACAGCCTGCTCCCGGTCTGGAAAATTATCCCGAAACGAGGGAGATAAAGTATCCGAAGGCCGGAGCTCCTAACCCAACGGTGCACTTACAATTCTATGACGTGAACAAAGAACAAGTTTTCTCTGTCAATATTGAAGGTGATTTTCCCGATGACGATCGTCTCATCACGGAGGTTGTGTGGGCTGGCAAGGACGGCAAAGTGCTTGTTCGCGAAACGAATCGAGAGAGTGACATCTTAAAGGTCGTCCTCATGGACACAGAACGCAGAACCGGTCGTACTGTTCGCGAGCAAGACGTTTCAAAGCTCGACGGGGGCTGGTTTGAAGTTTCACAAGATACGACATTCATTCCACCGGACCCTGGTAACGGTCGTCCACATGCTGGTTATGTTGACACCATCATCCACAATGGTTATGACCATTTGGCGTACTTTACGCCGCTTGAGAACCCGGAGCCGATTCTTCTCACTTCTGGCGACTGGGAAGTCGTCGCCGCGCCTTCAGTCGTTGATCTCAAGAATAACTACGTTTACTTCAAGGCTACGAAAGAATCCTCCATTCAACGCCACTTCTACCGTGTCAAGCTCGACGGGAGCGGATTCGAACCCATCACGGATGTGTCCCAAGAAGGCTATTACAGCATTTCTTTTTCTGCTGGCGGGCAATTTGGTCTCGTCAGTTATGATGGTCCAAACGTCCCTTGGCAGAAGGTTATGTCCATGCCAGGTGTGACCGACAAATATGAAGAGATGATCGAGGCCAATGAGGAACTTAAGCAATTCGCCGCACAGCATGAGCTTCCTATCGAGACATACGGCACCATTGAGGTAGATGGCTTCACGCTAAACTATGTCGAACGAAAGCCTCCACACTTTAATCCGAAGAGAAAGTATCCCGTTCTGTTCTGGATGTATCAAGGGCCCAACTCGCAATCCGTCAACAAACAATGGAATGTGGACTTCCAAGCTTTCGTCGCTTCTGGTCTTGGTTACATCGTCGTCACAGTCGACGGCCGTGGCACCGGATATCGGGGACGTAGAACACGTTGCGCGATCCGAGGCAATATCGGTTACTACGAGTCCACAGACCAGATCGCTGCCGCGAAAATGTGGGCCAAGAAGAAATACGTAGACGAGGACCGACTCGCCATATGGGGCTGGTCTTACGGTGGATTTATGACACTAAAAACGTTGGAGCGCGATGGAGGCGAGACTTTCAAGTACGGCATGGCAGTTGCACCCGTGACAGATTGGCGCTTCTACGATAGTGTGTATACAGAGCGCTATATGCACACGCCACAGCACAATCCGGAAGGCTATGAAAACAGCAGCATCAAAGACATGAAGTCCTTGCAACAGAACGTGCGCTTTTTGATCATGCATGGCGTGGCAGATGATAATGTGCATACTCAGAATACATATACGCTGCTGGACAAGCTTGATCTGGCGGGGGTGGAAAATTACGACGTGCATGTTTTCCCAGATAGCGACCATGGGATCTACTTTCACAATGCTAATAAAGTTGTGTATGACAGTAAGTAGCCAAGAAGATCTTCTGGTGTGACAAGTAAGTGCTAACAGAGAAACCAGAGTTGACGAACTGGCTCATTAACGCTTTCAATGGAGAGTGGCTGAAGACGGATAACCCAAGGCCAATCGTATTTAAGGATGACTTGCAGACAAAAGTCAAAGTGAGGTAGTACGCTATTGTTTCATGTATTGCATTACCGGCGTTATCGTGGAGGACCTGTCTCTTAAGCATTGGGAAAGCCCATATGGAGCAAAAGCTACCGTTCATTCCATGAATAAATTTCACGACTGCGTGATTTTTGGTCTCTTTTATGACTCCGACGAATTCCATTCTCAAGTTATTTGTTTCACAACGCGTTTACGCTGCGCTAGACATGGTGATCTACAGTGCGAACGAGTTAATGTACGCCTGTCATATTGTGTCATGCTAACAAAGGTGAGCCCGTTCACTTAGTTGAATGACGAATCGCAAACATGTATAGCCAAATAAAAGCGTTATGCAGATAAGCTCAGCACTACGTTTACTCTCTCTCTCTCTCTCTCTCTCTCTCTCTCTCTCCCAGTCTCTCATTTCAACCAGAATGCTTTTCGAGACATTCACTAGAGCGAGTTAAAAAAAACACGGACAAGAAAAAATTAATTTCCGGATTAAGCTGACCATATTGAGTTCGCGACGGTTTATATGCCAAAAATATTTTCTTATTTCTCCTATGTTTTATTTCCCATCATTGCTCTTGCATATTGAAAAAAAAAAAAAAAAATCCGTGAATTTGACCCCAAATGCCGTCCCAGAAACGAGAGTCTCGCAATATTTTCCTACGGTCTCAGCTGGTGGGTTGGTGCTTCGCATCACAGGTTGGGAAGAGCAACAACGCCGTGCTACGAGTGGATTTTCGCGTATGGCAGCAGCAATCAACGAAAGGACCCATAGAAGCTATGTGTTTTTGGCTTTCTCGCCTTAATATCTTATTTGTTTCGAAACTGGTTCCTGAGTGACAGCGCGAGCGAGCGAAGCAAAGATCAAATCGACGACGTAAATTGGGGACGAATCGTCCATTCCTGAGGAGCGGCACGTTTGCTGGAACTCACAATGGAAGTTTGACTGTACTTACTCATTTGGGGCTGCCTTGTTCGCGTTGACATGTTGGTGTGTGTCATCTTCACGTCGACGGTTAAAATGATTCGATTCGACGTCGTCAAAACATTAAATATATGCTATTTTTGGTCCTAGGAAAATCTAAAGATAACTCAAAACGGGGAGCTTTTGTCCTTTTAGTCGTGAGTCGAGATTCATGTATATTCTTTTGTTACTCCAGGAGACGATTGTGATCCTTGAGCGCAGGCATGGTGACGGGTTAACAAAGCTCTTATCTTCCTACATTTGAGCTTACCTAACCACAATGCTTTCGGTGGCAGAAATCCTCAATGTTTCTCGAAGCCAGTCTGTTGGCAATAGTCATGTAGGTTCAAAGCAATATCCAGACGGTGAATACCGCTCATTAATACGTGACAAAAGCAGATTGTCCTCGCAGGCTCAAGACACTAGGCACATTTAGATCCTGAGAACCGAACATGTAAAATGGATCATATGGCGATCAAAGGATTACACTGAGATCGATGGATATCGAATAAAAAGATCATTGAGGTTACAGGATAAGCGACAAGACAGGCTATAGCGAACAGGTAAAAGAACGCGTTACTTCGTTGCAGAGGGGCTTAATCATGCACAAAGTCTTAGCAAAAGGGCATTTGATTTCATTTTTGCTAATGCTCCATTCCCTGTTGTAATCCGTTTACACCATGCCGTCCAGTTGAGAAAGGCCTATCTCTCATTCCGGACTCGTGAATAAGTCGATGCCATTGCCAGAATGTTGGCTGTGCCCGTGATCAACGTCTTCCACACCCACTGTCGTCGCTAATGACCAATTGCATCACGTCAACGCGCACCAACTATTCTCCTCTCTCATGCATAGCGGAACTCTTACGAGGAGGCTACTGCGCCGCGAGCACCCTTAGGAGCGCCAGTCTGGAATTTGTTGCCGGCTATCCTGGGGAGGTGCTTAAGGTATCTGCAACGGCCTGTACCAGTGGTCTTTCTTCTCTTGGCCTTCTCGCTCCAGTTCCCTGTGATCGAACTCGTCAATAATCCGGACTTGCATCGATGTGAATGACCAAGTCAACCACACGATCGTGGCGCTGGAATCACATACACTTTCTGATGCTAGCAGACGGGTAGCCGCACGAGGCGCAAGTGTGTTTCTGGATATGCAGAGCACGGCGTCCTATCATCCCGTTAGCTTTAAGACTCCTTTCGCTTCATTCCTCATCCCGCTGAGGGTCCTTCCATATCAAACGCTGGACTGGAGACTGGAGCCATTGACGTACCGCAGCGGCGACACAAAGTGTGCGTCTTGTTGTGGCGCTTGCCGAAGCTGGATGTTCCCTTCGCTGTAAGTGTACGCAGTAATTAGCATTTCGTTCAGATGGTGGCATTTCAAGGACAGAGATATCGGGAGCAGTCGAGGGCTACGCACTCATCTTGACTTAAGTGACTGTGGTTGAGATTAGCAATCGAATATGGGCTGAAATTTTGAAGGAAGCAAGCAGGACTCACAAGGAACGTCGTATATGTGACAATGCGATTTAAGTTCGTCTCCTTGCGCAAAAGTGCAAGTTTTCAGTGGTGAGGTTGTGTGCGCGTCCGTGCGCGCTTCTGCCTGAGGCCTCAAGTTCTGTGGCCACACCATCATGTCACGTGAATGCTATCATTTCAGCCCTGTAAGTCTGGGGTCAAGGAATGGATGAACAAGGAACTGCAAGCAGCATTCTGAAGCTTGATGAAAGAAATTGCAGATATCGCGATAGGTACTCCTTTACTGCCAGTTCAATGCAAGCTGTTAAACATGGCCCGCAAGGGAGGCATGCAAGGATGTGCCGTTTGAAGGTGATTCCATTAGACTTGGTTTCTTCATTACGCAGGCCATATAGCCAGTTTCGTTGAAAGATTGCCACTAGTTCTGCGAAGACAAAAAGTTTCTAGAGTTTTTCTGCTCACACGAAACTTGTTTCAATGATACAGTTCATCACCTGGACTACAGTTCCAACCCATGTCCGAAGCAAATCTGAGCTGGCTCTAAGTTCCCTTCAATCGCCCAAACTCCTCGCCAACGCCCACTCTGCCATCCACGTCAAGCACCTTGCCTCTATCCCATTCCCTCCCTTCTCCAAGTTTGGCCCACTTAACATCTCTCTCATCCTTGTTGCCGCCTCTTTCCCACAATTTGACCTCTTCGTCTGTGAAACCAGCTGCCTTCAACCGTTCTGCCTGAGTTTTCTTGAACTTTGCTCGTGCTTCTAAAGCCTCTAAGGCTTGGCCCCAGTCGTCTTCGTCCGAGGCATCGACAGTCACATCTGTGCTGGGGTCATATGATGCAGAAAAGCGCATGTCTGTAGCAGTGGCGTTCAAGAGAGCGTTGGCAGCACCTCGGCCACGGATGCGAACCTTTGGTGGAGGAGGTGGCGGAAGCGGTCCTACAATTTGTTCGAGAGGATCGGAGTCGCTATTTTGACGGAGGTCATCATCGCCAATGTCATTTTTGGACGACAACTTTGGCGATAGCGACTGAGGATGACCACCGTTCGCATTATCAATGCGTTTGGAGTTTTGCTTGATACGTGTCTTTACCGGTTGTTGCGATTTCCGTTGTGGACTTGCGCCAGGCTCGGACGCCGTAGATGGTGAGCGTCGCCGCTTTCGTTTGCGAGTCTTGCGATCACGCAGATCTTCTTCACTGCTTATGGACCGCGAATGTGATGGAGACCTCCTTGATTTGCGTCGATCTCTACTTTTTTCGAGATCATCATCTTTTGAGCGACCAGCTCTTTCTTTGTGTGTTCGGCGTGAAGATTTCCTATCCGAGTAGTCTTCACTATCTGAATGATTGTTGGAAGAACTTTTGCAATGACGTCTGCTACGATCCGTCGAACTTCGCCAGCGAGTTCTTTCGTATTCATCTTCCTCGCTAGTATATACTTCCCTTCGTTTTCGCCTCGCTCGTTTTGTGCTTCGTTCATAATTCGCATCGTTATCCTCAGAGTCGGTATAATCGTACGACTTTCGACCATTTCTAGCCGTGCTTCGAGTTTGAGATCTGTCTCTGCTCCTCATGTGGTCCTTGTGCATGTCGTATTCATGATATCTCTTCGACTCCCGAGGCGGACTGAGACGATTGTTATCCCAATCAGCGAAATCTTCTCTCCAACGCTTGACACGGTGGCCCTCCTTCTCTTCCCCATCATCACTCCGAGATCTAAGACTGGGCTTGCGTTCCCCGCCCCGCTCATGGGCCTCTTTCCTACTCAGCGCCTTTAGCCTCGCTCGGGCTTCTTCAGCCTCCTTTGCAAGGAGAGCCTTGTTGTGACTATGCGTCTCTTGCACCAGATTGCGCAGGAATCGTGTATTCGGCTTCAGAGCTTGTGTTGCGCTTTTCCTAGGCAGATAGGCCCGTAAGCCTTGTATCGCAGAGTTTCTGGATGCTTTTTGAGCCTCTTCTTGCAGAAGCTTGATAACCGCCTCATCTGTTAAGAGTTTATCAGCCATAATTAATCTCGCTCTGTGGAGATTTCAGCTTAAGGAGAGTGCTGATTCTTCATAAGTTCAAAAGGATACGTAAGAATGAACATTCACTTACTTAGGCCGAACAGCTTTTGGCACATGTAACATGGGGTCCAGTTTACGGTCATCTGTAAAATGGCGTCAGCGTGGGGGAAAATCTTTGCGCTATACTGTTTCAGGCTGTCTATTGACATTGTGTAAACAAGCGATTGTCGACTTTGCCATTGCACCCATCACGCGCAATCATGGATCCAATGTCAAATCTTTCGATTATACGGCTATATGAGAATATTGTTAGCTCAGGCGACACCAGAACAGACACTAAACGCTCTTCTGATGTATCGGCAGACAGCTCTAATAATGGTTTCATGACACCCAGCAGCCTCACGGTAGATTTGGTGCATTATAAGGTAGACGACCCTCTCGTTTCAACTTTTGAAATGTCTCCGTACTGATTTACCCCAGGAACTTTTTTCAAAATTAAGATTCTCGTATCTGGAACAGGTTACGAAGGAGAAGTTCCTCCGTGCAATCACATCCGACATCCCTCTCTTCGTAGAGCCGCAAGAGAACTCCCGGCTTGAACAGCAACTGGCGGAGGAGAAAATAGCACTGAAGAAGCAAAAGGAAGAAGTTGAGAGGTTGGTCACGGAGCTTGAGACACAAGGCAAGGAGCTTGCAAGGCGTGAGTATTTGGCATCACTGTCCCCAAAGTCAATCACGTTAAGCGAATAAGCAGGGTACGAAGCAGTCCAGCTTCAAAAAACACGGCTGTCAGAGCTTCCTACTAAGATATCCGAGCTGGAAAGCCAGATATCTGCACTCCAATCGTCACATCCCTCTCCAGTCAAGAATTCAAACCCGGAGCTCAATCTCTCCCTCCCACAGACACTCTCCCTCCTATCGGACCGCAAATCGGAAGCTTCGGATCTCGAAGCGCAGATTAAAGCGCTGCAAGCCCAGATTCCGCAAAAGCGAAGGGAGTTGGAAAATGCGGAAGATGAGCTGCATCCCTTGATGGGACAGAAGAAGACCGTCGTAGGACTCGCGAAGCAAGTAAGACAGAGAAGGGAAGAGGGCGGCATAGATGAGACGGAAGAACAAGGGCGATGGTATCGGGCTAGTGAGGCTGTCCTGGTAGAGATGCTGGGCGTGAGCAGCTGAAGTTTTTTTTTTCTGCATAAAGGGAAATCAAGGCAAGGCTGATGGCGTTATCTTGGGGATAGGGACCAGGATTGTGATACCATGTGATTTATTGGATCAAGAGAGAGATTATTCATGCTGAATGCAAGTGCGATGATTTTCGAATTTCAACCTTAACCATACTGTCCAGTTCCCTTTGGGTCAAAGCGGATTTTTGGAACAATAGTCGCTCGATGGAATATCTGCTTCGCAGTAACCTCTGCTCTCTGGAAACGAGAACAAAATGAATCTCGGCACGTTTGCAACCACCACTGTGGCATATGCTTGGAACAAATTTGCGAGGCGTAAGTGAATCGTTTGGCTGTATTGCAGAATATAGCAACCTTCTCACGAACCAGATCGAGCCACAAGAGATTTTCAAAAAGGCATGTATTGTGGCTTTCGTGATCAGTACCACAAAGATCAGGAGCGTCGCTTTCGACTAGAAGCTGTTCGCGAGATTAATATTGTTTGGGAACGACTCTCAATCTATCCAGTCACGAAACGAAGCCCAAACGCATAGATGGTTGGGTCTTGTCATGTTGGAGAAATACCGTGCCAGTTTTGCTCTTGAATAATAATGCACATGAATATTAAATCGTTCGCTATGTCGTTTTTCACAGATAGGACGTCAAATTGCAGTAATACCATTCCTTGTTATGTCTTTAGAAAAAGAGTCAGAATCGAAGCATTTGTATCTCGAACTGATAAGTTCAAATCAATACGGCATCTCGTAGTCATGATCTTAATTTCTCCCAAAATCACAGCCATGTGCGGCAACGACACGGTTTAGTTTTGAAGCGCCTGTAAGCCACTGGTAGGCAAACTTCCGACTACGTACCTCCTGTGCTCCAGATGCGCTTCTGGAATGAAAAACCAACAATGCACTTTGGCTACGCATCACCGGAACGCGATATCCTGACCCTGGCTCACATGTTTGCTGAGCATGATTGTGAGGATTTTCGCGATAAAAGTCCCTGCGTTGCAGAGTCTCACTCTATCCAGACGACAGGCAAGATGTAGACTACTGTACTCCAAAAGCGCCGGACTAGTCTGGCTCGACGCTGCTGTGCTACCTCCTCAGCACACTAGATCCAAGCGTCTACGGTAAGAATCTCCTCCGAATATTAGCCCGCCTTCGAGAACCTGGTATGGAATCCACACGAGCTACTGCAATTAGTCGACGGCATAGAATTGGCGACCCCATCTCGACACGAGGACGAAAGAGAGGCTTTTAGAGCTGAGCTCGACCGTGCACAGACAAGGTGGCGAGTCGCACAGCACGACGGCGGCACACGGCAAGGGCAATGCTCTGCAAGATATTCGATCAAAGGCTATGAATTTCGTGCACGCGCTCGGCAGGTCATCGCGGACCGCAAGCCTACCGACGACGTCGCTTTTGGACGTGACGGCAAAGCTGCAAGTGCGTGTGGCAGACCTCGTTCAGATCACGTCACAGATGTCCGGGTTCGTAGAGACCGGCGAGCTGATTGGTGTCAACTGTGATCGTTTTGAAGAATTTCGAACCTCGTTGGAGGAGAACATGCCAAACGTTCGATTGAGCGCGCGATCCAGTCTGCAGACAGCCGCGGACATGACTGTACATGACTGGAGGCTCGCTCAACATGTCGATATGCTGCAATTCGCAATTAAATTAATAGTAGTGGTTGGCGAGCTTGCGTCGGGTACGCGGTGGGATACTTTTTTGTAGACCCAAGGCAGTCAAAGAGATTCCGGCTGATTGGCCGACAGTGCATGTCATTCGTGCACAGCTGTATTATTCAGCGTGAAGATATAAAAGTTAATGATCTACATGCGGGGAAACCGTGTTTAAAAAGCCTTTTGTGATGCAGGAGGATAACGAGATCCTGACCATGCAAGTTGTGAATCTGTGCTTGAACTAAGTTCACGGATATATCGCCATGTATATATTGATAACCGTTTAATTCGTTGACGTGCTCATTTTCTATCTCCGCCTGACGGCAGTCTATGTAGAAGGGGGCCTTCTTGAACCTACACCAGGATTTGTCAAACGGGCAACGGAACTTCGCTTCTACAGGCGACTAATAGGTCTAAATAAGTGGATCTCGGGTTAACATTGTTCTTCAATAGCAATGCGGGGTATACCTACTGGGATTCCACAACACATGATCACGGATGTCGACGTCGAAACCAGGCGGGTACAATGCAAGTCCAGAAGGATGCGATTGCAACAAACACCACATCGGCAATTCCACGCGGGAGGAAAATACAGCTAGTATAAATTGACAAACATGTCCAAGATACGACCTTTCCCTTGGAGTCCACCAACCTTTGGACAAAGTCTACGTAACCGCAGTGTTGAAGTGTCCATATTTTTCTTGTGTTCTCCTCAGGCGCAATGAGATTAGAGTTATCCTTGACGCTCGTTGCCGCCATCCTGGGCTTTACTCTTGCAGGCGACACGTCCCTAACCGTCAATACCAGGACGGGTTCTTACACGGGCCTCCGTAACGCGGACTTCCCGGCAGTGCGAGAGTTTCGTAACATTCCATTCGCGCAGCCGCCGGTTGGAAAGCTTCGATTCAAGCCTCCGCAGCGTCTCCCCAATTCTTCCGACCATCACTACTCGTATCGCTTCCCTCCCTCGTGTCCCCAGTTCGTGTCGAGCTCGCCCAGCTTCTGGAACTTATTCGTGCCTGATCTGTTGGTCGAGAATGGCCAGCAGAATCACTCCAGCGGTCTACCCGCCCTGGCTTCTTCCGAGGACTGCCTGAGCCTGGCCGTCTGGACGCCGTACGGCGTGTCTCCAAATGCGAAGCTGCCGGTGGCCTTGTTCATGACGGGCGGAGGGTTCGTTACCGGCGGCGTTGATATTCCCACACAGCTCCCTCAGCAATGGGTTAATCGAACGGGTGCTCATATCGTGGTCACAATCAACTACCGCGTCAACATATTCGGATTCCCTAACGCCGCCGGTACCTCCAGCAACAACCTCGGCATCCTAGACCAACGCGCCGCTCTTGAATGGGTTGCCGAGAACATTGCTGCATTCGGTGGCGACCCTGAAGCCATCATGATCTGGGGCCAATCTGCGGGAGCCATATCCGTCGATTACCACAACTTCGCATTTTGGGATAAGCCAATCTCCCGGGCATCCTTTTCTCAGTCCGGCACAGCGCTTCTGGCGATGACTGCCCGTGATCATTCCAACTTCACCTTTGTCGCGAAGAGCCTAGGATGCGACTTTCCCAACGACCCAGCTGCTGAACTGGATTGCATGCAGCAGGTGCCCGCGCCGCAAATCGAGGAATTCGTTGGTACATATTCGTCAAGCCCGAGTATTAGCTTCGGTCCTGTCGTCGACGAAACGGTAGTCTTTTCGAACTACACAGCTCGTGCCACAGCTGGAAAGATTTCGAAGAACCCGGCGATCATCTCGAATGCGGCCAACGAGGGTTCGACCCTGTATCCATGGCCTGCTAACAATGCAACCGAAGGCCCCTACCAGCCCGGAGTTACGGCTCTCACTCTAGGATACTTTGTCTGTCCGACGGCAGAAACAAGTATCTACCGCGCCGCAGAGGGTCTGCTCACGTACCGTTACCAATTCGCGGGTTCGTTTCCTAACAGAAACCCGTATCCGTGGCTGGGAGCGTATCACTCGTCGGACCTGCCCATGATCTTCGGAACTTACGCTATCAACGACACAGCGGCAACTGAGGGCCCCACCGCGCTGGAGATGGCCACGTCGGAAAGTATGCAGGACTACATTTTCGCATTCCTGAAAGACCCCGTGGATGGCCCTAAGAAGATGGGATGGATGCCATACACATATGGCGGTCAGGTGTTGCGGTTTGGCGGAGATGGGAAGCCTGTGCAGAATGTAAGTGGAGTTTTGATTGACGGACCGTGTCTGGGCAATGGAACGTACAATCCATTCCCATGAACAGCTTTGAAGGACGTTTACGCACTAGACGTCTCTTCCATGAACGCGGCACACTTTATTCATGATGTGGAAACCGCCTTGCTCTGAGCATCAGTGGACCTTTGGAGAAGGGATGTACTCAGACACAGTCTAGAAAAAGAAATAAATGAGAACATGCTTGGTCCTATCGAATAGTTCCTGCGTGGCACAGCAACATTGGAGCCCGTTTTCATCACGAAAGGAGAATGCAGAATTTAGAACATCATTAATACCACTTCGTCAGAGACTGCGTGATTGTTGAGATGTATCATGTTAACGATGATTTTGCACATTTTTGGTCGGATTTTTTTTTTGGGAACGAAGTAAATGCATCAAGAGGACAGTTTTGCGTTTCAACACCGGCCCCCAACGGCTTCAATCAGCACGGCGAAGTCAGCGACAGCGCAATGAGGCCAAAGACAGTAGGAAAGACTACGAAGGGGACTGGTGAAATAGGCCGACAAATCGCATAACCTGCGCGCGACTAGGAGGCAGACAAGCCTTGTTGTCATTAGATTGGACTGTAATACCGACAGCCTTGAACACGAGGTGCCTCTGGAATGTTCTGCGTGAAGTCGAGGTTTTCAGCTCTTCAGTCCCAGACCGTCAGCAGACGAGCAAGTGGCGTGACGCGATGCAGATTCACAGATGAGCAAAGAGAGGCGGGATGCCTGATCTCACTTGCAGAGCCCCACGACTAAGCAGGGAGGCAGGAATGTTTGTCGTGCAGAATCGCCGTGCGATGCAGCCCTGAGCCTCTGAGCAGGTAGAAGACGTGTGGTAGGATTGCGTCGGAATTGGAAACTACGCTGCCCATGGTCAGTAGAGCAGATGGCGGCCTTTGCAGTTCAGCCCGTGCGGACAAGAGATGATGCCATCATTGAGGGCTGGGGCTGGAGGAAAGGTTGCAGAGGCAACGCCGAGCACAAGCTCACCAAGACGAGGGAAAGCTGAGCTTGGGGCCGTGTGGTTGACCGGTAGATTCTCCGCAAGCCTTGATGGCCCAGCGCTGGCGCTGGAAGTCATTCGTCCAAGAGGATGCTGGCATCTCTTGGCGCCTTCGTTGCTGAAATTGCTGCCGCTACAGTTCAACGCCGTTCTTTGGGGGCGGACACGAGACACAGGCACGACAGGTTTCGGGGGCGAGCTGCTGCAGCGCCAAAGGCGATCTGGAGCGTGGAAGGCTGCGGCTGTCCACGAGAAGCACATTTGCTCTTCGGCTGTGCGCACAACACAGCTGGCTGCGCTCCGTGCTAGTGCTTGACCGGTGCGTTTGGCGTGTTAGATGAGCCGTGGCAGGCTGGTGGGCTCGACTTGTCCGCCGTGCTCGGGAAACGATCTAGATGAGGCGCTTATGCACATGAAGAGGAACAGGCGAAGGGGGCGCCAATCAGCCAGGAATCAGCGCCACCGATGCTCTGGCCCGGCGGCTGTCGAAGAACGCTGCCCGTCCGGCATCGTGGGCGCAGGGAAGAAAAGAAGAGAAAAGAAGAGAAGAAGAGACGAAGAGGGAGTCGGTCGGCAACGGGCACAACCAAAATCATCCGGACCGAACTGCACCGTCGCCGTGTCGGCGCCACGGGCTGCAGTCTGGCCCCCGTTGATCATCAGCGCTCCTCGTAAAGGACCGATCGCCAGCAAACAACAGCGAGTTCATGGCGCTCTCGGGCTGCAGGACGTGTGCGGTGCTGCGCTATGCCCGTCAAATCGTGGGATGGAAAATGGACGGATCGTCATCCACCTTCTCGTCTGTCGTTCCTGATCCCGCTGCTCGCAGTGATGCTCCTCCCATCTCCACCCCATCTTCATCCCATCTTCATTGTCGAGATCCTGCACCGCCTCTCGAGCCATTCGTCTGATCCCCCAGCCCGTAGCCTTGTTCATCTCTGGCTGCCTCCTTTCGGCAAGTCCTTGCATTCCTGCATCGACTAATGAGCGTCTGCCGCGGAGCACAGCCCAATGCTTATCCGCTGTCTCATCAGACCTGACCTGTGGCTGCTCGTATTCTTTCCACCTTCCAGCGACGACTCCTCGATTGCGATCTCTATTTGAACAGCGCCGTTCCTGTCCTGCTTTCTAGTGCCCAGTGTCCGGCGGCTGGAGACGCTTCAATCCCCTCACAAACACTTCCTCGCTCCCTCTTCCCTTCACCAGCGGCGCATCTAGGGGGCCAGCCAGACCTTGCGCAGACTCCGCCAATGGCGCCTCTTACCTCATGGAACCTGCTTGCCTTTGCAGCAATTTCTGTCACCCGCATTCACGCTGCTCCGGCTCCCGAGCCAAAAGTCGTGGCATTCCCTCTGGAGAGGAAGTCTGTGCCACTTTCGGACGTGCTGTACACCCGGCGTCTGAACAAGCGAGCAGCCCAGGCGTATACAGCAACGCTGTACAATGCCCAAGACCACTCGCTGTACCTGATCAATGCTACCATTGGCACGCCTGGACAGCCTTTCCAACTCCAACTGGACACCGGAAGCAGCGACATCTGGGTGGGTTGCCATCATCTGTGCCCACCCAAAGAAAATCAGCTGACTTAGCACAGGCGCCCTGGGTCGACTCGAATATCTGCAAGGATACGCCGTCCCGCTGCTCAACGGGCTCGTTCAACGATGTTGATTCAAGCTCCTTTACCGAAGTTGCCCCGGACAAGTTCTACATCAGCTATGTTGATGGAACTCAGATCACCGGCGACTACGTCAACGAGACGTTCAGCGTTGCCGGCGTCACCATCACCGACATGACCATGGGCATCGCGAAGGACATGACCGGTGCCCCAGGCGGAGACGACGCGCCCTTTACCGGTCTGGTAGGAGTTGGCTTCGACACCAACGAGGCTATCTTTAGCCAGAGTAATGGCCAGATCATGTACCCCACCATCATGTCTCAGCTCGTGAACGAAGGCAAGATCGCCACGCGTGCCTTCAGCTTGTGGCTCAACGACATCAGTAAGTGCTTTGCGGCCCTGGTCACGTGTTCTTCGTATCTTTGTTGACGGCGTGTCCAGCTGCCTCTTCTGGAAGTATCCTCTTTGGTGGTGTCGACAGCGCAAAATACTCCGGCGATCTTGTCATGCTTCCCATCCAGACCGACCCTGTTTCTGGCATCAAGAGCAGTTACACCGTCACCTTGGCCGGTGTCACGGTCACCGGGGCCGGAGGCAAGACGGTCTATTCCGGTAAAAGCAGTGCGCCCTGCCTTCTGGACAGCGGAAACTCACGCGCCTTTGTCCCCGCGGACATCGGCTGGGACATCTTGGCCGGCGTCGGCGCTGTCAACGACACGGACATAGGCACTTTCATCGTGCCCTGCGACGTTGGCTCAACGCAAGGCTCCTTTACTTTCCAGTTCGGCAACTCAAACGGCCCAACGGTAAGCGTGCCCATCTCCGAATTCGTGCTTCCCCTCGAAGGCGTGACCTTCAAGAATGGCCAAAGCGCTTGCCAGTGGGCGCTGCTTCCGGACGATGGTAACGGCGCCACACTCGGAGACACCTTCCTGCGCTCCGCGTACGTCGTGTACGATCTCGACGGCATGGAGATTGGCATGGCTCAGACCAAGTTCAACGTTACGGACAGCAGCGTCAAGGAGATCACAGCAGCTGGCAGCATACCCGGGGCTTCTTCGACCGCCTCAGGAGATGCTACCGTGCCTACAAACACGCCCACGGCCACCGTCCCCATTGTAACTGGAACCACCGATATCGCGCTCAACAGCAACACCAACACGTTCGCTCTTGGTTCACCCACTGCGTCCGCCAGTTCCTCTTCCGGCTCCGCATCGGCTTCTAAGGGTGCGGCGCCAGGTTTAAGCCCTCCGTCAACTCCTTTCGTCGGCACCGTTGTGGCGGGAATTGCCGTGCTCTTTGCCATGCTCGGTGGCTCCATGTTCATTCTTGTTTGAGCAGATGCATGTATCATCTATTCTTATCGATGTCATCACGACTTTCTACACATCTTCCGAGCGGAGAAATTCTTGTCTTCATGTAATTATCTAGCAGGCATATGTCGTTTTAGACTGCAGGTGCATCGTTCTGGTCTAGACACTTGATCCCGTTGCCTTTACTCAGGCATGGATTGCTCACTTAGACATGAACTCAATACCAAAGTCAAAAGCAATTATTGACGACGTTTCAAACCAAGAAACTCTTTCCATCCCTGTCAGCCATCAGATGTTGAATCGTGACGTTCCGGCCTTTTTGCCTACTTTCCTTTGCGAGACTAGCACATCCTGTGTGCGGAGAAGTAGTTTATCCTAGGTAACTTGTTCAAGTGAGCTTAGCTTCGTACCCTAGTTACCACGGCGAATCACAATCGTAAGACGATTTTACGTACGCTTGCTGCTGTGAATTTCGTTTTCATTGAGATCAAGCGCAGTTATTTTTTAGCCCTCATGAGCTTAGGATAGGCTGCAGTACTATATTCGAGCCATGGCTTCAAAGGAATTTCTTGCTCGACCGAGAACACCCAAAAATCTCAACCTGCCACCAGGAAAGATGACAGTCGACGTATCCATCATAGACACGTGGGTTCATGCATGAGAAGACGTCAAATTTCAAGCTAAAATGTCATGCAATCAGTACATCTGTTATCGCCATCCCCATGTGCGTCATGACCCAACCGGAGATTGGGGGCTTTCAAACGTGCAAAATACCTAGCTTTTCTTTCCTGGTCAGCCATCGTATGACTGGGCGCAAAATCGTCTTCGATCTCGGTCTCCGAAGGAACTTTGAGAACAGTCCGCCGCGGCTCCTGGAACGAGTCAGACGGCTTGGTGCGTCCGCCAGTAGTGAGCGACATGTGGTCGAAATTCTTACGGAGCATGGGGTGTCGGCGAAGGAGATCGAAGCTGTGATTTGGAGTCATTATCATTGGGATCACACCGGCGACCCGAGTACCTTTCCTCCGGAGACGGCATTGATCGTTGGACCCGGTTTCAAGCAGCGATGGCAGAAGGGATATCCAACCGATCCCGAGGCCCTGCTCGACGAAACCGCGTGGAAGGGGAGGGAGCTTCGTGAGGTCTCTTTTGAACAGTCAAACGTCTTGATTGGCCGGTTCAGGGCTGTTGACTACTTTAGCGACGGTTCCTTCTATCTGCTCGACACCCCAGGACACTTGTTGGGTCATCTTTGCGGCCTGGCGCGCACGACGGAGGACACCTTTATCCTCATGGGAGGAGACGCGGCACATCACGGTGGCGAATTAAGGCCCACAGAGTATTTGCCATTACCTGCGACTGTGTCTATTGACGGATCGTGTCTAGGTGCCGTGCCACTCGTTTGTCCTGGAGAAATGGTACGGGATCATATCCATCCTGAGAAGAGCGCAACGCGCCCATTCTATCGTGCGTCCGACGGGGGCAATGAGGATCCTCAAACGGCAGAATGGACCGTTCAAGGTGTGATGGAGCTCGACGCTGACGACCGCGTCTTTGTCGTCATCGCGCACGACGCGAGTCTCGCAGACGTTTGCGAATTCTTTCCCAAGTCCGCAAACGCATGGAGAGAACAGGGTTGGAAAAGCAACGGTAGATGGAGGTTTATAAGAGATTTTCTGAAGGACTCAGACATCGAGCCTGCGGTGTCGAGAGCTTGAAAATATAATGAAATAAACGTGCCAGAGTTAATGAGGAAGTGGACAACGATAATGGGCGATGCTTTTTATTCCTGCCATCCAGAACACGTCGTAGCTTTTCTAGCTAAAAGACTTGCATGCCAAATTAGCGCTCAGAGGCACGTTCCATATCTCTTGATTTGCATCAACGAAATAGATCATTTTGGAGGAGATACTACAGCGCATCGTACAAGACAAATTGATTGGACGCTGATTATGCACCAAGACTGTTCCTTTTGTTGCGCGATGATGGATTATGCGAGTCATGGGAGAGATTCACCAGCCACATTTTTCAAGGGTCCAGACAAATTGTGGCGTTGGTGGCAACCACTACTTAATACTGCGCAGCGCAAACACAACACATACCTGCTCACACAACCTTGTCAAGATGGGTGGAGGCGATCTTAATCTGTAAGCGACATATTCCTATGCCAGTTTGGTGAACAAAGACTAACTTTGTCCCAGTAAAAAGTCTTGGGCTGTTAACATCCAGGTAAGACAAACTCCTGCTGAGATCATGTCATCTATTCTCGCTAACATTATCGCTACAGGCAAACCAACGGAAAGTATGGGAGGCCGAAAAGAAAGCGCTCGAAGAGCGGAAGCGCGCCGCAGAGGTACTGAAGGAGCGGGAGGAGGAGCGAGCCGTGGAAGAATTGCGTAGGTTGCAGATGGAGACTACGGGCAAGACTGGCCTGATCGATCCTAAAATCGCTTGGAGTAAGTTCAACTCATGAGAAGATACTATAACATTAATTCTGACCCTCTGTGAACAGTGTACCAAGATGCAAAGAACGGACTGGAACAGGAAGCAAGTGAAGCGTACTTGCTTGGCAAGCGTCGCGTTGATCAGATCATCCTGAAGCAGGACACACAACAGGAGGAGGCTAAAAAGAATACGGATCCACTTGCAAACGCATTGTCTGCACGCGACATCGCCTCGAAGGCTGCGCTGGATCCCCTACTGGCGATCGAGAAGCAGCGAACGGCCAGTTTGCAGGCAATGATGGCAGATCCGATCGCTCGTCGACGGCTGATGAAGGAGATGTCACGCAAGGACAAGGATGAAGAGAAGAGAGATCGTAAGCATAGAAAACACAGAGACGACAGTCGCGATCGGCATCATCGCAGCAAAAGAAGGCGATACAGCGACGAGAGTGACGACGATAGACATGATCGCAGACGGTACAGAGACGACAGTCCCAGAGATAGATATGAGAGACGACGATATCGCGACGAGAGTGACGACGAGAGAAGACACAGTAGACGTCACCGTGATGATAACGACGACGACGACGGAAGAGAACGGCGACGCCACCGTGACGGCACTGATGATGGAAGGAAAGATAGAAGACGCCCCGGGGATGACGATTATGAAGATGATCGACGTCGTGAACACAGATCACAACGTGAAGATCGACGACGAGACCGTTCGCGATCACGTTCGCCGTACCGCCCACGAGACCGGGCGCGCTCTTCGAACAACTCGCATTCGTCGCAACCTTCTTCATCGGAAAGCAAGCCGGACACGACAGCGGCCGAGGAGCGTGCGGCGAAACTGGCAGCCATGTCGGCGAATGCGAGTGAGCTCGAGGAGGCCCGCAACCGCCGTTTGGCTGAAATGGAGGCCCGCGACGCGGCAGACAAGGCCAAGGAGGACCGTAGGAGGGACAGGCATGGTGACCGGTTCGTGAGCGACCTAAGGGAACAGGCTGGCAGCAAAGGGTTGGGGGATCGGCTACAGAGGGCCAGCGGGGGACTGGCCAGACTTGAAGGTTCTTTTTGAAGAGTCTGGGCTGGCTGGACTGGCGCACGGGCATGATGAATATGGTAGAACGGACGAACGAAATACTGCTGGAAACGATATGCTCTCAGCCTCTGATATAAGGACATGGTCCTGTTGCGAAATAGCTAAATAAGATCCGCCCGGAAGAAGCTCCGCATACAGAAGCATAAACTTCCCCTTACAATCTTCTTGTCCGAAAATGATATCTGGCATTAGAAATACTTGCCGTGACACAATTTGCGACTATCCGTCACGACGTCACACATTTGCGTTCGTGATTCTGTGTTCTCTGAACGTAAGGCTCCTGTTGAATGAACCTCATGCAGTGATGCCTTACGACCGAAAGGACCGAAGTAAGGCTTCGGAGCCGGCCCTCGATGTGGTCCCCGTTTTCAGGATGAACAGAACATCTGAGGCCGACGGATTTTGCGGACGTTAGATGGACTTTATGCTTGAGAGGCACCGCGAACATGGGGGGTTGGAAGGATGGACTTAATGAAGGCAAATCAGCAGACGGGCTATAAAATGGAAGCACACCTCATCCGGCTGGGCTCAGCACGACGAACGTCGGTGGACTCTAGTGGATCAAAATTCCGTTTCTGGGCATGCAAAAGATGGTTGGAGACAAGACGGTGGTGCTCATCACCGGTTCGCGCCGAGCGCACCGTTTTGAGCGTCGCGCAGAGGCTGACGTGGAGCGTTGCAGGCGCCAACTCCGGCATTGGCTTCGAGACGGCGAAGCTGTTTGCGACGACGTCGGACGAGTTCTGCGTGATCCTCGCGTGCAGGACCAGGGCCAAGGGCGAAGAGGCTGTCTCGAGGATCCAGGCAGAGGGAGCAGCCAAGGGTGAGCTGTACGCCGTGCAGCTCGACGTGTCGGACGCGTCTTCCATCCGGCAGGCGGTCGAAAGAGTGTCGTCGGACGTGGGCAGGGTCGACTTCCTGATCAACAACGCGGGCATCAACGTCCAGATGCCGGACCTGGCGACGCAGATGCGCTGTCTCTTCGCGGTGAACACGGCAGGCCAAGCGGCCGTGACGGAGGCGTTTAAGCCGCTGGTCCAGAAGTCTGACAGGCCGCGCATCGTCTTCGTCTCCTCGTCCGTGGGCTCCATCGGGCTGCGCTGCGACCCGAGCAACAAGTCGTACCACGGCAGCGCGATCGCGTACCGGGTCAGCAAGGCGGGATTGAACATGCTCGCGGCGTGCTACGCCAAGGAGCTCGGCGAGCAGTTCGGATGCAAGGTGTGGGCGCTGGACCCAGGCCTGGTGGCGACGAACCTGACGGGCGACGCGGACCGTCTGCGGCAGAGAGGGGCTGCGGAGCCGGTAACGAGCGCAAGGACAATCATGGCGACGTGTCTGGGGGAGAGGGACGGAGAGGTAGGAAAGCTGATCCACAAGGACGGAGTTCATCCGTGGTGAGAGTGCGCTGTGCAGTCAGAGAGGATGATGGGCTGAATAGTTGCTGTTGTTTTTGTTGTTTATTGTAGATGTTGCAGGTGATGGCGTAGTCGCTGTCGCCGTCGCCGTCGCCATCGCCGCTGCTTTTGTCTTTCACGCCGCGAGCAAGGCTGCGGCTTGGTCTCAGCCTTGCCCCGCTTCGGGCCAAGGACGACTGGACTTGAGCCGGCACGTCAGAGCCTCTGGGCTGATGAGTAATGAAACTTTAGTGGGCTCGCCTTTGAGCTCGCAGCGCACAGCGGCTCCTCAGCAGTGGTCACAGGCTTGCTGCGCTCGTGCGCAGACTTTCCACCGACGAGCGAAGAATAAAAAAGAATGAAGCTGTTCAAACATTACATTTTTCCCCTAGGAAAAGGTCGCTGTGGCTCCCATCACCTAGAGCCTTGGTGCTCCCCGGCGGTCAGTCGTCACCATCCATCTCTCCCACAATCAGCGCATCTCGCTGTCGGCCACCAGTAAGCGAGCCGGTCAAGAGTTTCCCGTCAGAAACAATAATGGGGGCTGAACGCGGTCGGATGGCGCCAGCTCAAACAAGGCTAAGTCATGCGGGGACCATTGGGCAGCACCAGCGGCGCGATGCTGCTCGTCAAATTGTGCTGACGGCACGTCTGCGACTTCGTCGCCTGTTGGCTACCGAGTCGCACTCCTCTCTGTTTCGTACTGTCTGCAAAGCGGCTGTCACCGCGTCTCAGTTTGCCGCCGCTGTTGTCGCGTCCACCGGTCTTTTTATTGTTGGCATGCTCTCCGTGCTCGCCCGCCGCGTTCTCGCCTAGTCGTTTCAAGCCTTCCGCCCGATCGACCGCTCACGGTGCCTGGTTTGTGAAGCAGCAAGACAGACGTGGCTCTCTCTTGGATCCCTTAAGGGTTTTCATCTTTTATAAGGGCAAGAGTCGTTGTGTTGCTCTCGCACACGTGTCGGACTCGGCGCTCCCAAGAAAGAAGGGCTGTCGCATTGTTTTCTGGAGAGCTACACCCGCCCTCGCAGGCACTGTGACTAGCTCTTAGCTCAGAAAGCGACGCGCCTGAGCTCATACTTGGACGAGATGGCACACACAAGCGATGACTCGGACGTTGACAGCGACGAGATTACCATGGGCGGCTATACAGATCTTCCACCTGAACAACGCCCCGGATACAAACCTCCGAAGAATCCCAATGCACCCGCCTACACGACCACCCCCTACCCTCAGTGGGGACACAATGCCCCCTCGGCTACGTCGTATACAGCGGTGCCTACCCGCAATGCACCCACGGGCTCTGGAGGGGGGGTCAAGTTCTCCGAGCTCAAGGGCGGCTTCACGTACACGGCGAAGCCAGTGGTGAAGCCGAAGAAGCAACCGACCATGGCAGACATGCCCGTGCCTCCTCCACAATTCCCAGGCTATGGAGCACCGAGCACTGCCCAGATGCCTTTGCCTCCTCCTCCGCCCATGCCTGCTCCTCCAGGAGGCTTCGATGCAATTCCACCTCCACCCATGCCTGGGCCTCCGCCTAGAGGACGAGCGTTGTCGGATCTGCCTCCACCCCCGCCAATGCCCATGCCCATGCCGCCTTCAGGATCCAGAGGCTACGATGAACTACCTCCTCCCCCAGGCGCCTCGCAAATTCCCAAAGGAGCGGTGATCAAAGAGGTCACGCCTGGCGGCATGAAGCCGCCCTCCCCACCCAAAGGTGGATTACGTCCCCACAGCGCAAGCTTTGGCGGCGGCGGTGGGAGACCCAATCTTCGAGCGCCTTCCCCCAGCGGTCTTGGAAGCAGAATGAACAGGCTATCCGTTAGCGGAGATAGGCCTGACATACACAACGTCATGGCCGGTGGCCGACCGCCAGGCAGCCCCCTCCTCGAGGCTTACCGCGGTACCTATCAGCAGATGTCGCCTATGCCTTCTCCTCTCATGATGGGTAGACGGTATGAAGATGACGACATTGACGATCTGGAGCCCCTGGATCGACGCAGCTCACATCGAGACGGCGGCAGACGAGGCTCCTCACCAAAGAAAAAGCCCAAAAAGTCAATCACCATCTACAACGAGCAAGCCGAGGAGGAGGCCCGTGCCATCGCGCAAGAGCTGTCCAGTTCAAAGCCCAACTTGGAAGTGCTGATTGACATCCTACCGGTACTCTCGCACGACCAGATCTTGGAGCTGCGCACGGAGTACAAGCGCGTGTGCAAGATCCAGGGCCTGGGAATCAACATTGCCAAGCACATAAAACTCAAGCTCCACGGCAACTTCTGCAAGATCTGCTACGTGACCGCCCTGGGGCGGTGGGAGTCCGAGGGCTACTGGGCCAACTTCTGGTACCAGTCAAACTCCTCGCGGCGTGAGCTGCTTATCGAATCGTTGATGGGCAGATCCAACGCCGAGATCCGCCTCATCAAAGACGCGTTCAAGGATAAGCGATACAACGATGACTTGGTACGATGCATGGACAAGGAGCTAAAGGCGGATAAGTTCCGGATGGCCATCTTGAAAGCTCTGGATGAGCAGCGGCAGGAGGAAAACGAGCAGTGGTCTATCGAGTATCGTAACAGGGACGTGGATGATCTGTACAAAGCGTTGCATCGTAGGGAGGGTGGCGAATCGGCCATTCTGGACATCGTGATCACACGGAGCGACGCCCACCTCAAGGAGGTGCTGAAGACGTACGAGAGAAAGTACGGGAAAAACTTCGCCAAGGAGGCCCTGCGGAAGAGCGGCAACCTTGTGGTACGTTCCCACCCTTCGTCAATATCCTCCCTTTGCTAACCACGCAAGCAGGGTGAAGTCGTCGCGCACATCCTCAACGGCGTCATCAACCGGCCAGCGCGCGACGCCATGCTCCTGCACCACGCGCTCCAGGACCTAGCGCCCACAGAGTCTCCACGCAGCTCGCGCGCGGACGTGAACCCGCGCTCGTCCAGGTCGGACGTCAGGGACCCGCCTAGGAAGGACCGCTACGAGCTGCTCATCTCCCGTCTCGTGCGGCTGCACTGGGACCGAATGCACTTCATGCGCGTCAAGCTGGAGTACAGGGACAAGTACGGGCACTACGTCGAGGAAGACATCGAGGACTACGTGAGGGGGGAGGACTTCAAGGAGTTTTGTCTTGTCATGTGCGAAAGCGCAAAGTGATTTTTGTGGCACAAGTCGCGCAAAACATGCGGGTTACTTGCTGTCTTTTCTCAGTTTCGCGTTCAGTAGCAAAAATATATACCCCCATCTATGTTTCCGGTCTTAACGCCTTGCACTCTTCATCGACAGGGTTTTTGATGCAAACTTTAGACTTTTTTTCTCCTCTCAAGGGAGAAAGGAAATTTCAGGTTTCATATCAGGCACTTATCACTGCTCAAACTCAAATCTCAAATCTCGGCTCACCTTCGGCAACCCTATCTCTCTTCTTTTGAAATGAGAAACGCCGACTGGGTCGGCCAGGGCATGGCTCTTTTTGTTTGTTTTCCAGGATGGGGATAGAAGATTGAGATGCAATAACTAGCCGGGTTTCTGGACGCTCGCCTTCGGAAGGCGAACTAGCGGACCGTAGGTCTTTGTACGTATCGAGGCTTTGAAAGGGAGATGAAACTTGTCCTGTTGCAATTTTGTGACGACGCCGTGTGCAAGATGCGAAGATTACAGTCCGTCTACGTAAGCCAGGGCATGACCGTCCGCCCTTAAACCCCAGTCCCTTTGTAGGCTTCATCGGGCTGTGTTACAATATCTCCCCTCCTGTTTCCCGTACTGAGGTTCGACACATGTGACTTTTCGTTGATATACCAAGCAAATAAAAAAAAAGAGCAAAAAAAGAGAACATACAACAGCACCGTATTCCCATGTGGTCACCCACCATAGTACTAATGGGCCGATTTGAGGCTTGTCTAGGGGTGAGCGGACGGGGACCCGAATTTTCCTCAATCTATGATCGTATGTGACATGTTGAATTGATCTTTTGGTTTCAAATAGTTCTTCTCCACGAGATCCAGAAGTCGATCGTCAACCTTGGAGTTCGCTAACTGGCTTGGGACAGTGTTGAGGAGGCAAGGCTAGCACAGGAACGAACGAGTTGCCCTGGGATATCCTCGCTCCAATAAGCTGCGTCGCAGGTCGTTGCTCAATCCCCCCGAGCACTTTCCGATCATCGTCGTGAAGAAGTCCATGTTTTCGTCCGTCGCGCGAAAAGACTGCGAACGTGGAAACATTGACTTTGCAAAGTGGTGACGGGCTCGCCTGCTTTTGTCGGTCTAACCCTCGGAGCACGAACCTATCAAGCCCGCGCGAGGCTCGCCAACCGGGAGAATCCGAGGTGCTTTGAGGAGATTCATCAGCATCCCACTGAGAATCTACGATGCGTTCATCTTGTGCTTTCCCAGCCAAGCACAAATGAGCCCAAGCTGCTGTGTTCTCGAGAACGACGTGCAGCGCACGTCTTAATTCGAAATTAAGGTGTGCATTTCCTGCTCTCCACTGATGCCCTAAGACCAAGAGCCTGGGTTCTCACGCGGGCACAGTAGTCGGAGGGAACGATTGGCGCGTGGATTTTCATTAGAAACGACATCAACCTTTTGCTTCAGAGTGTGTAGGTCATAACTTATAGGCTCTCACGATGTGTACTTCAACCACAATTTACACCTCGACTACGGCCGGGCTTGCTACGAAGGCCGAATGAACACAACACGATCGTGATGGCTTACGATACGAGATGCAATTCCGACAAAAGACTTGACGATTCCCTAAACCCCCTCCGGTGCAATGTGCGGAGTGTACGTCAAGCCCTTTGCCCTACTGACTTTGTCTGTTGAAGCGAAATCAAGCATCACTCCCAGAACACGCCCCATCATCCTCGATGTAGCAGTTCGCGTCTTTTGGAACGCCTCAAGTAAATGAGAAACCGTTCTCCCCCAAAAGCATGTCAATGCGGAATCAATATGATCGATGCGATCGCAGTATGGCCGCTGATTAAGGGATTGTCAGATGTTAAATTGTGCCTCAAACGGCTCTATCATGTATTGACGTAGTAAGGAGGGGTTAGTCAACGTTCCCGCTACATGAGTTCAGAAGGACATTTGCTAGCTTCAAGATCTCCACTGGCATGGTCATATTTTGGACGGTCAACCTGAAGAGACCCAAGAGCTTTGCAATCACGCCCCGACTGGGGACGGGTCAAACCCGATGTCCGCGAACGTCGCTTGGGCAATTAGCCAGGAACGGATAAGAATGTACAGCTACCCATCGTCTCCTGTAGTGGGACCAGAGACACATCCCACATTCGTTTCTTTTGCTTACATAGGGCTTCTTCAGAAGTAGGCCATGGACCTCACGACTTCGTTCTTCCTCTTTGCTGTAGCCATTCTTTTCCAATTCGTTGCTGGAGAATCGACACACCCTTTGAAAAGGCGTCATCCTCTTCCTCCGCTTCCAAACAATGACCTCTGGTACACCGCACCAGCCAATCTCTCCGACTACGAACCCGGTGATGTGATAAAATGGCGTAATGCACCTGCCCCAATATCGATGGACAATGTATCTGGATGGAAGATGGCAGCTCTGTATCAAATCCAATACAGGACACAGAACAGTGTAGGCGATCCGCTCGCGAACGTGATGACAGTCATGATTCCTCGAAACGCCAATCCTAACGCTCTCTTTGCGTACGCGTACTTTTCCGATTCGGCCGCGCCACGCTGTAATCCTTCGGTAGCAATGGCCACTGGAGCCACGGCTGACGCGATTTTCACGAAGCAGCAGCTCGCTGCCATCGTGCCTGCTCTTAATGAAGGATGGATAGTGTCCGTGGCAGATGATGGTGGTCCAGAAGCATCATTCCCCGCAGGTCTGACAATGGCATACACTACTCTCGACAGCATACGCGCAATGAAGAAGACCAAACCGCTCACTGGATTGTCAGAGAACGCCACGGTGACGTTGAATGGGTATTCGGGAGGTGGAATAACAGCTGCATGGACCGGCGAGATTCATCCCTTGTACGCGCCCGAGCTTAAAATTGACGGAATAGCACTCGGAGGTCTCATTCCCGACTTTGTGGCCCTCTCAGGTTTGTGTAGTGACGAGCACGAGCCAATGCAGAACGTAACGTCTAACGAAGTTCGATTAGGATACCTAAAAAACGGCACGGGATACTTCGCGTGGGGTCCGGAGGTATATGCAGGTCTATCTCACGACTATCGCAACCTCTCGACATGGCTGGACGAAAACCTAGATCCCGCACAGGCCGACGCATTCTGGGCGACAGAAACGTACTGCATCGACCAGAACGCGAACGTGTATACGAACGTATCTACGTGCACGTTCTTCAAGCGCGGGTGCGACGCTTTGAACGATGAGCTGCCAAATCAGATTTTGGCGTCGGCAGGTTTGTCGGCTTGAAAGAAGCAATTGCGAAAGCCTAAGGAGCTAACACGTAATAGCGGTGATGGGCCAACGGTCGACACCCATCGCGCCGTGGTATCTGTATGAGGTATGTGCAGAGTGAAGGCTTGCGGTACGACCAAGGTTGATTGACGCAGAAGCTATCTAGACGCAGTCTGACCAGGTTTCGCCGGTTCAGTTGACTACGAATCTATACAACAAGTACTGCGCCAACGGCGCTAGTATTATGGTGAGCAAATGCAGGAACGACCACGGCTCATGCTCTTGCTAATTTACCGACGTGCGCAGTACGAGCTCAGCAACTACAGGCTGACACACAGCTTAGAGGCATTTTCCGGTAGGTCTTTTGTGCTGCTGAAGACATGCCGTCGCAAAGCCAAAAGGGGGAAATGCTAATGAAAAAGCGACAGGTTACCCAGGAGCGTTTCAGTGGATGAAGGAGCGTCACGCGGGGACTCCGCTTCCGTACAAAGGCTGCCAATTGACGGAATACTCGACTTATACGAGGCAATCGCTTTGGCCGCTGCCTATCTTTACGATCTACATGGAGACGTTTCTTGCTAGCATGGGCGTGATGCTGGGTCCTGCTACATGATCTGATCTTCCCCAATGGATGGGGCATAATCTGTAATAGTAATTTGTTGGTACTCCGTTAGTGCAAAGTGAGTTAAAGGGGGAAATTTAAAGGCTGCCAGCGAGGGTGAAGGAGTGAATAGTACGACTTTTCCATCGCTTCACAAGAACGAGACACTGTTCGTCACGCTCCCGCGAATTCACGAGGCCCCGAACCATCGCTCCATCCTGTAGCTTGATGATTCCGGTCTTCTTTGTAGGCATGTCTAATGCACGAGACTGTCCGTCCAGGCTAGTAGAAATCAAATGAGCGATGCTCTGTTGAGGACAAGTGTGCAATGAAGGGGGCGGCAAGGCGTCCAGGAAGTCGCGGATAGAGTATGGGAGAATGGCTCTTTCCGTGGTATGCTCGAGTCTTCGCCAGCTGCGCCTCCCTCTTGTTCTGGCACACGTACCCAGTTGTCGCCGGCCACGACAGCATCGGGACCGATGCCAGACAGAATTTTTCGCGCTCCACTTCGGTAGAAACGTCTCTGTTTCTGCTCTCCCGTCTCGATGGACACTGTCCTCACCACTTCATAGGTCATGATAGCAGTGAGCGAAGAACTGCTCAATACAACCGGTAGATTCGTCAGGTTCCAAAGCACCCCTACTGTGACATACTGTGACATCTGACTGAGATAATAGATGGACGTTCGTCCCCTCTCCACAACCTCACTGGGAGACGAGTCGTTTTTGTTGCGTAGCAGGCAAATTTCCACACAGCTGAACCCGATTGCCAGCATCTGAGGACCGAGTCCGCATTTGTGGAGTTATTCTGCAATTGACATCTGCTCTAAGTCAAAGGTTTTGCTCTCCGCAGCATCCGTGTTCGTCTCGCCCGATAAGGTCGCCTTCACTGCCGACCGGTTGTCAAAGTTGACAAAGCAAAACCTGAAATCGAGACCAGGAGGATTCAGAGATGCGTGCGGATGCGACGACGAGAAAGCGACTGTGGTCCATGTGACATATTGCATTTGCAAGGAAAATAGCCACAGATCTGAGGAAGGAATGACTTATGGACAAAGTGACCGGCCGGTCGGTGAGGAAGAAAGAGGCAGACGTACAAGAGTCATCCCGGTTTTCGAGCGGGAGGCCCATCAGGCTTAGCCGGGCCTGGTGTTCACCAAAGGCGAGCGGCTCGCTATGATAGGGCTTACATTGCATGGACACGGAGTTGGCAGCGGGACAACAGTTCCACACGCCTTAGCAATGACGATCTGGGCAACGCAATTGCGCGGTCACATGCGGGATGATAAGATCTGCGACGCACGCTGAATGCGCCGTGGGCGAATGGACGGAAGAGCCGGGCATTGACTGCTGGGAAGTTGGGCGTCAACGTGGGCAAGGCTCACTGGGTAGATCAATCATGTTGGAGGACTGCGGCTCGTTTCCTTCGCGTTGCGGCCGCGAAGGTGGTTTATCGGCGTTCAATTGGTCTCGGAATGTGTCGGCGTGGTCAATAAAGACAAGGAAACATAATTGTAAGCAGAATGCAGAGCGTTGGTACGACGAAGACGCGGCCAGTCCCACAGGCAAAACATAGAGGACGTATTCCTGAGGAAGAAAGTGAACGTAGAAGTGGAACAAAGGGTTCCCTTTGGAGGCAGTGGAGACGCTAGAGGTGAGGAATGCTTTGCTCTCCATTTTGACGCGTGACTAGAGTTGGGGGTAAAGGGGCAGTGATGGCGATGGTGATGGTGATGGTGTTGGCGGCTTGCGCTGGCACAGGCACAGGCACAGGCACCAGCAACAGGGCACGGGAGCTGGCCACAGGTAACCTCACGAACCAAGCACAGCATAAGCTTCAAGCACCAGCACACGCTCAGGCTCGGGCTCGGGCAAACGCTCAAGCGTCACAAACCGGCGCAGCCAGCAGAAGAAAAAGGTACAGAAGAAGCACTGGCCGGTCAGCCAGCGAGGCGATTCCGCTTCCTTGTCATTTCCTCACCAAGCTGCACGCAAAGTTCGTTTGGACACCTGCAACTCCTCGACATCTGATACAAACATACGTACCGGCTCACCCACTAAGAACTGTCCCATTTACACTCTCACACACACTCGACTCTGTTTTATTTCCACTTCTCCTTTCTGCCGCTCTCCCACCCGCCTCCGCCTCACCCTTCTCGTTGCTACCTCTGTGCTCCATCCTCTTGTTTACGAGTGCGGGTCATAATCCATGACGCTGCATCCGCCGCAACTACAACGCCGCCAGCTGCTGCCAACGCCAACATGGTCAAGGCGGATCCAAAGCGCAATTATTATGCAGACTTAGAGGTGTCACCCTCGGCCGACATCGACGAAATCAAGAGGCAGTTCCGCAAGTTAGGTGAGTGTGATGGCCACGTTGTTTCCCAGCCCACCGTAAACACAAGAAGGCCCACGCCTACAAGCGCTGCGATAGACTGACTCGGACATTCTTTAAACAGCTCGTCTCTACCATCCAGATCGCAACCCAGGAAAAGAAGTTGAATATGTCCCCAAGTTCCAGGCGATCCAAGCTGCCCACGAGATCCTGAGCGACCCAGACGCCCGAGCCAAATATGATGCCGACAGACGCAAACTGAATGCTTACGCCTCCACTAGGCCGAACGTGCCTCCACGTACAAGCGGCCAGACAAACTTCAACCGCAGCCCATATGAAGCCTTTTCAAACTTTCCGCCCCCGCGCATGCGTACCCAGCCCAAGCCAACCCGAGAACGGCCACAGAGCTTCACCACGCATTCATCCACACAACCACCGCCGCGACAAAGCGCCTTTCCCAACTTCGCATCGCCGCACAATCCGGGACCGAGAGTGCCTCCGAGGCAAACCTACGCCAAAGACGACGCCGACGCGCGAAGGTCGGCGTGGGAACACATAAAGCACACGAGCAGGCACCCGCAGGAGCAGACATGGTCCGACGATGATGGGCTGCGGAAAGCCCGCGCTGCTAGAGACGCCGCGACCGCTCACCAGAGCAAGCCCGGCCTCGGCAGAAGCAGCACGGTGAAGGGAGGGCAGCCACGCAAGACCGGCTTCGACCCCAATGCAAGGTTATCTGGAGACTGGGAACCCCAGGCACGGAGTACCTCGTCATACAAAGCAGGCTATCGAACAACACCGCCTAGGGCGCCTTCGCCTCCGCCGGCAACAGCACATGCCGAGAAGGAGAAGCTTAGAACCGAACCTCTGGGTTCATTCCGCACGAAGCTGAATCCCGACGAGGTCCCCTTTTCGGAGGGAGCGCGGGTTCGTACACCATATGCGTCCGAGGGTATAGGTGAGAAGACGTACTTCAACACTGGGAATCTGTCTCGCTCATCAAGCATGCGCGATGCACCTGAGCTGGCTAAGCAAGCGGCACGTAAAGGACCATCGCCACGTGCGAACGCTGCTCGTCATCGGAGCGCCAGCCCTGTCAGTCGAAATAATGTCAACAGCAAATCATCCCCGATGTCATCTTCAAGGCGAGCATCAGCAGCGCCAGGTTCACGAAGGGGCACGACGTTCAATCTTGATTACAGCAGCTCTTCAAGCAGCGAAGTCTCTGAGGATGACGAAGACCCAGATTCTGATGCCTCAGTTAAGCAAATGTCCGGCTCAGGGGCAGGCGCTACCTTCAAAGGTCGCAAGACGGCGCAGCCGAGCAGCTTCTGGCGAGAAAGGACAGATTCGCCGCTTAAGGGGCATCCTAACGGCCCATTTTCGAGAAACGGGGACCCCGGCTCGAAGACTTCAGGAATACCACCAATGTATGGCAACCTTTCTTTTCATCGCTTTTCTACATTCACAACTATCCATGAAGAAGAGGCAACGTCACCAAAAAGGGACGATACAGCTCGTCAAGCCAATATACCAATGTTCTTGTGTGGAAATTTTATTAGCAAAACCACCTCTTGTAACAGGCCCAAAGCCTTTTCTGATCCGGTCTTTGAGCCTTCGCTTCCACTACATTCAGAAAGGAAATGTGTACAAACGGAGACGGTGGAAGGCAAAATTTCAAATCTGAAACATACCTCTGCTGCCACAGCTTTTGAAAACTTCGCTTTTAGCCAAGTTTTTTGCCCCAAATTTCCTGAGTATACGCTTCCACCGCAACAGTTGGCTAACCATCGACCGTACAGATTCTCATTTTCCAACATCGAGAATGGAGGTAACGCGCAGGACCACAGACGTAGGAGCGCCGACAATATCTCCACCAACTTCAACGCAAGCGAATGGGAGGGCACCTTCAAAGGAAGCAATGCATTTGCTCCCCCTCCTCCACCGCCGCGCCCGACTTCTGGACGCGGCGCCACAACACGACGACGAGCATCACCAACTCGACGAGGGTCCTCAAAACCAGCCCAGGCTAGGCCCGGAGCTTCCAGTGACAATCCAATTGATTTAACGTCGACCCAGCCAGGCACGCAGGCTAACCCCATCGATTTGGAAGCTGATGCTATGCCTTTTCCGCCACCACGTTTCTCGATGCACTTTGGAGCTACGCAAGACAGCTCTGGCATACCGCCGAGAAGTGCAGGCTCGTCATCGCAAGGCGGCGTTTCCTTGGGGGAGCAGCAACAGTCTGGTACAGGGGGACCTGGAACGTTCAGGAGCGAGGATTGGCTTAGGAAGCCGACCTTCTTCTTCCAGCCCCCGACGGAAGCCCCGAGGCCACCTTCTCCTGGTAAAGCAAACACAACGACGGCGAAGAAGACCAAGGCGACGAGACCACGAAAGCAGTCGAAAGGCGAGAATCACCTTCGACCTCCAACGCATGAGTTGTCAAGCGATGTCGAAGGCGAGGAGTCTGAAGCGACTGGTGGCAAGACGAGTAGAGGAAGCGGTTCCCCTGACGGGGATGCCATGGAAATTGACTCTGATCTAGCAAGTGGGGCAGGCACGTCGACGAGTCCACGAACAGAGCGGGAGCCGCGCATTGTACCTGTTGCACCGCAACGGCCAGAGTGGCGCGAACCTGCTGGTGCTCAACCTGGCGTAAAGCCTGGCGTTATCCCCGGCATGAATACAAGCGCCGTGCCCTCCGCTGTTCCTAACGCAGCTGTGCCGGGCCAGGCACATCCTCCCCCACCCCCACCACCTCCCCAGCCGGCCATGAGCAACACAAAGCAGAAACGTGACTCTTCGCTCAACTTTGACTCCTTCCACCGAGCGGCACCTTTCGCACCGACGACAAGCGGCAACGGCCTATCCAGTCTGAAGACCGATCTCTCGGGCACTCTCCCATTCGAATCGCAGCCGTCCCCCGTTCATCCTGGAAAGCCTACTTTGCCTCGTCAGCTAGAACTGCCGAGAGTACCGAAAGCTCCAATGCCACCTTCCGGTTCGCGCATCTCTCAGACACAGTGGCGCGAATATATGTCGGCCATGGCCTTCTACATGGGAGCCTGGTACCAATTCGAGGACAAAATTCTCGCTCACTTCAACGCGCGGCATCGCAATGCCGCCAAGTTCGGGACAGGAATCCTGTTAACCGAAGGTGGAGTCGGCGGCGCGGCAGATGCCATGAGACTTCTGGAGGCTGGGGGAGAGGGCTCGGAGGAAGGCTACGCGAGTTACCTGCGCGGCATGGAAGAAGACATCAAAGTCAGCAAGCATTGGGATGTAGCAAAAGAGAAGCACCGATTTGCCATCGAGACGCTGCTGGACTTCAAGAAGAAGATCTATTTAGGCCAGGCTCAGATCATCGGCAATGCACAGTAAGGGAACGGTAGTGAGACGCAGTAGTCCCAGTGATTTTGTCCGGTTTGACAAGGAGAGCTTGGAAATGGTGGAAAAGGAGAAGGACATGTTTCTGCTTCGCACCGCCGACTATATGACATACTGTAACGCAGGTTTTCTTCTACGGTGTGGGCAATGTGCAAGGCTTTGGTAGTGTTTTCGTCTTTATACTTAGCACGGCGTCTTTCTGGTAATCATGGTTTGACAAGTCTGGGAATTGAGTCACGGACAGTGTAGGAGTTTGTTTGTTACGGGATATGGTAAATTTCACGGCCGAGCGAAGCAGCGCAACTCATAACATAGCATAGATAGAATCGCAGCTCACGTGCAACGTAGAGCTCGATGTTAACGATCGTCCAGACGGATAATTGAGTGTCAAGGATCTCGTTCCTATAGCACCAGACAGTATTAGTCTTACTTGCATGTAAATCTCGAAAAGGTAACCAAGCATGCAGGGCGGGTACGTGATCAGTAAAAAATTAGAGTGTTTGTTGCATTTTTGATCTTCATCGAAGAATCATCTGGGTTAAAAAATATCATCCTTACGGAAAGGTTGTGTGCAGGGAGGATTGTGAGATGTTGAACGTACCTCATGCTTAACATCAATAGTAGCAACCACTGCCCACTGTTATCCACTATTTGCAAGTAGTTTTACCAGCTTGATGGTCTGACCTTGTATGAAAAGGGCTGTCAATGGCTGTTATCGTACGCGTTGTAATGTTCTTTTTGTGTCATTTCTGAGCAGTTCTACGTGAAAAGGCATCTCTATACGCGTGCTAAGCCTGCAAGGTAGGCCTTCACGCACATAAGCTCGTCTCGCCGTAGCCAATCACATCCGCAAATAGGTATGCACTTAGTCGAACAGACCGAAGCCCATATCTTCGTCCTCAGACTCCTCCTTCTCCTCCTCCTTCTCTGGTTCGGCAGCCGCAGCAGGAGCATCACCGCTTGCAGCAGCCACTGGAGCGGCGGCCGCATAGGCCTCTGGGTTGGCGATTCGGTCCTTGAGCTCCTCGATGCCCTCCCAGGAGTAGTCTGTCTCGACGGCAACTGCAAGCACGTTCTTGTACGAGTTGACAATGGAGTGCATGACGGATGGCAGGGTTGGGTAGCCAACGGCAAGCGAGATGGTGGCGATAGTGTTGATGGCGGTGGAAAATGCCTTAAGGAGCTGTGACTCCTCAATGTCGAGAACGGAAGCATCAAATGTCTGTCCGTTGTCATAGATCTGGGCGACACCCATACCGTAAGTGAAGGGGGAGATGTTCAACATGTTCAGCAGGGTCGCCTCAGAAGCACCGACCTTGTTGCCGGCTTCGACAAGCTTCAGGTCCGTGGTAATTTCAATAGTACCACGGGCAATCTTGGTGGGGACACCAAGAGCCTGGAAGAAGGATGTCTTACCAGGTTCCATACCAGTGTTACCAGCTGGAACGTACACATCGGCAGGAGCGATGGCACCGGCACGAGCAGGAGCGGCGACACGGTTGGACAAGATCTTCTCACGAATGTCCTTCAGATCGTCATTCGTGAAGACGAAGCCGACGTTGCCCTTGACGAAGGGGAGAAGACGCTCAAGCTCGGGAAGGGAGCCGTCGTTGATGAATGTCTTGATCGCGCGGCGAACCATGGTGTTCTTTCCCATGAGAACGACACTGTTCGCGCAACAACAGTTAGCAGCTGCCTATGGAATCATGGGCCGTATCATTTCCTCCTGCTTCTGGTAGAACGTACCCCTTGCCACGCAGAGACATGCGGATCTCGTGCATCTGCTGGGAAGAGACATTGTCGACGGTGACAACGAAGATGGACTTGTACGTCTCAAGAAGGTTCTATACCGGTTTCCAGTCAGCACACAATGAGTACGCAAACGCAGTATACGTGCTGTTGCCGCAGATGATGCGCACCTTGAGCTTATCGAAGTAAGCTGCCTTAGTAGCTTTGGCGACCATTTTGGCTGTTCGTAGATGACTAGGCCCCTCGTGTGTTCGAATTGACAACCCGGGATTTTTAAGCGCTAGTCTGCTGGTTGTGGTGTGGTGTGTACTTGACCAGAAGAGATGAAGCTCGACGCTGCTCACGTCCTGGCGACTTTTCGGTGTGCGAAAATGGGCGGCGTTCAGTGCGTGCACGGGCCTCCCTCTGTCTTGAGCAAAGCCGCGCTGAAATGGACTCAGGCCGAGTATAGCGAACTCATTCAACACATCTTTTCTCTGGTCTGGGTAACCGTCCGATGTGAATGACGAATTGCTGCGTGATCACTCCACCTCCATTGATACATTATCCGCTGGGTGTGTCTCGGGAATAATTGAGGCAAAACACAATGCATCACCCATATCAATGCTTGGCTACATGCAGGCCCAGCACGGACGGCCCGCATTATCTGCTTGCTGCCAGCGGGCACAAGCTCTTCTCAGTAGGCCTGGAAGATGGAATCATAGTTAGTCGATGGCCCAAAACAGACGAAAATGATATCAAGGTAAGGAATTGCCCATCGGGATGTGCTTCATTGGCTCGCTCTTGGGTTCAGACTTGACAATGGATTTTGCACCAGATTTGGAAATCTGCACATTTCGTCATGTGAAGTTGTGTTGACAGGACAGCAGATAGAAACACCGGAAGCAACAGAAAGTGAGATGGCTGGTCCGCCGACAAAGAAGCGACGTCTCTCCGTCACAAATGACCGGGAAATTTTGCCAAATATCATCAAGCTCGCCGTCACCCATTCTCAGCAACACGTTGTGGTTGTTACAGGTGAAGACAAATGCATTCGTGTCTTTTATATTTCGCCTCAAGGGCAACTTTCGCAGCTCAGCATGCGAGCTATGCCAAAGCGGCCTTGCGCCCTGGCCTTCACGTCAGATGACTCCGAAATCTTTTGTGCGGACAAGTTTGGAGACGTCTATTCGCTCCCATTGCTTCTCGATCCTGACAAAGAGGCCGAATACATAGCAGCACAGCAAGCCGCGGCTCTGAAAGAAGCAAGTGAGTATGCTCCGGCTGCCACAGAGCTCACGGTGCATTCTGCGGCAAATCGCAGGGCACTGGAGAATCAGCTACAGCAGGCCAAGGAAAAGGCAAATCAAAAATTGAAGGAATGGTTGCCGTTCTCACATCAGTTGCTTTTGGGTCACGTGTCCCTGCTTACAGATATGCTGGTGACTACCATTCGGACTTCCGAGGAGGAGGAGAAGCCAAGGACGTACATACTAACGTCCGACAGGGACGAGCATATTCGTGTTTCAAGGGGACCACCGCAGGCATTTGTCATAGAAGGCTATTGTTTGGGCCACCACGAATTTGTGAACAAACTCTGTCTGGCCGAACCAGGGGTGCTAGTGTCGGGAGGAGGAGATCGCGAACTCATCGTGTGGGACTGGCTGCGGCAGAAGGCGGTAAACAGAATTGACATTCTCGACGCAGTCAAGAGAGCAAGGCTCCATGTCCGCACCGGATCTAACGATTCGGACACCTCTGAAAAGCAAGGAGAACAAGCCAGTCAGGTGGAAACAGGGTTGGAAGAAAAGGACAGCAAGCTTGCGGTCTCCGGGCTTTGGCTGTTCGCGGACGCATCACTCGAGACTGAGCCGCAACTCTTGATCACTTGTGAGGGTGTTCCGGCGGTGCTGTATATTCCGGTAGCTGCACTTCACAACGAAGATGCCCAAGGTGAGATCAGCTTTCTTCCTCTGGACGGGAATCCATTAGACGTCGTATCGACGGGAAACACGCTACTGGTCTCCACTGACAACATCCATTGCGCCGGCTCTACAACGGACATTGAAACCAGTGAGGTACGTACGCAAGCTCTCCGATGCCTATGTCGTCGTTGCTGGTTAACATGTGAAAACAGGCGTTCAGACCGCGCCTCCAAGCCTTCCAGGCCTTGGGCGAGGAACTGGGAGGAGCGGCTGTGTTTAAGCCAGACCAACACCTCAACAACAAGCTGGTGCAGTTGAACGAGCAGAGCACAGTGGGGTGGCACGAGAAGGCGCTGCAAACGCTGCTGTACAGCGTCGAGAACCTTCGTAAGCGAGCTGGCGTGGACGACTCAGGTACAGACTGAGCGAAGGTTGAGATGAGCACCTCGGACAACGAATTGACCGGGTAACGCTGGCATGCCCAAATGAAGCCTGGCCTCGGTCCGGGACATTTTGTATGAAGTATTGATAGACAGAAGTCAGCCAACGAGGCGTTTGTACTGAAGCGAGTCTCGACTGCGATGGGTTTGGTAAGCGGGCCCACCCATGCAGCCGAATGCAAGCCGTGGACGGCGCCTCGCCCTATGGGGGCCCCTCTGGTCTTGGGGGGTGTCGCCCCTGGAGCCGGGGGGTGCATTAGCGGCACTTGCGTGAGCGATGACGCTAGAATTCAAGCAGCAAAAAAAAAATCATCTGGCCCCGGTCGGTTGCGTCCAGATTCGCGATGCCGGCCTCATTATCAATCAACGTGATTAGACATCCCTTTGCTCACACACGTTCTCTCAAAACCTACTCGTGCGTTCTCCATGCGCTTGCAAACAGATCATTCCTCCCTCTGAACCTCCATAAGACACCTCACCAGCAGCCTCGAGCGTCTTGCTTCGCTCGACCTCCTTCTGGACGCTTCTTGTTGCCCGAATCTCCGTTGTCACGCCCGCTCTTAGAGCCCAATTCGAGTCCGTCCGTTTGCGACCCGCTGCGGGACACCACCAAAGACGAGCACAGCACGTAGCAGGACTTTGCAATCCCATCACTAGTGACCGCCGTGTTCAGACCCATCGCCAATAAGCGACGCTCGACGCTCTCAAACCGTTCACCGTCTTCCTAGTTTGTCCTCACAAGAACCGTCAAGGTGTTTTCCTCGGCCTTTTTTCGCGCGCGTTTCCTCCCGCTTCGCTCCTCGGTTTCTTTTCCCTTCGCTGCATCTGCCGCTGCTGCTTTTGACCATCACAGTACGGCGACGACCACTTCAGCAGCGGGCGGATTGTCGAGAGCCACGGCACATCTCCAAAACCGCGGCATGCATTCGAAAGTTGCCATCATCGGCTCCGGGCCAGCTGGCCACACAGCCGCCATATATGCTGCCAGAGCCGATTTGCAGCGTACGTTTTGATGATGGGCAAATTGCTGTTCGCAAGGGCAAGAAAGAGCTGACTGGCACTGTAGCAACCATGTACGAGGGCTTCCTGGCGCTTGGCATCGCTGCCGGCGGGCAATTGACCACCACAGACGACGTGGAGAACTACCCTGGCTTCAAGGAGATAAAGGGTCAGACGTTGATGGTACGTGACATGTTGTATTGTCACGACGTAGCAGGAAGCAAAACGAAAGCGAGAGCAGGCTAACTTTGCGTGACATGACAGGATCAAATGCGCGAGCAATCCGAAGCGTGTGGCACCAAAATCATAACTCAGACTGTGGCGAAGGTGGACTTTTCCTCCCGGCCCTTCAAACTATGGCTTCACCCAATGGGCGATGAGGAGACGATCGAAAACGAAGATGAACCTCACACTGCCGACGCAGTCATAATTGCCACGGGCGCAAAGGCTCGCCGTCTGAACCTGCCAGGCGAGGAGAAGTACTGGGGTAACGGTGTGAGCGCGTGTGCTGTTTGCGATGGCTCGCTGCCCATCTTCCGCCAAAAGCCTCTTGTAGTGATTGGAGGCGGTGACTCGGCCGTTGAAGAGGCAATCTACTTGACTAAAAAAGCGAGCAAAGTCACCGTGCTCGTGCGCAGGAACGTCCTGCGAGCGTCGAGGGCGAACGCGAAGAGGCTTGCATCAAACCCAAAGGTAGAGATCAAGTACGACACTGTTGCCACGGAGATTGTCGGTGAGGACAAGCCGAGGGGTCTGATGACGGGTCTGAAAATCAAGAATGTGAAGACGGGCGAGGAGGAGCTGATCGATGCCAACGGACTGTTCTATGCTGTCGGACACGACCCAGCCACGCAGCTGTTTAAGGGAAAGCTCAAGATGGACGAAGATGGTTATCTGATTACGGAGCCCGGGCGGGGTCTGACGAGCGTCGAGGGCGTGTTCGCAGCAGGTGATGTACAGGACAAGAAGTACAGACAGGCCATCACCAGCGCAGGTACGTACCTTTCAAACACGTTTCCCTCGTCAGCAGTCTCGTATTGACTAACCTACCTTGACAGGTTCGGGATGTATCGCCGCACTGGAAGCCGAGAAATGGCTCGCCGAGCAGGAGTCCGAAGAGACGTCTCACGAGCCCGAGGTCAAGAAGTCTCAGGCCAACAGCGTAGTGCCAGAGTACAAATCGAACCCTCTCCTATGACTATGGCGGCGGATCGCAACGCTCGAACCGAGAAAGAGGCTGCTCTTGCTGCTTGCGGCCACGTGGGCGATGAGGTCTGCACTGGATGTGCTACACCGTCGAAAAAATGCGCCCGAAGTAACGATGGGTAGGAAGAGGAAGAGGTCGCTTGGAAATGTGTTCTTTGAAAGATTTGTGCATAGACGGGTCTCCGAAGAGTGTTAGAGAAGACCCCCCTGGCCTTTACTTGGCCTGGACGTGAAGAGATAAAATGTTCTCGGTATACTTTTTGCATTGCGGAACCTGGAAATAGAGACGTCTTCAATCGCAGAAAACATGATCTATTGTTTGCACCTTTGCAATTCGCTTTGCCGATAACTTAGGGAATTGAAGAAACGGTGAAATTTCTCACTTGTGATATGGCCAGCTCTCTTCGCCTTCTCCTCCTTTTTCGGTATATCCTGAAGTCGAAAAGAAACCGACACTATCCCACCGCGCCACGCACCGACGCGCGTGTAAGTTGGCTGCGGCTGTTTGGTGTCTTACACCAGACGCGGTGGGTTTGTAACAAGATGTGAAACACCAATCGTCGAACATGGCGGAACGCGAAGTCTCCCTCTCCCTTTCTGAGATAAAATCCCGCCGAGACGAATCCGGAACATGAATGCTCCGAAACAAGCAGGTTTGTGGCTGCCCAGCAATATAGAGTCGGACACTTGTACCTGTTTTTTTCTTCCCTCTTTTCTTGGCTTGTCTTCTCTCTCTCTCTCTCTTTCTCTCATTGTCGTCGAGTATTAAGCGCGAGTAAGGTGCTACTAATCGCCCTCTCACCGTTGACATCCCAGTTCTTGGGAAGAGCTCTCTTTGCAGTCTACCTCAAATTGGCTTGCCAAGGACGTTTTCGAACAAAGGGGCTTCTTTGCACGGTTTAAAATTAAATTTCCACATTACGAATGATGATAACCACGAAGCGGGACGAGGTGTTCATCACAGGCGATGGCCGCGAAGTGTTCGTGTGTGACAAGGTACGCTTCCTATTGCTTTGGACAAGAGGAACTCTACTTTCCAAGCATGCGCTGACCGAGTATTCATCACAGGCCTGCCGCACGGCAGAGATCATAAAGTGGAGCATCTTCCTCGGGCTCATGGGTATCATCTTCATCTACTTCACAGTCGGGTACTGGCACGCGCGGCGGCGCATACGCAAGGGCCTGCAGCCGTTGAGATATCACAGAGTATGCAATCCCTACTTCTCCACGTTCGTCCGCGCCAGCTGACAGGTCTTCCTTGCAGTGGCTTGCTCCAAAGCCCTTCCGCCAGCAAAACAACGCTGCGTACTACAATCCGCAGAACGGAACGTACGGAATGTACCCGTACCCGGAGCCTCCACCGGTGTACAATCCTAACGGTATGCCGCCAATGTACGCTCCACCTCTGGGAGGATCGAAGGTAGCGCCGCAGCAGAATGGTGTCGTACCAGCTGCTGCACCGCAGACAACGCCGCAGCAGCCCCCACCTGCATTGTGAGCTGCAAGAGACGTTTCCTTTTTATTATGTGTTATGATTGCCACTCTTTGTAGTCCAGCGCCCAGTACGCGTGATTGTCGCATACCAAGTCTTTGCTGGAAGAGAGGAGGTCCTGTACGATAGGTCGCTGAGAACAATTGATGGTCCCTTCGAAGAGATAGACACAAGAAATGAATACCAGCCACGGAATTTTTGACCAGATCAGTCCATCTCCATTATGTCTGGGTCGTAACCAGTGTTCGCGTAACCGTTCACGGCTGCCTTTTGCGCGAAGCTCTCCAGCGGCGTGGCCGGCACCTGAATTGCGCCTTCGCTGCTGTTTCCTGTCGATCCAAAGGCATGACTCCTTACATGCTCCCCATCAGGCCCACTAGATGGCTTCAAAGGCGGCATAGCCTCTGTGGGTACGGGCATATCCGGCACGCGCAACGCCTGCCTATCTCTCATGCGCTGCCTGCTCTCCAAAATAGCTTTTCTGACGCTGTCATTTTCTTCCGGAATCGTCAGAGACGTCGGCACAGTGTACAGCACCATTTGCATGTTCTTGGCGGCTTCGTGGGCTTCGTCGCCGACGAGCACGACTTTGGGTAGCTTGTTGAGGTGCTTCTCAATGTCCGGAATGAAGATGGGCTTTGATTCGGTGTCGGATTCGGTGTCGGAAGCCAGCTCGGCGTCCAAGTCGTAGATGTACACCTTGTGCTTCGTGTCATCTAGTGCCATCTGATCGTTGTCGAGGGTGCCATTGGGGACTGAGGTGGTGGGCTTTAACGACGGCGAGACGGGAATGTAGAGCTTCCCGCTCGCATTATCTGTAGAGAGTTAGAACACCGTACAATTCGGCAATCGCAATGCTATTATCCGTACCTATATTCAACAGATCGAATCGTTTGGCGAGCCGCTGCTGATCTGTGAGGTCGTCGCTCGGCTTCCTCTTGCGGGAAATGGTGGCGGGCTCAGACGCCATCATGCAGGTTTCAGTTAGGGACATTTGAACAGGTCGCCAATGGGATGGGGATCTCAATTATGCATGAGACAATCAGTAAAGAGATACGGGCTCCGCCGAGAACAGCGACCTTGGAGCCTGTGGTTCTCTTATGAAGCAGAGCGTCGGGCGGTCTCAAATGAGAAAAGCAAGGCTGAGGTGGAGATGCCCGCAGCATCGCGAAGCCCGCCATCGTTTCAATTCTGGAATTTTCGACCCGATTCGTCGACTCTCGCGACTTATCATGGCGAGACCGACGACAACAGTCAACGCCCTAGATCTGCGGCCGTTTGAAAACAACGTCAGGACAAGCAAGGCCCATGACTGTCTTCGACGTGTTCTGCTCACATACGTTCGGTGGTCAGTTTCTCTGGCCTCTTTGCCTCTCGTGATGCTCCAATGCCTCAACCAGGTCAACCAGCCGCACACTTGGTCTCCGTTCATCTGATCGACACATTCGTAGAACACGAACGTAAAGCTTACTTGAGATAATTGAAAGCCTTACTCCTGCCGATGAGTGTAAAAATGTAAAGAGCTTATGGCCATCTTCTCCTATGGTACGCAATTCTCGACGGCCAAGTGCGAACATGTCGACGGTTTTCATAGTCCAACCAGAACACAGCCTTCCTGATTGATTTCTACTGGAATTCAGCACATGCATGGGATCTTTGACAGCCCAAACCAGGACGTTTTCATGCTTATGTGGCATGGAAGACGTGCTAGCATGCTGAATTCCACGAAATTTGTCTTCATCATGTTGGACAAAGGGGTCATTATCCTAATGGATCACGAACTTATGATTCACAAGAGCATAAATCTCAGCTTCTATTGCTGTGATATCATTATGTAACCCATCAGCATCACACCGTGACCCACACTTGGTGATCTAGGCAGCAGACCTTTCGGTGCCAAGGTCTGTCTGCTCCCCTGAGAGGAATGTCCGTTCTACAAAAAGAATACAGTACCTCTAGTCGTCTTGCGAATAAGTACAAGTAGCATGATAGTGGCAATAAGCCATGCATAAAGCATCGAAATTCACACCCATCCACCAGCAGACGTCACTGTTCCGTTTTCTGGATCTGCCAACGGAGAATCAGCTAAAGATTATTCGAGAAACAGATGCATACTGTACATCCGTCTTGCGAGTCCGTTACAACTGGCAAAAAGAATGCACATCCAATAACAAAGGTTCAAAGACACAAAGCTCCCTTCAGTGGACAATCACAAGCGACAATCCCATTGCGTGTACTAGCAAGCATATTCGGGCCTTGTACCAGGCCGCGGATCGGGAATGCAGAATACTGGAATTTTCAAGCACAGGAGAACTCTTTTGTGTTTACGAAGAGCGTCTCGAAGGTCTCGTAACTGAAATCAACACCATTCTTGCACGCGCACGTATCGGCAATCTTTGGCTCACAACGGATCCGAACACCTGCTATGATCATGGATGTAGCTCCCGCAACTTCACAAGTTCCTGCGCATGATCACTGTGGCGACGCACGTAGAAGTCGTGTGCCGCTTTGAGACGAAATCGCACGCAGCGGACTGGTGCATCAGCCTTAGGCAAATCCTTCAAAGAAGAGCTGCAAGGAGAGACCATCGGCTTCGATTTCGGAAGTTCATGGTGCTGATTCCGAGTGAAGGCGCAAGAGCTCCAAGCTATGATTTTGATGGCAACGTGCTTCGTGTTGTACTTGAACATGAGCAGTTGGTTTCTTCTTCCTATTTAGCAGGGATCCGTTGCGGGCTACCTAGAGACACTCTCAAAGGATGCGTACTTGGCGTTTGCAGTTTAGAAAGATGAAGGAGGCATTTGGAGAAGCATGTTGAACGTTACAGATTGGGAATACAGTCTCTTCAGAGAGCATGCGAGGTACGTGTTGCTCACTCTGCCCCAAGCTTCGCATGATGCTACCACCCCACTAATTGATGTAACATGGTTTAAGCAGATATTGCAGATGATTGCTCTTCAAACACGTCTTCGGGCTGATTCTGCAAGCAATGCCGTTCCCCTGCGGCAAAAGATGTCGATTGTAGGTTCTCTTTGATGTAATCATTGCTGTGATACACGTCGTCATAAAGCATGGAAGTTACGTAAAATACCGCTATAGAACGTTTCTGTTGTGCTGCAAAACTCGAAGCCTTGTGAAAGTAGGTTGTCAATCGAGTGTATTTACTTCTTAACCAACTTTGTCCTGAATGAAATAGGGTCGCTTACGCAACACTCTGGTCCATTTATCCTACCTTCCGCCCTACCTGCACCAGATTTTCATGATGCACCAGTTGCATTTCGAGACTGAAGTCGTCTGAAATACTACAGCTGAAAGAATTGTACAACTATTCTTGGCAAACAACGTGCACTTGGTCTAATCGTGACGTCGATGGAATCTTCAGCCTCACAAGGTCTGGCTGCACGCTTTTGAGAAGCTGTTCGATGACAACACAAACATTTGTGATGATTGGCAGCTGTGACAAGCGTGTAAATTTTTTGTTTTCACTACTACTTGCATTGACCGCACATGGAAGAATAATGCAATTATGTCGAATAATGTGACATTCCTGTTGCCCCATTTCTCCGCAGATTGGTCATTATCGAATACTTGGAGTCTACATCGGTCCTGGGTTTCGTACCCGTATGTCGTATGCGCTATTCGCCTCATTCATCCATTCGAGCGTCACACATGTGTCGTTCCCAGCGCTTTCGCAGTCTTACCTCCTTTGTCTCTTTGTCGTTAAAAAGCAGCCTTCCTGGAGCGCGTCCCCTATTCCTCGTCACCGATCTGGAGCAGTGTGCATTAGCATCGCGTTCAAGGGACTTTGAATGTCAGAAGCATAACGCACCTTTGGTGCCAGATAGAAGCGCAGGTAACTGCTGTTGGCAAGGTCGTACTCAACCAGCAATGGCACCTCGTTGGACAAACAGAGTTTGACCTGCTTCGAGAGGCCGGTAGCTTTGCAGAAATTAGACAGATATTTGAGCGAGAAAGTCAAAGCAACAGGCTCCGTGAGGTGAATCTCGACGTTCTCTTCTGGCTTCTCCAGATCCGAGTGCGAGCGCAGCGTGATGGAGCCGTTGCCAATGTCACCTTGCGAGGAGAACTTGACACCTTCCTTCGTGCATTCTATGGCGACTGTCGATCTTGATTAGCATTTACAACTGGCCGTGTTGCGCGGATAAAATTCCCTACCAGATTCAGAAATGGCGCTCAAATCTCTTGTTATCCGTTGAAACTCTGTGGACGGCATCTTGATGGTAGCGCTGTATTCAGTCTCCGGGATTCCCAAGTGCTCTTGGTCGATGTCCATGAGTTTGATGTCGTACTCGCTTATCCGATCTGCGGACGGGCTCTCAAAGATGAGGTTGACCACGTCAGGGCTGTCTTCAGCCTTGAGCGTGAGCACATCTGTGCTTTGGGCGGCGCGTAGGACTTTCGTCAGCGAGTTGAGGTTGATTCCAAGAGCGACGTTGCGGTCGCAGCGATAAGGCTCGAACTGCTCCGATCGTAACATCATGGACACAAGTGCGACGTGCGAGTTGTCCATGGCCTGCAGAGCGATGCCGGAGTCATTGCAGTCGAAGTTGCAGTCCTGGACGAGGTCCTTGATCGCATCGACGGTCTAGATATGTCAGTTTATGTTGTCTGAGTGGAACCTCTGATCTCGTGCCTTCTTGAGGGTGTCCGCTTGAGTAAGGCGTGCTTCCAACACTGCCCGAAATTTAGCTCAAAATTGTAATTGCTGTGACAGCTGCCGCGTTTAAGCTTACTCTTGGATGGATTTCAAGACGCTCGATGAATGTCGCGAGAAGGACGTAGCAGAGTCTGCGGAGAAGTTGAGGGATTTCTTTGACGTGCGGGAGGACCGAAATGTGCGTGGTTGAGAGTGTATATATGGTGGAGCGTTGGACGCGACTGACGTGTGAGCGTGGGACGCGACTGTGGGGACTTGTCCAGGTGCGGCGCGCCGGCGCCACAGAGTTCAATACTTTGGGCACAGCCACTTTGTCCATCATTCCAGTGCTTCTTATGCCCAAAACGCGCAATCGCAAACTTTTATTACACGTTCTGGCTCCAGGATGGCATTCTGAACGCATCGTTATATTGAGACTCATATTCTTCATCGGCCGCACTGAACCGTCTGTTAATGCCTCGGATCACAACTAGAATAACATTCTTCGAATCTCTATTTACGCAGAACCTAAAAGGTAGACGGTTGCTCAATGAAAGGATCAGTGCAACATTTGCTGCATCACGTTCAATCTATAGCTTTCTCTCCTTTCCATGAGCTCAGAATGTCGCCCACTATCGACAATTCGCCCGCCTTCAACAAGTAGGATTGAATCAGCTTCTTGGACAGTCCGCAATCGATGTGCAATGGCAATAATTGTTGTACATCGGGCCACTTTCTTCAAAGCCTGATGGAACTCTGCCTCGCTTTCTGCATCCAGTGCGCTGGTGCTCTCGTCGAGAAGTAGGAGGCATGGACGACGTATCAGAGCGCGGGCAATTGCGATTCGCTGTTTCTGACCACCCGACAAACGAGATGCGCTTGGGCCACACTGGGTTTCGTAGCCATCTGGGAGATTTTTAATAACTTCGTGGATATTAGCTAGATGACATGCTTCTTCAATCTCGGCATCGGTCGCCTGGCGATAGGGAGGAGCGCCCAAGCCAACGTTAAAGCGGATACTGCCATCGAATAGCGAAGGTTCTTGGGGCACGATGGCGATCGTATCGCGGAAAGATGGTGAAAGAGTGCTGATATCTCGGTCGTCAATGTATATCGCACCATGTGTTGGTCTGTATAGACGCTGCACCAACTTCAAAATCGTCGACTTCCCTGATCCTGAAGGCCCAACTAGACCAAAGAATTGATTTGGAGCGATAGTAAACGACACTTTGTCCAGAACAGTAGTGTGCGGAGAGTTGGGATATGCAAATGAAACGTCCACGAACGCAACCTTAGAGCCCCCACGAGGATGAGTTTGGAATGAAGCAGTTCTTAGGTCCCCTTTCATGGCCTCATCATCGTCGAAGAAATTTAAGGCGCCCGGAGGCTTCTTCTCAATCTGAGACTTGGAACCAATATTTATTGTATCCATAACACGTGTAAGGGCCAGACGAGCTCGAGAGAACTCGGGTGCGAGGGCAAACATACCACTCCAAAGCTGGGCGCTTATCAACATTGCCACAAGCACAACGAGGAAATCTTTCTGCGAGTACTGTCCCTTCATGATAAGCTGAGATCCCCACCAATACGCCAAGGCATTGACAAAAATGCCCGTCGTATAGGAGATCGCGAGCCACACGTTTGTAGTTGCCGACGCGCGAACAACTTGCCTTCGGGGTGACTCCAGTAAAGACTTGAAAGATTCCATATATTCACGCTCGAGTGATAGCACGGCCACGGTTTTTATGGACTGGATTGCTTCTGTTGCGAGCGAAGTCGCTGTCGTGAAGGCGTTCTGGTGACGCTCTTCGTAACGAGCCAACATGCGAAGTTGCATGAAGCCGGTTCCGAGGAGAATTGGCAGAGTGACCAGGCAAACAATTGCGATCTTCCAGGCGAAAATGAAAGACACAATGATTGCAACAACGACGTTGACGCAAATAGCAAAGACTGTGCCAAAAGTTGAACCCCCAAAGTTGCTAACTGCCGTGCTGTCTCTTGTAATAATGGAGAGGAGACTGGTCGGGGTTCGTCCATTGTCTGTGTACCAGTTGACTGACTGCTCAAGCAAGGAACCAAAGGACAATGCGCGAAGATTGTATAGTAACTTTTCGGCAATGACGCCGAATGTCCACCACATTAAGAAGTTCGCTATAAACTCGACACTTGCGAGCAAGAAATACATCCCTGCGAAAAACCGACCTCCTTCAAGAATGCCTTCGACCGTATTTTGGCAAGGGTTAAGCCTACCAACGGTAAAGCCGAATATGATGCCCGCGCCCGAAAAGGTGCATCCTACGATAATTGCAGAGGAAATTGCCAGGGCAAGGAGAGCGAGCTGAGGCCGAAGAAGCCAAGCAAGACCCTTAATAACAGAACTGAACCTTGTGACCGAGTCTGAATCTTCTATCTCTGAAGTTCTCGGGATCTCGTTCTCTCCAGACGTTGTATTCATCTTTTCATGTGTACCCCTTCTGTCAGATTCCTGCATGAGGGACTTTTCATCAACCGGTGATTCATCCTTTGCTGGTGAAAGCCCAGTTGAATCATCAGTGAGGGATGCACAGTCAGTTGCGTCAGATTTTCCCATATCTTGAAGTCGAACCATGTGCGCGAATTCTCCATCCGAATCGCTCATAAGGCCGCTGTATGTGCCTTGTTGTACAACCTGTCCAGCTTTCATGACAAGGATGTGATCAGCGTTTCGAATTGTGGACAGACGATGCGCAATCGAGATGACCGTGTTTCCTCCTGCAGCAACTCGCTCAACTGCAGCCTGTATTTTTCTCTCGCTGGCAGAGTCTAGCGCCGAAGTTGCCTCGTCAAGTACAAGGATCTCCGGTTCGCGAATCAGAGCTCGTGCAAGCGCAATGCGTTGTCTCTGTCCACCACTTAAACGAGAACCACAAATAGAAGCAGGCGTGCCAAACCCTTCATTTAATTGCTCAATGAAAGTTAATGCATCCGCTACATCTGCGGCTCTCTGAACCAGTTCGGCGATCTTGGAGAACTCTGGACCAAGCGTTTTTGCGAACGACAAAGCATCTTTGCCTTTGGCAGCAATTCTTGCGAGATGGCTTTCCTGCAGAAAAGGCATCAGTCGTTTGAATTCTGGTCTAGGTGAATTGCACAATCCAAGAGCGATGTTCTCAAAAATGGAGCGATCAAAGAGCGTGGGCTCTTGCTGAACGAAGCCAATGAAACTCCTAAGTGACCTGACATTCAAGTCGCGTAGATCATGGCCATCGAGCTGAACTTTACCCCTCGTTGGGTCATAAAGTCGGACAATCAAAGATGCAACCGTTGATTTTCCACTACCAGACAGACCGACGATAGCGGTGTGCTTGCCAGCGGCGAACTCAATATTCAAATTGCTTAGGACCAATTGTCCTGGCCTTGAGTTGTATTCGAATGCTACGTCTTGAAAACGTAGTGTTTTCGCTTTACTCGGAGTGAGAATTTCGCCTTTCTCAGAAGTACCATCTATCGCAGAAGACGCAGTGATGTCTTTCTTAAGTTCTTTGTAAGCAGCAGTCGCGGCACTGAGGAATGGGAGAGATGGAGCTATACTGCCTAGCATGACACATGCGTCGACGAGGAGATAGACAATGGCATAAATCTCGCCAACCGTTGTACCATTGCCGCTGCTCTTGAAAGAATCAACAATCAGAAAGCTTCCTTGCCAAAAAGCTAAAGCGTTACCGGAGTACGCAATAAAATACAGTAAACCTGTTTGAATCGCAGCAATTGCTGACTTTGTGATTCCGTGCTTGCACGCAGCAGTTATGTGTTCCGTAAATTTTGCTTCAAGTCGTGGAGCAGCGCCAAAAGCCTGTACTACTTCAATATGCGAGAGCGCCTCGGAGGCGACCGAAGACGCCAATTTAACGTCTGCAGCTTGTTGAGAAACATATTTCCTCATACGTCGTCCAACGAAGGCTCCCGAGAGAAGAAAAGCAGGTACCATCGATATCAGAATACCAGCTAGGCGAGGCTGCTTGGAAAAGGCAATGATGAATACAGTCACAAAGAAACTTATGGTGGTAATAATATTGCCGACTTTTTCTGACGTTCCCGCTTGAATCGCGGTGATATCTCCATTAAGGCGATTTGAGACCTGGCCAGAGCTGACGTGAGCGTCAAAGTATGAGGGCGGCTGCCGAAGAAGTGCGGAAACATATGTTGTACGCATACGATGCGCGAGACGTTGGCTGATAATGTTCCAGCACGTCAGATGACCGTAAATTAATACAAGTGCGATCGCCCCAATGTATGCTGTTTTTATTACTTTGTCGTTGATCGCGTGTTCATACTGAAAAGGGTCGTTAGAGAGTTCGCCTTCCGCCGCGCAAGTAGCGCTGTTGAAATTGTCCACGATCTGACCAAACAAGACGCCCATCAGCGGGAAAGGAACGCCTGCAGCGACGGCACAGAGCGTCCCGCAGGTGATGAGGAGGTAATCTACCCATTCTGGCTGTGCTGCGAAGAGAAGATCAAGCCAGAGTAAAGATGTATCGATGAACTGGGTTATCGGTTAGAATATGAGTTTCTCCGGTTACATTTGAGACATATTGGTCAAGCCTATTCTGTTTGGCCTCGGCTGGCCTACCTTCTTTATGCTCTCACTACTCTTGCGGAATGTTGAAGCCAATGAGTCTTGATCGTAAAGTGCTTCCGAAGACATTGCGAGTACAGTTCCCATGCAATCTACAGTTGAAATTGAAAATTTTCAATCGCAACGATGGTTCAAACAAACGCTGAAGGAGATGCCATGCCCAAGAGACTGTACTGGGCCGTCTGTGCACTAACATGGAGAGCACCAGTTTGTCATTGTCCAAATGAGCAGGCAAGGCAACGGCCAAACGAGGGATCTGCATACCCACAATGAAGAATTTTTCAGCCAGGGCTTGGGGGTCAAGATTTGATCCGTCAATGTGTTGCCAAAGCATGGTCTTCGTCAAAGGCCGATGTCGTTGCGGAATCCCGCCCAAGTGCGAATAACGACCAAAACCTCACTGATGATCAGGATCAGATAAAATTTGATAAGATGAAAAGGTTAGATCCGCCGATGATCCCTGCAAGAATCAACATCAGGTCATCCGGACCAAGGAATCTCCCCAACAATTACTTAAAACGGAGAATGAAAAACTCTCCACTATTACTATAGCGTTCTGGGAAGTTTTCAAGAAGATCAGCTCCTGAAGCCAAAGCCCTGGACGTCATTTGACAGAGCACGCCACGACCGCCAATGGCCACCATGTTCTTAACTGCATGCCGAGGCTAGGCACAGAGGATTGCAGGTGAACTTTGTCTTGTAGCCTAAGCAGGGTGGCTTGGATGATGCATCTCGACTCATTGACTTGTTCGACATGACTGCTTGCTTCCGAATATAGCTAATGTGACTGCGATATACGGCTGCGTCCAGCGGCACCCTCTTACGCCACTTGCAGTGTTTTGTCCTGGATGTGATGGTACTGAGCTATGCTTAATCGAACCTCGCTCGTACCAAGCACGCTAATTGAGTATCAACAAAAGGTATCATTTACGTCTAAGATAATGGAAAACACTCGCTCGAGCATATTCATGAGCTTGGTTAGAAAGAGATTATCTTCCAAGATAAACGAGAAGAATCCTAGAAGAAATCGAAACGCGAATTGGCATGTCTGGAGACTATAACTTCGGCTCTCCGCTCAAGAATGCAACATGTTGTCTTAAATTGTCGAAATCGTCTTACACATCATCGGTCGCATTACCAAAACAAGCTTCAACCGATCTAGCTGCAGACAGCAAGGCAGAAGAAGGCATCTAAGAGACGTTCCCAATTATGAATACAATCTGAACCAGCAATGGCTCAACACCAAGAGCATGACTTCCGTGAGTCGTAAGTAAGACACGCCATCAGTACCCGGCAGACTGGATTACATTCCAGTCGATCTTGGTGCTATCCATAAGAATGCCCTTTAAGGGGAGAAGCTGTCAAATTAAGCCAGTTCTATCGGCATAAGATGATCCATGAAAATGATAGACATTGAGAATACCATATATCGCAACGAAGCCCTTGGCGAACGCAACATGAGCCATGTCCATCGAGGATCGCCGGTGAGCATGTTGAATTTTTGTCGGCATGCATAGCGTCTCTTGTGATGGCTACCAGTTCGGTCTCCTTCCTCACTATTATATAAGTCAAAAGGAAGTTCTGATATTTTTGAGTATTCTGCGAACTATCAGAGATCAGAGAGCGAGCTTCCATCTGCACCCAAAACTATATTGTTTCAGCCTTCAAATGGCCCCTCAGACTCTCAAGACACAACGACTTACTTTGCAGCCACTGGCATCGGAGCATAGAGAAGCACTCTACGAACTTGATACTAATCCCGATGTCATGCGATACATATTCACTGGAAAGCCTCTTACTCGCGAAGAATCAACACAAGTGTTCAACCATCTGCGCAAATTATCGCAATCAGACGATGGGCTCGGATGCTGGGTCGGTTACCACGGAGATGAGTTTGTCGGGTGGTGGGTGCTCGCGCCGATGCAGAGCCCCAACGACAGCTCGGTGAGAGGCAGACGAGCTAGTTCTGGTAGTGAATCCTCAGGCACCTGCGCAATTAGGGTTGAACTCGGGATGAGAATTGACCCAAGATTTTGGGGCCAAGGGTATGCCAAAGAAGGCCTTCAGGCACTAATCAAGCATTCTCTCGAGGACTTGGGTGTTGATGAAGTCTTCGGAGAGACGATGGCAGTGAACGAAGGATCTCGAGCAACAATGCAAAAGTGTGGACTGAGGCACGTACGTACTTGGTACAACACGTATGAGGATTTTACGCCTCCGCCTGGAATCGAGGAAGGCGAGGTAGAGTACCGCATAACTCGAGAGGAGTGGCTCTCGCTCCAATCCTCCTGATACCGAAAACAATTAGCAAAGAGAAATCATATGATTAGGATTTTAACAGTATACCGATCTCGGTCATTGGCATTGTCCTCACCCAGTAAAGATCATCGTCCGCGTGTCCACAGACGTTGCAAACTGTGTCTTGGCTCGACAAGTCTTGGTGGCATGATCTACTCCGACCTGGAGGAACGCAATCCTTGGCAGCTCCTTCGGCCGCCTTCCCAATAGCAGCCTCGAAGTCCGGGAGAAGATCCACATCGCGTCGCGGCGCTAAGATTATCGCATCTAATCAATCAATCAGTCGCTGACTTTCGGCACGAAAGCTGGACATTACTGTATGCAATGTAAATTTCCACACGACATGGATGGTGGCAAAAATTGATCTGGTCCGAAAGGCGGAATATTGCCTGGAAACCTGGGTCTCTAAAATGTAGATATACGTTGCGCTCGCGTTTATCTTTCTCTATTTCAAACTTGGCAGATCCTCATACAGCGACTTAGGCCGCGTGCAAACAGCGAGGACTTGTGGCATCTATCATTCTATCATTTACCTTGATCCATTACGTATATGTCCTTATCCTTACGCAAAAATCGTTAATTGGAAATGGTGAATCTCAAAGAATTCGGTCTTGGTATGGGCCATAAAAAGCCTGAACATGCAGCAACTTCGGCTGTTGCTGAGGCTCAAGAGCAACCAGAAATCGCGAAAACTGAAACGCCAGGCAAAGAAGGCGGGCATTTATCCGTTAACGACGACCCTGAAGTCAAAGGACCTGAAGATGCACCTCCCGACCCCAATGCCCAACGAGGCGTTCAAAAAATCGAAGCGGTAACCACAGCCTGGTCGAAATGGTCTCTTGCTGCCTTGCTGTTCAAGTTCGTATTTTCATCCCGAGGACACGCACTAGCTTATTTTCTTTGACAGTATCTGGCTCATCTTTCTGACCAATGGCTTTCGGATTGCGATTCTTGCAAGTCTGTCGCCTTATGTGACCAGCGATTTTCAATCTCACTCGCTGTTGACTACAATCGGAATCGTAGCCGACGCAATGACCGCTGCGACGTACATCCCGATGGCGAAGCTGTTGGACGTGTGGGGTCGTGCAGAGGGGTTTCTGCTTATGGCGGGCTCAGCGACACTAGGTGTCATACTCATGGCAACGTCACGAAATCTTCCTACCTTCTGTGCTGCTCAGGTATAGGCGATCACTTCCCTCTTGCGATATCAAAAAACTCTAAAAATGGCAGGTCTTTTACTCGATCGGATTTGCAGGCATCATATACACCATTGCCGTGCTTGCGGCTGACGTAACGTCTATAAAGAATCGTGGTATCGCCTTCGCATTTACATCATCTCCATACATGATCACTGCATTTGCCGGTTCAAAGGCCGCTGAAGCATTCTTGGAACACGTCAATTGGCGTTGGGGGTTTGGCGCATTTGCCATCATCGTACCCGGTGTTACTCTGCCAATGTTCATAATGCTGAAGGTCAAACAGCACCAAGCTGAGTCTCGAGGAATAATTGCACTTAAAAGGAGTGATGAGCCTGTAATTAAGCAGATATGGGATGGAATCATCGGGTTTGATGGTAAGATCATTCTGAGGATGGCCCAAATTTTGTCACAATCAGCTGACACTCTGCTGGATTGTAGTACCAGGAGTTATTCTCTTCGCTGGCGGACTCACTGTCTTCCTGCTCCCATTCACGTTGGCCACATATGCGCCTAATGGCTGGTCTTCTGACTACATTATCGCCATGATTGTCACCGGATTTGTCATTCTTCTCATCTTCGGTCTCTACGAAGTTTACGTTGCAAAATCGCCATTCCTGAACTACCGCTTCCTGACTGACAGGACGGTTATCGGAGCTTGTCTCTTCGATGCCACTTACCAGATATCATACTACTGTTGGAACAGCTATTTTACCTCATTCCTTCAGGTTGTTTGCAATTTGTCGGTAGCCAACGCTGGGTATGTCAACAGCACATTCCAAGTCGTCTCCGGTGTCTTGCTGTTCATAGTTGGGTATCTGGTTCGCCGCACCGGACGCTTCAAATGGCTTTTCCTCGTCTGCCTTCCGCTCTACTTGCTTGGACTTGGTCTAATGATCCACTTTCGCCAGCCCAATCAGTACATTGGCTATATCGTCATGTGCGAAATCTTTATTTCCATGGGTGGAAGTGTATTCATTCTGCTTGTTCAGCTGGCCGTCCTTGCGTCTGTGGACCACCAACACGTTGCGGCTGTTCTTTCTTTACTCTATGTCTCTGGCAGCATTGGTGGTGCAATTGGAAATACCATTTCGGGCACCATTTGGACCAATACCTTTTACAAAGCTCTGCTGAGATATCTCCCAGATTCAGCATTGCCACAAGCCGCTACAATATACTCCAGTCTTTCTGCACAGCTTGCATACCCGGAAAACAGTCCTGAACGCATTGCGATCCAAAAAGCGTATGGATATGGCCAAGCAAGGATGCTCGCAGCTGGGACAGCGGTCATGGTTTTGTGTTTTGCTTGGGCGTTGATGATCAAAAACATTAACGTATCTAAGAAGACGGCACAAACAAAGGGAATTGTATTCTGAAGAATCTCGAAACATATCTGGAACGATACATCGTCAACGGGATTGCGGCCTAGCTTGTATCTTCATTGACACTGTCATCAGGATTTCTAGGGTGCGGAAGGAATTTGTGTGGTGAAATTGGCTCCCATCTTTACTCAATTATCGGACTAGAACCAGGAATCCCAAGAGAAAATCATGAGTAATTCTGTCGTGCTTTCGAATCGGCATACGTATCCCTGATTTAAAACTATTTGAAAGATTTGCAATATGTGATTGCTTGTAGATTCCAACAACCGTTTCTGAAATCTTGTACCGTGAACATATCACCAACAAGATGAACTAATGAACACAAAACTCGCTTGTAGAGCGGTGTACTTGAGTAAAATGTGCTTTCCGTAACCTGATGAATAGCTGAAATTCGCAAATTCACTTCTTCCGCCTGAAACAACCTAGAATTCTTCTTGCAAAACGTCGCCGTTGAGGAGGTTCCAGCTCATTGTCAACTTCGAATTCACGCCCCTCTGCGTCTACGTCTGCGTCTGCGTCTGCGTCTGCGTCTTCCACTGCCTCAGCCAGGGCACGCAGTTTGTCACCATCCAAAAGTTCAAAATTAATGCGAGGCCAATTTATGTTGAAAAGATCTTTCCAAGGACCGAACGCAACTTGCACTCGGTCTGGAAGTCCACGAAGTACGTTATGCAGCAACCTTGTCGCCTCGCGGTCTCTCAGTGTAGCATCGTGAGGACTTATGAGCACATACATCAAGGAAACATGTAAAGAAGTCAAAGACGTCGCTGCTCTGTACAGCCTTTGGAGGTCGATGCTCGCTTTTGGTCGCGCTTTTTTGCGATTCGTTGGATGCCACTGGTCAGGATAATGAGTGTGATACGTAATGAGTATTCTAAGCGTCTGAACGCGGCTGATTTGAATGACCGGTAGCTCGCTGAGCTTGATGTGACTGTGGCGGATCACAAGATGGATTTCAACGGGATATGTGAAGTAAAAGAGATGAATGATCTCGGCGTATGCCTGCTTGCAGGTTCTAGCAATGGTCAAGAAAGGGCCATGATACCGCGGCGTCCATATTAAGCGCAACCGATTGGGTAGCTGGACAAGCGCATCGTGTTCGTACCGCACCCTACCTTGAGCGATGATTGTCTTGAGATGATCGTCAGTAGATTTCGGAGCTGGCCTGCATGCCAAAAGATGATAGTATATCTGATTCCGGATCTCGCCAGGCAGGTCAAAGAAGACAAAAGGTCGGATTTGCTCACGTCTACCGGCCGTATTAGTCCCATAGTGAGATATGATAGATCTGCCTGAGCTTACTGCTCCGGACTTAACAGAGCATAATGAGAACGTGGTTGCGAGATAGACCTCTTTGATTTTCTGCCGCCCATGGCGTAGGTGAGTGTTAATGCATGTTACGATCTCAGATCATTTACTGTGGTTAGAAGATGGCTTTATGTTGTTGACCGGTGTACAGAGTGATCATGTGATGGTGGCTTAGAACTAGTTCTTGCGCTCAGTGGCTGAAAGGCTGTGCTGCTTTAACAACTTGTTGCTTTCACCGACGTATCATACACGGTCAGAAACTTGCAGGAGAGCAATTCCCTGATACTTCGGGTGCTTTTTTGGTAAGTCAAACTGTGTATTTGCTTCATATATCATAATCAGCATGGGCAATGAGATCAAGAGCTTGTAACAGCATGCTCAAAGCCGTTTAGCTCAGGCCACCATTTTTCAGTGCTCTAATGTGCGATTCGTCTTCCGAAAAATTCTCAGCAGCTTTGATGTAGTGTTATAACTTCGTTTCAGTCGACTTGTGAAGAATCCGTTTTAGAACTAAGCAGGTAGAACTATCTAGTATATGGGTACTCTGCTTGGGTGCCATCGAAAAGTCAATCACAGACATTGTAGGTCAGGCAGCTGGACGAAGAACTCATGTTCGAGCCGATTCACGTCAGCATAACTCCGTGCATCTCTATATACAAATGCTGTCGCAATCTTGAACTAGGGTCTACATGAATGCAGTGATCCGCAGGATGCAATCTTCGGCTTTGCGGCGCTTCGGACCGACCCTTTGTGGAGGAAGACCCACTTTATTAACATAGCTTTTGGTATCACAGTGGCTTTTCTTTCCTCCTTCATGTTAATTTTTGCGGAAAAAGTCCAGGCCCACCCTGTAATAATCCAAGCAATTGTATCGATTATTTATAAATTGCAATTCATTTTGCGAGAGTGCAACGGAACATAGTTGCACCTTAATGTTGGCGCCTTTGCCAGAATTTAATCTGCATTCCTTTGTCGGGTGAGGACACCTCTAATGCTACTGTTTCAAGGGTCAGAATCTTTTGCTATTAGCTTAGGATCCTCTAGGATTGGTTTGGTAGGAATAATACAGAGGTGCTGAACTTTTAAATTCAAGCGCTACTGGCTTCCGACTGCCTTACAGGGTAATTTGCATTATGGGTGCTGAGAAAGTCAAACTCACATGCTATTCTATTGTTACTTCCATTTCTTGTAAACAGGCAAATTCTTGAGGAGTGACTTGCTAGCCGCGAAGCCATCTCTTCGCGATCATTTCCAAAGTAGAAACGTCGACGTCGACGGGAGCAAAGTGCCAAAGCTCGTCTGGCCAGGCTTGGCTTCCCACTTTGCCGTGACCCTTCCAGTTCTCCCAAAGTATATCAACTTTTGGCGGTACGGAGTTGATTATCTGGGCGACGAAGCCAATTAAAAAAGCTGAAGGGGTGCTCTTAATGGTGCTTTGGCCACAGAGCTGTATTGCGATCCGTATTGCTCGAAGCGATATAGCCAGGCCGAGCAAAGGGCCGAGGTCAATGGAAGTATCAAAGCCAATGCTACAGCAACACTCGTTGATAACAAAAAGAAGTCGAAGATCTCTGACGAAGTCTATGCGGAAGTTGCTGGAGAGGCTTGGTACGAAGGATTGGTGTCCAACTCTGACGAAGACCTCGAAGTGGTGCTTGTGGTGGAAGAATTGCATCGCTTCGGCGTTAACAGCTTTGGAAAGCCGCATAACGCGAAGATCCGGGTAGCCATAGCCATACGCACGCATTGGGACGAGGCTGTTGTCGATTGGATTGCACTGCAACAACACTCGGCCTGATCCGACAGCGCCACTGTTACTGTCCCATTCGCGTGAGCTAGGAAATGGGATGGGACCAGCAGCCAGGTACCGCTTGGGCTGAAGCAGATACGCATATATCATGTTCCTGATTTCTCCTGGCAGGTCGAGGAACACGAACGGTCGAATTTGCTTCTTCCTGCAAATCCTTCAGCACAGTGTAGAATGAGCGGTATATGGTTACCAACTGTTGGATGCTGAGATGCTCATAATGAGAAGATGGTGTATGCGAAGAGGGAGACGTAGATTGACCTGGGACCCGGAGATTCGGACGAGCTTGGCGTTGCCGTTTGCGACTGATGTCAACCATCTTCTGCTCCCCAGGACGGGTCGGCCCACCCTTCCGAACCATGATTCGCATCCGTCTAAGCGAAGGGATGGCCACAGAGGACCGAGGTGAGGGAAAGGGAAAAATATTGCGAGGCAGAGGCGTGTCCTAAGATGCGGCTCATGTCAAGAAGGCAGAAAATGACGCAAGGCTGAGACTTCGCGCAGACGTAAGCGCGGCTTATGATCTTCTTGAAGTTGGAAATCTGATGATTGAGCGGTTTCCGCGACTTCAAATGAGTGGTAGCTAGGATCTTCGATGTCACCAAGTAGAGCTGCCATTGTTTGCACCGGTGTTACGAGAACAGGGCGATGCGTTGGATGTGATTACTAAGGAAGCGTAGATGGTTATGTGAGGATGTTTGGCCCACCCTCTGCCCATTGTTCAGCACAACATGTGCAGCCACAGAGTCTCAGCCTGCTCAATTTGGCTTTGAAGGCGCAAGGCCCGGACGAGACGATTTGTCAGGGGAACTCGCGGTCCCCGCACGACAAGCCCATGAGTATGAGGAATATGCCGCGTGCACGAGGCCAGTGATGGATCAATAGTGAGCCGCGCCGCCAAGCCGATGATCCGCACAGAGCACGTGCGCCAAGCCTGTCATCGGCTGTCACCGCTGGGCTGGCGAGGGGTTAGGTATTAAGGCTCTAAGGAGTTGAGGCATCAAGGCGCAGAGACGGCCAAAGTGCTCAGCCACAGACGATCGCCACGAGTGATCGCCACAGGGACGTCATCGGCGCTTGCACGCAGCGACTTGCCTAAGTCCAACGTCCACTCAAACGTCCCGCGTAGCCTGGAACGCGCTGGAGATGGAACAAGCAGGTTTCGCGCCAGCATCAGAACACATGGCGATCGTCGCTCTGCGCCTCGCCAGTCCCTGGACAAGTGACGGTAGTGCTCGTTGACAACAAAGGTGGTTGGCAAAGAACGTGGTGAACGCAGCAGACCAAAATGGCTTCCAATATCGAGCCTTGCCAGGGTTATTTATGTCACTTTGCACCCACCCTCGCTTGCGTAAACTTGATTTCGTGTCGGTCGCCAGCATTCACCATCATTGGCTACCAATCTTCGAACCCGTTGCTATATGATTCACGTTCGTTCTGCTTTGGCCGTGATTCACAACCCGAGCACTTCACAGACTTGTCTACATATGCACATGCTGTCGCGCGGACATAAACATCCTTTGAAAGGCCCATACTCTATCGCGACGGTTTGAACAAAAGAGATAGTCCTGGCCAAGATGCGTCTTCTGCCTCTGCTTCCCTTCCTTTTAGCGCTCACCGCCCTAATCCTGGGTTTCCTCTCTCTCTTCGCCGGCTCCAAGCCCGACTTTCTGGAGTCCTACTCCATCCTGACGCTAAACGTCTCGCGGATTGGACAAAACATCATTGACAGCGGGTCCAGCAGCTCCTCTAGCTCAACCATTGGCTCTTTTTTCCACAACTTGACCGGTGACATCGTCAGCGAGCTCGAAGGCGATATAAACAACCGGGCCGCCTCCCTCGCAAAGGACTTGGGTCTCCAGGATTTCTACTCGGTCCATGTGATGGACTACTGCCATGGATTCTACGTCCCTGGAGCGGTCAAGAACGCAACTGTGCACGATATAAAACGCAACGTGACGGGCTGCTCGAAGACGAAGGCTATGTTCGCCTTCGACCCGACGCAAGCGCTCGAGAACTCCCTCAATGCAAGCGGCAAACTTGGCGGCGAGACAGCGAGCAAGGTCCTCGACTCTATCGACTGGCCGCAGGACCTCGAAAAGGGTCTGCGCGCACTCAGGGCCGCGTTCAAAGCGCAATTTGTCCTCTATTGCATCGCGTTGGGCCTTACGTTCCTTACGATGCTCTCGTGCTTCTTCTGGCTCTTCAGCGGCGGGCGCGCAGGTGCCTGTGCCGACATTACCATGGGCTTCTCCGCATTCCTGTTCATGGCCATAGCCAGCTCGATAGGAACCGCCATCGCTGTCAAGGGCAGCCACGTGATCAACAAGTACGGCAACGACATCGGTGTCAGTGCAGACCAGGGCTCAGGTTTCTTGGGCTTGACCTGGGCTGCGACGGCATGCTTGCTCTTGGCCTCTATTGTGGGATGTGCTGGCTGTTTTGGAGTCCACAAGCGGAGACGATCGCTCAAACCTTACCAAGGAGAGAAGTGAAAGATGGAGGGGAGAGAGAAGAGAGAGAGAGAGGGGGGGGGAAGGAGAAAATGGCGAACATCTTTTCTTTGTTGATATGAGTGGCATTTTTCACTTACGAAGCCCTTTGCGGGACTTAACGACGACCCATTGTTCTATACCCATCGATAGTATTTATATAACTCGTCCCGGCATCGTGACCGGCACGAGGAAGAATCCAAATCGCTGTACGATCTTAACCCCATCATCGCGCCTATGCATATGCATTCTCGGCTTTCATAATTCATGAGTGAAGTTTTTTCATCATCAAAATCACGTAACACGTCGTCCCAAGAGATCCATTCCGGTATGAAATTCTTTTGTATTTTTTTTTTACCACGGCTTTCTCCCGCCTTTCTTCAGCTGGTCTTTTAGCGGATCGTACGGTGCAGCCATGACAAATCGAGGCGCTTTGGGCTCGGGGCCCTTCTCCAAGATCTGGTCCGATTCGACTACAGGAGTTGTAGGCTGTGAGCTTCGTGTCGCCAGCCGCTCCGGTTCACCTAGCGTAGGATTTGTTCGCTGTTCTTCATGCATCTTGTCAAGCGTGTCGCCCACAATACCGTACTTGGCCCAGTTGATCGCGGGTGTTCGTACGATATTCTGCGGCATGGGGAAGCGTGGAAACTCCTGCTTGGCCCCCTCCTCCAGTTTCTCTCTGCTGGAGCTGAGCGGCTGGTCTGGTTCGAGCTTCTTGCTCCCAACTTCCAGCGCGGCAAGTAACTTCTCGACCTCCAGCCCCACAGTTGGACCCAAAATGCCGTCCTTTTCGCCGCTGCTTGCCTTAAGGTTCCCAGCCATGAGTTGCCGCAGGAACTCCTTCGGGTCCTTTCTGTTTAGCTCCTTGAGTTGCTCGAGTCGCTGGATATTCTCAGCAGCGCGGGCCTTTTGCAGCTGCAGTAGATCGGTCGTCGCGCGCAGCGCTACGGCATCCGGGTTCGAGTTTCCGGAGAATGGCACCGGAGGAGGACGAGGGATAAACTCTGGCTTGGGCGGGGTCGGTTTCTTGGGAGACGTTTCCTTGGGCTTTGGCTGCTGTTTCGTGTCCTTGAGCAGCTCCGCAATCTGCAACGCCTTTGCGACCTCTACGGGGTCCAGCTGTTCGCTATCGTTAGCATGCCGGGACTTGGAAGAACATTTGCGCGACCGCGCGTAGGAAGCGGTTGGAGGGGCGCACCTTCTCGAAGCTCGGGCGCCGCACAGGAGGGCCCTGCGGCTGCGAGTCTGGTGGTTCTGCGCGCTCATTCTGCGCCACTATGCTCGAGGTCGTATGAGGTGAGGAGGTATCATCTGATTGCGAGGAAGACATTTGGCATTCGTCGTGACTTCGCGGATCCGGAGGGCGAAAAAAGCGACGCTAAGAAAATGTTCCTGCCGATGTTCGGGGGTTGAACCGTACGGGCTCGTCTAACATGTGACCGAAGAGGCAAAACCCTTGAAATTTGATTTCACGTTATGGGAAGCGAGCATGCACGGTGTATAGAAACGCTGTATGGCGGAGAACAAGATGGTCGAATGTGAAACTTGCGTTTTAGGACGAGCGCAATCGACAGCGCCCAGCTCCGCTAGTTAAACTTCGGCTTCCATCCGTGCTCCGCTGAGAAGGTGACGTCTGACAAGAACCCGAGAGCGATTACTTTGATTCATGCTACCGTCATGTAAGCGGAGAAGAAGCCAATCCGCCGTCGCAAAAGAAGGGTATATGCGGGAGGAAATACAATATAAAAACTTCGTAGTCCAAATCTTGACCCTCCCTGTGTGCGCTATGCAAGACTCATTTCAGCACCGCTGCTCCCGGTGGAAAAAAAAAAAAAAAAAAAAAAAAAAAAACCAAACAAAACGAACGACCGGAAGACACGCCATTGAGATCAAATAAAATAAAATAAAAAAGGCCACCATTTTGGCAGCGCCGGCCATTTCGGGTGTCAGCCCTCCATCTCTGCATCCTGCCTTCCTTGCCAGCAATCGAGGCAGCTCACATCACCGTCCTCTCCGTATTCCACGCAGCACTGCCGGCATATTTTCCGTGAACAGCCGGTATGACATTCCCGCATACATATGAAGCACGTCCTTCGACGACATTTCCAGCAGTCTTCGAAAGCGTCCAGCTCTCGCTTCAGCCGTGGAGCCTTGTAGCAAACGTGACACGGCGTCAGTATTGGTGTCGTGTGTGTCGCGACATCCGGCATTGAATGCAATATGTCGACGGCCGGGAGCCGCTTCTTGACGGGGAGGACCCGTCTACGATGCTTCTGCGGAGGCGTCCTGTGAACGTCGGCCTTAGTCCGTTCCAGTTCGTAGCCGAACTCGAACTCGGGCGGAGGCGATGGCAGTGTTCTCGAACTGCATCGCGTGTGGCCGCTTTCGTGGGGTTTATACGTCAATTGCAGTTTGGTTCGACTGATGACTTGTTAGTCGATGTGGACGGACGAGACATGCGATGGGCGACTGTACGGTGACACATCTGGAGCATTCTCGCCAGTAGCTCGTCTCCTTTTGCCCAGAACCGATGGCTGACTCCCAAAGGCAAATTGCACAGCACCTGAAAGGGCAATTTTGTCACGGCTGTTTGTCTCCTGCGCGAAGATATCGGGCGTTATGTACATATCTGCTGTCCGTGGCTGTTGCACGAGCGGTCCTCCCCTCGTCATGATGCTATGATGAAATTTGGCGGTTCATGGCGAGAGACAATCGGGTCACAGACGAGAAGATGAAAAAGAGAAGAAGGTGGCGGTTGGACTCTTTATGCCGAGTCCCCCCAAGCGAGGGATGGGTATGAGCGAGCGGCGGAAAGACTCGACATTGGCCAGGCACCAATTCGCACTAGCGAACGTTCCTGCGTCGCAACCCAGAGGCAACAGTGACCAACTCACTCGCCTTGCTCGTCAGCATAGATTGGAAGACTGTTAAAGATGTCGATGTGACACATCTGGCTCCCATTCTCCCCGTTTATCGACACCCCATTCAACCTTCTCTTGCATACAAGGTGTGTGTAGAGGCTCCATTAGCGCCAAGCGTAACGTGATCCCAGACGCCGAAAGAGTCGAGCAGTCGTGGAAAAGGTAGCCTAGGAAAGTTGAAGTGTCGTGCGTGGATATATTTACTTCCATGCTAAATACTGAATCAAGGCGCTGAAGAACATAAACAGCAAACTTTGTCGGCCTTTTAGGAGGCTGGGACAAGCGACCCGACAAAATCTATGCCTCTAGCACGTCAATCACTCCCGTCCAGTCCTTTCTAGATCTAGCCTCCCAATAGTTGTCCTTTCCACTCTTGAGTCGCCAAATCTCTTCGTCGCCCTCAACGCCGGCCTTGTAGAACCATTTCGGTGCCCATTGTTCTCCGTGTTCCTCCATCACTCTGCGTCTGCCTCTCTGCCTTTCCTCCAATCGCGCCTTGAGTGCTTCCGCACGATCCACGTCACCATCTTCGAGGGCACGTTGGTCTGGACGTAGTCTGGAATCTGTTGGAGGAATGAAACCTTCTTCTATGGCCGTGATCTGGTTCAGCGCTGCTGCAAAAACTGTAAATCCGTACCGCTTAGCGGCATCCTCAACAAGAGGACCAACTTTCCAAAGCGTCTTGCCAGTATCCATGCTATTGTCAGAAACGTTGAGATGAGATGTCCACTTGCCCCCTAAACCATGTGGCAGCTGCTGTCCGCTCCCGTCGAAGGCCTGTACAGTGACCTCCTCGCTACGGCCCGCAAACATACCTCCCGCTTTGAATGTCGCAATCGCCTTCATACCAGTTGTCTCGCAGATCACAGTCATGGTGCTCACTGGTTCGACATACTTCTCGCCCGCAATGACGTTGCGCAAGAAGGATGTTGCCAGCGTCCAAGAGTATGCCTCACCCACTGTGTGCAGAAACACTCTCACGCGGCCCTCAGTATTGAGTTCGGCAGACTTGCCCCAGAACTTCTGCACCGGCATCGGGGCCTGAAGGAAGGTCCAATCTTCAGCTTCTGCTTGGCAAGCCATCCGAACAGGTCGATGTGAGATCTTCTCGGCAATAAAACGGTACCCCTTGTCCTCACGTACGAGTTCAAACGTCTCGCCTAACATGGGATTGAATGGTTTGCGAATAGCTCGATCCTTAACTCGCGAGGAAGAGAATGAAGAGACAGCGAACGCGGCGATGTTGAGGATGCGCATGGTTGCGTCATTGGTGTTTGCTGCCGCGTCAAGAAGCTCACTGTATTCCATCTGTTCGGCTACGCGCTGAAGGAGGGAGGTTGGCTCGTTGGCAGAGACAGGCATAGCTATGGTAGAAAGGTCTTTGCCCACATTCTTGCGTAGGAAGCTGATCAGAGACGGGGGTGGTACTTTCGGCGGCGGCACTGTTTTGCGGCGCGGAACGGCGCTGAGTGGCAATGGGCTGAGTGACTTCGGCTTTGGAGGGAATAAGGAGGCATGGCCTTCACGTGGCTTGCGTGTAAAACTCCCCACCGCTTCGAAATCAGCTTCGGAGCCGGAGTCACTGTCACTATCCGACACACTCTCGCGTTCTGTCTCGCCCTCGAAATCGCTGTCGTGCGTAATCTTCAGCATACCTGAATGGCTTCCTGCCGAATCTTCGGCATCGAAGAATTCGTCGTCGGACACGGAGCCTACGCTGCCTCTTCGACTGAGTGGAGATATGGGTGGGAGACGTCGCTGTTTTGACTCGGAGATGAGCTGTGAGAACTCGGAAACGACCTGGTCCAAATCCCGCATAATGGCCACGCAGTGTTCGTGCACCCCTTCGTCATCGGGTTCACGCATAGAGTATGGGTGGCTGTGCTGTCTTGCGGGTTGTGCTTGCGTGGGAACATTTCCGGCCATGGGGACGGCTAGCTGTGCAGAGAAACTGCGCCTGAAAACAGCCCCAGGGCTGACGTTGTTACTGCTCGACTTACGCTTCCAGAAGGGAAGTTTCTGCTGGCCTGACGCCGAAGCTTCATCTGGTGTAAAGTAGTCGAAGTTGCCGGAATCGGCCGGACTGGGTACGCTCAAGCTGTTGATGCCCAGTCCGGAGGATGAAGGTTGGTACTTCGGATCGCAATCCTGGGCAAGCCTGCGCACAGCATCACGTATGCCGGAGACTCGGCCGACTAGAGCCTCTGCACGCGCCCAGTCCCGCGCCTCCGCTGGGTCTGAGACGGCCTGCGAGGCGGTACGCGAGCTTTGGACCGAGATGGGGGCTTTTGGTACTTTCATATCTGCACCATGCGATGCACGAGACAGCGCGTCTCTCCAGCCAAGGAAATCCTTCTGGTTGCCAGCGCGCAGATGCCATATCTCAGCGCCTGAATCCACGGAGATCTGCCGTGTCTTCTCGTCCGTGCTGATGACGGCAAGCGAAAGTGGGATGGAACCACGCAGGGCGGAGGAGTTACGGTTACGATAGTATGATAGAGTAGATGACGTGAAATCGAGAGAGAAAAAGCGCTTTGCGTATGTGTGATGCTTGCGTCGTTGTTTGTGAAGAACGCCGGTATAAAACGCCGACGAGCCAAGAGAGGTCTTAATCTCGGTCCCGTGCGCCGAGCGAGGCCGCGGATCGTTGATGACGCTGGAAGAGACTTTGGACAGGTTTCCCTCGGATGGAGGAGTGGTGGCAGGAATCTCCGGGCCTAGCGAAGGGCTAGGTTGCGTGCTCTGGGAGCCATTGGCTTGCGAGTAATGTAGATGATGTCCGGACACAGGCGGTGCGCCGGTCGGATACGTCATAAGCACAAAGGTCACCGTCTTTGACAGCTGCTTGGAGAATGTGTTGTCGAAGACCAGGCCGTACATGCCGCCATCGCCCTCGAGCACGTCATAACTGCCCATGGTGACCTTCTCGGCCTCACATCTGCCCATCCATGCGACCGACTTCATGCCTAGCTTCTCCAGCTTCTCAACCACGGTGACGTCCTCCTTTTTGGAGCCTCGCTTGGAAGGCTTTCCATTGCCTTCGTCGCTCTCTAGAGATATGTCGATACCTGGGGTCTGGGGGATTTGCGGGGTGGTTGGGAGACCGACGCTGTTGCCGCCAGGGTGCTTGAAGACGCCGAAATTGAGGGATTTCTTGTGCGGTTGGATGCTCCATGAGATGGTGTTCCCTGCTTGGACGTTGATCCAGCGAATGAGGTATGACTGCGCGATGTTCGGTTCAGCCTTTGGGAAACGTTTGGAAAAGATACGGTGGGAAAGACGTGTTAGTGTAACGTGTACATACCCTGCTGTGCACTTCCAGCTGTTCCATTCCAACCATGGCTGCTCAATTCCCCAAGTCTCCGCCAATTATCAAAGAACTAGCCGGTGTTTGTCCAGCTTGTGATCTTCTGCGCCTGGTGCAAGCGGCGAACGCGGCGCGGGACGTGGCGGAAACGAGGAGGCAGAAACGGGCGCTCGATGCACCAATGCGCAACAAAAAGTGGCTTATTCACGACAACATATGGACACTGCGAGGATAAGACAACAGCAAAGAGGCAGTTCAGTCTCAAAACCCTCTTTCGCCTTGCTAAGTTCGGTCTTCAAGATGCGTGCGCGTGTGTGTGCATCAAGATTTGCGTGGCCAGTGAGCGTGAAACCGTAATCCAGTTTCGTCTTGCGGTGTACTTCTTAACCTTTCCGTTTACGCAAAAAGACGTGCGGTAGCGTGCGGGTCTTGAGGCCGACAATACCACGTTTCGAAGCAGCTGGAAGTAACTTGGCCAACAAAGTTTAGTCAATGTATATCGACGAAAACTGGACTTCCTAAGATCCACGTGTGTTCGCAGCAGATAACATTCCTGTGCTGGCTCTTCCGTCATGCAAACGCCTGCAAGACATTGCAGTGCACCCTCAAAGCACCTTGCATGCCAATGGCAGCACAGCATATGCCATTACATGTGTCAAACAACATCTATCGATCCGCGGCAGCCTGTCTTCCCTTCTTTCAGGAGCACTTTTTCTTTCGTCGCTGCGTCATCATCCTCCGTATCTTCATCGGACCCTTCGCCATGACCGACTGGCTGCCGTTTGGATTTGAATCATGCTAAGCTTGGTGTACGACTTGAATACTCACGCAAAGCAGCCCGGCTATGGCCTCTAGGAGGAGGGCGAATCGCATGAGCCGCAGCAGGGTTATCATGGTCCGCTTAGAGGACTATCAGATCAAACCATTTCATCTGAAAGCATGATACGAACAAAGAGATACATGTAGATACAAGTGGATCTGTCCTGATTGCTGCCAAAATTTGATAGAAAAGGCAGTTGGTCTAGCCTCTAATATTTCTCGTCTAACAATTCTGTCGGAATAGAATAGCACTACCTATTCCAGCTTTGTCGTCCACAGCTCGCTTGTTCCGCTCCACCTTGCAATAACATACCTATTAGCTTGAGGTCACGGAATCCGTATGCTCACGAGTTGCGCGCCGGCGAATGGATAACATCATGACCAAGCGACAACAAGAACAACAAGCGAGAGATTCAGTGTGCCCATCTTTTTTCTTGTCGACGAAAGCGAGGCGAACGTTATTCAAGAACTAGAACAAGAGTTCACATCCTTGTCAAGCCGTCGACGGCACAGTTACAACACCAGCAGCGTTCGACGCTGACAGCTGCCTAATCATCCCTGTAGTTCTAGACCTTGGCGAGAGTCTGCCCTTCTGTGTCTTCGCTACCTTATTCCTGTTCCATGGCTTGCCCCGCTCTCATTGATCCGGGACTTGCTTTGAAGTGGCCGAAGCGAAAGTGCTGAGGTGTGCCCTCTTTTATGTGCCTGACGCCTCACTCAGATGCTTTGCATGTTTAAGTGTCGGCAAGACCTTCTCGACACAACTTAGGGAAAGCGGCCTCTTGAGCCGGTTGCTTCTCTTCAGCCGCTCGTTGCCCTACTCCAAGCGCGACTATGGGGAGTTCAAACTTCCCCGCGTCGTGGCAGAATAACTTGGGGCAGGGCCTTTCTTCAGACCTGCCTGGACTCACGGCAGGACGCAAAGAGGCCACACCTTGTCGATCTGCAAGGCAGATACGAAGAAACACAAGGCGAAATCTCAAGTTGAGAGGCAGTTTGATTGGACGCCTCATTTATGAGTTCAAGTGGTGCATGTGAAGACGAAAGATCCTATATCTTGCCTAGCTTCACGATACACGGCTGGAGCTGTAGATCCAACTACGTTTTTCTCACGGACAGCTCCTGGAGGTTCCGGATGACGGGACAGAATGAACATTAGCCTGGGCATTGGTTGACGAAAAGGATCCCACAACAGTAATTCCCTAGCCCTGTGAATGCCGTCACAATAACAGTTCGTCGACATGAGCGACGGTAGAGGAGATATCAACAATTGGTCAGGCCACATCTATGAACTGCACGCTTCTGCCTTCCGACCTAGCTGTACTACTCTTGATAGCACACCGCGTTATGTGCCGAACATAGTCCACGAGCTAGAGAGAAAGATGCTACTTCCATACATCGAAAAAGTAGAGAGGCAGCATCGCTATTCCGCCGTTGAAGTCCAGGTTAGATCTGTTAAGCCGGTGGAACAATTCTCGCAGCAAGCAAGACCAGTGCGGACAGCAACGCCTGCGCCAACACCAACAGCATTAACACCTCACTTCCTATCAACAACAACATCACCACAAACGTCAAAATCGAAACTGGTATCTGGGTCAGATCCAGATCCGTCTCAGCCATCAGATGCCTCTTCTGCTGGCAACGATGCAAATACGAAATATTCGGACAGAGTACAGACTACGAAAGACGAACCGTTTGGTGACACGAAATAGGCTCTTGGTCGGATCATCCTCCCTCTTTAGTCCTCCACTCTTTTTAGGATTGGCGTTGTTTGTTTTTGCACCGATTATTCGAGGAGGTTCAAGATGCCTGTGGCGAATTAGGTCATATTTGGTCATTCGTTCCTACAAATAGCTATGAGTCTCAGAGATGAATCAATTGCTGAAGGTAATTTTTGGTCCAACATGGCCACGACAAACCGGAAAAAAAAAAATTCCACGCCAATCAAGGCATTCCCATGAAGTGCTGAAGATACCATACAGTGTTTTTCTTTATTGCTAGTTCCAAGCTGCGCTGATCATTTTGTTTTAACCAAGGCCATGGAATACAACCCAAGATTACAGGCACGACACGAGATTGTCAAAACGAGTTCATTTGAACATATGGAGGACGGGACATTCCCACTATACGGGATTTGTCCCTCTGGCCTAAAAGATGAACTTGAGACCTCTTGAGAGTCGATAATGGCCACCCAACATTCGACTGCTTCTCGACCAACAGCTAATCTCATGTAGCGAACCACAATCTCTTCCATAGATCGTCCCGTAAGATCAGCCGCAAAGTTAAGTATGCGACGCTATTGGTTGTGCACCACAAACCTTGCCTCAGTTACGTCTGGCATCAAGAGTGGTTGGGACGATGCACAGCCTGAAAAGCAGCTGAGAGAAGATATGCACGTGATTACTTTTGGATCGTAGCCTAGGATGTTTGCACCGAAATGCCTGTTTGCGCTGAAGTAAATTTGCATGAGAGTGGAAATGGTCTGACGGGATAGCCAACTCTGGCCAATGCCACATGGAGCGCCCAGATTAGTTTCCTTAGAACATGCAAGTGAGTGAAATTACGCTGAGTAAAGACGGAAAAGACGTGGTAATTTTTGGTTGCCTTGAGGTCGTTTCGAAATGGAAGGAAAATCTGCCTGTTAACGGACACGAATGCGAATTAGACCGTTGGTTTGTATTTGAAATGTGCTTACTTTAGCTGGACACCGTTACTAAACGCAACCGCATCATCAGGATATACAAGGCGAACAGTAGACGGCCCTGGGCGTCGCTCAACCATCGTGCCCAAGTGATGCGAAATCTATGACCAGGCTGGAACACTCGCCGCGCATGTGACATTTCCTTTCCGTGGAATCCGTTAGCACAGCTCCATCTTTCGTCTCAAGTTTCGCTCTAGTGACTGAATCTTTAATCTTTATTTGCCATATATAGGGGTCGTCCTTGAAGGCCGCCAACGTTTCTTCGCGCTGGCCGAGGTTTGAATGGGAGAGGCTGTATCGACGCCGTGCTTGAGTGGAACATGGCGCAGACCGGCGTCGCGAAGGGCGTTGAACAAATACCGAATCCAGCGGCACTTGTCTCTTCCCCCCCCCCCCCTCACACAAACGGGCTCGTGAATTGCGTATGTGATTGAAGCAACCAGGTCTGATCGCGGAACGACGCTTCAAAGAGCAGCACGACTGTCGACGCGACACCATGGACGAGGGCGGCCAAGGACACAGCGAGGGCCCGATTACTAGTTCTAGTTCCACTGGCAAGCTTCGGCCTCGCAGCCCCACAGCAGTATCGATCCTGGCGTTTGGGGACTCGTTGACAGAGGGCTACACGGACTTTGGAGTACGATTTCACTCTTACGGATGTACGTTCATTTCTGGCTATCCCTTCATCCGCCCCTTTTACGACCGCGACAAGTAGAATAACCGTTGTTTCTTTTCCTTGTCGAAAAGCCACCCTTGCGAGGCGCAGAAACTGCTGCGCAAGCATCGCTTTTCGGGTCGGGCAGATTCTCCACGACGGCCGCGCTGCCTTTGCTGAGAAAGGTCCCAACTGTCCGGAATCGATGAACTCGGGTACGAGTGGGGCTGCCTCTTCGTCGTCGTCGTCGTCGCAGAAGCTTCGGCTTCATGAGGAGGCGAAGATACGAATTCTCGCGTTCGGCGCCTCGCTCGTGGCGGGATACACCGATCACGGGCGACGATATCATCCGTATGCACGTATGTATGCGCGCGGGACGCCGGCTTCCTCTCCGGCTACGTCGTTTTCCATCTTTTTTGACATGGGGAGGCGTCAAAGGAGAGCGTCCTTATCTAAGCTTTGCCTGCTTGGACGACCGTTCTCCACGAACAAACCGCGCTCTCTCCTCGTCGTCGGTTCAGCGCTAACGGGTCGAACGCAGTGGCGTTGAAGCCGGCGCTTCAAAAGCTTTGTCCGGGGCTCAAGAGGGTCACGGTCGACGTGGAAGGTCAGAGCGGGGACTGCGTCCTGACCTCACTGCGTGGAGAGTTCCAAACCCGGTTGCAGCACGCCGCACCCGCGGGCAAGACGAAATACGACCTCGTCATTATCTTGGGCGGCACAAACGATCTCGCTTACAAGCTCGATAGAGGCCTCGAAGGGGCCGAGGAGATCTTCGAGCATGGCTTGAAGGTGCTGTACGACTACGTTCTTGGAAGCACAGACGCGAGCCTGCTCGTCATGACCGTGCCGGAGCGAGCCATCGACAAGCAGAGCTCGCCGCTGGCAAAGCGCGCTCGAGAGGCCAGGGAGCACCTCAACAGCTTGATAAAGCGGTGGGCGGCGGAGCAAAAGGAACGCGTCTTTCTGATGGATCTGGCGCCCATGGTGCCGTTCCCGGCTAGCAACAACGACGACGACGATGGCCAGCCTGGCAAGGGTTACTGGAGCCCCGATGGGCTGCACATGTCGGTCGCCGGATACGACTTTGTGGGCGAGCAGCTCGCGGGAGTGATCCACAAGCTGCTGAGCGACTAGGTGGTTGAAGAATATGAGCGATTACAGACGACCTTATAATCCAGCACTTGACGTAGACTGAAACGAAAACCTCTACAAACACACACAATAAAAAAAAGACTTTCATCTCTTCCTCGTTGACGGCCTCGTCGAGAGGGACTACAAGGCCTTTGTTTTACTTTTTCTTAGTATTTTTTTTCCTACAATAAGCGCTGCGACGTGCAAGTTAGGATCAAACACATTTCCTGCGGGGAAGCAAGTTACACGCGCCAGACAGACGTGCTACTTGTCGTCAGCAGGATTTCTCCTCAACAGCCGCGGCAAATGCATCGTTCGACTCTCGAGAAGATTGTGTGGCATCTTCGCTAACGCGCAGATTAACTTGTTGCCATCCCTGTGGTCCCGGCTTAACGTATCTTCGGACGGGTTTGCTGATTCTCCTTGTATTAACAACGTCTCCTGGTGCCACCTCCAACATTCTACATTCGGATTTGTTTTTCCCTTTTGCGATCGGTCCGTGTAGACGGCATGGTGCGAGTGGAAAAGCAAAGGAAGATCCCCGTTTTTTTTTAATGGCATATCACATAAAACTCTAGCGATACCTTTTCGTTTGGGGCTCCAGCGGCATGAAAAGAACGTCTAAATCGTCTAGCTCTTCAGAGAGTTGTTCATGGCTTGAACTCCGTGGAGTGCTCGTGTCGAGTCCCCAAATTGGGATTCTGGTGAGACTGGCTCTGATGTAATGCGAACCGTCTGAGAACGATTGTAGCAAAGGAAGGGATCAAAGTCGACGTGTACCTACGAAGACGCACAGGCCGATCATCGACAAGGGGATTGATTGTTCTAGTAGGTGTTACGACGGCTTTTTGGTCCTGTGGACTATAGATGGTCATGTTTTGGATTTTTGATGTGACATTGGTTGCATGGCTTGAAGCGTCTGTCGGGGCTTTGGGTTGGGCGTGAAAGAAATCTATTCGCTGTCGTCAGTAGATCGAGAACAACGTCATGTGCTGCGTTGGAACAAGAAAGTCGTTGCGAGATGGGTAGGGCAGCAGGAGGAGACGCCGAGCTGCTTAATATTCTCTCTTCTTCCTAGGTTAGACGGGATGGAGCAGACTTGGAAGGTCCTCAACGAAGGGACGTTTCAAACATTGCGGAGTACATTTTTGCTTTCCCTTCACGAAGGGTCGACCCGTGTGCAGGGCAAGATAGCTAGGTCATGGCTAGACTTGGTTGTTCATTGACCAAGCACTGCACGAGTTGTACGGTCGACACGTGTAGAGCGCGTTTGCCGGGATCGAGACAGAGATGTGGGAGCATACTCCGAGCCGCAGATACCGCTCCACGGATGCGAAGACGGAAAACCAAAGCCACTGTAGTGTGAGGAAAAAAAAAAGCAAATTCTCTTTTTGATGTAGTGCCGCGACGCGACACGATGAAGGCTTCGGACTTTCGAGACGTGCGGGAATAAAAATCACATCTCGCTCCAGACCTCTCATCTGGCTCAGAGCATCTACGTTGCAAGGCTCCAGGTCGGAAAGCAGAATCCGGAACACGGGCAGCGCGCCGTACGCCAGATGTGGACGGCATAGGGCGCGCTCTGCTAACGTTAAGCCATGTTGCACCGCACCTGGACCCGATCAGCAGGCCATGTACGGATCTCGCTGTTCGAGCTAGCGGTCTAGAAGGGCTAGGCTGCAGATGAGAGCTACGGGATCAGTGGTACGAACTAACAGGGAAGGTCGTTGGACGTTGTGCAGCACGCGATGTTCGGGTGTGAGTGGATTGGGCCCGACGAATGCAACGGCATTATTACAGTGCAAGGCGACGTCCACCGGATAAGGGCTCGTCGGCAAGCGGCGGCGACAGCGGCAAAGTGCACGGGAGGGCAAACGACTCCCCCTTTTGATGCCCTCTCTTCATCGGTTGGTGGTTGCAACGCTGCAATGGCGGTCAAAGAAAGCAAGCCTATGCTTGCCTTGTTTGATTCTTTGGGCGTCAACCAAACAGCCGCCATCCGCGGTCTGAGGAAGAACGGGTCCGTTTGGTGAGGATGCATGCAAGATGATGCAAGCCAGAAGCGAAGATTGGCGACGAGCAAGGGAACACAGAGTAAGAAAGAAAACGAACAACGCGTGGGTTGATGGATAGACGGATAGACGGATGGATTTGATGGCTGTAAGGACGGATGGATGGGTGGACGGATGGCCTGTCAATGAATCAATTGAACGGAGGCTATCTATGGCATGTCGATTGGGCGCCATAGGGGAAGGCCGGGAAAGGCTGCGATGATGGCGAGCGTGGATGTGAAACTGACTCTCCTTCATGCAGGCCGTGACGAGGCCGGGGAGCGAGCGTGAATCGAGGTGGAGCTCACTGCAGCACACGGGCACTCTGACTTTGGTCACGGAAGGCAAACTTGGCAGCAGAGCGCACCTGGGGACACGGGAAAGACAAGGACGAAACGACCACTTGGCGGTGGTGTCGACGATGAGGACGATGATGAGGATGATGATGAGGATGATGATGAGGATGATGATGATGATGATGATGATGATGATGAACAATGTTGTGAACAATTGAAAGCGAGAGCTCAGGCGATGTGGAATCAGGCGTTCGAGGCAAAAAGCGTCAGTGTTTGGTGATGTAAGACATACCAAATATAGGAGCCGCTGGCAGGAAGAGCGCGGTACTTGTGTAAGTAGGCGGCGCGTACGCAGCAAGTTAGGGGGACGCGGGGGGTAAGGGGGATTGTTGAGGGCGCTGGACAGAAGCCCAGGCAAGCAGCGGCGCTTGGGGGGGTTTTGTGGGCTGGAGCCTCAGAGCAACGGGGAGGGGGGACGCTGACCATTAGGGGGTGGACGGAGGAGGGGTCGCCGATTGAGCGCAGCGCCCTGGCCGGTTCTGGGCGCTTGCCAGAACGCTACATGACCTGTGTAAAGCGGAACCACTCCAACAGGCACCGAGCAGAGGTCATTTAGCAAGCTGAACAATGCATGCAGCACAAGCGCAACAAGCCGTTTGGTGCCATTGCATCGGTCAATCCGCAGCGCCTGGCGCGACGCACCGGGCCCCGTACCGTGTCTGATCGTCGCCAAAGGCTGATGGAGAAAACGGAGGCCGTCAAAATGCCACAGTGACGGTGACGAGGACGGTGAAAGAAGCAATGACATGGACACGCTGACGGCTTCAGTGAGAGCAGACAATGGCAGACACAACGAAAATTAAGAAAAAAAATTAAAAAAAAAAAAAAAGAAGCTGGTGCGGCCTTTACGCCGGGTGCTGGAACGGCGTCTCAACATGACTTGTAGTGTGTTGCCTGTGCCCGTGCCCGTGCCCGTGCCTGTGCCTGTGGAATCGTCACGGCCGTCGTGATTATTGGCGTTGTTTTGCTGTTCCGGTGACGTGGATTGCCACCGCATCGACCACCCAAAGAGGAAGAAGAAGCCGCCGTTTGTTGGTGTGTCCTTCTTCTTCTTCTGCTGCTGCTGCTGCTGCTGCTGCTAGCGGTGCTTCTTCTCGCCGCTTCGTCTGCCGCCCGCGGGTTTGCCTTCTGCCGTTTGCCTCTTTGCCGTTTGCCTCTCCGGCTTGGCTGCCGGCGCTCCACCAAGGTTAGTGACACTGCTCCGGCCCCCAGTCGCGCATTGCCCAGCGGGCTGTGTTTGCTGGACTGTGCTGGAGTGTACCGCCCCGTTCCGGACCGTACTGCGCCGTTCTGTGCTGTACGGTGGCGTGCTGCAAAGTCTGCGTGCTCGCTCCGCCGTCCTCTCCCTCTGCCTGGCCGTCTCCTTCTCTCCCTCCTCACCTCGCGCCCTTTCACATCCTCTCTGCAATCCCACCCACACACACACTCTCTCTCTTTCTCTCTCAAACCGCCGACGCTGACCTGCGCCAGAAGGGCGTCTTGTGTTCCTTCTTGTTCATCGTCTTCTTCTTCTCCTTCCTCCTTTCTTCTTTGCTTTTCGCCTTCCTCTCCCCCCCGATTCGTCTCGTGTTTCGGCCCCTCTTGGCTGCTGTCCTCTCTCTGATCTCGATTGGGCTGCAAGACAAGCCTGAATTCTCTGTCTTCCCGCTCCTCGAGGCCCGGCCCAGGTACGTTGCTGGTCACCACCTCAGCCTGCTTGACTTCTTGCTCTTCCCTCCTTCCCTCCTCTCTTCCTCTTCCCTGCCCCGGCTTTGCTCGTTCTTCTCGTCCCCACTCTGCCACCTGACTGCCCTTTGGCTCTTCGCACCACAACTCAAACATCCACCCCCCCAGCCCACTTCGGCCGCTTGTCCTTTCACCGCCTTGTTCATCATCTGCCTTCTTGGACCTCACCGGTTCTTCCGACATCCACAACAACAACAACGTCTGCAACAACAAGGCTAACCCCTCCAGATACTTGGCCATCTCCCTGCCACCCACTCGCTCGTCTCGGCTGCTCTTATATCACACACACACACAGTCGTGCTCTAGCAGCAGACGACCTTCAGTATGACGACCATGGTACGTTGAGCACATCCCACGCCTTCACCCCGCTCCAGCCTCTCTACCTTGCTGGGACGTCCTCTGACTCTTCTTTGCAGGATCTCCGGGTCGGCAACAAGTACCGCATCGGCCGCAAAATCGGCTCCGGTTCTTTTGGCGACATCTACCTCGGTACGACGCCCTCGTGTCCTCCGCTGCTCGACACGTAACGGACATGTCGACAGTGCGTTGTTCGTAGCACACGGCGTGATACTGATCTGTTCTCCTTTGTAGGCACAAACATCATCTCCGGTGAAGAGATTGCCATCAAGCTTGAGAGTGTCAAGGCCAAACACCCACAGCTCGAGTATGAGGCTCGCGTCTACAAGTCCCTCGCTGGCGGTGTCGGTATCCCGTTCGTGCGTTGGTTCGGCACCGAATGTGACTACAACGCAATGGTCCTCGACCTGCTCGGCCCTTCCCTTGAGGACCTCTTCAACTTCTGCAACCGCAAGTTCTCGCTGAAGACGGTGCTGCTTCTTGCCGACCAGCTCATCTCCCGCATCGAGTACATCCACGCAAAGTCCTTCATCCACCGCGACATCAAGCCAGACAACTTCCTGATGGGCATCGGCAAGCGTGGCAATCAGGTCAACGTGATTGACTTCGGCTTGGCTAAGAAGTACCGTGACCCTAAGACGCACTTCCACATCCCCTACCGTGAGAACAAGAACCTCACCGGTACCGCTCGTTACGCGTCAATCAACACCCACTTGGGCGTCGAGCAATCCCGCCGTGACGACATGGAGTCTCTTGGCTATGTCATGCTCTATTTCTGCCGGGGCTCCCTTCCCTGGCAGGGGTTAAAGGCCGCCACCAAGAAGCAAAAGTACGACCGAATCATGGAGAAGAAGATGACAACCCCAACCGAGGTCCTCTGCCGCGGCTTCCCCAACGAGTTCGCCATCTATCTGAACTACACGCGCTCTCTCCGCTTCGACGATAAGCCGGACTACTCCTACCTCCGCAAGATCTTCCGCGATCTCTTTGTCCGTGAAGGCTTCCAGTACGACTATGTCTTCGACTGGACCGTCTACAAGTACCAGAAGAATGCACAGGCAATTGCACAGGCTCAGCAGAAGGATCCGGAAAACAAGGAGGCCGACACCTCCAACCAACCCCAAGCTGGAACTGCCAAGCCAACTGGTACCCGCAGCGGCCGCCCCGCCAACGCAGTGTAAGTTTGTACATTTCACTTATCTTTGCCTTGATTTGTTCTTGCAGACAAATGGAACGGTGCCGGCCCTCCGTGGGCGACACAGCAGTCCACAGTCCACGCACAAAAACGCTGTACAACCTCGATTGCGGCATGTCTCGATCGAGCCCAGATATTGTAACGCACGCATGGAACAGTGTGCTAATGTCTTGGTGCGACTCAGGGACAGCAGCGCTCGCGGTACGCGCGGCGGCACCGGGATGTGAGTGCCATGTCTGTAGGCTTTCAGCCTTGTGTTTGTAAGCACTGGTGCACATTTCTTAACTTGGTCTACCCCGCCCAGCCCTACAACCCCTCTCCTCGTTTCTTCCTTTCAAAATGGACAGCCAGTTTTCTGAGCGTGTACTGATTTATCTCGGGTGAGCAGACAGAGCAGTGCGCGCACTGGCACGATGCAACTTCGCTCACACACGCGCAAGGATGAGGCCAATAATTATTGAACATCGATGACGAGGCAGTCTTGTCGTGCATGATTATGAAATCAGCTGGAGCGTGACTGCCGTGGTTCATCTTTCTCCTAACAAACCACCACAACTCCTGTGAAACGCGGCGTCGCCGCTTGGTCGGCACCTAATGGCGGCACCATACACCATGTCATGTCGTATTGTGGTTTTCGGATCTCAATTTCCCGGCGCGGCGTGACAGCGTCTGCATAATACGTGAAGAGCATCGGTTCTGCATCAACGGACAAACACGAAGCGAAGCGTATTTTAAGTGGGCAGGGCTCTTCATCCTCTACCTCTCGGAACGTGTGAAACGCGGCATCGAGTGCACGAGTAACTTCTTACATGGGCAGCCCCCCCCCTCACCGCAGTCACTGTCAGTATTCGGCAATGTTGCTCTCAGGTGGTTCCTCTCCTTGCGCGTACATGGATTTTTGGTTCTCATTGTGTCGGTCTCTACTCAGTCAACCTAATTTGCCCCCATCCCCCCTTTGCCTTGCAATTTGAGTTTTTATTCCAGAATCAGTATAGCTTTACTCGAGAAAGATATGCACGATACGGCACAACGGACAACAGCAGCACCACAATACATCCCTTGGCATGTTCTACCAGCTTCTGGGGAGGTTCAACGAATAAAAACAAAAGTGGTCCGGGGACGTTTGCCACAACCAAAAAAAAACACCAAATTGTCATTTTTTTTTTCCAAGAGGTAGTTGCGGCGGTAGACGAAAGCAGTGGGGAAGGGCAAGACGAGGTGGGACGCGACTTTACAGCGCCGGCTACGGAATGAGCGCTTTTAGAACGCTTTTCACAAAGCTGAATGAGATGCTCATCGCGGTGCAAGGGAAAGACACTGAGGGAGCAGAAAAGGTCTCGTGTCTGTACGTTGGTTCCTGGCGGTTTTGATAGTTTAGCAATTCTATGCTCTCTTTTTTTTTTCCTTTAATAGAAGGCATCACGTTCTCGACCACTTTGCACCCCAAATTGTACGGTCTGCCTCGAACAGGAATATTGACCGTAGTACGGAGGCGACCGGATGTGCAGACGAACGTGGATGGAACCGCGGATCATGTGGGAACGCGCGTTGGCGTTTGTCCCCATGAAAACGTGCGTCCAGGAAATTACCTGTTTTGGAAAAATAAGATTCTTCGGCTTGGATTAGCCCTCGTCGCCGTCACTATTGAAGGAATCCAACCAACATCATTGTGAGCACTCTTGTGAGGACGAAATAAAAATTCCCCCTGGTGGAATTCATTGCGTTTTGCTTCATAAAGATGCTCCAGTGGAGATCAACGTGGTCGATATGCCCGCAGTGTCGGCTCCGTTTACTAGGTTCAGCATTGAACAGGAGGATCCTTCCTTCTACCAAAGCAACTTTGGCGACTCTAGAATCGGGAATGCTACGGCCGCCGTTGCGAGCACAGCTTATTTCATCGTCGACAAGGGCAAGGTTTCTGGCGACGTCGAGTTCACGCAGTGCGCAAGAAACGAAGCGATCGGGCAAGGAAATCGAAGCCCGCGACCATTCACCTCCGCCCATAGAGGATTTCGACACGCCGCCCGAGCTACGCGAGCCAACACGGAAAGAGGATGAGGGTCAAACAGATGGCACGTTTCCCGACGTGGGGGACAGTTTAGAGCCTGGCGGGCTGAGAGCCTCCCCAGAAGAGATGGCAAAGGCGGCTCGCAACTTTTTTGGAGACTCCCTGCCGCAGGGCGCGTTGACGCACACCGAGTTTATGATATACAAGAGAATGTACGGGGAGCCATCAGCCATAACGACTGATCACCTGGCCAAGACGTCTGGAGAAGGCCAGGAGGATAGCGCTGTGCTTCTCAGGGAGAATGAAGACGGTACCGTCGATGAGTTTGAATATGTCGAGGAACATGAGGAAATTGAGATGGTTGGCCGCGATGCGGAGCGGCATGGCGACAAAAACGACGACTTGGACGAGCTGACGGACGAGCCTGCTACCTTGCGCAGGCCGTTGATCGATCTGGAGGTTCAAGAGGCGCTCGCCACGGTGGAAGATACATCTCTCACGTTTGGCGAGATCGCGGAGGAGACGGGGCACTCGAGGTCCAGAACGCGAGATGAGATCCTGGAGGAGATTTACGAGAATTGGCCAGAGGACGACAATTTCGTCCGCACACATCCTTTCACGGAAGCGGGCAAGTTCGGCACGAAACCGTCGACGCTCCAACTGCCACGTGAGGCGTTTGTTGCGCCGGTCCAGGCCATGCTTTCAAACGTATCGAACAAGCATCTGATCGAGGCAGCGCACAAGTCCTTGGGCGGCATTGGCATTCCAGACTCCCCGTCCACGCCAGCGATTGGGCGCAACAAGGGACAACGGCCGGTGCCTCTGACGGCGATGCAGAGCAAGATGAGCCCGATGGAGTCAAATGTATTTGTGAGCAGCATCATGCCGCAGATGTACGCCAGCGCCGTCAGCGTGCTCGTGGAATGCAGAAAGAGAATGGGCAGCGCATGGCTGAGAGGGCTGATACGGAAAGAAGGTGGGCCCTTAGTGCTGGACGCAGGAGCTGGTGGAGCAGCCATTGTAGCGATCAGGGAGCTGTTGAGAGCGGAGTGGGAGAGCATGCAGGAAGACGATGGCAAAAGCAAGGAGCCAGACGCACAAGGGCGAAGCAGAGCGCCGGTAGGCAAAGCGACGGTGGTAACAGGCAGCGACTCGCTGCGGCACAAGGCCAGCACGCTGCTGGAAAACACGACGTTCATACCGCGACTGCCAGGCTACATCGACCCCACGGAGACGGAAAGCAACACGCAGCAGCCGCGAAAAAGGTACGATATCATTGTTGCGTCCCATGCGCTCTGGTCCCTGACGGAGGAGCACGAACGCAAAGCGCGCACGCAGACCTTGTGGTCGCTGCTCAACCCCAACGGCGGTCTTCTGATTCTTATCGAGAAGGGCGTGCCCAGAGGATTCGAAGTCATCGCCTCTGCGCGTGATCTGTTGCTTCGCAAGCACATCTCTTCCCCCGGAGATGAAAGCGTCGCGGAAGACCAGCGAAGTGCGTCAAAGGAGACCGGCGACAAGAAGGAGCGGTTCGCGGTGAAGGAGAAGGGGTGCATCATTGCGCCTTGCACGAATCACACACAGTGTCCGCTCTACCCGGTTCCGGGTGTCAGTCGTGGAAGGAAGGATTGGTGCTACTTCCAGCAACGGTACATACGACCTAGCTACCTCATGACGGTTCTGCAAGCGAAGGCCAGGAACCACGACGACGTCGAGTTCTCGTATCTGGCCGTGCAGAGAGGGGTCGACGTTCGCACCAAGGAGGATGATCTGCTCTTCGGCCAAGGTTTTGAGCAAAGAGATAGCGCGACGGAGAGGGCAAAGGCAGGATACGGTCCGAAACGATCGGGCAAGAGGGGAGGAGAGGAGGCGGGCGAGAGACAAAGCGAGAACCCAGCGGCGGCGGCGGAGGAGGAGGAGCAGGAGACCGGAGACGCCGCCCAGCAGCAGCAGCCGCAGCCACACCCGCTGTCGCTGCCTCGCATCGTCCCCGCGCCGCTCAAGCGCAAGGGCCACATCCTCCTGGACGTCTGCACGCCCTCCGGCACGTACGAGCGCTGGATGGTGCGGCGCGCTCTCGGCAAGCAGGCCTTCCGCGACGCGCGCAAGGCCAAATGGGGCGACCTGTGGGCGCTCGGCGCGAGCTCCACGGAGGCCCGCAGGGTCAAGCTCGGCACGCCGATCGAGGTCGTTCGCATGGCGACTAAGAGGGAGAGGGAGAGGTCCAAGGGGTGGCGCAAGGGCCGCGAAGGCGGAAGAGGAAAGTGGCAGTATGGCGAGGCGGCCATGGGTGCGTAGACGGTCCGGTTGGTGCGATCAATAGAAACTTCAGTCTTGCAACAACTAGTTCTGTGTAACGAATAAATCGTGTTTCCGGGGATCATGAGGTTGTATATATAGCTTACAGTATTATCTTCTATCTCCAGCATAGATTTCGTAGATCGGTGGAATTACCGGATGAACTTAGATAAGGTCGAACTTCACGATTTGGACTCCGTGCTTTTGCAGATGTTTTGCGGTTAATAATGGGTAATGAGGAGCCGTGCCAATCCATTTCAATCGCAACTGGCTTTCACGTCTCACTAAACGGCGTAAACGTGGATCAATTTCCGTTGTTTCTCCAGTTGCGTCATTGACGTATTGATGTAGGATTTGATTCTTTCCAATTTTGCGCCGCCAACCGCTTGGAAGCTCGCCAAATAAACCTTCCCCGTGTTGGAAACCATAGATGTAGCATTCACCAACAAGCCGATATCCACCAGGCACCTTGCGGGCGACGAGATGCTGTCTGCATCCTAGAACTACGACGATATCGTCTCCCCGCCTGGCCTCCGGTGGTCCTAAACCCATGTGGCCGTCAGAGGTCGTTATGAACGTGCGACCCTCACAAGCATTCAAGAAGGCGAAAGAGAATTGCTTGAGTGAACGCAGAAGAGGCTCGTCAGCTTGCTGGTCTCCTGTGCAGAGCACGCGCAAATAATAATTTACACAATCCACGACATTTTGAAGTGGGAGCGCATTCGGCTGCGAGCATGCTTCCGCAACAAGGCCAGCAACGATTGTGGTGCAGTAAGCCTCAAACTCGGCACTGTTATTATCTTCAGGGCGTCGACCCTGTGTGCCGCATGTGGACAAATTCTTCGTCACTTCGTGGGCAAACAGCTCAACTGCGCGGGAAATGGTTTGGGGGAAGGGTGTTGCATTCTTGACGGTCCCGACGCACACTCCGGCCACTCTTAGAACTCCGGGGGCTAACAGTCTCGCTTCCGATCGAGTCCAGCCATCGGCCGCATCCCGAAGCATGCCGACTGTTCGTCTTGGTACAGGCGATGCCCAAGTGGATTCTTCGGAGACGGTCTGCGCCAGCTCGAAGTTCGCAAGAATGTCCGCGCGTTTCTGATGGCATATCATCTTCCAGACCAAATCTCGATAAACTTCACTTAGTGAATTCCCATAGTCGGGTGTGATTTTGAGATCCCCTTCCACAACTTCCATCAGGCCAAGCATGCCGTACACTTTGTCCTTCGGATCGGTACATTCTGATGCCTGCCCGAGATGAAACAGTCCGATAGCCGTCTGTTTCTTTGCTGAAAGCACGACATTTGCTCGATGGATGCCATGGAATAAAGCTTCGAGGTTCTCTTTAGGGCTTTCTGATGCAACGCCTTTAGTTACGAGGGCGTTGATGGCTTTTTCCAGGACAAACCAACTGAGCGAAGACGAAGAAGACATAAACACAATGTTCTCCGGCTTAGGGAGAGCAGCTTCTTGAAGGATCCAGACTCGGTTAAACCACGAGTTGGCAAAGAAGTGAACAAGAGCTAGAACGTCAGTCTGACAAAGCGAAATGCGGTTATAAGAATCTATCCATGCGCGCTCTTGCTCATTTCTACTCTCAGCGATTGTGTTGTCTAGTAAGCGTACAGCGGGCAGGGATCCGAAGTCCGTCAAAAGCTGGAACGCTCTAGAGCCAGAATGATCGCTTTCACCTAACCAGACGATCACTTCCTGGGCACCGGTATATATGTCGCGCATAAGAAGAACTTGTCGCCCGCGTTCTTCCGGATCCGACTGGCATATGGAAAGCGCATCGATCCAGACAAGGCGATGACGGTCACGGTACCGAAGCTTTTTTAGAGCAGACTCGACATGCCTTGAAACAGAAAAGACCTTGTCACCGGCCACAGTCAGGTGAGCAGAGTATTCTCTCTCGCCCCAAGCATAGGATAAAGCAGTATATTGTCGTTGTGACGCAGAAGCGAGCGAAACTGTAAGAATGTTGATTGAAATCCACTCCTGTGGTTCTCCAGGCAAAATCTCAAGTAGCCGTATTTGTTTCCTCGCGTTGTTTAGGCGATTGTGGATGAATGGCCGGAGGCCTAAAGATGCGCTTGTCGAAGTTGTAGGTGGTAAATGACCCTTACAACAATATTTATGGCCGTCTGTCAAGGCGTTTGAAAGAAGGTCTTTCACGGGACTCATTTCCAGGAAGATGGAAATTGGCAAAAAAGACGACTTGATGCACACGGCGCTACGGCTTCTGCACCCCTTGAAGCCCAGTTGAAGGCAGGGAGACAACCCGGCGGCTAAGCCTTGTTATGAGTGGAGGATCCCATGCGCATGATCTCTGTGTCTGTTGCCTGTGACATGGCGAGGATCCAGAAGAAACGCAAGGACACTTGAAGACCTTTTTAGGGGAAAAATCACATCGGATCGTTGATCAATTGACAAGACATGGGAGCGCACTCACGGTCAACCCTCCTTTAGTCTATCCGCTTCACAATATCATGGATGGCGATGTGGATAACACCAATACTTTCAATTGTCGACGAGTCCATAATTTTCCATGCAGCTTTCTTCGACTCATCTCATTTGGGAATTTTCGTTTCCAGCAATATCATCTTCTCTTTAAGAGAATTTTCTTGCCTTAATGTGTCCACACCGCATCCCATAATGAGTTGAGCAACATCTACACATGGGTATTTGTAGAGAAGCTTGGATACGCTGGTCTCTCTCTCTCCATTTCTTTTTTCTTTTTTTTTAATCTTTTTAAACGGTTATTGTGCGGGTTCGACTCAATTCGATCTCTGTCATTATATTTAAAAGTGCGTCAATTTCATTGTCCACGTTAGTTACCATGATCTGCCAGATAGCAATTCCGTCCTGTAATAGTGTCAACTTCACATTATGTGTACCATTGGGCTGTTGTACATATGACTTGATTCGAACCTCATCGCTGAGTGAGTACTGCTTAAATAGAGCCTTTGTGATCCTCATTCTAAGTGCCTCTGTGTAAAATTCATCTTCACTACCGCTAGCAAGCGCCTGGGACGGCTTGCTTCCTTTTGTACGGAGTTTGGAGCGATCAGAGTCAGATGAGAAATGCACAGATTTCCTTGCTGTGTACTTTGGTTCAGAGCTTGAATTCAAGGCCTGTGGCATTGCATTCGCTATTATTTGAGATATTCGTATGGGTTGCACGTTTGGACGTCTTTTGTAGTAGTCATTATCATCATCACCTTCGTCATCGATACTTTCGCTTTTTGATGCGCGTCGTACCGCTTTAAGTGAGGGAGAACGGGACCATCGCCCACTAGCTGTTGCGCAAGGAGAATTTGAAACTTGACGTGTTGCACTGCGCTCACTCTTCCTGGACCTGGTCTCTTCCTTCTCAACTTCTCTGGGTTGTCTACCGCCCTCGTATACAGTGGGTGAAATACTGTGCTTTGATGAAGCGGTTGAGCCCTCCACGGGAAGTCGTTCACCTCGAGGGCGTTTTGTGCCTTTGTTTAGCTTATTCAGTGTTCCCTGCGAGTGTAATCTGTCCATAGAAGGGGCTGATTCAAACTTTTGCCTTGGATGAAAATCCTTAAAACGTGATAAATATGACGCTGAATTGTATGTAGAGCCAGAACCAAATCCTCTTTGGTGCTTCCGCCCTGGATGTTGTTTAGAAGCAGGAATATGTTCTAAGGGGATCGAACTATAGATAGGCAACCGTCCTCGGTCTTGCTTGTCTTCTTTTCCCCATGGACTTTGTTGCGTTCTACCGACTGCAACGGATCTACGCTCCTCGCGTAAACGAGAAGTCGATACTCTACTTTTATATAAAGGGCGAAGCCGTGGCGGCTGATTGAAGTAATCGGAGGGGAGCAATTCAATTTTATGATCTCGAAAAATAACTTGCGCATCATCGCATCCTGTCAAAAGTGTTGTGCAATACTTCGATCGGTATGGTATCATTTGCCTTTCGTAGCAATGAGGCCGAACGAATTCATACATTCGCTTTCCACTCCGTCGTCGAATTGACGGCGACAAGACCAGATAAGAAATGGTCATGGCAGCTTCGAGAGAATGATGTCAAAAAGAGTGTGGTGCGTTATGGATAGTATGCGACAGATTTATTCTCTTAGTGTCTCCTGATGCTAATATGTTTCAATCTCAGGTGTTTTACGAAAATGAGAAATAGCAGCCTGTCTTGTGAGGGATAGGTTTACGACCTGAAAAGGCAAGAAAAATCAGTGGATTGAATAACCCCCTTTGAATTTAACATACACTGAGAATCGTGTCAGACACCAGACAAAGAAACAATGTCGCCATTGTTTCTCTTGCGCGACTACTTAGCCAGCATAAAGGCTCCTTCTAATCTGTATAGTTTGAAAAATATCTCTTTCACCTTCCTACGATGATTAATGAACAAACATTATCGTGTCAACTTCTCCTCTATTTCTTAACGCTTTGTTTGGGATGGCGAAAGTCCTCCCTTTGTGGGTATGGGTCAACTTCATATAATTGCGATTTGCCGGGAGGTCATTTGACATAAAGACCCAGAACTACTCAGTGTACATGCTATGCTTCAGAAATGCGAGAGACCCGGCCTCTCCAAGCTATGCCTTTCACGTTCTATTTGCGTGAGATCGATTGACAAGTGATAAAGAATGCTAAGAACTGCAAAATGCGAGTATCGGAGTGCGAATATCATTAACGAAAAAGAGTAACTGTCAAACATACATGCGGCTATGAATGTTTCTTAAGCCAGGAGAATGGGTTGTTGACGCAAAGGACGTATGATATCCAATCCAAGTGGGTTGCTGCTATTCCTATGCCATGACATCAACTTTTAACGAACCAATTCGAAAGGGCCGCAGAGGCTGTATTTTCTCCGATCCCAGTTTCTGAACATCTAAAGGCAGTCTGCGCAGCATTCGCAGCAATCAGCGCAACATTCGCAACCCTCCTCGCAAACGAAGCAGCAGCAAAGAACTGCAAGACAGCTCGCCAGACAACCTCTATCCTTCTGTTGTTGAGGGGGGGGTCCTTGCTGATACTGCATTGGTGGAGGGCCTTGGTAGTATTGACCTTGTGGAGGTGCGTAACCGGGCTGTCCATAGCTATGTTCATCTCGTCAGTACGATGACCAGGGTAGTCGTATACGATGCGAGAACGGCCGAAGCGTACGCTTGAGGAGGATATTGCATTCCACCCTGCGGGGGACCGCCGTAATATTGTTGCGCAGACATGTCTTATCGTGCTAGGTGAATGTACAGGTCTATGGTATCTGCTGTCAGCGCAATTTTCTCCTCTGTGCTGGTCACGATAGGGGGGACATTAAATATGCACTCACATGATAATTTAAGTACAATATGTTTGATATCAGCAAGAAAAACAGCGCGAAGATATAGGCGCACGTATGTTATGTACAAAAGGGGAGAGAGAAGTCGAAGGTTATGAAGGGGAGGAAACAGAGTTGCGGTCGACGACGCTTGGAGTTCCAGAAGTAAGAACAACTGGCCAATGATCCGACCATTTAAAAGCGGGGGCACGACCACACTGCCCTCTCACAAGTCGTCCATGTGCTGCAGCAGCGGCGATAAACAGGCGCGAGCAGCCAGCATCGCTAGCAAGGCCCAGTGGCCCACGGAAGAGCCAACGGGCGAATGTGCGAGCGGATGCTCAGCCACAACAGCCCAACGCAGCTGGTCATCATCTGCAGCCTCTGCCGACACGCTTGAACACTGCCCTCATCATTACGGCATGGGCTTGCCCTGCTGCTGCTTGGTGCAAAGGACCCGCCGGACTGTGCTGGGCTAGTTCTAGTGGCCGAGCCACACCGCGGTTGGTCTGAACGGTCTGGTTCCTGTGTCTCGCAACCGTCGTCAACAGCCATGTGATGCCCGACTACACGGACAGCGCATTGCCATGCCAGCTGTTCTGCTCAAACACTTTATATGACAGGTACACAACTCCTAGTGTTTCAAGAGTCAGCTGAGCTCGCATTTCGACCATTTCAGCACCGAGGAGCCTTTGCGTCTCCGGACTGCCGTGCACAAGCTTTTTGCCAAGATCGACAAGCTAATCTGCTTCGAAGGCGCAGCGCCTGTGTGACAAATCGTGTGCCATGCTCTGTCCAGGGCTGGCGAAGAAAAAAAGAAGCCGTTTTCCAGTGGCGCAGAGTGATATGAAACGTCGGTATGAGCAAAACGAAGAAGACTAAAATTCGGTCCATTGTTTGGCCTTCGTATTTGGACTTTCGATTGACTATACTATGCAATGGTGCGATGCGCGGAATTCCACAGCAAGGAAATTCATTGCGAGCCAAGGCTCAAGATGGCTGATGACGCCTCTCCATGTCGACCAATTTTCGTTTCTTTCATACACCCAGCGCTTGCTTCGCAGCGGTCCACAATGCATCACGATCAGACGTATCAGTAGTCTGCACACACGACGTCATGAACGACGCCCATGAAGCATCTGCCGCCGTTGAAAACTGAGCGATTAGATCTGGACATTTCGTCTTCATGTACCACGCGCCGCCACCAAAGCTGCTGGCATCGTCGCCGTTGACGAGGTCCAGCACTGCGGCAGGCGATCCGGCCGCACTAACTTTATCCGCGCCGACGACGGCAGTGGCATATTCAGAAACGAATTCTGGCGACATCATGCACCGCGTACCTTTACCTGGTGTCCCTGGGGCCGGGAAGTGGTTCATCTTGTACTTGAGCTGGCCTGACTCAAAGAGTTCCCAGGCCATGATTGCGGCTTGTGCCCCTTTGGTGGTGATGCCATACTTGGCGAAAGCAGAGTTGAATGCAGGCGCTGCTTGGTTGGCTGTTGCGCATTCGTCTGGATAAGGTGCGCTCGAGCACGTACTCGATTGTGGCGCAATTGCAAGCACCATATCGGCGGTGATGAGGCCGACGTCGCCGTCGCCGCCGGTGCTGCTGCTGCTGTCACTCGAGATTGGGGAAGAAATCGCTGACGCAGTATGTGGGGTCTGCGCTGCTGCTGCTAATCACTTGTTAGTCGGCCTGAATGCAGCGTATCTGATCCGTCATGCGGAATCGGGAGAGTTACTAGGAGTATTTAAGGCAGAGGTTGTTGTGGGTGCCTGTACTATAGATGTAGCGAATGAGGCTAATGGAGACGATTGTTGTTGTGATTGGGGCTTCGCCGTTGGCGTGTTTTGAGAGACTGGTGATACCGCTGAGGACGGGGACTGGCCTGGCTCAAGATAGATGGTAGTTGTAAGATACAGAATGCCGTTTGAGATAACACCACCTGGAGGTGGAGTGTACACGGCTTGGGCATTCTGCTGAACAACTGCTATGGATGATGTTGACGATGGTGATGATGAAGATGCTACAGCCGAAGAAACTGCTTGGGAATGTTTCGGGAAATCACCATGACCTGGATGAACCCACCACCGCGGCGCAGCTGCTGAGAAGCATACTAGAAGCAGAATTGTATTGAGCGTACGTGCGGGCACCATTGCTGGTCCTTTGTGCAAAGACTTGTAGGCGGTTTCTTTGCAAAGCGTTTCGAGAAACAGATTGTTTATAAATGAGCGAATGTTGGCCTTCCTGAAGGTCACAGAGATTGTGAAGAAAAGAAAAATGAAGATTAGGATGTCACGTTCAAAGAGCGCACCTCGGCCGAAAAAGAATGTATGCCCACTCAGACTTGTGCACAGCACGAGTGCAAGTAACAGGCAATAACAATGATGCTGCTCAAGCAATGATATACAGAAGTAGCACGGCACTTGGACATGACAGACATTTTAACGCGACTTACGATCCCAGGGGCAAAGCCCCTAGTGCGTATGATAGTGTTCGGCACAAGCGAAAGGCATGGTCCTTGTGCGGACAGCACTTTGCTGTCCAGGACAAAGACGGGCTTCGACACGCCTTAGATGACGATCAGTATGTGTCAAGGAAGCGCTGGCAATGGTCGACGGTCGATTGTCAGGGGCCACATCGGTATGGGTTGTGTTTCGGGCTGTGAGGCGTGCCATTGGCTGCGCAGAAAGAGTTTGGAAACGAAGGTAACGTCTTGGCTCGGCATCAACGAGGAAAGGCTGGTGACTCCATTGATAACTTCTGGACGAAAAGTGGAAGGCCTCTGGGACCTTTTGGGTTAGTTGAGGCAGCGTTGATAATGGGGAAGAACCCATGGCGTCGCCGCAGTAGGGTTGCGTGTGGGTGAATGCGTGCGGGCAAAGGGCTGAACTGTCCAGGATGTCGGGGTGAAATCTCGGCGAAAGAATCACCGCGCGATGCCTAATTCATCCACGGCATGGCATTTCAAACTGCAATTTTCTGAGAACATCGACTACCAAGGCGGCGACGTTCGCGAGCGTCCAGTCTACCAGCTCTTCTGCATGTTCAAACAGCCGTGGGTGTGTGCTTCATGCCTCGCGAAAGGGTTTCGTGTCTCTCGTAGAGTGCAGAGGGCCGCCCTGAGTAACAGTCAGTCTTTACCAGTTGCAAGAACTTTGAATCGAACGCTTTGGCAACTAATCAGCCAATAGTCAGCCCACTACGACAAGCGGATGTGTCCAGTGCTACCATATATCCAGCACTCCTCTCACGTGCTCGACGCATAGCTGCGGAACATAAGCTGTTGTCCAAGCAGCTGGAGAACGACTATTCTCTTGCGATTGCGAAGAAGGCGGGCGCTTTGGCGTCCATAGTCGACGAGCTGCAGAAATGGGAGAAGGCAAACGAGTCGTTGCGTGAGCTCCAAGAGCTCCTGCGTGACCCGGCTACAGATGCGGAGCTGAAAACGCTGGCGTCTGAAGATCTCGAATCCACAGTGGCACAGCTGCATGGTGCTTCGCAAAGTCTTACCGCCTCGCTGGTCCCAAAGCACCCATTTGCGGATCTGCCATGTCTCATAGAGATACGACCTGGTGCTGGCGGATCAGAGGCGGGGCTCTTTGCTCATGACCTGCTACAGATGTACAAAGGCTTTTGTTCAAGCAGGGGGTTGCGAGCTACGGTTCTTGAAGAGAAGAGGGACGATGGCACAAATGGGATGGCAATTGTGGAAGCTGTCTTGTCTGTCGAGTCGCCCGGAGCGTACGGTATTTTAAGATGCGAGGCCGGCGTCCACAGAGTACAGCGCGTGCCGGAGACCGAGAAGATGGGCCGTACACATACAAGCTCTGCTTCTGTCATGGTGTTGCCTTCCTTCAGCGACGGCGCTGTTGAAGAGATGGACATTGATGATCCCAAAAGCGACTTCTACGTCGATCCCTCTGAGGTTCGAGTGGACGTTATGCGCGCATCTGGCGCAGGCGGCCAACACGTCAATCGTACAGAGTCCGCCGTCCGCCTTACCCATATCCCGACCAATACCGTAGTCTCCATCCAGACAGGACGTTCGCAGCTGCAGAATCGGAAAACGGCGTGGGAGATCTTGCGAGCACGGTTAGCCCAATCACGAAGGGAGAAACGGGAAGAGGAGATGCTCGCCATGCGGAGGAGCGTTGTGGGGGTAGCCAAGATTGGTCGTGGGGATAAAATACGAACATACAACTGGTCACAGCAGCGTGTCACCGATCACCGGAGCGGCCTAAGCGTGCACGGAATAGATGGTATCATGGCTGGCGGTCCCAATTTAGAAAAGCTCATGGACAGCGTGCGGAAATGGATGGTAGAAAAAGAGGTCGAGAGTATGATTGCTGAAGTCAAGGATAACGAGAATGGAGAGATCGCGACGTCAAAGTCTCCTCGAGAGTAGGGTTTAGCTCTACGTCAGTGAGCACTTGCGGACTGCTAGCCATGATGAGATGCTTTTCCAGAACTAAAGTCACACTGAACTGTTGACGAGGGCTCATTTCATGAGCTAATCATTTCCTGGTTATTGCCTTAATTGTACATTACCACAAAAGTCTCAAAGACATCTTTCTTGACATCAAAAGCTGTCGAGCACACTAAATTTAGAAGCAACAGCTTAAACGGTAATGGCACAAAATGAAAGCATGCTACCGGATATGTGGAAATTTAGCTATCCTCTTTATGACGATTTATGATTGAAGCCGAGCCTAAAAGCAGGAGGCCGATGATCTACATCAAGATGAGCTCTGGTCCCGCCTCTATTCCATGAAGACCTCTGGGAACACAAATTAATCCTCCAGATTTCGCATAGGGTATATCGAGAAACAAAACCTAAACGCCAAACCCTTGAACCTTTGTTATCCAAGCGCGAAATACGTTCTGAGTGGCATATTACGCCGAGTCTTTTCCGCCACTCTTTTCCTTCTCGAACATGCTCTGCAACTTGTTTTTCGCATCCTCGAATGTGCTTGAGATCCACTCCCACCACTTGTGCAGCTTTCCTTTGTGAGAATCCTCGGGCTGTGTTGTTTGCACCGGGTTTTTCGGAGCTTTGGTTGGATCCAAAGGATCTGGTGTCAGGAGTGTGGCCGGCTCAACAGGGTTGAGGGTAGGAGTTGGTCCTTCAGTCGAGGAAAGCGGAACAATGGCAGTATCTTTACCCACGCCTTCCGACGGTGGGTCGTAAGGGGTCTCTATTTGTGGGGCATCGGTATCTGTGTGCTGGCCTACAGGCTTGAATGGCAATCTAATTGTTCCGTTATTTGGAGCAGGATTGATGCCTAAGGTATCGCAAACGATGTTATAAAGCTCTATGTTCTCTATGCCTACAATTAGTTTAGCCATTATAAGCTTATGAGCCACTCACGAAAAGGCATGACTCTACTCCCTGCTGGATGCGGGAAAGCTGGTCCTCGAGCCACAAATATGGCTCGCATAAGACTATTCTCGAAATCGTATCCATGTAAACCTCGAGGGTGATATATCAGTCCTTCCTTTTTTGCTTTGGCCACGTCGAATTCTTTCTTGGGCGCAATGGCCCAGCCTGCGTCTGGAACGATCCAAAGTGGAGCGATTCGAGGGTTTTTGGAGAAGTGGTAACGTTCCGGCATATCTTTGTCGCGCAGATAGATATGCAAGTGAGGCATATCCTTCGTCTTCTGCTTAAGTTGATCATACATTGCTTGAGTCTTTGATGGATCTTTTGGGCGGATGCCATACAAGGGCCAACCGTCCACATGAGCGATATCATCGACATCCAGGAGATCCTCAAGTTGAACGACCCGATCCGTAGAAGTCGTAGCCATGCCATGATCAGAGACAACGATAACATTGACAATGTCTGTAAGATTGCGTTCCTGGAGGCCCTCAAAGATCTGTCCGAGCATTGAGTCGGCCATTCGAATAGTTTGCCTAATCTCCGTGCTGTTGGGACCATAGTTGTGGCCATCAACATCCACGTTAGGTACATAAGCTGCAATAAGTTGTGGACGCGGATTGTCCTTCATTGCTGCAGGACTGTCTGGGCCAGGCAGATCTAGCAACTGTAATATTCGCTCGGCCTTACGGCTAAGATCCTCCTTCCCGTTGTACTTATCTACATAGGATGTAGGAACATTGCCAATGGCGGCTTCGGAGCCAGGCCACATATGAACTGCAGCCCTCACGCCTTGAAGTTCTGCCGTGAGCCATAATGGCTCACCCCCCCACCACTTGCTCTGCAATGACTGCTGTGGATGAGTGTAGTAGAATTCAGATTGATCTTCCGGGTCCCAGAATGTATTCCCGACAATCCCATGCGCTTCAGGATATAGGCCTGTCACCATTGTATAATGATTTGGGAACGTAACGCTTGGGAAGCTCGGCATCATGTATAGTGGCGATACGCCCTCCTGAATAAACTTGTTCAAAGTCGGTGTTAATCCACGCTGTAGGAAATCGGCACGGAATCCGTCAAGTGAGATTAGAATCGTGGTTGGCGCAAAAAGCGTTGAGCCATTAGATAAGGGCAATGCTAGTCGAAGTCTTTCTTGCGTTTCCCTCGAGTTGCGCGTTGCTCGGTACGCGCCGTAAAGTAGTGAGAGCAAGAGCAGGATAATTGCAGCGTGTAGCAAATATCGCTGTGCTGAATTTCGCCTCTTTATGGAATGTACGTCTAGTCGCTCTTGTACCTGGAGGGAGCGCTGCAGATCCTCTTCTGAAGAAGACCTCGATGGCGACTGCGATGGCTGGCCTCCTTCTTCCATATCATATAGCAGTTCGCTCTCCATCTCTCCCCTTTTAAGACGCTCTCTGTGCCGCCTAGAAGATTTCCGTAACCGTTTCGCAGTCTTCTTTAAGGGAATCTCGTTCTCTTTAAACTCGCGATATCGTCCCAAGTTGAACGCGCCTCTTGAAATCTGTATTCCGTGTTTACTCCGTCCCGTCGCAGTACTCTCGTAGTCATCCTCAAGTACATCTTCATCTTCATTGCTTTCATCTTCGGACTCCTCCCCCTTAGATTCGCGAGTAGCGCTTGCGTCGTCCTCGTCCACATCCCGCGCATCCGCGTCGTAGCTTTTGCGTGACAGCAAACCGTCTTTCTCGGAGTCGATATTTGCCATAATATCGCATAAATATCGGTAATAGCGAACCGTCGTGGTCGCACCAACTTGTTGAATCAAAGAGGAAGTTCAAACACATCAACAATTCGCGCTACTGGGGTCCCGCAGCTCTTGAGACCCTGATTCCGCCTATGGTAAGGGGCACCACTTTGCACTCGGATCTGCTCGCGTCACATTTCCACTACCAGCGTGAACAATAAACTTTAGACATATCAAGGCTCTCTGGAACTGCGTTCGTAGTTTTTGAGTTCATATAGAAAATGTTAAAATCAGATTATTTACGCAAGGTCGAACCCCGCAGTTGAAGTAATTTCTTGTCAATTCGCTTGGGAGACTGGAGGTCATAGGATATCCTAAAAGACAGTTTATTCTGTAATTGGGGAAACAAGATATGGAGAACATCGAATGTAGTGCCCATTCAGCCATATGCTGAAGAAATGGATGGATTGCTACACGAAATGCAAGGGGTTTCACTCTCGGCAGCCCAGTATGAGACGCTGTATCAATGATATTTTTCAATTAGCGAGACATAGCATCTCGCAAAAGCGTGATATCAGTCATGCTTAACCAAAGCACTCAGCCTACGTAAAAATTGCTTTGTAATGAAGCTCAAGTGCCTTGTAATGTCAAAAGAATGTTGACTAGAGTTAGACAAAGCAAGGGGAATACGAAATGCTTCTCATCAATACAGCCAGATCAAACTTCGGTAATCGAGTTTGCCCTGAAGTTGCCAAGAAAAATTGGACACGGTCAAATGCCATGTTATTGCCCTTTTTGACCCATCTACAAACCTTCCGGGTGTGTCTATCACTTCTCTTCTAAGATTCATGTATGCACCCCGCCTCTGAATTCACAACAGCCGAAACATCCCCATTATCACATCCGCGGATATGTTTCGGAACTTCATTTACCAAGAAACACCTTTTTCTAAAGATGTGAGACTCCCACCAGATGAGTTTGAGAATATTGATCATCTGTAGTTTCAATACCAAGTCACCAAGCAGCTGCTCTAGGTACATGCAAAATTCTAAACATGTCCGAAATTCGAGCGATTCATCTTTGAATGACTTTGTAAAGTGCTTGGTGAATGCCTGTCACTAGTCCTCAGGATAGCGGGGTTCGGCTGAAGGATGGCCCTAAAGGCTGATTCTGGCGGTAGATATATATAGAGCCTTTTTTGAATCAATCAAGCGTTAACAACCAATATCTCGAAAAGACCAAAAAGGGTCATGAATAACTAGCAGCATGAAACAAGCATCCAAAGCAGAGGTGAATTTTGATCCAAGCGGTGGTACACGAGACGTAGACCACGACAACTTTGGGAATGCTATAGACAACAAGAGTCCCGCTACGAGGGAAGAATATGAAAATGCTGTGAAGGCGATATATGAGAGGCTCCATAACCTTGCGTCGATAAAAGGGCTTGTCAAGCTGGACCTTACAGCTGGCCATCCGTATCTCTTTCTGGACGGACGAGAAGGAGGGATAAAGATTCTGAACAGGTGTAACAGTACTCCAGATGTAACCGTTCGAATGCGTCCGCAAACTGTCCTTCACATCGTCGAAGGACTGATGGACACTCGCTACGGACATATGTTCAACCACATTCAGTCGACAGGGAATTTACGGATGGGAATTCGATTTGCAGATCTTCTTTCTCCTCGAGCACCAGCAGCGCCCCCTGACTTCAGAACGTACAAGAATCTTCCACAGCCAACGACCGATATTCGACAAGTGAAGCGTGATCTAAAGGAGTTCGGATACGGCCTCGTTAAAGACGCCCTTCCAAAATGGCAGCTAAACGCACTTCAAAAGCGCCTCAGCGATCAGGCGTTGGGCGAGATTGCAACCGGTACAGCGTATTTCGACGGTGGAGCCAAGAGACCCAATCAACGTGTCTGGAATTTACCAAACAAAGGACAAGAGTTTTTGGACTTGCTTGAACATCCCCTTGTTGAAGAAATAATCCCTGAGCAGTTGGGTGATGGATATCACTTATCAAGCTACACGGCAAACATCAACCGTCCAGGCTCAGAGGCGATGGGCATGCACACAGATCAGATCACAACAAACCCAGCGATTCCACAATTTCCACTGGGAATCAACATGATGTGGTTTTTGTGCGATGTCAATGAGGCAAATGGAGGGACCAGACTGCTTCCCAAGAGCCACGATGGCCTCATCGCACCAGCCAGCCTCTTTGATATCGAGGGCACAACATTTGCCAGTGGGCCGGGAGGGACGTGTCTTGTGTTTGAAAGCAGACTGTGGCATGCGACTGGCCCCTTCACAGCGTCTAGAGGAGAGAGGCCCGTAATACTGCAATTTTACGTCCGGCATTTCGTACGACCGCAGGAAAATTTCACATTGAGTGTTGCGCCTGAGGTAGAGGCCAGACTGACGGACAAGATGAGGCAGGCATTGGGATTTAGGGTAACGGCAACACTCGGTGGCGTAGAAGGATTTAAGCCCGACGGAACGATAGTGAGGAGGCCAGAGAAGCCCGTGATGGCCCTGAATAGGCGGGGAAGCAAACTTTGACTGTTCTGACAACGCCCCTCTTGCTGGCATCTATGTGGTTCCTTTGATGGGAATGATGAACTCAGCAGAGCGCATTCAATCCTAAAACTATTTCTGGGTTAGAGTTCTTGAGCACCTGCGAGACTCTGTGCCCCACATTTTGGCAACTAGCAAATTGGTGACAGGAACAGACAGATGAGTTATTCTCTAGCTTCAACAGTAAGGATCTGTAACGAGTCATGAATGGAGATATCTCCGAGGAAAACCAGGCTGAAGCTAGCTTCCGATCTAATTTAGAACTACAATGTACTTGTGTGTGCTTAGGAGAAGATGACGCCACCGGCGAATACGCCGCAATTACGATCACAAATTCGAATGCTTAAGGCAACTACATGCCTCCCGAAGATCAGGACAGCAAAATACTGAATTGTTGAGAAACGTCGGGCCCAAAGAAATGTGGGAGACGTTCGCGGAGTACTCCGGGCTGGACTTTGAAAGACTTGGCGAGTTAATGGAACAACTCCGTTTGAGAGCTTACTGTGGGACCGTAGAAATACAAAATCCAGATAACGGAATGCCTTCCAGCCACGTTTTGCCTCGCATCGAGATTGATCCAGAGCTACATCGTCACGCCAGCTGGTTCTTCAGCCAAGGTTTGTGGAAGAAGAGCTCGGTTGCACTAGCGGCTTGGTCGGTTCCAACCTATTAAAAAATTGAGTCCGGATATGCAAATCCTGAAGGCTTGAGAGTCCATCCTCACAAAAGGCGAACATGTCGCAATGGTTTCCTACTGCAGGACGGAACCAAATTCACATGACTGACATGCATAATTTGTTTCAAGGTTTTTTTTTTTGCGGAGGAAGAAGCCGTGAAGATCAATCCGATATAAGATATCGTTGGCGACAACGCTGCTCTACGTTTCTAGTATGCAACGACCATGACGGCAAAACCTTCAACATGAATTCCACCGATCAAGCAGAGCCGGAAGGAGGCTTGCCGCCAGGGCCCCTTGAGCTGTCAGCCTTGGCTTTCACCGCAATGGGGACACTATGCTGTGTACAGATGTTCGTCCTCATTGGCATCACCTTCCAACGTCGATCCGGCCTTTACTTTTGGAGTCTTGTAGGCGCGACGTTTGCTCAGCTCCTCGTCTGTGTCTCGGTCCTAATCCAAACCTGGATCCTCGGCGAACAGCTTAATGGCATACCTCTGGCGCTTAGCACGCTCGGCTTCCTTTTTTTCCCACTTTTTGGATACCTGATCTTGTACTCACGGCTGCACCTCCTTCAATGCAGTCAATACATTCTATCTGTCGCCTCTGCCATCATCGCGCTCGAGTGGCTACTGGCTGAATTGCCCATGGCAATTCTGGGCGTTATCAATACAGAGTACCCCGAAGCGCGCAAGCTTGCTCTGGCGTACAAGATATCTTGGGAGTTTGAGGAAGCGGTTTATCCAGTCGTTGACTTGGTATTATGCTCGTGCTATTTCGTTCAGGTGAAACGACTGTGGGGCGACAGCGGGAAGAAGACAAGGTCGCTACTATGGAAAGTCGTCCTTGTCGTCACGATTTCACTTCTTCTCGACTTGTCATGGGTAGTCTTGCAGAATACGACTGACCCAAACTGGTCAGGTGCTCTTGAGGTGAGTATTTTCGGAATCGTCAACTATTGAGCCAAGCTGACGATAGTAGTGTTTCCTAATGGCCTTGAAACTGCATATAGAGATTTACATATTGAATATGTTGACCAACATAGCGAAGGCTCAGATGGCTGATATGCAGAGCAAGTTTTCGCTGTCGCTGGAATTCTGCACGTCTCATCCATTAGTGCAGGCAAAGTCATGATACAAATTAAGAAAATGAATTGCTATTAATCATGAAATACTTTCGATACCATTGGTTTTAAACCTTGCCGTACCTGAACACCAAGATACAAATTTGCTGTTCGCAAGCGTTGTAGGACACATGGACAAAGGGATACGGGTGATTGGAGTCATAGAAGTGTCAAGAAAAACACGAACACTTCTTATACTACATCAACATGATGATTTCGCCATAATGACCAACATTGACTAAGAATTCAGTCGTTGATCTTTGGCTCGAGAGCATAATCACGTGATGAATCACTGTGGAGTGTCCCTAAGACTCTGTACCAAGCTAAGCTTGGCAAAAGCGTAAATCTAAGATACGATCCAGTTTCTAATTTTTATATATCAATGATCGTGTCTCCACTTTAGGTCCTTCTTCGTACGCTTGAACCATTTCTCTTCATCATCAGGCACTGTCGTCGTCGCTGCACTGGCAGAGGCGCGCGCTGGTTAGAACGTGTTCCAAAGTCCTCAATCAGAATCAATATTTCTCAAAGCTTCCATTGAGTCCAATCTGGTCTAAGAACCACCAGAACGTCATGCACGTGGAAGAATTCATCAAACTTTGATCAGGCACGACAAGGCTGGCCTCTATTCGCTCAGGGTAATACCATGTCATCTCAGCTGCATACAGCACTGTGTACAAGCTCAGGCCCGTACGGTAGCGCAGGACACGGTCGGGGGATGTACCGTGGAAGCATAGCACATAAGATGGACGGGAAGGCAATGAGCTCAGGCTTAACCTTTGCAATAGCGTGAGTTTCGATGGTTTGGCAGCAAAGGAGCAGACCAATGAAGGAATGATTGGTTCTTGCAAGGCCTGTGTTTGGTTGGGCAAACAAAAGAAATGAAGTCCCAGGTGTGGCGCGGAGTTTTCGCATTGGCCCTCGCTGGTAAGGAATATACGGTGTACGTTCTGGCAATGCTGATCCTGTCACCATGTTTGGAGCATGCCACGATCGAGAGCGTGTCACAGTCCGTAGAGAGATGGGACAAAGTACCTGTCGGGACGTGCGTCATCGTGTCGTTTGATCAGAGCGAGGGCCTGCGGACAATGCGACCGCAGCGTCTTTCTAGATTCTGGCTTCAGGGATGGCTATTGTTTCGCTCCCCGGCAATCATCCGCCATGTCGAGGCCGTTGCGCGCCAGACGATGGGGATGCCCAAGTCGAACAAACGGTCAGAAGAACAAGAGATCCGGTTTCGTCGTGCTTCATGTGATTGGAGAACTGGCGGCACAGGACAGGTTTCAGAAGGGTCTGTCATCTCGCGTGCCCCTGAGGGTGGAGCAGGATCCGTTTGCGGGACGCCAGTTAAGGTTGGCTAAGCTTCGCGCGAGCGCGGACAAGCATTGTGGAGTCCGCGTCGCTGGCACTGCGTCGGCCGCAGAACCTGGCGCAGGCATCGAAGACGACCAGCCTCGGCGTTCTTGCGAGAGACGGCGCCCGTCGTGGTCACACAGGCAGCGTCTCCGCGCTGGGGTCGTGTCGCGTGCCGGCGCTGCTCAGGGCCGAGAGGGCATGCCCATTCAGTGTCGATGGCGTGCGGTATCCACCCGACCGCGACGACGCCGCGTCATCGCAGCCTCTGCCCCGCCGTCGACTAGGTCCAATACGGATGTGGCTCTTCCTGTTTCCTCGCGATGTTTGTGCTGCGCCTGCGACCATCCTTGACGTCCTTCCGCTTCTCCATCTCTTTTCCTCACTTATTCTGTACACTCGTTCGTCGATTTGTTTTTGCAGCGTCAATTTCTCTTGCAGCGTTCCTCGCCAACTTCAGATCATGAAAGCATGGAATAGACTATTAGCTGGTGTTGGCATCGCGCGAGCCGCAATAACCCTCGACACGAGCAGCACCGGTTTGTGTGATCCCAAGCACCGTTTGCATCGTCCATGCTGAACTCTGTGTACAGACTCTATAAAACAAGCTGCGTCGACGGCAGCATGGGGCATGGTCAAGTACTGGTATACGGGCAACAACACCGGTGATGTTCCTGGTAATCTGCCCGCGCCTTACTGTCAGTAGCTGCCCTTGCCTGCTCGCTTGTGTGTCAACCATCTAACGAACGAAGACTGGTGGGAGGCTGGTGGCTTCTTCGGAACATTGATTGACTACTGGTACTATACCGGCGATACAACATACAACAACATCACCACACAGGCCATTCTGCATCAGGTATCTTCGTCCTCGTGGCTGAGCGCCGACTCTCGCGAGCTAACTTTGCCCCCAGATCGGCGCAGATTCCGACTTCATGCCCTCGAACCAAACCAAGGACGAAGGGAATGACGACCAGTCTTTTTGGGCCTTCACTGCTCTAGCGGCAGCTGAGTACAACTATCCTGCTCCTCCAAGCGGCTACGCGAGCTGGCTCGCATTGGTCCAGGCCGTATTTAATGAACAGGCTGCTCGATGGGACACTACAACCTGCGGCGGTGGATTGCGCTGGCAGATTTTCACCTTCAATACCGGATATACGTATAAAAATTCGATATCCAATGGCTGCTTTTTCAATATCGCCGCTCGGTTGGGCAGATATACCGGAAACACGACATATCTGGACTGGGCAAACAAGGCTTGGGACTGGGTGTCAGCCATAGGCCTCATGGACAGCTCGTATCATTTCTTCGACGGCACGGAGGACACTTCGAATTGTACCTCGCTTGATCATGTCCAATGGACATACAACCAAGGCGTTTTCCTATATGGCGCGGCGATCATGTGGAATGTGGTGAGTAGTACCACTGCCAGGTTGAAGACAAGTTTGTAACGCAAGCATCTAGTCTGCAACTAATGACGCCGCGAACGGTACGACAACTCCGAGCAACACAACGACATTATGGCGCACGCGCGTCGAAGGCATCCTGAACGCGTCCAGCGTCTTCTTCACGAACAACATCATGTACGAAGTGGCATGCGAAACAAACGGCAAGTGCGACAATGATCAGAAATCTTTCAAAACGTACCTTGCCCGCTGGATGGCTGCCACCACAAAGGTAGCCCCGTATACAACAGACACAATCATGAACTTGTTGACCACATCCGCTGAGGCATGTGCTAAGACGTGCACTGCCGGAGCAGATGGAAATCAGTGCGGCTTGGAGTGGACGAAAGAGGCGAACGATGGTGATTTGGGTCCTGGACAGCAAATGGCGGCCGTGTCTATTTTCTCTGGCTTACTCGCGGGCGACGTTCCTGGGGCGCTTACAAATAAGACGGGAGGAACGAGCGTCGGCGACGCAGCAGCCGGAACAACATCAAATGATAGCCCAACAAAATTTTCCACAATCACCACTGGCGAAAAGGCCGGGGCTGCAATCCTGACGTTAACTGTGATACTTGGCATGTTCAGTGGAGTCTGGTGGATTGCAACGGATTCGGAATAATCGCTCCAGATTAGATTCTTTAGAATAAAGGTGGATTATTGCATTCGCTGTAGGCAAATTTTTCTTTGAGCGTCTAAACATCTAAACATAACGCCGGGTGAAGACAACATATCATGTGCATTGCGATGATGAGCATAACATCTGAGTTTACTTTCTGAAAGTGACGTGTGAGAATATGCTGGCTACCCACGCAACTACTTCAGCAGGCACTCGGTGATGACGAGATACTACGGCTTAAAACTCCAAAACGGCTTGGAGCTACATGTTTGATGTTGCGCTTGTGGGGGTCGAACTGTTTAGACCAAGTCCAACGCAGTTGCGGTCAAGCTTCTTCAGCTCATCTGATCACACAAGAAATGAACTTGTCGGTAAAATCTGAACCCGTAGGAATTGACTGTGCTGAAGAGTGAGAGAACACTGCGTGATAGAAGTGTTCCGTTGAAAAATTTCGGAGTCCAAAAAATGAACTGTCAACGGACTCAGAGGACTGATCAGGTGAATTCTGAGAAAGCGGCCATCAAAATATGTCTGTCAATGCGAGCGACAGAGCTTTGCGAGGTGGACGTCGAATGATCCCGAACGATGGTATCTTTCCTGAAACAACGACAGACCTGACAGTCATTTACTGGACAAAGGAAATCAAATGAAAGCTGCTTTGGGTTTATAAATGAATTTTGTGCATGCCAATGGAAGTTAAGATATGATCTTATAAGCCAGTACCGTCCTTGGATTCCGGAAGTTAGTTCTAGCATCGCAGGCGATAACAAATGTATGCCGTGGGATGATACCTTTCGGTCCAGAATTTGCCCAGCATTGCGGCAAAGAGAATATCCGCCCTTCTTTGGGAATCATGCTCATAGATGGCCTACCACGTGCCAGTACACCAACGCCTTTATCAAGAATAGCCCGTTGTGCAATCCAAGCCCGAGTATGCGATTTGGATTCGACGGCCGGACCATACCAAAACTTGTGATTTGCTATATCAGAACATGGCCTTGAGGAGCTGAAGTCCTGTGGGAATATGGATGATCTCGAACGGGCTATGTCGAAAGTTCGCCAAGTGGGGAATGCAGTTCCGCACGTCAACGCCCCCAGTTCCCCCGCAATCTCCAGATTTCAAATCTCTGGCTGCTCACGCTTACCTTAGCACTCCTAATGTTTTTCTGATTGATCTTCGCATTTTTTTTTCTAAAAGCACTCGTTAACTTCTAAAATCAGCTACTCACTTAAAACTAGCAGGCCGAGAAACATGTCTAACGATCTCCAGACAGGGGAGTATGCGAGTAAGGAGATCTTGCTTCCTGACATACCTGCAGATCATCTGGAAGATCATGGAATACTGCGGCCAAGACAACGTGCTTACATAGCTTGTGTTGAGTGCCGTATGCGTAAAACGAAATGCGACGTCTTCAAGAAGGGCAACCCCTGCTCAAATTGCGTGCTGAACAAACGAAGCTGCGCGATAAAGCGACGGCTCAGGAGAGGGTGTCTAGAGAGAACGGGGACTGTACCCCACGGCACGAAGTTGTCGACCAGTAAGGCATCTGATCCCTCGCCAGCAGATTCCCCACATTCAGGCTCTATCAACGCATCAATACTGGAGAATGGCAGCCTTTTGACTGGTGCCTCATATGAGTTCGCACTTCAGAGATATGCAGGGACACTTTCTCCAAACCAGGCAGACCTGAATGGATGGAACTGGAGCCCTACATCGAGGCAAATTGAGAGTGTAGGTCGTACAGTATGTCATGAATAAAGCAACAGTCACGTCGGAGATCTGACAGTACTTGAGCAATGCAACATTGCTCGCAACGCTCTTGGTAGGAGATATACACGCTGTGATTATATGAACGTACTGCTGACTGTATCTCACAGATAAAAAGTGAGATATTCTGCCCATTATTATTTGACTCACGCTGAATAACTCCAGCTCATTCCCGGATTTTGAGCTGCCTTATTCTTACTATCCATTTTTAAAACCTGGAAATCTCAATCATCTCTCGTCAGAAGACCTGCGATTTTTACAGGACCGAAAATGCTTCAAAATTCCGAGAAGACGCCAACTTGAGATTTTGTTAACCCAATACTTTCGCCGTGTGCATCCACAGCTTCCTCTTCTCGACGAAATATCATTTTTGGTCATGTACAACAATTCCAATACATCTATGCGAGGAGATGCACATATGTCCCTGTTTGTTTTTCATTCGCTTCTTCACGTCGCCTGCAGTGTATGGTCTAACTTGACAATTCGCGCTTTGACTTTAGTGCTGAACGTATCACAGTTTGTGACAAAATCGGATGTGAGACTCATGGGCTTTGAAAGCATTCGAGAAGCAAGGCTTAACTACTACCGGCGCGCCAAGATAAGTTTGGAATCAGACACAGAGTTAAGGCAATAAAGCTGACCGTCTGTACGCCATGTTCGACCTGGGAGTTGAGATGGACAGCCTTGCGATTGCGCAAGGTTCCCTGCTACTCACATACTACACTCCACTTGAGGATCCAAGGGCTCATTCGTACTGGCTTAGCATCGCAATCCAACACTCCAAGCTGGTTCATGCGCACGACTATCGAACTTATGCTCAATTTCCCGCGGAGCGTACAGTACCTCTGAAGAGATTATGGTGGTGCTGCATTGTCCGCGACAGGAGTCTGTCACTTGGTCTCCGTCGTCCACTGCAGATCTCGAAAGCTGCAGTAGATCCCATGCCCCCACCTCTTTCTGAACAAGATATTGCAGCTGAGATGTCAAATTCTCGAATCTATAGTACAGCATCGAAACAGGATCTGCTGCAAACCTTCAATAAATTGTGCATGCTGTCAATATATCTAACGGATGCCATAGAGATAATGTATCCTACATGGGAAGCATGTTCGTCAACATTACCATCAAAGGTGTCTTTTGAACAGAAAAAGCAACGTTTATTGGAGGCAGAGAGCCAGCTAGATGAATGGTACAATGAATCGCGCAAAACAGAACTTGCAGTGTCCCCTGGAGACTCTGCTGCTGTCAGTCTGCTCGTGCTTCAAAATCTAGGATACATGTATTACTAGTAAGTCATGCGGAGCGCAAAACTATCATGACCTGTACTTCTGGAGCTAAGATATGCTTCTAGTGCTGCGAAAGCATCGATTCATAGCAAGGTGATCTTGGAATCGATCCTTGACACACGTATTGCTACCAACGGAGTGACCTGTCGATTAGAGAGCAACATAAAGCTCGAACAAGCTGTAAATGGCATGACATTGATCTTGATTGATTTACTGCAAGCAAAAGCCATCAATTATTTACCTGCTGCTGCGTAAGTATTGCAGAGGTTCGTAAATGTGTTATCGATGAGACTTATCTCTTACAGCGTTGCACTTGCATCCCTACCCCTCGCATGGCACGTTGTTGGCAGCAGACTTGCACCAAAGTCTCGAGATTCGGAAACACTTGAGAAAGGAGTAACTGCCTACAATAAGATGATGAGAATTTGGCAAGTGATGTATGAGGGGACCGACAGGGTCCTCGAAACGATAACAGAGCTGGTCCAACAGATTGAGCTGGAGAACTCTATATTGAGCATTCACCGCACCCCAATTCAACTATTCAATTCAAAAAATCGAGAAGCCAATTCATGGGCCAAGATTCTGCTCCTTCAGCCTGAGTCTTATAGTCGAGTCATCCTCGGTCTTGACATCTCGCTATCTCTTGGGAGGAAAATCTGCCGCGAAGACCTCCCCGCTTTATTGCAACCTCTAGAACATAAAAATGTGACGAATCTCATGAGTTTGTCCTTAACAGCGCCAGATTTACAGAATTACTCAAACTCGCAGCAAGAGGTTAAGCACATTGGGGCCATTGACTCGAATTACTCAGAATCAGCAACATGCCCGTTGGAGGGCGAGAATATCGCCGAGAAACTAGACGATGAGGTGGAGTCTGAATTTAGAGGTCCTTGGACAGTGAACTCCATTGAGGACAGGCAGGTGCCACGCAAAACAGAAGACGACATTTTTGAGAAACTTTTGCAAGGGTATGCAGAAGCAAGTCCTTTTTCCCCAATCTTTACGTGATTATGAAGAGATATCTATAGGGAGTGTAGTGAAGACAGTATGGTCTTATTCTTGAAGTTTCTAAATGTCCAAAAGAGTTTGCGAATCGCATAAATAACAACATACAGTTTCGCCGTTAGTTAGGTTGGCTTAAAACGATTCTTGTGTATTCTAGCTATGAAGTCTCAATGCATAGGATGCCACAGTTTAATGTAACCCATCATAAGACAAAACTAGCTAGGATTGTATTTCGGATTATATTGTAGCGAGTATTCCATTGCCTTGCTGGGGTTCTACAGATAACATTCTAGTGTGCTGAGGATCTATCACGTGATTAAGTGATCGTCAAGATAGAGTAGCTATACCCGCAGCCGCAGCCGCAGCCGTAGCCGTAGCCGTAGCCGTAGCCGTAGCCGCAACCGTAGTCCAAGACTTACAGCTGGCCCATAGCTGGGGCCACATCCGATGCTAAAAGTCTTGGTGAGCTTTACTGTTCTCTACATGATGAGCTCTACCAGTGAATGCTAAGCGAATGTCATTATCATGATCCCCGTGGAAAATCAAATTCCGCCCAGGATATTGGAGGGTTTTAAATATATTTGATTGATAACTATAGACGCTTGCCGGATCCTCAAGACGTAGAACTAATGAGGAGTGTTTAAATTTACATCGCAGCGAGTATGAAATGTCATCTTTTCTTTGCTCTGATGCTTGTCGCTCTTTCATTTGAATCAGCGCACTAAGATACTATACCATGCCATGGAATTGCATTACATACATTTCCTGATTTACGGATACTCTCTGCCACAGCTGTCGAGGTCCACAATCATTCGTTGTTGCCGGCGTCCGTTTATCTTCCAGCATCCGCACCTGCGTTCATCAGCTTCTGCAATTTTACTGTTGCTATATCAAATGCACAGACACTGTCTGCGAGTATATTCGGCTCCCACTCGAAGGATGGAAAGGTCGGTTCGTCGTGGGAGGAGGCGGTGTACTGGCTGCAGGTTATCTCACCGAGCTCGCACCATTCGTAGCACAAGGTTATGCAGCTGGGACATCTGATGGGGGCCTTACATTGAACAACACCATAGATCCTCAGACTGGTATGTGGATCCTGAACAAACCCGGCCAGTGGAATATTGATCTCGTACTAAACTTTGCATACCGGGCAATCCATGATATAGCTACCATTGGAAAAGCCGCCGTATAGGCGTACTACAGGATCCTTCCGCGATACTCCTACCGTGTCGAATGCTCTACTGGTGGAAGACACGATTATTCATCCGCATACTTCTTTCCTGATGATTTCGACGGACTTGTTGCGAACGCCCCCTGTGATATACACGATGAGATACTCTATCGCTGATGTGTGGCCCACGGTTGTGATAGTCAACATTTTCTCCCCCCCCCCCCCCCAGATTGTGTTTTTAACTACTACCAGCAGCAGGTTATTCCTGAATGCGATGACTTGGACGGTCTCAGCGTCGTTATTACATAAATCTACTCGAGTGTCATTTTGAAGCCAGGAGTTTGATAGGCTCGGTGGTGAGGTGCAGTAATACCGGAACAAATGTTTCAGTTACTGCCGACTTCGCAGAGGTCGTGTCTAAGATACTTGAAGGGCCTCAAAGTCAGACAGGTGAATGGTAGTGGTACGGTGTTCCAGTCGGAGCATCATTCAATGCGCTTGCCAACACCACAACCGTGAATGGGCGTACGACACCAGCGCCATTTGGGGTAGCGGCTGCTTACGCCAAGTATTTTGCATTCAAGGATCCAAACTATCCCTTTTTCAACATGACCTTCTCAGATTTTGACATTGCATTCAATGAGTCCGTCACAAAGTTGTCTACGTTATTCCCTTTTGATAAACCTGACATGCAGGCCTTTCAGAAACTTGGGGAGAAGATGATAACATGGCACGGTCAGGCTGATCAGTACGTGAACGCTCATGGAACGATCAAATTTTGGAAGGCGCTAGAAGCAACTAAATGTGGAGAGGCGACAGTTAGCAATTTTCAGAGGGTATTTCTTGCTCCAGGTGCGCAACATTGTGCTTTCTCTGGGGGACCAGCTCCTGTCAGCAATATTCTCCCAATCTCCCAATTTTAGCCGAGTGGGTTGAGAATGGCACCGCCCCCGGAAGCGATCTATGCCAGTATGTAAGCTTTAGATGGTGCAACTATTTCCAAAAATCTCCCTCTCTGGCCCAAGATGCCGTACTATAACGGTAATGGAGGCCTAAATATGGCATCAAGCTTTCACTGCGCTTAGAAAGCTGATTCTCCAAACAAGCCTTTATTTAGTGTGATAGAAGTAGCAAGAGATCTGGAAAGTCTTGATAAATACGTAATATGAGTAACTATCCAGGCAATTACGTTATTTCTATTTTTGGTACTCCTCCGTTTGCTAACTAGCAGAAATCACCTTGTCTTGTTCCAAGCAGATTCCTTTGGCCTTCTGGGGACCATCAAATATTTGTTGCCATTTCCTTTATCATGTCTGCAGTGGGGTTTGTGTTCGTTACCTATATGATAAGTTTACTGTAACTATAAAGAAATTAAACACCTATTTCAATCTCTAATATGAACTATCTATGCCATTAGAAAAGTCGGATATGACAATCTTAAACCTCTCAAATTTTGCATTACTGGAGTGCTGACTTTGGGTACCAGGCTATTAAATAAAGAAGTTTACTACTATTTCAAACCAATGATACGATATTCTTCCAGCAGACTATGCTTAAGCTCTATATCTGCGACCATAATCTTAAGAAGAACATGATATAGTGTAGATGAAAATAATACCGCCATTTTGATGACTGGAACAAAGAACATCATACCTATGAACTGAAAATTTTGTTCATATCTAAAACAATAGCTATCAGCCTATGGCAAAAAAGCCTCATTTTGTCAGTTGGATTAAGAAGGTCTAAGAGACGCTTTCAGAGACTCTCATATATTCTGATAACGTCCCTTAATGAGTATCATTATTGTATTCATTTAGGTATAGTCAAATCTTCACCGTTAATGCTGCTGGAGTATATGTTCCGCTAATTTTTCAAGATTGATAGCGGAGCATATCATATCTAAAGAACAAATTCAAATAACCTAAAAACTCTACCAAACCATTTCCTTAACCTATGCGTCTAATGCTACAACAAAAATTTCATAAATCAATTTTGTTAATCAATTATATCAACGTCTCCTTTTCAGGTGCTGATTAGACATCTCAGCAGAGCAGAAGCTGTATTGGCATTTCTTTTCTATATGTTTTAAAATTAACTTCAAACCCGCTAGGAGCTGCTTGTTTGAAAAATTCAAGATGAATACTTCTCTCCAATATAGAGGATTGAGCATTATTCTTTCGCAATTATCTTGACTCTACCTGAACATGTACTTGAATACATCAAAATTATATCAACCCCTCAGAGAAATTCATTATGATTCGAATATCTATTACAGTATGACACTAGAGTTCAATTTACTCTGCTTTATGCTCCATCATCACTCTAGTTTTTGAGCATGAGCAATTGTTGCAACATCCATTCAATATTAAGATTGAGCATCGAGCTCCAGAATCATATCTTCGAGAAATTCACTACCTATATATTGACTATAAATGTTTAGGCCGTCACATATTGTTGAACAAGAGCACTCTTATCCACATCATGCGTATTCAGCTCAAATGCCTTCTACATGTATTCAATCATGAAACCAGCTACATGACACGATAAATATGCGTCAGAGCTCTCTTAAAATGTTTAGGCGGCTGGCTGCATGGCGTTTTAAACTCTATAAAATGGAGCAAGGCGCTTCACATTATCCATATTCCCCTCCCAACCCCGCATCGCCCAATCGTTTCCGAATCTCTTCCGTGACTTTTACTAGCCATCACCAACGTTCGTAACTATCATCGGAAGAGACTATCCAGTCTATGTGTACGCAATCTAAGAAGGAAAACCATCCCGAGGTTATACCCCGCCAAAAATATACTTTGAAGGGTAATGCTAGGCGGGAAACACATAAAAAGTTTTTAAGATCCCTCAGATCTAGGAATATAGATATCCAAATACCTGACCACGGATCAAGACTTAGACTGTATCTCGTTCTTTATGAGACACTATGGCTTTCATAACAAAACTTCTATGGTCAAGAGGCGAATTCGCTGGCCGTTCTCGGAAGCGCCTTAATGCCTATAACGCCTGGATGATATTGTTTGTTTCCATCGGTTCACTTTGCTATGGATATACTGCGAACGTGATCAGTGCAACTCTTGGTATATATAAATTTATCATTATATTCATTCGTCCACTAAATCTTATTATAGCGCAACCGACATTTATAACTTACTTTAACCTCGATACTCGGTCAGATGCAACGGCTCTTCTATCCGCAACCAACGGAATTTTCCAAACTGGAGGGTTGCTAGGCACTTTAACCTTACCATTATTTAGTGATAGATTCGGTAGGAAAGGAGGACTAGCAATCGTATGTTCTTAAGCTTTAGTCAGGATTCGCAAGCGCTATTCACGGCTAATATTGGCTTCAGAGTGCCCTTCTTTGCCTCATTTCTGGTGCTCTGTTGGCAGGTAGTGTTAATATTGGAATGTTTCTTGCGTTTCGCTTTTTTGCTGGAGCCGGAGCATTTATGATTTTAGCTGCTGTTCCCATTTGGATGGCTGAAGTCGTTCCTCCATATCTGCGTGGCGCTCTCGTACAGCTTCATGCCGTCATTCTCGTAATTGGATACATGTGTGCCTCCTGGCTTGGTTATGGTATTTATCACTGGAAAAATGGTGGATCAGTAACATGGCGTATTCCTTTTGCCATTCAGTGTTTTTTCCCATTATGTTTGTTACTGGGGCTGTACCGGTGCCCCGAAAGCCGTACGCACCCCTTTCGACCCCCAATACTAGGTTTGCTCAGAGGTTCTGACATGACTACGTACAGCACGCTGGTTGATTCTAAACGGGAGGATTGATGAAGCTCGAGAGATTCTTATGCGTCTTCATGATGATC